GTACAGCCTCGATTTTAATAATTGCAGCCTGTATACTATTTTTGTAATTTAAACACTGGGGCTTTCACCCACTAAGTAATAAAGTATGTGGATATAAAAAAAAAAAAAAAAAAAAAAAACTGAAAAATAAGAAATTTGAATGATTTAAGATAAACAAAATGATATAAAAAGAAAACGGATATAAAAAGGAAATCGAATTCAATTCAATGTATTACTTACCAGCAAAATGTAACAAATCAAATAAAAAAATAAAAGGAACCTTCTACTGCATTTAATTTAGAAGTTCATGTATTCTTATGTTTTATTAAGTAGCTATTTATGTCATTAGAAATTACAGTACTCAAAAATATGTAGCCTTTTTTGGATGTTCAATTTTTAAAAATATGATCGAGCTTAGAAGCTGAAGGGTGAGGACTTGAGCTTAATTTTTGAAGGCAGCCGCTCCCACAATTTAGGTTGGGTTAACTCCGTGAGCACCGAAGGATTGGTAATCAGCTGCAAAAATAACTCCGTCTAACAGCAATGCACAAATATCTGACACCAACATCACATTTGTTTCATGCATAAGATGTGGCCCTTTAATTCCGCCGTGATGGGGAGCATATTAGCTCCGTGAGCTGTAAATACCGCATTCAGACTCTCAGTCCATGGACATATAAAAGGGGTGCAAATCCCGTTACTTTTGCATTTCGCATTCGGAAGACAGGATATTGATAAGTTCCAGAAACACGAAATGGCTGTCACTACTTTTGTTTCCGGTGCTTCTGGATTTGTTGCTCAACATATTGTTAAACATTTGATTGAAAAGGGATATAATGTCGTCGGGTCAGTGAGATCTGAATTAAAAGGAGAGAACTTGAAGAAGAACCTTGGTGCAAACTTTGCTTACGAAATCGTTGAAGATTTGGAAACTGTTGGTGCCTTCGACGAAGCTTTGAAGAAACACCCAGAAGTGACTGTGTTCCTCCATACAGCTTCGCCTGCCAGTTTTGAAGTAGAGGACAATGAAAGAGACATAATATTACCTGCTATCAATGGTACCATTAATGTTTTGAAAGCAATTAAATCTTCAGCTCCGCAGGTAGATAAGGTTGTCATCACGTCTTCCATTGTCACTCAAATTGATTTTGGTGATTTTAGTGCAGCTGCTTCTGAAGATACGTGGAATACTATCTCCCACGAGCTGGCTGTGCAAAGTGGAAGAGGTGCCTATGCATACTCGAAAACCTTCGCCGAAAAGGCTGCAATTGATTTTGTTGAGAAGGAGAAGCCACATTTCACTGTGTCAACAGTGCACCCAGTGCTTGTTCTTGGACCCCAGGCATTCGATCTGGAAGCCAAAGGTGAACTTAAATCTACATGCAAAATGCTTAGTGCATTGCTAGATTTGAAGACTGGAGATGTCCCACCTGCTGCTTTTCCATTTGTGGACGTTAGAGACGTTGCTGCTGCTCATCTAATTGAAATCGAAAAGCCTTCCAACGGTTTAAGAGTAATTCCCTACAGTGGACGTTTTACAAATCAAAGTGCATTGAACATAATTAACAAGCACTTTCCCGAATTGAATCTTATAAAAGGATCACCAACTGAAAATTTGACTGGTGGCACTCCCGTTAACGCTGATAAGTCTAGAGAATACTTGGGGTTGACTTATATTAGTTTAGAGAAAACTGTGGTAGACACCATCAAGCAATACCTTGAAGTCAATAAATAATAAATGTTTTTTTTTTTTCTCTACATCTTTCTACGTAGGTTTCTATGAAGAAGCAAGTTACCATCTACAAATGAGCCATGCATTCCGTACTGTAAACACACGTATACTGAAGTCGAAATGTACCAAGTAAGCGAAATTGCCATATCTTTTCATTTGTTAAAAGCCCGATGTCTCACCACGGTTGAACCCCACAAACCACAATTTATAAAGCGTGCTCTTTCCCACTTGAATTCTCCTTGACAGCAATACACAGTCTATATTCACTAATTGGACAATATGGTTGCACTTTGAGCTTGAAAGAACTCTCTTTCAAACATATGCCCTAAAAGGTTGCATATTTTTTTGAAACTGCAACATTGACATTTATCTGGGGTTTTGCCTACAAAATTCCTGCTTCTATGCATACGAAACTTTAATTTCTCAGTCTTGCAAAAAACACAAACAATCTAGGTTTTATATCCGGACACCGGAGTTAGTAAGGCTCCGAAATAAAAAGGGAACAACCAACACTAGGCACCTTGGAACACATATAAAGAGACAGCAGTAACCTCCTCTGACCATTTCTCTTTCAAATTAGTAATTGACTATCTGGTAAAATAGTTAAAAGTTCCTTAAAAAAATAAAAAATCTCGAAACACAATAATTTAGAATGGCTCCAACTGCTTTTGTCTCTGGTGCTACTGGATTTATCGCTCAACACATTGTTAAGCAATTACTTGAGAAAGGATACAATGTTGTCGGTTCAGTAAGATCCGAATCTAAAGGGGAAAAGGTAAAAAAGAACTTTGGCTCAAACTTCTCTTATGAAATTGTCGAAGATTTGGAGACCGAAGGTGCCTTCGATAAAGCTTTGAAGAAACACCCAGAAGTGACTGTGTTCCTCCATACAGCTTCTCCTATTACATTTCATGCTGAAGATAACGAAAAAGATATAATTTTACCTGCTATCAATGGTACAGTCAACGTATTGAAGGCAATTAAATCGTCCGCTCCGCAAATTACTAAGGTTATTATTACATCTTCGGGACTCACTCAAATTAACGGAGTAGATCCTAACTCAGCTCCAGAAGATACATGGAACAGTATTTCGTACGAGCGTGCTAAGCAAGATACCATGTCTGCTTACGTCGGATCCAAGGCCTTTGCAGAAAAGGCGGCAGTCGAATTTGTTGAGAAAGAGAAGCCCAGTTTCTCTGTATCCTCTATTCACCCTGTGCTTGTTTTTGGACCTCAAGCGTACGATCTGGAAGCTAAGGGAGAATTAAATATCACCAATACCTTTATAAGTGGATTACTAAAGTTGAAAGCAAGCGAAGGAGCTGAGCTCCCAAAATCTGATGGTCGTTTTATTGATGTAAGAGATGTTGCTGCTGCTCATTTGATTGCTATTGAAAAACCTACCAATGGATTGAGAGTTCAGGTTCGCAGTGGAGGGTATACTAATCAAACGTTATTAAATATTTTAAACAAGAATTTTCCAGAATTGGATCTTATCAAAGGATCACCAACTGAAAATTTAGTCGGAGATGATAGCGCAAATCACTCTAAATCTAGAGAATACTTGGGAATGAACTATATTGGATTAGAGAAAAGTGTTGTTGACACCATCAAGCAATATCTTGAAGCAAATAAATAGATGAATAGTATCAATACTTACCCTCTCTTGATGTATGCGTATGTAGGTGCGTATATAGTGAAGGTCAATCTGAGATTTGTAAGATTTGGTACGCTATCAAAAACGGTAACACTGCCATTGAGACTCTATCATCTATCTATAAGTTTTACTCAGTATTGTTCCCTTCTGTATATATTAGCTTGAGTTTATATTTTGACAAGGGACCAGATACTTTGCAAGGGAACTTGCCTCTCTACATTTAAGCTTACTTGCAATAATCTCTGTATTTCTTTATCGCTTTAGAGCACAATACTAATTCTTATCTTATAAACTCAAACTATGATTCGATTAATTAGTTCAGTAGTAAAACTTGTAAGATCCGAGAAATGGTGCCAATATGATTGACGCTTTTACTTGACGTGCGGCTCCAGAAATTTTTGCCTATAAACCGCATGCACAAATAGCTCTCTGCTCGTAATTTACGAGACACCACTTTAATCTGCTTAATTGAGTTTAGTAAGGTCAAAGATGATAAATGCTTTGAAATACCGGAATACATAAAGGGCGGCAAAATTGGACTCTTTATATTTACCATAAAGTACTGATAATACACTATCTATTAGAGAATAATTGATGCTGTTCCACTAGTCGGAGAGAACTTTTGTTAACTGTATCAAGCAATGTATTTGTGCCAATATATCAGTACATGTTAAACATGTATAAGTTGAAATCATTCTCGACATGTTAATGATTAAGTTTCCGTTAGAGAGTACGCTTTCTATAATGCTGAAAGCCATAGATATTGCATTGCAGATACAAAGGCTAATAAAGTCGAGGTGTGGATATAAAGTTGCCCCACTTTTATTTGTCATTGCGATCCCTTTTCAAAAACAAACCACACTCTCAACAATGCATAGCCTTTTCCACTTGAATTCACCTTGACGGATATTACATTGTCCACATCACCAATTAGAAAATAGAGTTGCGTTGTGGGCTTGAACGGCCGGTTCTCTGACATTCTATTTGATTCCAATTATATAGGTATTTCTCATATCAGCGTGCATTAGAAAACACCCATATGCGTTAGCTGCATAAGCAGCATTCTTTGACGCACGAACACTTGCTTACTAACAACATACACCTATGCACAGTTAACTATATATTTTTTTACACAATCTTGCAAAGAATTGCAGATATCTCCTTCTTAATTCCGGGTACATGGAGCTTGATATGTTCCGAAGTCGTGAAGTTCCGAAATGAAAGGTTGCAATAGTCAACAACATGTTCAATGGAGCATATAAATTAGATGATGATGGCCTCTTTGGATTTTTCGTATTTCATAAATTAAGAATCTACTTAAAAGGTGAAAAGACTCTTTAAAATAATTTGAAATGGCTGCAACTGCTTTTGTCTCTGGTGCTACTGGGTTTATCGCTCAACACATTGTTAAACAATTACTTGAGAAAGGATACAATGTTGTCGGATCAGTAAGATCTGAATCTAAGGGAGAGAAGTTGAAGAAGAACTTTGGTTCGAACTTCTCTTACGAAATCGTTGAAGATTTAGAAACCGAAGGTGCCTTCGACAAAGCTTTGAAGAGACACCCAGAAGTGACTGTGTTCCTCCATACAGCTTCACCTGTTACTGCTCAAGCTGAAGACAATGAAAAAGATATAATTCTCCCTGCTATTAATGGTACAGTCAACGTATTGAAGGCAATCAAGTCATCAGCTCCACAAGTAAAGAAGGTTATTATCACATCTTCAGGCGTTACTCAGCTTGATGGAGTTGATCTCAGTTCAACTGCTTCAGAAGATACATGGAATAGTATTTCATATGAGCGTGCTAAAGAAGATGGAATTGCTGCTTACATTGGCTCAAAGACATTTGCTGAAAAGGCAGCAGTTGAATTCGTTGAAACAGAGAAGCCAAATTTCGCTGTATCAACTATTCATCCTGTACTTGTCATTGGGCCTCAAGCATTTGATCTGGAAGCTAAGGGGCAATTAAACCTTTCAAATACCTATGTTAGTGGCTTATTAAATTTGAAAGCAAGCGAAGGAGGAGAGCTCCCACAATCAGATGGTATTTTTGTTGATGTCAGAGATGTTGCTGCTGCTCATTTGATTGCAATTGAAAAGCCTACTAATGGATTGAGAGTTCTTGTTCACAGTGAAGGGTACTCCACTCAAGAGTTTTTGAATATTTTAAACAAAAACTTCCCAGAATTGAATCTTATCAAAGGATCTCCAACTGAGAATCTAGTGGACAATAAATATGTTGGTGATGTTAAATCTAGAGAATATTTGGGATTAAATTATATTGGTTTAGAGAGAAGTGTTGTTGACACCATCAAGCAATTTCTTGAAGCAAATAAATAGATGAATTAATCAAAACGAAAACATCTTATCCTTCTATGTAGATATAAAGCTGACCAGCTTTTATTTGTCTGTAAACCACACTACTAACAAAGCGTAGCGTTTTCCACTTGAGTTCCCCTCGACGGAAACATATTGTCTGTATTCACCAATTAGAGGATAGAGTTGCACTTTGGGCTAGCATGGGTGCTTCTCTGACATTCTATATGATTCCAATGTCATATATATTCCCCATATCGTCGGGTAATGGAAAACAAATGTATGCATCAACTGCATTGGCAGCGTTTTTTTTGACGCACGAATACTTACTTGGGGTTTTTGCTTACAAACCTCGCGCATCTCTATGCATTGTTAACCTTCTTTATTTGCGGATTTTGGCAGATATCTCCTACTAAATTCCGTCTACATGAAGTATCTAAGAGTTCGAAATGAATGTTGCAGCAATAAATATCAGGCTTCATGAAAATATATAAGGAGAAAGCAATAACCTCTTATGTCATTTAGTCTATCAAAGCTAACAATTAACTATCTATCAAAAAGTTATCAAGCTCCCTTTAAAAAACAAACTTATTACATTAATTCAAAATGGCTGCAACTGCTTTCGTTTCTGGTGCTACTGGATTTATCGCTCAACACATTGTTAAACAATTACTTGAGAAAGGGTACAATGTTGTCGGATCAGTAAGATCTGAATCTAAGGGAGAAAAGTTGAAGAAGAACTTTGGTTCAAATTTCTCTTACGAAATCGTTGAAGACTTGGAAACGGTCGGTGCATTTGACAGAGCTTTGAAGAGACACCCAGAAGTGACTGTGTTCCTCCACACAGCTTCCCCTGTTGCGTTCCAAGCTGAGGATAATGAAAAGGATATAATCTTACCTGCTATTAATGGTACAGTCAACGTATTGAAGGCAATCAAGTCATCAGCTCCACAAGTAAATAAAGTTATTATTACTTCATCTGGTGTTACTCAACTTGATGGAATTGCACTCAATTCAGCCATTGATGAAGAAACTTGGAATAGTATTTCATACGAGCGTGCTAAGCAAGATGGACTTGCTGCTTACATTGGCTCTAAGACCTTTGCTGAGAAGGCAGGAATTGAATTTGTTGAAAAAGAAAAGCCAAATTTCACTGTATCAACTGTTCACCCTCTGGTTGTTTTTGGACCTCAAGTGTTCGATCTGGAAGCTAAAGGTACACTAAGCGCATCAAATACATTTATTGGTGGATTGATAAGTTTAAAAGCAAGCGAAGGAGCTGAGCTCCCACCATCAGATGGTCCTTTTGTTGATGTCAGAGATGTTGCTGCTGCTCATTTGATTGAAATTGAAAAACCTACCAATGGATTGAGAGTTCTCACTTACAGTGAAGGGTTTACCAATCAAAGATTATTGAACATTTTAAATAAGAATTTTCCAGAATTGGATCTTATCACAGGGTCACCGACTGAGAATTTAGTGGGAGGTGATAACGTCAATGATACTAAATCTAGAGAATATTTGGGATTAAATTATATTGGTTTAGAGAGAAGTGTTGTTGACACCATCAAGCAATATCTTGAAGCGAATAAATAGATGAGTTAATAAATGAAAAAGTTTCAGCCATTTTTTGTCCTTCGATACAGATTGGCACATAGTAGCAATCTCAATTCAGTTCAACACAGGCTGTGGGTACGAGATTCAGTATGCTATAAAAATGGTGAGCAAGTATTTCATGTAGAATGCTGACCTTATATATAAGTTTCGATGAGCTATCAAAGTGGGGACCAAGTATTCCTTTTGAGATTTTGACACTTATATATAAAATTGAGTGAACTACTCAAACATGTTGCAAGTAGTGCTTTGAGGATGTTAACCACATTTATGTATACATCTTACCTAGTATCTGTATTTATTGGCTAGAGTTCCATTTCCAAGAAGGGACCATTGATAGTTTTTCAGAAATAAATTTGCCTCAAATTACTTTTGAGAATCCCTCGGTGTATACTCATCGTATTATGACACAATATCAATCACTCTGTTACGAGTTGGATCTGTGAAATTCTATTGAGTTCCATTACCTGGATAATTAGTAAGATGGCGGGTAATTTGGAAAAAATTTAAAGGTGTGTCAAAATTGATCAATGGTTCAACTGAGCATGCGGCTCCCAACTGCATGCATGAAGGCGCTTTTGCTTATTTACGATTTGCCTCTCCGCAACATATAGAGCACTACTTAATACAATTCACTTTGATATGTAATTAATAAGCTTCATGATGGTTAATGCTTCAGGAAACATATAAAAGATGCACAATTGCACTCCTGATAATTAACTTTCATCATATATTATTGGTAATTAACTATCTATTGAAAAGTTATCAAACTCATTCTAAAAAAACAAACTTATTACATTAATTCAAAATGGCTGCAACTGCTTTCGTCTCTGGTGCTACTGGATTTATCGCTCAACACATTGTTAAACAATTACTTGAGAAAGGATACAATGTTGTTGGTTCGGTAAGATCTGAATCTAAAGGAGAAAACTTAAAGAAGAACTTTGGTTCAAACTTCTCTTATGAGATCGTTGAAGATTTGGAAACGGTCGGTGCATTTGACAGAGCTTTGAAGAGACACCCAGAAGTGACTGTGTTCCTCCACACAGCTTCCCCTGTTGCGTTCCAAGCTGAGGATAATGAAAAGGATATAATCTTACCTGCTATTAATGGTACAGTCAACGTATTGAAGGCAATCAAGTCATCAGCTCCACAAGTAAAGAAGGTTATCATTACTTCTTCTGTTGTTACACAAATTGATGGGGATGAACTCAATTCGGCTGCTTCAGAAGACACATGGAATAGTATTTCATACGAGCGTGCTAAGCAAGATGGTCGTGCTGCTTATGTTGGCTCAAAGACCTTTGCTGAGAAGGCAGGAATTGAATTTGTTGAGAAAGAGAAGCCTAACTTTACTGTATCAACTGTTCACCCTGTGATTGTTTTTGGGCCTCAAGCATTTGATCTGGAAGCTAAGGGAGAATTAAACATCACCAATACATTCATTAGTGGATTGTTAAATTTGAAAGCAAGCGAAGGAGCTGAGCTCCCACCATCAGATGGTCCTTTTGTTGATGTCAGAGATGTTGCTGCTGCTCATTTGATTGAAATTGAAAAACCTTCCAATGGATTGAGAGTTCTCACTTACAGTGAAGGGTTTACCAATCAAAAGCTTTTGAACATATTGAACAAGAATTTTCCAGAATTGGATCTTATCAAAGGATCACCAACTGAGAATTTAGTGGGGGGTGATAAGATCCGTGACGCTAAATCTAGAGAATATTTGGGATTGAACTATATTAGTTTAGAGAAAACTGTTGTTGATACCATCAAGCAATTCCTTGAAGCAAATAAATAGATAAATAAGAAATGAATATGATAACTAAAATACGAATATGAACATGTGAATTTCTACGTACTGCTTCTTAACATTTAGTGTAGAACGTGACGCACATCCAGCGTAGCTCATTACAAGCTTAAGTTTCAAGGTTCGGCGTACTATCTAAACGGGGTGCCAGTATTACTTTTAAGTTCATAACAAATTCAGATATATCTTACTTAGTAATCACTCCTCATGTATCCATTTGCTTGAGTAACTTCACTAAAAAGGGGTCATAGACACTTTGCCAATAGGCTTGTCTTTCAGCGATCAAACCTACTTTTGATGGTCTCTCGGCCGATACATAGAGCATTCCAACACAATTTCAATCTCCATCTAACGGGTTCAGTCTACGAAGTTCTATTTAGTTCTATTAATTACTAAGATGCCGGGTAATGTGAAAGAACTCTGAAAGTGCGGCGATATTGGTGAACGTTAAGCTAATCATGCGGCTCACCTCTGAGAGAAAATTTTCTGCTTACAAACTGCATGCATGAAAAGCGCTTTCTCGCTCAATTTACGAGACGCCTCACAGTAGAAGGTCATGTGGAGTAAAACTCTACTACGGGTAACTTACTTCGATGAGATTAATAAGCTCCATGATGATAAATGCTTCAAAGGTAAGACCAAGAAACATATAAAAGAGGCACAATTGCACTCCTGATAATCAACTTTCATCAGATATCATTGATAATTAACTATCTATTGAAAAGTTATCAAACTCATTCTAAAAAAACAAATTCAAAACAAATTTTAAAATGGCTGCAACTGCTTTTGTCTCTGGTGCTACTGGATTTATCGCTCAACACATTGTTAAGCAACTACTTGAAAAAGGATACAATGTTGTCGGATCAGTAAGATCTGAATCTAAAGGAGAAAACTTAAAGAAGAACTTTGGTTCAAACTTCTCTTATGAGATCGTTGAAGATTTAGAGACCGTGGGTGCTTTCGACAAAGCCTTAAAGAAACACCCAGAAGTGACCGTGTTTCTCCACACAGCTTCACCTGTTACATTTCAAGCTAAAGACAATGAAAAAGATATAATCTTACCTGCTATTAATGGTACCGTCAATGTCTTAAAAGCAATCAAGGCATCGGCTCCACAGATAACCAAGGTTGTCATCACCTCTTCTGCTGTAACTCAATTCAATATAGAAGATATGGATGCTAGTTTCTCTGAGGAGTCATGGAATCAAATCACATATGAGCGTGCTAAGCAAGATGGATTTGCAGCTTATTTCGGCTCCAAGACTTTTGCTGAGAAGGCGGGAATTGAGTTCGTTGAGAAGGAAAAGCCTCACTTCACTGTATCCACTGTTCATCCAGTCTATGTGTTTGGACCTCAAGCTTTTGACCTGGAAGCTAAGGGTGAATTGAATTTGACTAATGGTATTGTTAGTAGCTTGTTAGCATTGAAAGCTGGCCAAGATGGAGAAGTTCCATCTCAAAGCGGTCCATTTGTTGATGTAAGATACGTCGCAGAAGCTCATATTATCGAAATTGAAAAACCATCCAACGGCTTGAGAGTCATTACATATAATGAAGGATTCAGCAGTCAAAAGATATTGAACATAATTAACAAGAACTTTCCCGAATTAAATCTTATTAAGGGAAGTCCAAGCGAAAATTTATCTGGTGGTGAACATGTTGATGACGCTAAATCTAAGGCTTACTTAGGCTTGAAGAACATTTCTTTGGAAAAGTCTGTGGTGGACTTGGTTAAGCAATATGTTGAAGCTAATAAATAGGTCTCAGAAGTGAATATATACTAATTGAAGTGTTTTTTTTAGTCTAACATCTACGTTTTGTAAATCAAACTTATGGATTGTATTAATATGAGCACCCAAGTACGCATATATAACTAAATACGCATATTTGTGTATGTATACATGTAAATATATTGTGAAACGCTCAACCTACTTAACTTCTTCTCTTCTTGACTCTATCCCATGCAGTGTTAGGCTTTCTCTTTCTAGAAGTTGACTCACTTACACTTCTCTTATTATTGAAAATAGACCAGTCTTCACCAGCGAATTTATTAACCAAGTCGCTCTGCTTCTCCTTGAATGATTTCTTTGTGGCGGCGTTGGGCAATCTGGTGAAATTGGTTTCTTCATAACGTTGGATTTCTCTTTCCTTTTCTCTTTCCTTGTTTGTCCTTACACCACCCTTTCCGTGATCCACCACAGCGGCACCAATAGAAGTTTCCAACGTAGGCTGGTCTGAGTTTTCATTGAGATATTCTTCCATACTTTGAAGCTTCCTATTTGAGGAGGATGAGGATGAAGAAGATGCAGAAGCAATTGGCTTTGGAGGTTCAACCGCAGAGATCTTCGGAGGTTTATACTTTTCGCTGGAAGTAGAGCTCTTTCCAGCAGATTTGCTATGTTTATCTTTAGGTGTGAGCTTGGTAAGTGCTTGGACATCGGGTTTGTATTGAAGGTTGTCATCTTCAGCTTCAGAGTCGAAATCTGAGTCATCCTCTGAGCCAGACTCTGAGCCAGACTCTGAATCTGATCCTGCTGCTTTCTTCCTGTTGTTACTACTTTGTTCGATGCTTTTTCTTGTATCTTGTTCTTCACTTTCCATCCTATTATAACTACGAATCATCTTATCTAATTGGTAGCTGAGTCTCTTCTCCAATGGCTTTATACCTTTCTCAAGGTTTACTCTTTGTACGATAGTATTCTCGATGGCATTGGATCTTATAGCTTCTATCGAATTAAAGTTTTCCAGACTTTCTTCTTCAACTTCCTGTAACTTTGCTAATAAGATAATCACCAAATTATTAAGGTATGAGAGTAAGGAGTTGTTCTTTAATGTTAATAAAGATACACCTTCTAGTTGAGGTATATTGTGCTGCTTTAACAACTCTTGGATCATTTGAGGATGCTCATTTTCCTTAACCGATTCAATTATTTTAGCAATCGAAGTTATCGTAGAGTCCAAAGATGATGTTATAGAGTGGAGACAGTCGTCCATGGTGATAATGCTGGGGATTGGTATGCTTATTAAAGAACCCACAAGGCTCACTCTTCTCTATCGATAATTATTCACTTAACAGTGTATATGTAGCTTATGTAAGCGATGAGTTTTTTTTTTGCACATCAAATAAATTTGCAACATGCAGGATTTACGGAGAGATGAGATACAGAGAAAAAAATCACGAAGCAAAAAGAGTACAAGTTAAGGCAACGGTTCCACTACATAAATCACCTATAAAAGTACCTTAAAATGCCTCAAAACGAATATATTGAACAGCATATCAAGCAACATGGTAAAAGATTGGACCATGAAGAAAGACAAAGAAAGAAGCAGGCTAGAGAAGGTCACAGAGTGGCTAAGGATGCACAGAACTTGACGGGTTGGAGAGCTAAGCAATTCAACAAGAAGCGTTACGCTGAAAAGGTTGCAATGAAGAAGAAGATTAAGGCACATCAAGAATCTAAGCTCAATGGACCCTCCACTCCTAAGCAAGATGATGGAGAGGCCCTCCCAACTTATCTTTTGGACCGTCAAACTAATAACACTGCCAAGGCCATCTCCTCTTCCATCAAGCAAAAGAGATTGGAAAAGGCTGACAAGTTTTCAGTTCCAATTCCTAAGGTTAGAGGTGTTTCTGAAGAAGAGATGTTCAAGGTTATCAAGACTGGTAAGAAAAACCATAAATCTTGGAAGAGAATGATCACAAAGCATACATTTGTCGGTGAAGGCTTCACTCGTAGACCTGTGAAAATGGAAAGAATCATTAGACCAGCGGCATTAAGACAAAAGAAGGCCAATGTGACCCACCCAGAATTAGGAGTCACTGTTTTCTTACCAATCTTGGGTGTTAAGAAGAACCCTCAATCACCAATGTACACTCAACTAGGTGTTTTGACCAAGGGTACCATTATTGAAGTTAACGTCAGCGAGTTGGGATTGGTCACTGCTGGTGGTAAGGTTGTCTGGGGTAAGTACGCCCAAATTACCAATGAACCAGATAGAGATGGATGTGTGAATGCTGTTTTGTTAGTTTAAATGACATAAATTTGATAATGGTGAATTATTTTTTTTAATTCTTGATAGAGCCAGAGCTACACTCTCTTGGGCCAGGTCCCACTTCGTTGGAAAGTCTCCACCTTTTCATGGAAGAAGACCTTTTCCTTGTGATTGGCATTATTATTTAAGTCACAGAATGAAAACAGCTACCATGGGTTCACTTTACAGGGCGGCACTTGTACTACTGGTACATGAAAATCCTGTAGCAACCCGGTAGATATGATAGGTTACAATTTTGCATTAGTTATATAAACAAAGGAATAAATTACGGAAAAAGTTTAGTAGATGTAGCGAAAATATGTATTTTTAATTACATACACTAGAGAAATAATGGGGAAATGAAAGTATAATTATTTGTAAATGTATTGTATAAAAGATGGTCAATCCCACTCAATCAGAAACAAATTCTGGCAAAGGATCGTCTTCTTTCCAATAGACCTCAAACCACAGTTCAAAATTAACCTAGCATTTTCTCTAAGGATCTCCCACTGACTACACATCAATTTAGTCCCAACCAAGAAACAAAGTCCACTGATATTCTGCTTACTCGTGATTCTGGGGAGTAACTCTGCGTATTTGCAGAGAAGCTCATGCGCAGATAACGAGCCGTTACCTTTAGCCAACTTAAATGGATGTATTCCAAACAGCTCTACGAAATCTCCATCAGTAATGTTTTCAGTAAATTCTTGCCTTATTCTGTACAAATAATCATGGCCACTTTCCTTTGAATGAGCAACCAATTCATGGTAGTTCTCATTATCAACCAATTTGTCATCGAATCTGTTAGATTCCAATCCACTTGTAGTCATGCAGAAACTCCACAATGTTAAAGTTGCTACACCGACAGCATACATGGCATCAAAATAGTCAGGAGTTGCACTCCAGTCCAAATAGTTCTCAGATCTCGTCAGTGTTCCTCCATCCTCAGACAGGATAGATTGTGGTGGTTTCAACATAAGTTCCCACAACAAAAGATATGAATGAATTACACTTTTCAAATTGATCATTTCAGTGACATTCTTCTTCTTACCAATTTGCTGCGAATACTTAGACCACATGTTATTCAACTTTGCTTGGACGATGACATGATCTTTCATAGTTGCATCGACACTCATATTAGCAGGAGATCCGCCAAATATGGCGATATCATACTGATTCAAGTCGGACATTCCAATAATCTGTGTGAGATGATACATGGGAAAGTGGCATATTGTACTTGCCAGTTGATAGCTAAACAGCAATTGCAGTGGAGTCAGCAGTTGCGAGCGATTTAAAGGCTGCTGTTGTTGGCTTTGATATTTCCTTTCATCTCTAATACAGGATTCATTAATTTCAATATTCCAATTGTCAAAGGCCTTTGTGAGACTCTCTTTCCACAATAAATTCGATGAACTAAGGTAGCCATTTGAATGGCCCCCGTTTTTCGATGTCAGTGAAAGCAATGAAGATGTATTTTGAATATCAGCCTGCTGCATTTGATACATAATCAGTAGGAGTCCCGCAAATAAAACCTTCTTAGTGAAAAGTGATAACCCTGTTTTAGGAACCATCTGGAAATCGCTACTATGAGGCTTGATTAACTTTTTAAGAGCACTAAGAAAACTTTCACCAAACTTAATACCAGCATATTTTGTACTATGTCCGTTTGGTTGATGCTGTTGATGGTGATGCTGTTGCAGTTGCTGTTGCTGCAATTTTTTCTGTCTTTTCACAACCCTCTTGAATGAACCCAGGACCTCTGTACTCTCCCACAAATTTACATCATCACATGGAAGGCAAAGAAGTTGTAATTGGTAAAACATAATTTGGGGATTATGTCTAAACTTAATATAATCTACTGTGTCAGAATAGAAAGTCATAAATGTAATTCTCTTCATCAGCTCAGATTCAACCCATTTCATAAACAAGTCATAGTCAGTATCATCAGCTCTAGGAATGACCCCCTCTGACTGAGAATCAGACTCTTCTTCCCCTGCACTTGTTGTCGCAGATCCGGCACCATTTCTTCTTTTCTCCTTTGGTTTATTGGCAGGGTTACCACCTAATAATGGCGACCTACGAAGCAACTGGGCAGTGGTACCATGGTGGATATGTGCTCTTTCATGCATGTCTCTTGTTAAGAAATTCTTTTCACACCATTCCAAGATATTCAAACTCTGCAAAATCCACAATTTTATTGGAGTTCTGAAGTCTTCATCTTGAAAAATCATAAATCTTAATGGTTGAGCAATTAAATTGCTAAACTTGAACTCAGCAGATCTGGTTTTATTCACAGGTTGAAATTCTGTATAGTTGCACCCAACTATTGCCATTGATAACAAAAGTAAAGGAGAGCAAGATTGGGTGTCGAAAGAAGGTCTATGAAGAATGGAAAACTGAGTGTGAAATATATCCCAATAAAGTGAAAGGTAGTAAGAGAACCTGTCTTCAATAGTTATGACATAATTATGACGAGAATTTTGATTTGCTTGATCGTCATCAAATATAAGTTCAAGTTCTTTTCTATCCAACTTCACAGCTGATAAACACCTGTTCACAATTAGTGCATCAACATACTTCAGTTTATTTTTAACAGTATTTCCCTTTCTAGAATGGTCCATTATCGCTTCATATATAGTGTTTTCGTGTTCTATGGAGATAACCGATCCATTGCTTGCTCTAGGGGTCAACGATTCCGAAGTGGTTGCAGGCGATGACGAAGACGCAGTCGAGGTCATAAAATTGAAGTTGGAATTCGGTGTTACCAAATTCAGACCAAACAATGGATTAACAGTATTCCCATACATTCCACTGCTTTCTGGGAAATTTTTTAAGAATAGCTCATCTAGTGGGTTGTCATTCGAGAAAATATTAACATTGTTAAAATGTGAAGGGTTAGGATTATAGAATGGAGTTAACGAAGGATCTTCGGTCGAGGGGATCGGTTGTTGTTCTTGTAACTGTTGCGGTTGCAGTTGAACTTGGTGTTGTTGAATTTGAAGTTGTAGTTGTTGCTGCTGCTGCTGCTGCTGCTGCTGCTGCTGTTGAAATTGTTGCTGTTGCTGCTGGTTCTGAAATTGATTTTGAATGTGAAATTGGTTATTTTTCTGATCTACTGAGTTCATCGACGCCGGTGTGCTCAAATTTGATGCTAGCAATGGTGGAGGAAGAGATGACAGTATCAAACCTGTAGGAGTCTGAGCTGGTTCTAAGTTCAGCATTTGCTGTAAGAGGGGATGTTCTGCTTGATACTGCTGTGCTTGGTTCTGTTGAGAATTCGGTATCAGTGTATTTTCACTGGGAGTAACTAGTTTTTGCTGTTCTAGGCTCCTTTGTTGCTGGCTCGTAGGGTTAGGCGGGGAGTCTGTGAACAACCAAGACAAAATATCATTCTGAGAGGGTGGTAAACCAGGGTTGAACATACTATAATCCAGATTCAGCACGATAGGGTTCAGATTCCCAGCGGAGTGTTGGTTGAATACATTATTAACCGGGACATTTGGTGAGTATGAAAAGGGTTCCAATGGTATGGAACGTTGTGCATGCTGGAGTTGAGTAGGGTCGGATTGCGCCGCCAAGGAGTCTACTTGCGCCTGAGATGGGGGTAGGTGCTGCTGTTGCAACTGCTGCGGCAGTTGCAGTACTTTTACAGATCTCTGCTGACTATTTTGTTTCGGATTATCTTGTGGAAAATTTGGTGAAGTCTGGACTTCCCTGGTCCGTCTTCTTTTGGTCATGCCAGAGTAGACTTCGGAGTGTCTCTTGTAATGCCTCTCCATTAAATCTTTTCTTACAAACGTTCTGCCACATCTACGTTTCGTTCGATCTATTTCTTCCATGAGAAAGTCACACTCAAACACCTCCTTTGGGGCATGGTTCAAATGGTGCCTAGACAAATGGTCACTCCTAGTAAACACTTTGTCGCAATCAGGACAAGGAAACGATCCCAACGATCTCGGTTTTTTCTTGAGCGTATGACTGCCAGAAGCATTTCCGCCGCTATTTCTTTCGTCACTGCCAGTCTCGGGCACCCCCTTCTTCCTTGTAGTACTCGTGTGGTCCACCTTGCTGACCATTTACCTTTAGTGATATATGCAGGAAGGTAGTGTGTTTTAAGGATTGTGTGTATTTTAGGAATGTGTTAAACAGTGAAAAACAAACCGTAAATGATAGCAGAAGGACGTCAGTAGTAAAGAAGGTTCCGAATTTGGTTCTTCTGTTTTCAAACCAGAGTCTGCTTTTCAAAAATCGGGGAATGACTAATAAAGAGTGAACATTTAGGTTCATGTGCACTCTTTATTTTTCTTCCTCTCTCTGGAGAAGTCCGATCATGATTTTTTTGAATTTCCTGCATGCGGCGAGATAAATTCTCGTATTTCCAAGAAAAATATGGTCTCAAAAAAATTTCCAGTCGTTTGAAAGCTTAATCATGCAAAATTTGAGTAACTAATTGGAGAAGTGAAAAAAACATACACCAAAATGACGCAGGTCTCGAGAAATTTGATGCTGGCTATGAGAACGGAATACTATGGATACTTGGGTGATTTCGGTGAACGCATGTTAGCGGGGATTTGAAAGTATACATTATCCTGCTCCCAGTGCGGGCTTTATGAAGTGTCACAATCATTGCGTCAGCCTTTCACGTCTCAGCCCTGTGATCTGCCACTTTATGACCCTGTCAGTGTCGAGTCCTAAAAAATAATAGTGCCAAAAAGCCGCAAATTAGGTGTTTTATTCCGCATAGGGTTGCGAGGTTCACACTGCAGGTGCTGCACTTACACTTGCGCTACACTTATGCTACACTTATGCTACACTTATGCTATTATGATTCCCAATGTTCTTCATCTTTTTCTATCTAGTCTTTTCCAATACTATCGTACAATACTATACATGAAGGCTCAGTGGGGTCAAAATCCAAACTACTTCGCACTTCATCAAACCTAACCAATTTCCTTATCCTTGCTGAATTCTTTCCTGGACACCTAGTATCTTCTTCATCAAAATCATCATCTCCGTCATCCTCATCAATGGCTGCGGTGCTGTTTTCCTCGATTCTTGACATTTTACTATTTAAAATGTTTATTAGTGACAGCTTCATTATTGCAACTTGATTGACATTACTCTTGCTGTTGGTACCGCTGCTGATGATGCTGCTGCTGCTGCTGCTCCTTCTACTAAGCTCCCCACTTCTACTGTTTCTTCTACTCTCATTCATCTTCATAACTCGCTCCTCGCTGTCCTTAAAAGGCTCTACTTTCCTGTTGAAGTAGTAGTAAAATTTTTCTACATTCATCAACACCCCCTGGTTAACGTATTCGTGGAGCCATTCTTGAGAGAAATTCTCGTCATCATAGTCGTACTGCTGCTGCTGCTGCTCTTCGCAGTAGTTGATAAAGCATTGATAGTCATAATCCTTAAAGCCCTCTCTATCTAGTTTCCAAATGTCCGTGTAGTATTTATAAAATGAAGGTTTATTAGTTGCAAATATGTTAAGTTCGGATGCTAACCCTAAACACCCAAATAACTCGTCGTAGAAATTATCAAGTTGCTCCAGCGGGTACTTATCAAAGTACGACTGTTCAATTATTTGCATAATTCTCTCTTTTCCTTCCTTTCGAAATAGTTTATTGTATATGGCACTTAAATCGTCGGTCTCATAGTCTTGTAGAACAGTGTTTACAATGCAGATTTTGAAACTTTTTGAAACAGGAAGTGAAAACCTCTCTTCTACTATCCGCTGAACTCTTCTTTGTACAAGTCCAAGTAATTTGTTGTTGTTACCAATAGCTGCTACTCTGTTGGGATTTTTCTTCATGCTTGAGAGTAGCGTTTCATTTTTGGGTGCAAATGGACGGAAATCTATTTCCTCGTGGGCATCACTGTCATTTTCACTTTCATCCTTATCGTTATCATTATCTTTTATCACTTCCAACTCAAGATGCTGCTCGATGTAGCTATTCTGGGCATGGAACCAAAGAAGTGAATTCTTCACGCCGCTTCTAATACTCTTCTTACTATCAAGAAGTACTAGTTCGGAGCTCAAGGGGAAGTTACTAGGTTTCTTTTCACCTTTAGGGTTACAAATATTTATACTTCCGATACTACCGTTACTACTATTGCAGCTATCATTAGCTCCTTTCTGTGAAGCAAGTTGCCATTTAAGATTTACCAATCTTATAGGCTGTTCTTGAACAGTAATCATGTTCCTATTTAACTCCTATATACTTTCAATTCATTAGGAAAATGAATGAGTAGCTAGCAAAAAAAAAATTATTACTCTGCTGGGGTGTTTCCTTTTGTTTATACAACTGCTCTTAGTAAGGTCATAGAAATTATGCAACCAAAATTGACCCAAAACGTGGGGGTGCGATGTGAAATTTTATGGCCAATTCTTACCAAAAAAGAAACATAAGATGCTGAAAACTAGATCATGATAGGATATTCGAAAGAAAAGGAACGTGATAAGAAAGGATCCCCTAGTGAGGGGCAAACTGCACCCTTTCCCTGCTTAGCGTTGGCTTCACCCGCAGTGAAATGGGTGCTGTTATGTCAGCAATAAGGGACCACGTTTAGACTAATCTGCATCTGCAACAACAAAAAGTTTAAAATTCATATACCGCATGATCCTGCAGAGAAGTTTCTCTTCTCTTTCCAAATTCGGACTGAATCACCAGAACACCGCCGATTACGTAAGGTGAACTATTTCTGTTGCTTAGCAGGAACCTACAGCAAATGAAGACACCGTCAGCAGGTTATTTCAAGGAAAGGCACATCAGAAGTACTTCTGGGAGATACTTGTGCCCAGAAAAAGGGAGCTTCGGTATCGAAAGACACTCTCAACGTGGCAATGCATGTCAGTAATACGATTACTACGGTTCTTCAGCATGTAGAAGTGTGAAATAGGACGTATCGTTTGGTGTTTGCCGTACCCTGTCTGTTCTGTTCTGTTCCTCTTTCTCTATCTCTCTTTTTCCATAACTATTAGCTACATACACGTCTTCCGCTGGCTCCGGTTCCGTTAATCGTGTATTTATTTGTAAGAATCTACTAATATACTCAAGGTTCATCCGGTCTGGAGTATGGATGACCCCTAGATGAGCCTCTGTTGGATCTTTCAGGCCCACCGCGCCCTCTTAATATAGATTGTAAAGGTCTAGAGAGTAACGGTTCTCTTAAATCGTTGACTTCGTCTCTTGCTGCACTGGTTTCTCGGTTGAGGAAGAGGTCGAATAAGTCATCACCTGCCGCGCCATTGTTCATATTAGTTGTTGACAATGAACGTCTTGGTAACTCACTCATACCACCAAGCGGATACTTTCTCAAGAGAACTAAAGAAGGATCTGGTACATTGAGGTCAATTCCGTCTGCGCGCTCTTGCTCCCAGGAATGCTGAGGTCTACTCCATTCTTGTGGGATATATCTGTCTGTCAATGGTGTGACATTTGAGTTGTATGGTCTTTTGAAAGGGTGGAATATATCCGTCAGTCTTTCAGCGATGTGCTTTGCTTCTAATTCTACGTCATCCGCATATTGAAATGAACTTTGCTGTCTGACTTCTTTCATCTTAATCACCTTAGGATCTCGAGATTCCGCTGCTACTTCCTTACGGCATAAAGGACAGCTGACATTGTTCTTTAACCATTCTATTATGCATGTTTTCCCAAATATATGATTGCACCCTGGCATTTTCACTGGAGAATGGATGATCTTTTCATCCGTTGGACTCTTTTTGGTCTTATTTCTCTCGGACTTGTTGATATCTGGATAAATCTCTTCCTTTGTAGGCTCTACCTGTGTCTCTAGACACTTTGGCGGGTACCTGGTATATATAGAAGCAGACTCTACTACAGGAAAGTAAAGTGCAGGATCATTAAATACGCCAACGCCAGAGTGTCCGTCTTGAGCATCGGTAGGGCTATCCTTCTTCGAATCACCGGCCCTCTTACTTTCTATATACTTATCAAAGCAAATGGGGCAGTCCAAGTTATCAGATTCCAAGCCTTCCAATCTAAGTTCCTGTAAATTTTCTATGACTTCTTCAGATGCCAGTTTCTTCCCACCTCCGATTCTGATTCCAGTTTCCCCAAGAGCTCTATCTATAGCATCCCTCATCCACGTGGGAAGATCAGTATTAATATTGTTGTCAGCGTCAACTTCTACTTCTAGGATACCTCTATAGTCTGGTCTTTCATCCATGTTCGATCTTAAACAATCTAATTGCTCCGGAAGAAAGTCAAAAGATCTGCAAGGAAATTTCAAGAGTGAATGTTCAGAAGAGTGATCAGTATGTGAACATCCACACACCCATAGTAAAGTGTGCATACAATCAATCCAGTGCAATATACAAGTATGCTACAAGGCTACGTAAAAATGGGACTTCAAGTAAAAGTTACACCGTTTATGGCTATATAATTCTATATAAGTGCAAATCAATATAAATGGAATAAAAAAAAAAAAAAGAAATGGAAAGAAAAAATGCATTATGGATTTAACTTTTGCTGATTCTTTACCTTCAGCTGACTACATGACGATCGGGATCATTCCACCCGCTTTGAGCAGATGTTTGTCTCACAAGTACTGCGATCTAATGTTAGTGATCATGGTTTGCTTGTCAGGAGGAAGATTGACGATTTGGTCTGGCGAGATAGATAACACTTGCGCAATCAAGTCTGCTTGATCTGGGGCCATATTTGCCAACTTAGCTTGAGTATGTTGTGGGAGATTAGGCCATTTTGAATTTGATTGAGGTGGTGGTGGTGGAATTCCGAAATTGCTGTTCGTGCCTCCATAAGGTTGCCTGTTGTTTGGTTGAGGAGACCTGTACGTTTGTGCAGATGGAGGTGGGGGTGGTGTAGGCTGATGCTGACCTTGTTGCTGTCCGTAATGATTCAGTTGCTGCTGCTGATCAGTTGGCGGTGGAGTGGCCTTCATCGAATTAGCAATAACGTCTTCATCGATCAACCCCATGATCAACAATGCCTGCGCCGCTGACGAAGCGAGGTCTGGTGAAAGCTGGAACACGTCCACGGCTCTTGCCGCATTTGGACTTCCGAGAATGTTTTTCAAGTTTGCTATGAGTTCAATAAGCTGAACTGGAGGAATTTTACTCAATGTTTCATTGATTTTATCGGGAGTCGAGAAGGGCAAGGTATTTGGTTGTGGAAGTGTCTGGGAAGCTGCAGTAAGCGTAGTAGGCATTTGCGAAACAGTTACACTGGTATTGTGTATCTGGGGCGGCGTGGGCGTGTTCTGGAATCCCTGCTGATATTGTGGTGCCGTAGGTTGCTGCTGTATTTGGGGCTGCTGTTGCATTTGCGCATGTTGTGGAATCTGTGGTGATTGGGGCTTGTTGTAACCAAACTGGCCACCTCTTTGTTGCTGCATATTAGGATTTTGAGGCAATGATGGAGGAATTCTGGGCAAATTTGGAAGTCCAGCACCAGGCGCTGGCACCGCAGTTGGTGCTTGAGGAAGACCAATTGGAGCTGGTGGCATACCATTGAATCCAGGAGCACCACCTTGGGCCCCCCCTGTACCAGGTCCATTGCTATCACCAGAACTCATTTCCGGTGGCACATATACGAACGGAGGCAAGTACCTCTTATCCAAGTTTAATACTGGTTTCATATCTGTTTGGCCATTTGATCTTAGACCCTCTTTGGAGAGCTCGATTCTAAGTCTTTTGATGGGGCCTGCACCCTGATTTCCCGCAATTTGAACTTGGTTTAGAAGTCTCAAAGCGTTCTGAGCATCTTGTGGAGTTGCATATTCAATAAAGCAGAACCCTTTGTTTTTACCAGCATAGTCAAATCCAAGTCTTACATCGACTACTCTACCAGAGCCGCTTACCACAGCCTTTACAGCATTTTCATCCCATTCATAGGGAATCAGGCCCAAATAGATCACTGCAGATGTGCCCAATGACATTTTTTTTTGACAAATTCCACCTGAGTTACCTGAAGTTACAGTGTAAACGACTACGATGGAGACAAGAACACAAACTTCATAAAAAAAAAGCACCCATAGAGATTGGTCTGTATGCAGGACACATGAAGAAAATCAATAAAAAGAAAATTCCGATACCGGGAGTCGAACCCGGGTCTGCTCGGTGAAAGCGAACCGTGCTAGCCGTTACACTATATCGGATGTTTCTGAAGTTGAATTGTTGCTGCAACATCAGCATGCGGTGAAACTACCATGAGTAGATGCAAATGTGCTGGAGCTTTAACCCACTTAGTTGTGGTGTATACGTGCTTTTTGATCCATCTGATCCATATTGCTCAATGGGTTGTTTGAGTGGCGAGTTATTTCTATGTATTTAGTGTCAGTCTTGGTGAGCTGACTTGTAAATATTATTTCACGTATTTTCTACTAAGTTGAAGTATAATCAACACTACAGTTAAGTATTTTCCTTTGTAAGAGGGAGAAAGGAGGAACTACCTGGTATCCTAATTCTATAATGCCTTTATTTGTTTCTAGTCTATTTAGATTAATGTAGTGTTACAGCCAGTTTTTGGTGCTACCTAGCCAGAGGTCTTCTTGATAGTGATATATGTCTTCACTCCTGGTAAGCTAGGCAGGGATCAGTTGAAAGCTCTCGATTATTGTAAGCCAGTAGCCAGCTCTTAATTTTAACGTATGTAGCACGCTGTTCCACCACTAAATTCACGTGTTCACTCCTTAGAATTCAAGTGCTCAATTGAAAATCAGGATCATTTTCCTCTAGATCTTATGTTATTACAACAGATAATAGCATCAGCCAACTAGGAGCCCCCAGCTGTGTTCGGTATAGTACCGTACGATCCCTTTTCGATCTCCTTCTTGATTTTCAACACTATTTCTCGCTTCTCTGGACTTAATACCTTCAATTCCTGTTCCGTCAACCTAGACACGCTCTGCAATAATTGTTCATGGTCAGGAGTCAACTGCTCCAATTCTATTTCGGGTTTATTTAAGCACAACTGAATGATGTCTGGGGTAGTCAAGTGTAAGATTAACAGAGACTCCACTAAAGCATGGGCCAACTGCGGACTCTGTTCAAACAAGGACTGAGCCAATTGTGGATTTGTTTGACACATTTTCTTAGCTTCAATAAGGAGCTGAAGAAACTGAGATTGGTCTAGTGTGGATAGCACCGCAGATACCGCTTGGGGAGCGGTTTGATTGGGAAACAACGACATACCAGGCGGTAAAATAGGTAACGATGAAGACGATCCAGATCCGGCTCCGGATGCAGAACCTGCGCCAGACCCTGAACCTTGAGCACTACCAACTACTCCCAACTCCAGTTCCATGGAGTTTTCGGCGGCATAGGAGCATTTTAAGTTTCTATTCCCAATGGGCAAGTTATTCAAGTTTCTAACTGCTGAAGCAGCGGTCTCGTGATCAATGTACTTGACAAAGGCGTATCCTCTTGACTTCCCCGTCATGGGATCGAAGAGCAACTTCATGTCGACAACGGGACCAATAGACTTGGCTATCTCCATTACCTGCTCCTCAGTTTGATCGAACGGGATAGATCCAATATAAACGTTTGAGTCCATAGTGCAAAATGGCAAATTATCAGAAGTAGAAGATGAAAGGTCAATAAGAATGCTGTTGGTGCAAGTATTGAGCTCTGAATTTGTGAAAAAATAGATTTTCTGCTCGAGTGGTATACTATATCCACTATTATATATTCGTATCTTTGATTTGTGATCAGCAGCGGCGACTCTTTTATCCTTCAGCTGCAACTTCGTTTAGCTACGGTTCACTCTTTTTTTTGTATGTGCTTAAGAAATAGATATTCGGTCTACACACGACCTTCAAGATATTTTTTTTTTTTTTTATTTTCAGCTTTTTTTTATTTCCTTTCAAAGTTCAGAGGCTAACGTTATTACTAACCATTGCTGTTAGTACCATTCTACTGTCACGTACCGATTCATCATGGACCCCAAGGAAATAAAATCAACGGTGTCGAACCTTGAAAAGTCGACAGATGATGTCACAATCTTGAAGCTTTTAAATATCTTGAACGACGGAGTCGTACCCACAGAGAAGCTCTTGAGAGAGACCAAAGTTGGGGTGGCAGTAAACAAGTTCAGAACCAATGGAAACAGCGAAATCAATTCTTTAGTCAAGAAAATGATTAGAAACTGGAGAGACATCGTCCAAGCCGAAAAAAAGAAGAAATCTGGATCTTCTTCATCCACTCCAAGCGGAGAATCAGCAAACAGCAGTGGTAGCGCAAGTACATCGAATGGACCAACTGGTAAATTCCACTCTGGTCCAAGAAACCCCAAGATAGATGGCATAAACACAACTTTGTATGATAATGGAACCCGTAATGCCTCAGTTTCTGCTCTTTATACCGCTCTTGCAATTGAAAGGTCTGAATCTGGTGAGCATATCTTGTCCATTGCTAAGGAAATTGAAAACGAAGTCTGTAAGGCAGAATACATGGCTGTGAACGACAACTATAGAAATAAACTCAGAACCTTCACTATGAACCTTCGAAATAAGAAAAACCCGGAATTGAGGGAGAGATTGTTGAATAAGAAGATATTACCATCGCAGTTTGTAAAGATGACCCCCAATGAAATGGCGCCAGAGAGTTTGAAGAAAGAGATTGAAAAATTGCATAAGCAAAATCTTTTCGATGCTCAGGGTGCCACTGAGAAGAGAGCAGTTACCGATAGGTTCACTTGCGGTAAATGTAAGCATAAGAAGGTGAGTTACTATCAAATGCAGACCAGATCTGCGGATGAACCGTTAACGACATTCTGTACCTGTGAAAATTGTGGTAACAGGTGGAAATTTTCGTAGAATGTGAAGGAAAAAGAGTAGAAAAGGAAGGAAGGAAGGAGGGAGAAGTGAGGAGTGAGGAGTGAGGAGTGAGGAGTGAGGAGTGAGGAGGAAGGAAGAAGGAGCGAGGAACGGAGAGCAAGAAAAGATGTGCCCTTGCACAGACTGAATTAACTTGTTTGCTCATATAGCCACCAACTGTGATGACTTTGGTGTATATTGGAGCCCTTTGGTAGGAGGAGGTTTGTATTAAGCAGTCCATTTATCGGCTAGTCTGATGTCTTTAAATAGATGGGATAGAATTGTATTATATTATTATAAATAAAGATAATTTATTTAAGAAAGACCGAAGAAAACTAGAATCACTTGTAGTTCTCCTTACTTCTGATAAGGTGTAAGGTATTTTGCTGTTACTTCCTACAGAATTCTCATTGGCGGCAACGATTCCATATAATCTATCAGTTTATTAAATTAGTTTTCAATTTCAATGGGAAACTATATAAACATTAAAATACTCTTGGTATAATATTGGATCTTAATTATCATTCCTTTTACCCATTCCTCCATTTTGCGTCCATATAAGAGCTGGTCCCCTTTATTACATTGTTATGCTTAATTGAATGTAGAGTTCTTGGTCAAGTATGAAATTAAATCGACCTTGGTTACAATTTGAACTGGCTTATACTCATCATCAGTGACAATAGCATTAGAGTTTGTTTCGAAAAACTTGTTCAATAACTCCAAGGAAGTGTTCATGGTGATTGGTTCGTAGCTTCTCTTGGTGAAACCTGAAGCCTTGGATATACCAAAAGACTTTTCAAAATCAGCCAATTTTCTGAAATCGATAATGACTGATCTAATAGAGTTAGTCAATTGAATTTTTTTAGTGGAAAGTGCCTTTAAAAGCGATGAAAGGGTAACCAAACCGATTAACTTACCAGATGCATTAAGAACTGGAAGTTGGTCGAATCCATTGGATTGTAAAAGATTGAAAGTCTTGTCTACAGTGTCTGCGAGAGTGACAGTGACAACTGGTGCCTTACCAGCTACAAGATCCTTAATCTTGGTGGTTTCTAAGAAGTTGTCAGAGTCAGAAGCAGATTTAGCACTCTTCTTAGATTCAATTTCAAATCCATTGGACTTCATCCATTCATCGTCAGCGAACTTGGAAAGGTACGATCTAATTGAATCTGGGAAGACAACAACAACGGTATCGTCTTCAGTCAAGTCCTTAGCCACTTCAAGGGCAGCTTGAAGAGCAGAACCAGAGGATCCACCAACTAAGATACCTTCTTCGCTAATAATTCTTCTAGCCAACTTAAAGGATTCAGTATCATCGGTCTTGATCCAATCATCGACGTATGTCCTGTCAAGGACATCTGGAATGAAATCATAACCAATACCTTCGACAAGATAGCCTTCGGTGGAAGTGTTAAGAGATTCTGGCTGAGCTAAGATGGAACCCTTTGGATCTGCTCCTGTGACGTGCACCTTAGGGTTCTTTTCCTTTAAGTATCTGGAAATACCACTAATAGTACCACCAGTACCAGCACCAGCAATTAAATGTGTGACTTTCCCTTCGGTTTGTTCCCAAATTTCAAACCCAGTTCCATAGTAATGAGCATTAGGGTTTGCCTCATTGGAGTATTGATCCAAGATCACAGAGTTTGGAATTTCCTTTTCTAACTTCTTAGCAACACCAATGTGGGACTCTGGAGCATCCCAAGCAGCTTCAGTAGGAGTTCTGATGATTTCTGCTCCTAATGCCTTTAAAACTGAAACCTTTTCATTGGACATCTTCTCTGGTAAGGTGATAATGGTTCTGTAACCCTTAACAGCACCAACAAGAGCCAAACCAATACCGGTATTTCCTGATGTTGGTTCAATTAACGTATAACCAGGCTTAATTCTTCCCAGTTTTTCAGCTTCTAAAACCATGTTTTTGGCAATTCTATCCTTGATAGATCCACCTGCATTGAAGAGTTCGACTTTGGCATAGATTTGTGCTTTGATTCCTAAGGACTGAGGAATTCTGTTAAGCTTGATTAATGGAGTGTTTCCTATGAGATCGAGCGATGAAGCTGACACTGGGGGGACACTGGATGAAGTAACAGAAGCCATGATGTAAATACGTAACTATATATGATCAGAAAGACTACTGTGTTGTTGTGCTTTCTTCAACTAGCTACAAGAAAAAAAATCGGTATGCCTCATCAAGAGATGGCGTAAATTCAGAACTGTGGCGCGTAGTTCTGAGTCCTGCGCCGTTATATCGATGGGTTTCATGCATCAGGTGCATAACTATACGACCTTGGATACGCAGGTAGTGTAGGCGATGGAAAATAAAGTGAAGATGCAACTATGCTACAACAATACAATAGTATAACATTTAAAAGTTACAATTGTCCCTTAAGCACTCCTTTAGAGCTTGTAGGATTGCAGCGGTACTTTCTCACCAGTCCTACATCAACCACTTCATATTATGTCTGAGCAAGATTTTCGCAACATTCAACCATTCCTCTTCGTTCCTCCCAGTTTGTAGTCCACACTTCTCATGATATGCAACAAAAACAAATCTCCTCCAGAACTGAAGTAATAGCTCAATCATATACAAACGTCTATGGCATGCATCGATGGGGTGCAAAAAAGAAATGGACGAGTCCGGAGTCGAACCGGAGACCTTTCGCATGCTAAGCGAACGCGCTACCAACTACGCCACACGCCCTGTTTCTGAACTACGTTTTTCTTAAACACGTAAACTCGAGCAATTGTTGGTTTCTGGGATTTGATGAGCCATTGCCATTCACTACTATCACCTTTACATCAACAAACAAGAAACTGAAAAGAAGTAAAGAGAAAGGATTAATCAAAGCAAATAAGTAAAACTCTCTACAATGAACTTCTAATCAAATTGTCGTTAGATTTAAGACTTATAATGTCACGCTAACTGAATGTTCCCCATCTATTTCCAAAGTACCCGTCAGGAGCATCCGTGGTAGCATTCTTTAGCGATTGTTGCCCATTACCTCCATCTATACCAGCAAACGGTACATTGTTGCCCCACCAATCAATTACGACGTTAGTATACTGACAACTAAAAAATATAATGACGGCACTAAATGCGACTCCCGACTGTAATGCTCCCGACAATACGTAATTATATTTCTCCCACCATTTAGTGTACTTCTTCTTAATGAGATACATGAAAGCGAACGAAGCATAAAGTCCAGGGGTGTAGTAAGCCAAGTTATAAGGAGCATAGATCATCACACCGCCGATCATCGCAGAAGGCTGAAACCCCTTGGATAGCCACTTTGGACCATACCACTTAATGGCAACAGCGACAGGGACTAATAAGAACCCGATTAGAAAACACCACCTCAAGATTGGATATTCTTCATCAAAGAATCGTTTTGGCCCAATTAAACCATATTGGATTGAAGCTGAGTAATAAATCACATCTTGGGGACATGAGAAACCATTCTTTTGATGAGGATCGCAAAGGTCTTTGACACCCCCACCAGTCTCAAAGCTGATGGTGGCCAAAGTCATGAAAGCACATACGAATGTAGAAATCATTTGACCTCTGAACAATGCTCTTGGTGGGATCTTTACATAATGAGACGATTTCATATCTTCAATAAGGGCCAAAGATTGACCACCGGTGTTGTAGCCAAAAGCCTTTAATGTTATTAAGGGTAAGTATTTACCTGGGAACATGTAACCAACACAAATTTCGACCAATACATTCAAACCAAATTGAAATCCAGTTGTTGCAAATAACGAAGTAATTGGAACCAAAAACACGAAATTCAACACCACTGCAAATACTATACCCCAGACTGGAGTTTGAGTTGGAAACAACTCAACACAAAGTATACCCAACACGAAAGAGATCAATAACACAACAAGATAGACCCAGTCAGGAACTTCTTTGTATTTACTCATCATTCTCGAATGAGGATCGGTAAAGCTTTCATAAATTGGCTTCTTAAAGTCTCTAAATCCCATTACTAGATCTTTCATAGACGCATACATCGCTCTCCAGTCAATTATAATTTGATAGAAAAATCCGAAGAGATAAAGCATGAAATAACTGGCATAAACCACAATATTTGCAGCAGAAAAGTAAGCTGGTCCATATGCCTTATACAAATCTTCATCCAAATCGTTATTAGGACCGATTACTTGGGAAGTATCATAGTCATCACCTGTGTTAGTGAACAAGTGATTGGAATTTATTGGTAAATAAGCCGTCCACCATTTGTTGCTGTAATACACAGCAACAATCGCACAGAATCCAATAACACTTCCAATATATTGATTGAATTGTGAAAACCATGGAACTGCTAAGGCACCATTAAAGTTGATGATATTCCAATCGAAAGTTGTGATGGGATTTAAACCCATTCCAATTCCACTACCAGTGATATTTGCTAAATTGAAATTATATGGTTTGATCCAGCACATCCAGTTGAAAGTTGATAATGCTTGGAATATGAAGTCTGGAAACCAATACCATACAAAGGAAGAAGCTGCACATATGAAGAAAAATTTATACCTTGAAATAGTCCAACCATAAATGTTTTCCTTCCTTTCAGGGTTCACCAAAGCTCTGTTCAACGCCAACGTGGGTAAAATAGTAGGCCACATTGCTTTCACAGGATAGATTGTAAACTTTCTCAATAAACCTGCAAGACCAAACCCTATAAACTGAGTTGACAAAATAAGTAAGACTTGGAAACCAAAAGTGACCCACGTATCACCGTAGAAGATCTTTAATTTTTGTACATAAATATTGGAGTCGACGTATGGAGTAACAGCAGACACAGCATAAAAGATCGAAGCAAACTGTTGCTCTTTTGTTGACCAAGGACCGGGGTTTAACTCGAATTCAATGTTATCCATATAAGGTAATGGAATTGTGAATCCCCATTTAGGAAAGATGAACTCACACAATTTACCTGATGGATACAAGAACAATTGGATAACCGCAGTATCTAGAGAGATTGGAGGATTTCTATGATAGAAAAACTCATTAACAAAAGATCCAATTACAGTCCAAATGAGAGCACAAAGGTATGCTCTGAATGTTTCACATGGCATGGAAGGGTCATCAAATGGATCAGTTACAGCTCTAATTTCAGGGTATGGAGACCAGTATGAAATGACGGCGGCTTCCAATCTAATTTGTAACTCCCAGTCCACGATTACATAAGGGCCATGCTGCTTGAAAGTCACACTTTCCTGTTCTAGAATGGAAGACAGAGCATTCTTGTCGAATCCTGGAGGTGAATTCTCCTTTTCTTCAGTAGCTGCTTCTATTACATTATCGATACTTTGATCGTTTTTAGGGCCGTCGTATGATACCAATTTCTCAATGAACTCATAATTTTCTAGCAGGAAATTTGGATCTTCTCTATGAATTATAAGTGTTTCCAGTAAAATTTCGATAGCGTCGTCTAGTTGTAAGTTTTGTATCTTCTCAAACATAAAGATAGCAGCAGCAGGCAAGTCTTCTAAATCATCCAAGGCATCAAAATTCAACTTTTTGAGAATTAAGTTCTTTTGGAAGTGACTGAATTCCAAACCGACTTCATTTATAGAAAATGGCTGTGATCTAATTGCTTGCAAATCAATTTCATGATCTGCAGGGTCGTATCTACTCCCAGCGCTCTTCAATGCATTAAGCTGTGCAAGAGCAACTGTTGTTGACTGCAGTTCCATTCTTAGTCTTAGGTATAAGGCAAAAATTTACCGGAAGAGGAAGCAGGGTATGGGCCATTATATATAAATAGTGAGACATGTTGTGAACTTGAAATACAAGGGCTAATATTTTGCTGCTAAAGCATATTTGACAGTGTTTTAAACCGCTTTGCAGCTGTTACTATCGTGCCGAATTAAAGCGTACCTACAGCATTTCATCAAGGATTATATGGACGGCCCAAGATTCTAAACTTACCACTCATAACGGATTTGGAATATTTCCGAAGAGTACAACCCATTGAGCCATATCAAATATTGATAGTCAAAATCAACAGAAGCGAATGATACATTAAAATACAGTTGAAACTGCTTACTCTCCTTCTCGAGTAGTTTCTCAAATTCACTGTTGCAGCGCTTAACTTTGGAGGTCTGAGGGATCTGGCTTAGGTGGTCTACAGTACCTCTTAGTACAAACCATTTGAGTATAAAAGCACAAATTCACCCATGTCCGCTCCTGGACAATTTGTTCAGCGTTTCCATTATCACATCGACTCTATATGAATGGCTACATCGTTTTGGTGCGGCTCATGCATAAGTCTACCCTTCATGCGTATATGGCTCAACTTCATTAGAAGTTTGGCGTTTGCACGGACGAGTCTTATTTTTAAGATAAACCAAACAGAATGGTATACTGATTTTCAGCAATATATTGTATTTTCCTTTGCTTTACATGCCATATGAAAAGTATAGATACCAAAATAATTATAGTAGTTTGTGCTCATATATGAGGTTCATTTAAGATCAACAAAAAGGAGAAACTCAAACAAAAGAGCGATAAACATAGAAAAGAATTCCAAGTTCAGCAAGATCGCTGTCAATTTCCTTAATGCATTTTTGGATTGATTTTATGTAGGTTTCCTTATCTTGTTCCTCTTTTTAAAATGTGAGAATCTCTTACGAGAATTGATCTTAACGTAGAATTGACATATTGGTTCTAAAAAGACGAATGCAACTTAAGCTCTCTAAAGTACGACACATAGTTGAAACATTTTATTATACAGACTCTTTCGGAGGATCTCGCATAAACCAAGCTATCATAGCCCATGCTTATTCAAGAATGAATTGAACCCCGAATAATCTACAGCTAACTATACATAATATGTATTCAGCTAATCGAATGTTCCCCATTTAAGACCGAAGTATCCTTCTGCTAAATCGACGGTCACATTCTTTAATGACTGCTGACCGCTGCCTCCATCGACACCAGCATAAGGAACATTATTGCCCCACCAGCTGAGATCCACATTGGTATATTGCACAGAGAAGAATATAATAATCGCACTAAATGCAACCCCGGCTTGTAAAGCTCCCGACAAAACATAATTGTACTTTTCCCACCATGTTGTGTACTTCTTTTTGATGTAGTACATAAAGGCGAATGAAGCATAAAGTCCAGGGGTATAGTAAGCCAAATTATAAGGAGCATAGATTAAAATACCACCGATCATTGCTGATGGTTGGAATCCTGCTGCAAGCTTCCTTGGGCCGTACCACTTAAATGCAACTGCAAATGGAACTAACAAGAACCCGATAAGGAAACAATACCTCAAAATTGGATATTCTTGATCAAAGAACCTTCTTGGCCCAATAAGACCATATTGGATTGAAGATGAATAATAAATAACTTCTTGAGGACACGAGAATCCATTACTTTGATCTGGATCGCAAAGATCCTTCACTCCTCCACCGATTTCGAAGCCGATTGTTGCGAGTGTCATAAATGCACATACGAAAGTAGAAATCATTTGACCTCTGAACAATGCTCTTGGTGGGATCTTTACATAGTGAGCAGATTTCATGTCTTCGATAAGAGCTAAAGATTGTCCACCGGTGTTGTAACCAAAAGCCTTTAATGTTATTAAGGGTAAGTATTTACCTGGGAACATGTAACCAACACAAATTTCGACCAATACATTCAAACCAAATTGAAATCCAGTTGTTGCAAATAACGAAGTAATTGGAACCAAAAACACGAAATTCAACACCACTGCAAATACTATACCCCAGACTGGAGTTTGAGTTGGAAACAACTCAACACAAAGTATACCCAACACGAAAGAGATCAATAACACAACAAGATAGACCCAGTCAGGAACTTCTTTGTATTTACTCATCATTCTCGAATGAGGATCGGTAAAGTTTTCATAAATTGGCTTCTTGAAGTCTTTGAATCCCTTGATTAGATCTTTCATAGACGCATACATTCCTCTCCAGTCAATTATAATTTGATAAAAGAAACTGAAAAGGTAAAGCATAAAGAAGCCTGCGTAAACCACAATGTTTGCAGCAGAAAAGTAAGCTGGTCCATATGCCTTATACAAATCTTCATCCAAATCGTTATTAGCACCAATTACCTGGGAAGTGTCATAGTATTCACCTGTGTTAGTGAACAAGTAGTTGGAATTCATTGGTAAATAAGCCGTCCACCATTTGTTGCTATAGTACACAGCGATAATAGCAAAAAATCCAATGATACTTCCAATGTATTGATTGAATTGCGAAAACCATGGAACTGTTAAGGCATAATTGAAGTTAATAACATTCCAATCAAAAGTTGTGATCGGATTCAAACCCATTCCAATTCCGCTACCAGTGATATTTGCTAAATTGAAATTATCTGGTTTGATCCAGCACATCCAGTTGAAAGTTGATAAAGCTTGGAAAATGAAGTCTGGAAACCAAAAATACACAAATGAAGCAGCGGTAGTAATGAAGAAAAATCTATATCTTGAAATTGTCCAACCGTTAATATTTTCCTTTCTTTCAGGATTAACTAAGGCTCTGTTCAAAGCCAAAGTAGGCAAAATAGTGGGCCACATTGCTTTCACAGGATAGATTGTAAACTTTCTCAATAAACCTGCAAGACCAAACCCAATAAACTGAGTTGACAAAATAAGTAAGACTTGGAAACCAAAAGTGACCCACGTATCACCGTAGAAGACCTTTAATTTTTGTACATAAATATTGGAGTCGACGTATGGAGTAACAGCAGACACAGCATAAAAGATCGAAGCAAACTGTTGTTCTTTTGATGACCAAGGTCCTGGATTTAATTCGACTTCAATGTTATCCATATATGGTAATGGAATCGTGAATCCCCATTTAGGAAAGATATATTCACATAATTTACCTGATGGATACAAAAATAATTGGATGACAGAAGTTTCTAAAGAGATTGGAGGATTTCTATGATAGAAAAACTCATTAACAAAAGATCCAATTACAGTCCAAATGAGAGCGCAGAGGTATGCTCTGAATGTTTCACATGGAATGGAAGGATCATCGAATGGATCAGTTACAGCTCTAACTTCAGGATATGGAGACCAGTATGAAATGACGGCAGCTTCCAATCTAATTTGCAAGTCCCAGTCCACAATTTTATGAGTATCGATCTTCCTTGAAGCTGAAGCTTCCTGGTCTGAAAGGGACGACGCATCAATCCTCGCCGTCTTTTCAGCATCTTCCACAGGAGGAGTCTGAATTTTTTCAGTTTCAATTTCATTTAATGCAACATCGATACTGTGAACTACGGGTTGCCCGCTGTTTTCAAGTAATTTCTGGATGAAGTCGTAATCTTCAAGCGGAAAATTTGGATCACCATTATGAATCAATAGAGTTTCCTTCAAAATATCAACAGCATCATTAACCTGTATGTTCTGTATCTTTTCAATCATGAAGATCACGGCAACAGGCAAGTCTTCCAAAGTATCTAAAGAATCAAAATTCAACTTTTTAAGGATTAAGTCCTTTTGGAATGGAGTCAAATTCACACCAACTTCACCAATAGAAATTGCTTGCGACCTGATAGCTTCCAAGTTAACCTCATGATCTGCAGGGTCATATCTACTTCCTGAACTTTTCAAAGCCGCAAGCTCTTCTTGAGCATTTGTCAGTGTTGACTCTAATACCATTTTTTCACTAAAATAGAGGTAAAGAGTTAGAAGAAAGATGTCCTAGAAAATGCAGAATACACTTCCTTATATATATACATAACTTCAAGAAGAAATAAGCATCAAGGGGATTACTAAACGTACTGAACTGGCACTGATAAGGTATCTACATGCGGGGCCACCACACCGATGCAGGTTGTGCAGGTAGCTTATCCGACTAATAAAGGGAAAAACAAAGTTTAAATTAATTAAAGCATATACTTGCTACTTAGGTCAACTTCAACTCATTGTTTTTTGCGTTGCAGTGAGAATTCTGACACATTTGTTCTAAGATTATATGATAACCCGATGAATTGAAGTCAACAATGTGATATGTAGTGTGCTGTTTGGCGAATATTTTCTAACGAAAAATTTCTTGTCAACGCATCGAAGAAGAAAATGTCGAGGCTTAATAAAAATTACATGCACTTATTTCAAAGCCACTGCATTCGGTTGCACTTTTCGTACTCTAAATGAGAAACCAAACTTAGAATATGTTCCATTTAGTATATAGAAATATGGTAATGTATTCGCGGATCGCAATGACGTCGACACTTGATAAAGTAAACTTTCAAAGACCTGTGCCGTCCTTCTGGGCGGCTAATTTGGAACGGCTAACATAGTGCGGCTCAAGTTTATCCCTACAACACGTCAAGTAAGAAAATAAAGTTTTTGACGTTCATGTAAACTATAGAAGGTACCACCCTCAGATCCAGTTCGAGGCTAAATGTGTCAAAACGATCGAGGCAAGAACGCAAACCCCAAACTACAAAGTGTTAGAGTTTCACTATATTTTTTCTTTCCTTTGGAGAGGCCAAATCTCAAGAGGTTCAGATGACAGTTCGAATGGAGAAAAAGAAATCCCTGTTCTTTTACTCAGGTGGAGCCCTTCGGGAAAGCTCTACATCAATGCGTAAAGTTCGGGGAAATAAATCCACTTTCTTGCTTAAAGATATGAGATACTTTATATTTTGCATTATGTTGTCTCTTTTTTCTTCATTCTTTTTTATATTGTTCCTCTATATTTTATTACATCCGCTGTAACATTGCAGCGACAGAACTACTCAGAGCCTCCTTCTCTCATATCGATATAGCGATAAGCTACAAATCCATGATCATGAAGCATGGCAGCCTGTCCGAGTGGTTAAGGAGAAAGATTAGAAATCTTTTGGGCTTTGCCCGCGCAGGTTCGAATCCTGCGGCTGTCGCCATAGTTTTTTTTTTACTTCTACAATTTCAACTCAAACATTGTAACTATTAATTTTAAATGAATAAACATAAACCAACCAAATAATAACCATACAAACCAACCAAAGAGTTCCAACCTATTATGAAATATGCACCAACCTGCATTTATACCAACCCAATCATGTTACACCAAACTTCAAACCAAAAGCATATTATTTTGCAGCCACATGAAGCTCACTCTCCCATATTAATAAAGTTTTAATAATTAATATACATGAAAAGTCCAAATACCTTTTCTAAACCTCCCTTAACGTTGTCCAACAAGAGAATATTAAGACCATACAAATAACTTGCCGATAAATTAGCAATATTCTTCAATTCGAGAAATACACTTGACTTGGTGATGTCCTCGAGGATTTCATCTTTGAAGTCTTTACATGCTTCACCTATTTTGTAAACCACATTCCAAGCATTTCTGGTAGCAGAACCAGCTGCTAAGTTTATGTCAGGTGCGGTATTAAAATTTATGAAATCAGGCGAACTAAGCATCTTACTTTCGTTTCCCAATATCGAAACCCCAACAATTGTAGTAGCTCCATTAGCAATTCCAATTCCAAGTCCAATTCCCAATGAGAAGCTACATAAGAACCAAAGTCTACCATAATTGTAATTATCCAAATCAAAAGTACTTTGCAAATTTTTAAATATCGAAGACATGATATTTATATAAGTACATTTGTTGGAAATGAACAAGGGATCGACATTTTCCAAACTCAGAGAAGAATACTGTAATTCATTCTTAAACCTTTTCTCAATCTGCTTGTAATTGGGCTTTTTAGAAGTAGTTGAAGTGGAGGCAATAGAAGAAGATAATGATTTCTTAATAAGCGAAGCAGATGCTGAAGTATTATTCAATGTAGAAGCATCATCTTCTTCAATTTCACCCGCAATAAACTCTTTCAATTTGCTTCTCAATTGAGTAGCCTTTAAAGATGAAGCTTTCCAAATTTGATGGGGTTTCAAATTATTTATCAAATCAAATAGATTAATAAAGTAGTTAACCGTTATCAAGTTAATAATAGATACCTTGGGGAATGCATCTTCACAACCATCCTCATCTTCAGCTTCCTGGAATACCTTCAAACACTTTTCTACGAATGCGAAGGATCCATCATTGATAAGAAAAATCAAGTCCGAATGTCTGATATTCAAGAGATCACTGTCTGAGATATCTTTATCAACCAAGTAACTTCGTAAATGAGTAGATTTCAGTTGATTGGATAGATCTTCTTCGAGGGTAGCTACGAGATAACTTGCATCATTTTGGTAGGACGAAGTGAGCAAGACCGACACTTCAACTCCATCACATGTCCCACAAGATTTGCCTAGCTTTGTCATTTCTTTCAATCTCAGTTTCAGCCTCAGTTTCAGTTTCAGCTTACGACGCTTGGATCTACGTGAAACTGCATTAAGGTTACTGTTATCACTTACAGACATTGTGGGCATTATGAACGAATCTTGGCCAGAAATCGAAGTAGCATCGAATGTATAGCTTCCCAGAGGGATAGGGGGCGCCGTAGGGTTGGTGTGAGAAGGAAAAGAAAATTTTGGGAAAGTAGAAGATATCTTCTTCGGGATATGACTAACGTTTAATGTCTTGTCATCATCGTCGTCATCATCTTCCTCCTCGTCAGTTTCAAAAACAATCACCCTTTTAGGGTAAGGAATAAGGATAGTTGAATCGCCCTTCTCCAATTGGCTATCGTTATCATCTGAGATAGACAGAAGAATAGACGAAGTGGGTCTTTTCGATGAGAAAGTAGCTGGAGAAGATACAGGATCTACGGAAGCACCACTAGCAGCAGGAGCTCTAGGCTGATCTTCACGGATATCGCCACTACTGACAGACTGCCATGACGTCATGCTAAATTGGAGGTCTGGCAGTTGATTTTGAAAATCACGGCTACTCAACTTGGGACTGTGGGACAATTGAGGACTGAGACGGACGCCCTCATCAAGTTCAGGGTTAGCCAACGCGTTATAGATGGATGAATGCGATGATAAGAGTTTCCTTAATGAGCTAGAATTACCCTGGAGTTCAATAGCAGACTTCGTCAGTTGATCAGGGTTCTTCAGGTTCAGATCCGATGGGGAATTTTTCTTGCGGATCATTTCAAGGGCAGCTCAACTATGTGATAACTAACTAAAAAAAAATTCAAGACAAACTAAGGGGGTGTGGGGCAGGGGGGGTGAGGTAGTTGATTTTATATAGATTACCTTATGCAAATAGATATCAATGGTATACTTTCAAAATTATGAATTTCTCTTTTTGCCTTATAACAGCCTCCAACAAGCTACCTTAAGGGATGAAGAAGAACAAACGAATTGGACGTGACTTTGTAAAAAAAAAAAAACGAGGATACATGCAAAAAAGGAAACGTTAAAAATCATGGCTACTACAGCAGCAATTTTGTGTCATTCACCCTGATAGGCACTGTGCAGGAATTAAACGGTGATTTATATGTGGGGAGTAGATTGAGTAGGGCTAAGGTGGAAGGGTCACTGCGAGTCAGGAAGTGCTGTTAATCTGTAGAGGAGAAATGGTATCAGGTAAGAGACTTGCAGGAAATACACGGACTGAAGATTTCGAGAAGTATTGATATCCAATCAATGGAGTTGCTGTCTGATGTTTGTTTCAGTAAGAGAGGAGGGAGGGGAGGATGAGGATGTCAAATTAGCGCACCCTGCATGGTTCATGCATAAGCCCAATCGGATCAAAAGTGGACTGGGAAATCGCGATGGCACGGAGTTGGGAAAGATATTGGGTTGAGCCAGAACTGGGTGAGAGCTAAGATTAGGGCCAAGACTAACTGTGCTGATAGTACTTGCTATACTGTAAGTGAGTCTGGGAGAGCCTAGAAGAATTTTTTTTGGCTTTTTGCAGAGTTTTAAGAGAGATGGCCTGTCATATGCCACATGTCGCTCAATATCAGCCAACTGCGATTTAATACAAGCACCAGATCACCTTCCCACATAGTATCACCGTTCTTTTCTTTCTTGGAAATATTTGTATACACGTACTCATAAGTATACATATCTGCTTGCTCTATTCACCGAATTTTGACAAATTAAGCTTCACTGCCTCGAATCTAATGCCGTTGTGGTCCCAACACATCAAGTGATGTAAAGAGGTTGCAAATATCCTGCATACGCGCATCTGAAAATTTGACTCATTTCTTTCTTCAAAGCAGCTTCATCATTAATGTACAAATACTTTTGCCTCCTTAACTCAAATCTTATTTCTTAACCAAAGTATGAGTGCTAATACAAACGAACAAAGTTCTGCCAGGACTGGTTCCGGTGGTAGCAGAGGTTCTCGCAGAAACCGGCCTAGCACCAAGAATGACGATCGAAAGTCCAATCCCAGAGGCAAAACTTCTAGGAGGAAGCCAAGAGCTAAGGCTAGAGAAGTGAAGAACGATTACAGATTTTTGGAGATAGTTAAATTGATAAAATTTTACAAACCAGTAACAATTAATGGTGTATCAATTAATAGCATTACCGAGAAGGCAGAAAAGGAAAAAGCAGAGACGGCAGCTGCACCTGAAAAGAAGGATCTTGAAGAAGGTGAAACAGAAACTGAAACAGAAACAGAACCAGAAACAGAAACCGAAAGTAAAACAGGAAAGTCCCCACAAAGCACCACTTTCGATGACCCAGTGCATAGATTTATTGGTAAGTGTATAACAGAAGGAACCGCCATATACATTCTGATGATGTTCCCACCTGCTGATCCCGATTTCCCGTACGATTTGGATATTCTCAAGATCAGTCTTTGTGTGCCAGCCAAGTATCCGTACGACTCGCTGATCCTGCCCTCTATCTATGTGCTTAATGACGATATTCCAAGAGGTTTTGCCGTTAATATAGAGATCGGTTTTAGAGAAATAACAGCAATGGCCCAGGGCAAGGCTAGTCCAGGCATCTCTGAAGAAGAGATTACGCTAGCAAAGGGCAGGGGACTACTTTCACAAATTCAAACGTTGGATAGAAACTTGGAGTTTTTCTTGAAAAAGGAAAGAAAGGAGACCGTGAAATTTGTAAAGGGTAGTAATAAGAAGTCGAAGAATCCACTGGGATCCAGTCCTGCCCCTTCACCTACCCCACCACCTAATTTGACTCCCACACCAACTCCATCTCCAGCTCCTTCCCATGCATTATCTAATAGTACTGCTAATCCTTTGAGACAACAGTATTTAGAGTCGCTTACTTCGAAGATTCCATCTAAACTTTTTACTAAGAATGACAGAGAAAACGTTTACCGCATAGAACTTCCTGTTAATGCTTCATCTATATCGACTCCAAAGTCTTGGCTGCAAAAGGAATCGATCGATGTTAGATTGCATGTACCTGCATCGTACCCAGAAGATAAGGCATGGATCTCCATCCCTGCACAAATGTTGAATAAGATTACTACCGCTAGACCGAATGCTGGAGAGTCGTATACTCCGGGCCAGCTCGAAAGGTTTGCGAAAGACGCTGCATTGGAGAGACAAGAATTGGCACGAGCTGCAAAGTCGTTAGAAAAGAATTTTAAGAGAATCCCTGATTTCATAAAGAGCACATCTAGCGATTTGGTGGGATTGTTGAACTTCGCAGCAAATTACACTGGGTTATTGTGCCAAAATGAGATTGAATTCAGAGAAATGATTACGTTATTAAAGAGTTAAACGACTATAAAGTTACAATTTGTTCAATGGGGGTCTAATAAGATCCTCTGAGGGATCTAAAATTTAGATTAGGAACTCTTGGACAGGACAAACAAGTTGCCTTCTTGAGAACCACAGTTTCTCTACGGAAACAAGATACGAGCCGCTGCAGATGCTTGGAAGAGCTTCAACAGAATTGTTCATCAACGGATTTGATGCATATTGCAGAACAAAGCAGAAGATTGCTGCTCGATGTGTAATAGCTGCTACTATTTTTTCAAAGAAATTGAGATCAAAGACATGATTGCATTGTTAACAGCTAATCTTCTGCTATACCATAGTCCTCGCCTATGTTGTTGATTAGTGTTTTCTTTAATCATTTTTTTCTTTTTTTTTTTTGCTTTTTTTTTATTGTGCCTTACTTTTTAATACTATACAATTCATAATAGTACTCGTAGCAGATTCGTTTCAACTCTCAGGTTGATAGCCCTTCACTGTACACAGTGTTTTTTTTATTTTTCAGCTTGCTCTCTGCATGCCTTCGCAACAATTTCCCTAAATTGGCTCTGTCAAGATAACCTTTTGTAGATTTTTCTGCATATATCAAGAATTTCTGCATCAACGGGGAAATGATGGCCCTTTAAGTTAATTTTATCACCTTGCTCTGAAACGTTGAAGGTGTACCAGAATATCCGCGATATTAAATTGAGTTTTCCTTTCTATAGGTTATTGTATGAGAAGCGTGAGCCACTGTCCATCCAGCACAGTCACTTAGCACTCACCATATACCAACTATCCATTTACCATCCACTCACCATGTATTCACTACCAGTTACCGCCCACTCACTATCAATCACTGTCCCCCGGTATACACTGTCATATCTTCGCAGTAGATTGTAAATTTCAGAACATGCTTAGCTTTTTTCTTCGCCTATCCATTTCTCACCAGTTGGGTCTATCTCATTTGCAATTATTTTTCTAGCGCTAACGTTGCCCTGCTCATTTGACGGGTAGATCTTATCGCGATAAGGAATTCCCAATTCGTCATTAGAATTCAAAAGCCTTTTGCAGATGTTGATAACGATTTCTTTTTCTTAATTTTTTTTATTTTTTTTTTCTGATTTGGCTCTTTCTCGTGCCTTTTCTTGCTTGTCTTTGTGGAGATTGAAAAATTTATATAAACTATACCCATCTCCGTTTTATTTGATTTAGTCACCCGATCTAGATACTTTACTGAATATCTTATTGAGTAGGACTTATAGTATTGTTACTGTTGACCAGTTAAGACACTTTATATAATTCATTTTCTTTTGCCGAACAACTGCTTCGCTTGCTATCTAAAAGCGTAGAGACTACTCAATATGTTAGAAGAGAAAAATTCCGAAAAGACTGAGGTCCACCCTATCACGTCCGTGGCTGCTGGTGATATCAAAAACTATATTAGTAGCTACCAAACCAACGGTGGAGGTGACGATGCTCATGCTGCTAAACTCCTTGAAGAAGCTCAAGCAAATTTGAAGTTGGCCACTGAAACTGGATATCAACCAGAATTACGTCGTAACTTCTCCATTTTCTCGTTATTGGGTGTTGGTTTTGGTTTGACCAACTCTTGGTTCGGTATATCGGCCTCGTTGATCACAGGGATATCATCTGGTGGCCCCATGATGATTGTGTATGGTATTATAATTGTTGCATGTATTTCCTTAGCAATCGGTGCTTCCTTGTCAGAGTTGACCAGTGCTATGCCGTCCGCTGGTGGACAGTACTACTGGACAATGAAATTGGCTCCTAAGAAATACGCTCCATTTTTGTCTTATATGTGTGGTGCTTTTGCCTGGGCAGGTTCTGTGTTCACCTCCGCTTCTGTCACTATTTCTATTGCCACTGCCCTTGTTGGTATGTACGCATTAGGCCAAAACGATCCAAACTTTGAAGTTAAAACTTGGATGGTTTTCGTTACCTATGAAATTGTAAACCTTTTAATGGTAGTTTTCAATATCTGGGAAAAGCCCTTGCCAGCGATTTCTCAGTGGGCTCTTTACATGTCCTTGCTGTCCTTTGTTGTCATTACTATTGTCATTTTGGCTAAGTCATCTGGTGATTTTGCAACTGCTAAGTTCGTCTTCGTAGATTTCTCCAATGGTACTGGTTGGTCACTGTCAGGGATTGCCTTCATTGTTGGATTAATTAATCCAAATTGGTCATTTTCCTGCTTAGATTGTGCTACCCATATGGCTGAAGAAATCTTGGACCCAGAAAGAAAAATTCCACTTTCCATTATGCTTACAGTCGTGATTGGATTTGTTACCTCATTCTGTTACTCAATTGCCATGTTCTTCCTGATAACTGATCTTGATGCTATCTTAAATTCTACTACTGGTGTGCCAATTATGGATATTTTTTACCAATGTGTGAATAGCAAAGCTGGTGCCATCGTCTTAGAGGCATTGATCGTTTTAACAGCTATTGGTTGCAATATTGCATCACACACATGGCAAGCAAGATTATGTTGGTCATTTTCCAGAGATAACGGCTTACCAGGATCTCGTTATTGGTCAAAGGTCAATGAGCGTACCAAACAACCAGTGAATGCTCATCTCATGTCTTGCGCATGGTGTGCAGTTATCGGATGTATTTACATGGGATCTACTACCGCTTACAATGCTATGGTTACAGGGTGTATTGTCTTCTTATTATTGTCATACATAGTCCCAGTCCTCTGTCTTCTCTACAAGGGTAGAGACAACATCCCTCATGGTCCATTCTGGTTAGGAAAGCTCGGATTATTCTGCAACATTGTTTTATGTTTCTGGACTACTTTCACCACTATTTTCTATTCTTTCCCCACAGTAATGCCTGTCACAGGAGGTGATATGAATTATGTTTCTGTTGTCATTGGTGTGTTTGGATTATATTGCGTAATTTACTGGTTTGCCAGAGGTAAACGTCACTTCAAGACTATAGATGACCATCTCGCAGCAATTCCTGAATTGACACTGCAATTGTCTAACCAAGTCGATGAATTAGAAGCTATTGTTTCCAGACAAACAGTAAAAGCATAGAGAGATTGGGGCCACTGCTGACATAGTCTCACTTAATGAATTATTAAACCCAAAAAGAGAAGAAACAAATACAATATACGACATCGATTCGATAAATTTTCTAACCGTAATTGAAATTACGCCGCTTCTTAACTTAAAAGATTCTCTTATTAACTTTAACTTGACTACCTAGTACCCTTTGCAACCTTAATCTTGCCAAGGTTCCAGTCTGGTTGATAATGCGCATGAGCACCGCTCAATCAGGACCGTATTAGTCTAAAATGAGTGTCGGATACCTGCATATATCAGTAGCAGAGGTGCAGAAAATTTTTTATATAAAGACCACCCGTTCAAACAGGGAAATTATCAGAAGGAAAGCGAAAGACCAAGGAGATCAGCGAATTACACATCACTGCAGTGTGAAAAATGGCAGACACACAACAAGTATCGTTTCAGTATGCCAACGAGTGTGACCTTGAGATCCATTGTTCACCTTTTGGGTTATCAGGGTTGTACATCAAAGTTAAAGGGACTAATATAATGGGTATAGGATCCACTATGGGATTAGTCACAGGGTCCACCACTGGACTCATTCACTATAATGATGCTAATGACTTGATGGATCAAAAATATAAACTATACGTGATTGTAGATGAAGAGGGAAATTTGAGAATAGATTTCACTAAAATATTCACATTAAAACATCTGAATAGTGTCAGTGCAAACATTAATATAGAAAGCAATGTGAGTAGCAGTAGTATTGGTAATAGTAATGCGAACAATAATACAAGTAGTAGTAGTGCCACTGGAAGTATCAGTGCCAGCGCGGTAGGTGATGGTATCAGCGAAGAAAAAGGTGGTAATAATTTGCTTTCCCCGGAAAATTCATCTTCAGGTAGCAGCGGACAGCCATCATCTAATGAACCACAGCTAAACACATTCACGCCGGACAACAACAGCCCTAGAGAGAACACAAGTAAGTCGCAACTTGGAAACATAGACATTGAAAGTTACGAGGAAGATGAAGTACCTACTTTAGTGTTCAAGGGTAAATGCCCCGAGGGACGTCCAGATAACATAGACCCATTCATAGGTATATTCTCGTTTGAAAGGGAAGACTAAATGTGACCGTGTAGAGATGACTGTGAAGGTTATGAAAGGTTATGAAAGACAATGATTATGGATGAAAAAGATTTTAAGTTACTAGAATTGAATAATTAAGATTTTACGAGCGAATGTACATTAGAAAGAGATAAAATTGTGTGTAATGGTTGTAGATGCGAAGTAGATATGCCCTAAAAAAGCCGTGGAGTTTTAGGTGGTACAGCAGGAGATTCTATTCTTTTCAGCTGACGCTGAGTGGACAACAGGGACAAGACGTCGGGCGGGTCAGTTAGTACTACTATATTACCTAAGTACGTAAGCGAGCCCCGCCAAAAGTACGACTATATATAAAGTATTGTGATACGACAAAGAAGAGTAGCAGGGAAGAAGTATGAGGAAGGAGACATCAGAAAAGTAACGCAGCACAAACATTAAAGCTTCTTTAGTGCTCACTAACAGTGCCCAACAGCTGTATGTAGCAACCGTAGTAGAAGTAGGCATACCACTCTAATAGGCTTATGGAATATTCCACCATCCATCGGTCTTCCAACATCAACCATCGACCATTGACCATATTAAAGTCTACCAGACTCGTAAATATCACAAATCGACTACTACAGAACGCTAGTGGAATTAAGAAATGCCGGCAGTCTGCCGCTAAATTTTGCAACCGTTTTTCTCTAGCCCCAGTTTCAGCTCCCCAGCACTCGCTAATTCGGACCTGGCCCGCGGAAGCATTTCCCCACCTGAGACACCGGTGGGAAAAAAAGAAATTAGTCAAGCCGAAAAAAGAGAGAGAGAAAGAGGTATAGTAGACTTCTAGCATCTCAGAGTGAGACAACTCCAAATTGAAGTTGTTCCAGCATTAGGGTGTCCAAATGGGTACATGTCACAATACAGCCACTGAATAGATCACAGATTTTTTCTTTTCGCTGATCTTATTCGTTCCTATTTCATTATGGATCTTCTCGCTATTCCTCTCTTTCTTTTCTTTTCTTTTTCTTTTTTTTTTTTTTTTTTATTTTTTTTTTTCACTCCCCCAGAGTCTTACCCCAGAAAAGTTACCCTTATCAGAAGTAAGCAAAAATTAAGCAACAAACAAAGCAATGAAAGAATAGAATGTAGGAATCGGAGATAGTCTAAAGCGAGTCAGCATATATTTATCCAGGTCATATGCCAGGATAGGAATACCCATGGATAGGTTAAGAGTTGGCCCCCCAGCCCATGATTTGTAATCCATTTCCTCACCCACGTAAAGTTAAACTAATAGTCACGGATATCACATTCTCATACACACAGAACATAGTCTATTTCTCATCTTCTTTTTCTCATCTTCTTTCCCCTTCTTCTTCTTTCTACCCACCATCTTTTTGACACCATCACATTAGTAAACTGCTTCGCTGTCGGTCACTAACCTCTTCCCATTCCCTTAGATTCCTCTTGGATGACCCCTTGCTCATAACCGATTTTTCACATGACACAAAAGTCTTACCTAGTAACGCTTTTTTTCCCAGCTCCTTCATCGGCACTCCTCTCCTCGGTTAAGCTTTACTCCTCGGAACTTCAATATCAAGCACGCAGATTTTAAATTGCATTTGGAAAATGCGGAGAGATTTCAAATCACAGTGAAATAAATAAAGGGCCACCCCCAGAGAATTGGAAAGATTTTCAGAACAGTTTTAGAATTCTTTTTTCAACTACAATAATTTGGATTTTCATTTCATTTTATTTACATTTAACAAAGACATAAAACATTACAGAAAAAATGGATAGACTTAATCAATTGGCTGGCCAACTTTCTCCTTCCGCAAAGAACTCCATCACTTCGAAGAACCCAGACGATGTTGTCATAATTGCCGCATACAGAACCGCTTTAACCAAGGGTGGTAAGGGTGGTTTCAAGGATGTTGGATCCGATTGGATCTTGACCAAGTTTTTGGAACAATTCATTGCCAAGTCTGGTGTTGATCCTAAGCTCATTGAAGACGTTGCCGTTGGTAACGTTTTAAACAGAGCTGCCGGTGCCTCTGAACATCGTGGTGCTTGTCTTGCAGCAGGTCTCCCAGACTCATCTGCCTTCATTGCTGTCAACAGACAATGTTCTTCCGGTTTAATGGCCATTCAAGACATTGCCAACAAAATCAAGGTTGGTGAAATCGACTGTGGTATTGGTGCCGGTGTTGAATCTATGAGTGCTAACTACGGTCCTCAATCCATCCCAAAAGTCACTGAACAATTGCAAGAAAACGAACAAATGGCCAAGTGTTTGATCCCTATGGGTATTACCAACGAAAACGTTGCTGCTAAATATAACATGAAGAGACCAGCTCAAGATGAATTTGCTGCCAAGTCTTACAACAAGGCTGAAAAGGCTGTTTCCAGTGGTGCTTTCAAAGACGAAATCTTACCAATTGAATCCCAACTTGCTGAAGAGGATGATGACGACAATGTTACCTGGAAGAAGATCACTGTTGACACCGATGAAGGTCCAAGAAAGGGTGTTACCGCTGAATCTTTAGGAAAAATTCGTCCTGCTTTCAAGAAGGACGGTGTTACATCAGCTGGTAACGCTTCTCAAGTCTCTGATGGTGCTGCCGCCGTCTTATTGACCAGAAGATCTTTTGCTGAAAAGCACGGTCTCAAGATTGTTGGTAAGTACGTTAACACCGTTTCCGTAGGTGTTCCACCTGAAATTATGGGTGTTGGTCCAGCTATTGCCATTCCACACCTTTTAAAGAAGACCGGTATCACTGTTGATGATGTCTCCGTCTTCGAAGTGAACGAAGCTTTCGCTGCTCAATGTTTATATTCTGCTGAAGCATGTAAGATTCCTCAAGAAAAATTAAACTTAAATGGTGGTGCTATCGCCCTTGGTCACCCATTAGGTGCCACTGGTGCTAGACAGTATGCTACCATCTTGAGATTATTGAAGGCAGGTGAAATCGGTTTAACCTCCATGTGTATCGGTACTGGTATGGGTGCCGCTTCTCTTGTCGTCAAGGAATAGGCGATCTTATATCAGTAATATTTAAATATTTATTCAACGAGCTAAAATGAACATAGTAATTTAAAATAATCTGTAGGAGAAATATAAATAGTGCAATAATGCTACAGATGAACTAAAAAATGTAGAGTTAAAGCCCATTGTTTGGGGATGTTTCGTCTATTGACTAATACTTTCTGATCTAGTGATACTCGCTACTTAGCTTTAGCTGTTGTACAGTATCCAACTATACAGTTTAGAATATCATTTAGTAAAAAGCCCATGCTCTTAATCGATTTATTATACATACTGTTACCTGAAATACACATTGGAACTCTTTCGTCTTTGTGGAGAATGTGGTTTCTCAGAATCATCAACAGATATTTCTGATTCTCTAGAGTCTGCCATTTCTTTTTTGGTTTGGTGAGCACCGTGTGGGAAATACACCACATTTATAGGTGGAAGGTAATATACATTGGAAACAGGAAAATACTTGTAACGGGACTTCAGTGCCTTCTTCGATGGAACAAGTCTGTCTAATTTAGCACTCCCATCATTGCTGTTGTTTGAGTCAGTACTTGTGTTTAACATAGACTTGAGATTGATGGAAGAAGAGGATGTGGCACTGTACACAATCGGGGGTATTGATTTGTCTGAATTCTCTTGATTGGAATACGGTTGAATCATAGATTTAGGTTTACTATCCGTTTCACTATCAGAAGAGTCATCTTCTTCCCAGTCATAGGCAGGCTCAGCGTCGTCGACTTCTTCGACTTCTTCGACATCTTCCTCAGCATCCTCATTTTCAAATGGATCGTCAGCAAAGTCTGCGTCTTCCAAACCTTCGACTCTGATATTTTCACTAGCTTCTGTTAAAGGTTTGAATGTATCCGATGATGAGAGTGGCCCAGCCTTCGAATGCAGCTTTAACGAACGATTTAAATGAGATGCCAACTTGAAACTCTCTCTCGAATTTGTTGATCTGGACTTGATCAATATATCATTTCTCTCACCGTAGAAAGAAGGATTTCTACCTCTTACAATCATTGGCTCGCTCACCAAATCAACTAACGCTACTTCGTTATTATTAGCACCATTGTTCTGCCCGGCCAGTTGTGAGAATTCATCAACATAGTCATCATAGTACGGATCAGCGACTACAGCAGAAAGTCTTATAATAAGGTTATAATAATTCTGAAACGAGAGTTTCCCGTTGTTTGGTGTGGCACTTTTGAATTGAAGCTTTTTCACTGCGTAGTACTTGTCAATTTCTTTCTTTGAGTTCACATCTTTAGATATTGGAGTCGCTTCTGCATCATTTAGATGGATAATATTTTCTTGATTTGAAAACCACTCCATATTAAAATCCTGCTTTACGTTTTGGGGTTCATCTTTCTTCATCTTTTTTGCCTTATCCTTTTTGTCAAGATGTATCGTCATCGGCACATTTTCAATATTAGAAAAATTGGTATTTGCCAAAATGTCAATTTTAAACCATTTGATTACTCTAGTCACAGAATAGCCAAACTTTGATGTCTGTAGCTTCAACACTTTACTACTTTTGGAATTAAACCCAGAAAGATTTAAGTTAAGGGAAAGTTGGATGAAGTTACGACGATAACAGGAAAGAATCTTAGGAGGTTGGTCTCTAGCTAAAACTTCACCGGTGGAATTGTTTCCAAGACCGCCAATCTCTGCACCACCAGTTTTGGAATTGCCACCTTTCCTTTCACTTGAAGCATCGCCAGTTGCTTCTTCCCCCACAGGTTCTTCGTTACTAACATTAATCCTGTAATAATTTCTATTGTCGACTTCATTTGTATAGAACCTCCCATTCAAAAATCCAGAGAGATCAACGGTTATTTCATTATTATCTGAATCTATAATCTTGTACTCGGAACCAGTCTGAACAGGAGGCGGTTTAAAATCAAGAAGTCTGGTCAATTTCCCTCCTAATCGTTTTGACAATTTTCCTGGAGCCGACTTGAGGGTGTCTATAGACAGCAGACCCTGCAGCAGACCTTGCTTGAGCTTCTTATTATCACCTTTCTTTTTCTTCGAGTCTTCAGATTTGACATGAGTGCCATCATCTTTTTCTATCGACATCTGCAGTTCTTGCGGTTGATCAGCAGGTTCGGCTTTCACCTTTGTGTTTCCAACGAGAGGCTTCTCTATATATTGCTGTTCAAATTGATTATTACCAAACCAAGCTAGGTCAGGGTTGAAAGTCTGCTGTGGGGGTATTGGGTACATGTGCTGACGCTGTTGCTGTACTGCCGCAGAAGCGGCGGCCTCTATGGGCATAAAGTTAGCATAATGGTTGATATACGGATTAAGCTGCATATTAGGAGTATTCCCGTTAGGTCCATCCAATCCAGAGTTGTTTGTGTTGTTGGCCATATTGTTATTATTGGCATTGTTATTATGATTGGGGCCGCTGTTGCTATTATTATTGTTGTGATTTATGTTATTGCCAATGTTACTGTTCATGATATTGCTGCTGCTGTTGCTGTTACTCAAAGGAAAACCGTGGCTGTTGGAATAGATATTGCCATGTCCCATACTTCCTTCTGCCACATTAGCGCTAAATAGTCCATTTTCCATATTATTACCATTTATATGACTGGAGGGAGCCTGAAAGGATCCTCCTGCTCCTCCTCCTACCATTCCAACCATGTTGGTATTATGTCCAAGTGGGTTACTACCGCTATTCGAGGAGTTGTTATCATTGCTGTTATTGTTACTACTATTACTGTTGTTGTTGTTGTTGTTGTTGTTGTTGTTGTTGTTGTTGTTGTTGTTGTTGTTATTGTTCATACCACTATTGTAGTTGGTGAAAGCATTGTTATTGTAGGGCAATTCGTTGTTGCTGTTGGATATGAAATCGTTGTTGGTGATGAAATTATTGAACGAAGTCAATTCGTCTTGCCTCAAGGGAGTGCCGAAGTTATATGGCTGGGTGTTCATATCATACATTTTCATCCCCATGGAGTTCATCGAGGAATTTGCAAAAGGCGATGGCAATTCTTGACGAATTCTTTGGGCATTGGTGTTTGAGTTTGGTGTGTTGCTTTCATTACTGGAGTTACTGAGGTTGGAGCCTGCACCAACAACGGCCCCACCAGTTGATCCACCAGCATTGTTGGTGTGAAGAATGTCCGGTAAAAACAACGACGTCAAGTCGTCGTATGCTTCTGCAGAAGAGACGTTGTCTTCCATGTCGAATGCACTAAGTATCGTCCTATACTACTAAAATGCTATCTAATACCACTATCGACTCGCCAATTTAAGCTTTCTTTTAGTTTTTTCCTCGTTTTTCTGGGTGTATTTTTTTAGGCTCCCTTCTAACGGTGTGACGGTAATTTAAGGTAGTGTGTATTTTTTAGGGGGACGCTAGAATTTTCACTTTGGTGGAGATAACAAGAAATGGGGTAAGTTCTAGTGGTACAATTTATTATTGCGCGTCCAGTCAGAGTGAAGCTTACCTCACTATTGATGAATTGTATAGAGTAATTATTATTCGCAGTGAATGATAAAGAGTTAACTTGCAACAGCTACAGTAAAGTAAGCTGTGAGGGGTTTGCACCTTCAAAATGGAGTAAGTCCTAGTGGGACTATTTAACGCGCGTTCAATCGAAGAGAAACCGGACTTTATTTTATATGGATGCTGTATACAGAAGCTATTCTTCGCAGTGAATGTACAAAAAGTTTTCCTGTTAGAGCTGCAGCATTTCAGATGTAGGGCGTTCGCATCTTCGTGGTGAAAAAGTGAGTAGTTCTTAGAGAGACTGTTTAGCAAATACGTGCTACGCACTAAAGGAAGCAGTCGGCCTCACAAGTGCTGCTCTGCCTAGAGAAGCTAATATTTGCCATGAATCACAGAGTTATCTTCTAAAAGTACAGTGAAATAACCCGTGAGGCGTTTTGCAAATTCTTGGTTCAAATTCCGTCCTCATGCACGGAATCGTGTGGAGGGCCCTACCAGAGATGGATTGGCATAATTTTTCAGTGGTCTACCCTCTATACGTATCGTATACACCAGGCTACGCACTATTTGGGCTTTTTTTCGCTAGATGATCATCTTAATGCACTGGACGTTCCACTGCATCGCTATCGCTTACTATTTTCTTCCTTATTTCTATTATCTAAAACTTTAAGTATGCCTTTATGCATAAACTCGATACTGAAATTCCGCTTCTTCCTTTCTTGATTGCAAAAAAATTCCGCGTTCTCCACAGCCTTTCCATTGCAATCCGTATATAAAAACAACTTGATCTTGCTGAAGGATGCACCAGATATTTCGGGGTGTTCAAACTGTAGCTCAGAATGGTCAAACAAGCTGATTTTGCTGTAGAGCAATATATGGACAAATATGAAACTGGGATCAAGTTCAATTTGGGTGAAACATGCTGTCATTCCATGACAATACAAGAGGTGAGTAATCTTGCGCGAGTTGGTGCTTCAGATTCTCTTGTAAGCGGTATAATTAACTCAAGAATGACTTATGGACACATTAGAGGGTCTCCAGAGTTGAAATCAATTATTAGTGAGCAGATATATGAAGGCACCGGATTGACTCAAGATAATATTATTATCACCAATGGGGCCATTGGTGCCAATTTCCTAACATTCTACACCATCGTAGATAAAGAAGATCATATTGTAGTTGTAGATCCAAGCTACCAGCAATTAAGCTCAGTTCCTGAGATGTTTGGCGGTAACGTTGAGCTTTTAAAATTAAAATTCGAGGATAAGTACTTGCCAGACTTGAAGCAATTGAGAGAAACCGTTACTAAGAATAAGACCAAGCTTGTCGTGATTAATAATCCTCATAATCCAACTGGAGTCGTATGGGGAAATGATATCTTGGAGGAAATTGTTGACATTTGTAGAGAGAATGATTGTTACATATTTTGTGACGAAGTGTACAGGCCCTTATACCACTCAGTTGAAAAGGCACCAAGTTCAATTCTTTCATTTGGATATGAAAAGGCCATTTCAACTTCGTCTGTATCTAAGGCGTTCTCTTTCGCAGGTCTTAGGTTGGGTTGGATTGCTACAAACGATTCAAAATTAAGAGAAAGATTCTTTTCAAAGAGAGACTATAATATGATTTCAATCTCTTTGATAGATGACAAGATTGCAACTTTCATATTAACTCACCATAAGAAGATTCTTGAGAGGAACTATCAACTCTGTAAAGATAACTTAGATACTATTCAGAAGTTCATCGATCTACTGAATGGTAAGTTAGAATGGGTTAGACCTCAAGGAGGAGCAACTTGTTTCATTAAGGTCAATGTGAAGGGAAGTAAGTCAACAATGGAAATAGGTTCCGAATTGGCCGAAATCCATAGCGTTTTGGTTGTACCTGGTGAAGTGTTCAACCACCCAGGGTTTATAAGAGTTGGATTTGGGAACAGTAAGAAGGAGATAGAAGAAGGGTTCCCGATTATATTAAAATACTTAGATAGTCTATAGGAAAACCAATATAAGTAAGAATCCAAAAATAACAAAAACCCGTAGGCATAGTGCTGCTTTTGAATTTGTGTGTATACCAATCCTTGAACTAGAAAGAGTTAGAATGAAAGTTCAAAACTAGTTTGTCTACTGTCATTGACCGAAAAAGAGTAAGAATGATGCCAGGGGCTCGTAAAAATTCATGTCCCTCCACGCTCACGTAGAACCGAACTCGATGCAGGTAAACACCGCTTCCCCAAGGGGTGGATAACAAGCAAGCCTTCTGTAGCCAAACGTCTACAAGTACGTTGGAAGGAAACTTACTCGCCACTAAGCCCACATTGGATCTCGGAGAAAGAGTCTACAAGATGCTGTTCGATTCAATATTTTTTTCTTGGCTCACAGGTACACACTGTCGCTTCGCTGAGCTTCAGTCTTATGATTTGATAATTTTGGTAACAAGCGAAAAAAAAAAAAAAAAAAATAATGGAAAGAATTCTAAAAATAGCACCCAAAACCTAAAATTAACCAGAAAACACTTCCAAAAAAATACGCAATAGGAAATACGTGCGTTGGATAACAGACGGGTATGCAACGTTGATTATATGCTCATCCATAAATAGATAATAACCAAGCGAGCCAAATGCACCCAAGTCAATCGAGTGAACCATCGTTTTGACTATCCTCCAACGGGTTACAGACAACGATCACATTACATTAGAGCAACTGTTTCTTGAAACGAAAGCTACGTGGTGGGGTATGCTGAGATGCATCATACTTTGTTTCTCTAAATACAAAATACGAAACTAAGGGTCCTGGACCTGGTTCTTTATTATTCTTTCCAGTTTAAAAAATGTAACATTCTCCCCCTTGCTGAGAACGGCACCTGCTTGGTCTTCTGTACGTGAAATTCTAAATCATCTAGCGTATGGCTAATTTAAGGTTTTTTTATGCACACTAGGGGGGAATTCCTGGCTAGCACTGGACGCACTGGACCTATACACCTATTCCGAGAAGTATGTAGCAATATGTATAAATGCATCTCACAATCGTGTGGAATGGAAAATCTAAAAAAAAATAAAAATATGATTCCTCTTGTTCTTTGGAAATTCAGTTCTATTATTGCGTAGGATATTCTTTCGCTTTTCTGTTTAATTACACCTGTGACTTGCCAGATTGCATTGTATATTTTGAACTGTACCTAGACCCCATAGCGTGTAAGTATTGAAAAGTTCTCTTATGTGAAGAAGCAAAAAAGACGCAAGTCGGACCAAAAAGCTGCCTTAGGGCCCCAGCCTTCTATCAGTTAAGAACGTCTCAAGTAATTTTTCGAACCGGCGCATCGGGCTGACTTTGGCATCAACTTGAAATTATCCATCGAAAAGGTCCTTTCTTCTTACTCATTATTTTTTTTCATCCCGCCTAAAATTTCAACCTTGTTATCCTTTCAGAGTATTGGATCATTTTTGAGAATTTTAAGCTTTGGCCCTTTCTTAAAATATTTGGAAAGAAAAAAAAAACAATTTGGTGGAGCCAAATATTTATAGAATTAGTAATATTACTTGCTCTAGATACTAACAGCTAGGTTAATCTTGAGGTTACGACAGACTGGAAGGATATTTGATTATCTTCTTTGCAAACTAAAGGTGGAGAAAACCATATACTAAAAGAACTCAACTAGAAAACAAACATAAACGAAAGACTAAAAAACTAATTGCTCAATGCCTGATAAATACCCGGGAAGATCTTTGAACAAGGTATATCACCAGGACTTTATCATCGATAAAAGATTCAAAATCGTTAAAGAATTGGGTCATGGAGCCTACGGTATAGTCTGCTCAGCAAAATACGACGACGGTAGTAGTAATAACTCTGACGATGGAGGAGAAAGCGGGAGCTCCAACTATGTTGCTATCAAGAAAATAACCAACATCTTCTCCAAGAAGATTTTATGTAAGAGATCCTTGAGAGAATTGAAATTACTTCAATTTTTCCGTGGACACAAGAACATTACATGTCTCTACGACTTGGATATTGTTCCAGATCCTGTGACTGGGGACTTCAATGAGATATACTTGTACGAGGAGTTAATGGAGTGTGACATGCATCAGATTATCAGATCAGGGCAACCATTGACTGATTCTCATTACCAGTCATTTATATATCAAATATTATGTGGGTTGAAGTACATCCACAGTGCTGATGTTTTACACAGAGATTTGAAACCTGGTAATTTGCTTGTAAATGCTGATTGTGAATTGAAGATTTGTGACTTCGGTTTGGCTAGAGGGTACCTGGAGATTCCTGAACAAAATTCTGGATTTATGACCGAATATGTTGCCACTAGGTGGTACAGAGCGCCGGAAATTATGTTGAGCTTTACCAACTACACCAAGGCTATCGACATTTGGTCTGTTGGTTGTATATTAGCCGAACTTTTAGGTGGAAAACCTTTATTTAGGGGAAAGGATTATGTAGATCAATTAAATCAAATCCTTCTTATTTTGGGGACCCCCAAGGAGTCCACTTTAACTAAGATTGGGTCTATTAGAGCCCAAAATTATGTTAGATCTTTGCCATTCATGAGAAAGGTTCAATATCTGGAATTGTATCCCAACGCAAATCCGTTGGCATTAGATTTATTGGAAAGGATGCTCACCTTGGACCCTTACGAGAGAATTACAGTGACAGAGGCCTTAAACCATCCATATTTGTCAGTTTGGCACGATCCAAATGACGAACCTGACTGCCAGTTGAAGTTTGATTTCAAGAGCTTTGAAACAGTTGAAGAAATTGAAGATATGAAAAAGTTAATTATTGATGAAGTGAAACAATTCAGAGACTTTGTGAGAAAGCCAATTCCTGAACAACAAGAGATTCAACTCATGTTACAATTAAATCAGGAGCAACTGCAGCAACAACTCCAACTGCACAACCAGGAGCAATACAAGCAACAACATGAGCAACAGCAACTTCAACAGCAGCAACAGCAACAACAACATCAACAGCATCAACAACAACAAAATCAATATCAAAATAATTATGATATGATGCAAACTCCAACATACTCGCATAACTATACTCCAACTTCAGCAGGTGTTAACACAAATTCAGATTTTTCTTCGAAGAATGATCTTCAATACTACCAATCTATTCCTAAACCGCAAGAACTCGAAGAGTTTCAATTTGCCAACCAGGGAAACAACTCTAACAGCCAAATATCAAGGTTGGAAGAAGATTTAGGATTTGGATTAGATGGTGCTGGTTTCTTCAATAACTTGTAACAATCATGGTCTTCGTGAAAAAAAAGAAAAACAGCATAGATATAAAATATATAACTGAGATTCGAGAAACATAAGTGAACTTACAATTTTTCTTTTTCATATTTAGTCTATTATCTATTTTATATTTCTAATTAATTCATAAACAAATTTGTACAAATACCTCAGCTGCTTGTGCCTAAGTAATTGAATACTTGAAAATATCTCCGCACTTAGCAAAGCACCATAAACTCTCTTTATCCAAATGGAAACCATCTATCTTACCATCACCCACCCAATGGGATAAATCCAATTCTAACAAGGCGATTTCAATAGATGGTACCAATTTATCATTAACAATAGGATGGATGACAGATGTGTACTTCGTAGGAGTAGATTTCCCAAGTTTAACGTAATGCTTCTTCAATCTCAAGTCAAAGAGATTCTTGTATACGGAATTTATTATTTTTATCGATTCAATAACCTTTATATCATCTTTATCTTTTTCAGAGGCACTGCTATTGCCATTGTTTGTGTGGTCATCAAATATGGACCACGAAAAAGTCCTTTGATGTTTTGAAAGTACACCTTGCACCAGCTGCAGATGCAGAAGAGTTTGTTGGATCGGTGACATTGACGATGTGTTTGTCAGGGATTTTGCCCTAGACAACGGGTTAGGGCTCGTACTTAGGGAAGCTCGATTCACAAAAGATGTGCGCTTCTTTGAAGGGAGAGCAGAGTTGTTGCTAGCAGTATTCGTTGCCATAGCCAGAGACAAAGGCTGCAGATGATGCTGAGGGTGGTGAGAGTGATGATGATGATACTCTTTAACCTTAGGAAGTGCTCGGTAGTCAAAGTCCCAAACTATAATCTTCCCATCAAAACCACACAGGATAAGTTTATAAACCAGATTAGAATTCGATCTAGAAGAATCAGGAAGAAACTCAACTTTTTGGATTGAGTTCGCATGACCTTTAAATCTAGCAACAATACTAATATCCTTGACAACTGGGGGACAATGTGGTAAGGATGCTGCGTTAGAGGAAGGATGAGCTTGAGATTGTGGATTAGAATTATTCGAGAGCTGGCTCTGAGAGCCAAGTCTAGAATCAGCCAATAATTCACCATCAATGTTATTCATTTCAAAGCTGACAGAGGGAGTAGCTGCCAAAGGTGCAAGAAATACCAGATTCGTCGTGACCGAAGGTGATCTATCAATAGTTGCAGTGGAGCTGGGTACTATTGGAGCTGGGGGGTTACTGTTCAGGCTATTTAACGTGTTGCTTCTAGATCTTCTACCTGTAGAGGTAGTAGTGGCAGCAGCCGGTGTGTTAGCAGTAGAATGATGTTTTGAGTTGCTATTCAACAATCCATTAACATTGTAATACGTCATTTTGAATACTTCGATGATATCTCCTTTGCCAGTAACTACAAGAAATTTAAAATCAGGAGAAAAATTTATGCAAGTGATCCCATCATTGAAGTAGTTCGATATTATATCAGTGACAATCGAATTGTTGGTTGGTGACTTGGAGCCATAATTGCAATCATAGGTAGACATAAGGTCAATAATCTTGACCAACCCATCATCTGAACCTATAGCTAAAACCATTGGATTAGGCAAAGAAGAGGAGCCAGAATTGGAAAGTGGCGTGGATGACAACACCTCATTGGAAGAATATACACCACCAGCTCCGTATGGCACTGTGGATGTAATGGACGTGATTGGCTTGTGAGAAACTTTAAAGTGCCCAACAAGACTAGAATTACGATTTGATTGGGAATTGGAGGTAATAATTGTAGCAGATGAGTGAGACGAGCTAGCTGACGACGTCACTTGTTGATTGACAGCTGTTTGATTTTGCAGGTTATGGCTTTCAGTATGGAATGGGCTCAAATCGAACTTTTTGAAGAAGGTAATGTTTTCATCTTCGCCGACAACCTTTTTAAAGTACTTATCTTGATCCTTCTGCATGGGGTCCACGATTATCACCTCACCATTCGAGTAGCCTGCTACTATTAGCATATCAGCGTGGGAAACGCTACCCAGGATCACTTCAATACTGGTCACAGAGAAACTAGAATCATTACAACTCACATAATCTATTGTATGATATGACAAATCTGCAAGGTTAAAAATTGTGATTTCACCCGATTCAAATCCAACGACGACTACCGGTTGATGAGCAATGTTAGTGAATGCCTTAAGCACAGTTATAATAGCTGCCCTGCGAAACTGAACTCTCAATACAGGAGACTCAACGGATCTTTTATACTCCGGTGTTGTTGGTTTAACAGGTGAAGAATTCGCAGCATTGGCAGGCAGCTTTTGCTGCTTCAGTGGAGTTTGAGGAGTTATCACTTGACCCTGACTCAGCTGCTGGCCCTGCTGAGTTTGTGGCTGCTGCTGCTGCTGCTGCTGTTGTTGTTGTTGTTGTTGTTGTTGTTGCAACAGCTCCTCATCCACATAAATTATGGGCTTATTGCTCGTTTCTACTATTGTATTTACAAAGTTGTCACTAGCATCGATCCCCATGACATTTAAAACGTTGATATGGGCTGAAATCAACAATTTCTTACAATCCCTCAACTGGGCTCTGTGCAGCTCCAGGTCATAGTCAAGGATAGATTCAATAAACCCAGACTTGTCCGGGGTCAACAAACTTTGATGGTATGACGTAGTAGTGGATGTGGTAGATATCTTGAGTAGCTTGTTGAAATTTGTGGAAAGCTTGTTGAAGGGATTCTTCAAAGAATTCGAGATCTTATTAATCAGATTAGTATTGTTAGCACTAGTATTGCCGGTACCATGAGGTCGTTCTTGAAGACTATCGAGTTCTACAATGACGGATAGGCACCCGGGATTCAAGTTGACTAATTTAAACGGATCGTTAATTAATGGATTCACGTTGGCTGCAATTTGAAGTTGGCCCTCAGCATTCACGTTCTTATTAGACGCCTTGATCGAATCCTTAAATGATTTCAAGACATGGTATGGTAAGGATAAATAGGTGGTGGATTCTCTGGGTCCTAGATAAGGTCTCGATATATTCAAATAGGTATCATTTAACTTGGCTCTCTGGAATGTGGCTGTGTCAAAGGGCCAATCGATAACAGAAGACGAAACATCTTCTTCTGTGGATATCTTAAAATGTATGTTTTGGTCCAAAGCATTGATTCCAGGACATACAGAATTTAAGAATATCCCTAGGGGAGGTACGTTTTGCGAAGAAATTGAAGTCATGCTCGTTTTCGAACCGACTACGTGCACTTTAGTGAAGAGTACCGTACATCTAGAAGCTCATGAAAGTGAAGCCAGTCGAATTTAGAAGCATGCGGAGTTCGAGTCGTGCACGTGACGTGATCTTTGATTTGTATTGTTTAGGAGGAGTGAAATAACTACAACAGATCAAAGAGCATTGGGGGAAGAAAGCCAGAGAGGACTGTAGGTGAACGGCTGATTTGTAAACAGAAAAAGGAACCTGAACAATACTACTGTGTGAAAGAGAATGTACCGGCCGCCATGATGCTTCATGGATACTAACTGAGGCTCTACTTGAAGGGCCAATTCCCTGCTCCGTATTTGAAAGTGTCCAATAGTTTGGCGTATGCACCTGCATGCAAGAGAATCCCTTGGTTCTCAAGTGGGATTGTGTGCCCAGACCATAATTTGTCTCATTACGATCATCGAGAGACTTATCATTCTTTTTTTTTTTTCCTTTTCCCTTTCTTCAGTTGTTGCATCTGAGTATAACCTGCTTTTCACAATATTAAGGCACCATGGTGTAAATACGGGAAGTATTTAGCAACAAGCGGTACCTGCTCATGCTAAGCAAAAAAGAAAATAAAGAAAATGACGAGAAATGCTTGGTGAAGATTAGGCAATAGTAGGTAGAATCAGCAATCTCTTAGAACATGCTTGTTAACTGATAGAGGTGGATTTGGGATGTTCAGAAGACTGCGGAAGCAAAGTGAAGAAAAAGAAGCTTGTTCTGAATTTTTGATCTTGTAGTATCTGATATGAGGTAACTTTCATGCTCTGATTCGGAATTTGAAAGCTGACTTCTGGAAACCGTAACGGTTGCCTCCATTCTTCAGATGATGCCATTTCAGTTAATTACTAACTAACCGACTCGCCCTTCGTAGCAGAAAAAACAAATAAAGGAAGAATTCCTGTATAGACGCTACATCTTCATCAGTACGTTAAAATGGCAACTTGGGAATACTTCGCACCTTAGCATGAGAGCACGGAAATAGTCCCTTTCCATTGTTACTAGGTCTGCTGTATCTTCACAGTACTAAGGAATCGTTTAGCTGCAAAAACATAGAAGAAAGGAAGGTAAATATACCTGCATATAAGTCGGTTCCAGAATTACACAAAACCGCGAAAGCCGACCAAGGAAAAAAAAATTTTCGACAACGTCACATACTCCCCCTAACTCTTGCCCCCTAACGCCCGATTGTGCTTGGTGTTTTGATTGATTGAAAAAACACCAAACTTGTAAATAAAGCTAATCAATCACAACTTTTTAGCATTATTGAATTGCTGCAGACATTCTAGCGGTTTATCCGATCTTAGACGTCATCTTATTTGAGGAATTATCTCCCTAACCTCGTCAAACTGCAGTTTATTGAAGCTTTTTCTTAATTGAAAAAGTTTTTTTTTTATTAATTAAAGAGTGAGAAAAAAATAAACAAGGGAGAGATATTCACACATAAAAGACGCAAACATATATCATAAATATATACAACTATACCATAATCATTGATATATTTAGTAACCAAGCATTAAGGTTGACATTCGTCCTGATTCTGGGCTTTCTTCCTTTACCAATCCCCCCACAAAAACGCATTCAAATAGACTAATAGAAAAACAATAAAAATCAGGCAGGTCCTTCCAAATCTTTTTGTTGTTTTCACATCCTTACACCCAACGTTAATCTTGAAAATTTCGCTACGGAATCACAAAATTATCAACACATTTTCCTACATATAACATACAACTGTAACCAACACTAACAATATGGCACTACCATCAACAAAATCACAACAAGCAGGAGGGGCAAGATTCAGACAAAGGAAAATCTCAGTTAAACAGCCTTTGATTATCTATAAACAAAAGGATTTACCTGATTTATCTTCAAATGATCTTGAACCGCTGCAGATACATCACCTCAATCTGTCAGGAAATGCCGCTCAACAGAGAGATGTGCATGCCATGGAAACAGGGGTGGATAAAAATGAAGAGGATGAAGTTCATTTACAACAGGTGATCAATGCCGCGCAGCGTGCATTGAGAGGGTCAGAAGAAAAGAAGAAATCTGAAATCAACGAGGAAGGTGCTGCTGGGTCTCGAGAGGAAGAAAAGAAACCTGATGTGTACATTCCTACTCCTGATGCTTCCAGGATTTGGCCAGAAGCTTCAAAATACTATAATGACTTTACATTTGTAGCTCCGGAGACGTACATAAAGTTCTCAGCCACAGTAGAAGACACAGTTGGAGTGGAATATAACATGGACGAAGAAGACGAAGAGTTCTTAAATAATTTTAACAAAGATAAAAGTTCTACCAAAGTTTGCTCAGAAGTCGAATTTGAAATTATATGTGATAAATTGGAGAAAACTATAGAAGAAAGGCAACCATTTTTATCCATGGATCCTTCAAATATCCTAACATATAAAGAATTGAGTGGGTTTATTATTGGAGAATTGACGAGCACTAACAATGGATATGGAAATGGAGGTAAATATATACTGACAACTGCATTGAAAGATAAATTATCTAAAGAACTCAACTACAAGCCTTTCGTTACATTATTTGACAAGCGGACGGAAAATGAGGACAAACCACAACCTAAGATTCGCACCATAACGAAACTATTTGACTTATTTGGTGAATCCATATATACTCACTGGAAAGAGAGGAAAATCTCAAGACACGGTAAGCATATTCATCCATCATTGAAATTCGAAGATCCTAATGCGAATGAGAAGGAGAATGATGCAGATCCATATATTTGTTTCAGACGTCGTGAATTCCGTCAAGCACGTAAAACGAGAAGGGCAGATACCTTGGGAGCTGAGAGAATCAGATTACTTCAAAAGTCTATTCATAGAGCCCAGGAATTGATTGAAAGTGTCTGCCAGAGAGAAATATTAAGATTAGATGCATTGGACGCTGAACATGAGATTTTCAAGTTGAGAAGTGAAGGTAAGAGTTTGAAGAGAACCATCGGAATTAAAGGAGATGATTACTTGTATTATTCACACAAGAGAAAGAAGCCTGTTGTTAAAATTGAAGAAGAACCTGTTGGAACTGAAACTTCTACCCCTGCCTCCAAGAAGCAAAAGAAAAATAAAGAACAAGCAAATAGAGATAGGAAAGATGTTGAAGATGCAGCTACAGCAACTTCAGTGGTGGAAGGAATTCCATCTGCAGCTGCAGCTGCAGCTGCATTACAACAAGAGGCTGCTACCTCTTCTACTCAGCCATATGTCAAACTACCAGCCTCCAAGATTCCAGATATGGACTTAGTAACAGTTTCTCTTGTGCTTAAAGAAAAAAATGAAACAATCAAGAGAGCTGTGCTCGAAAAGTTGCGGAAACGTAAAGAACAAGATCGTCATTTCATTAATCTTACTGATGACCCATACGAACCGTACTTCAATATTACTACCAATGATCATAGTGATAAAGTATTGGAATTAAATCACATACCTTATTCTTCAATTACATCCTCCTTCTACCATGAGATCAACAACAGTAATTATATTAGTGAAGAGTTGAAGAAACTCTTAGAGGAGAACAAAAAGGCTCTACCAGGAGTCAAAACTTTTAGAGGATCTAATGGTGAATTGATTCCATCAAAGCCATTTCCACATATTCTGAGTTTGACTAAAGATTACAATGGAGAGAGTGGAAGTGACTTGACGAATGGTAGTAGCGACAATGGATACATTGCCCAGTTATTATCGAACATTGAATCCAACAACTTTAATGCATATAATAATGGATATGGACTGCAGGTTCAACACAGGGCTGATGAAAGCCAAGAAAGTAAGTTGTCAGAACCAATTTTCAGTATGAGGAAACGTGTAGGCAGAGGCGGAAGATTATTTATTGACAGAAGAGGATTGTTTAAGAAACCAGTTGCACCTCTTATCGAATCAAGTCCAAGTGTTACAGTTGGAGGTGGATTGGGAGGCGTGGTTAATGTTTATGATAGTGAAGCAGATGCTCAGAAAAGGCTTGATTCTAGATGGAGATTTGATGATGATTTAACCGAATATGAGAGGGGGATTCAAGAACCTTTCAGTTTGGATCCAAGTAAATTAAACTGCATATCAGAAGATACTCAATCCATCAGATTCGGATCAATGTTACTCTCGAAGTCATATGATTTGTTTAGGGAATCAGTACACCAGAGACAACAAGTTTTGATTCAGCAGGCAAGAGCAAGAGCTTTACAGCAACAACAATTACTCCAGAAACAGCAACAAGCTGCCCAGGCAGCACAAAATGCTCAACAAGCATTACAACTTCAACAACAACAACAACAAGCACAAAAACTTCAACAACAGCAACAACAGAATTTACTGCGTCAAAGTGGACTTCCAATTCCTCTGCTGGCTCTGTCATCGCATTCACAATCTCAAACTCATACGCCTTCCCATTCCCATTCACCTGTTACCATTCCTAATTCAAGACAGTTATCGCAACAATTACCACATGGTCAAGATAAAATGGGCACGTCAGCGTCCTCCCCTGGATCAATGGGTAACTCAACTGCAAGGCCCTCGGCTCAACAAAGGACCAACTCTAATCCAAACCCAAATACAAATATTGTTCAAGCAAACCTTCAACAACAACAACAACGAACCGGGGCTCATTCTCCACCAGGTACTTCACAACAGAAGTATAAACAATCGAATAGCACTCCCATGTATAATAATTCGTCTAGTAAATAGATTCTGTATTATAGATATTAATTAAACCAAGCGCTAGCACTTGTAGAATTACTAATCTCTCTTAAGAGCGATCCCGCTGGTTTGGAGCGCTTACACCATGCAGCAAAACTATATAAGCAAATTCCTTCTCCACAGTTCGGAGTATTTTCAATCACTTTTCCTTCTTCTTAAAATATTGACATTAGTTCATAGTTAGGTATGTCAATTAAGAGTGTTATTGTCTTCGGAGCCCATGGTTTGATTGGGCAACATTTTGTTCGTCTTGCTTCTGGCGCCGGCTTGAAAACAACAGCTGTGATTAGAAATTCTGAGCAAGCAGCCACAATTAAGCTGCTTGGAAGTGACATAGCAACTAAGAGCTTCACTGTTGATGAAGCTACCGTTGAAGAAATCAGCAAATCTATTTCAGGGAATGACGCTGTAGTTATCACCGTTGGTTCTCGTGGAAAGAACTTACTTGGTGTTGATTTAGATGGTGTTGTGAAGGTTTATGAAGCTTCAACATTAGCAAATGTGAGAAGACTCGTCTTGATCAGTGCTGCACACGCTGAAGACAGAGAGTGGTTTTCCAAAACTCCCTTACACAACTATTATATAGCTAAACATTACGCTGATCGTATCTTACAATATGAATTCAAAGATAAATTGGACTTCACTATCTTGAAACCTACCAGGTTGACTGATGGAGCGAGCACTGGCAAGATCAAGTTCCTTGAGCCAAGAGAAGGTGATGCTGAAATTCATAGAGAAGATGTAGCTCAAGTCATTTTGAATATTTTGGATAAGAAAGCTACCTTTGGAAAGAGTTATGATTTTGCTAATGGTAATAAGGACATTGATAGTTCATTTTAAATACATGAGATGAATATTGACAGACTGATAATCGCCCACAGTGAAACTTTACAGATTGCTGGGTTTCGTTCAGATTTCTATTATATCTATTTATTAATATTTATTTTATGTTTCTATAATGCTTTCTTTGTATGTATGACTATTTACGGCTTTTCTTGTTCTATCATTCCTCCTTAGAATAAACCTTCTATCTCTCCATCTTCATTAACTTCGACATTCATGAACCCAGCGTGAGTAGGTAAACCTGGGATAGTCATAATTTCAGCAGCTAATGCATATAGATAACCAGCTCCTGCTGAACATCTGACTTCTCTGATTGGGACTGTAAATCCTGTTGGAACACCTTTCAATGCTGGATCATGGGAGAGGGAGTATTGGGTCTTTGCTATACAGATTGGTAATTTGTCATAGCCTTGTCTTGTATAAGTTTCAATCTGTTGCTTTGCTAAAGGAGACAATTCAATAGCCAGTGCACCATACATCTTTGATGCAATAGTGAAGAGCTTTTCTTCAACAGTTTGATTGACATCATACAAGAACTTTTGTTGTCTTTCAGATTCAGTTTGCAATGTGACAGCGTCAACAACAGCTTCGGCTAATTTCATAGCTCCAAATCCACCTTCAGACCAATGGTTGGAAGGGACAGCAAAGTTGGCACCTGCTTCAATAGCCTTCTTTTGAATTAATGCAATTTCAGCTGGTGTATCGGTTTCAAATTGGTTGATGGCAACAACAACAGGAACGTTATATTGTTTAATGTTGGAGATTTGTTTAGCTAAATTAGCACAGCCAGCTTCCAAGAAGCCCAAATTTTCAGTAACATATGCTTCTGGTAAAGACTGGCCTGGCTTGACATCTGGAGCCCCACCATGTAATTTTAAGGCTCTCGAAGTAGCAACAAGTACAACAGTGTCTGGCTTGTAACCAGAGGCTCTGCATTTGATGTTGAAAAATCTTTCACCTCCCATAGTGAAATCAAAACCAGCTTCGGTGACAACGAAACCCTTCTGTCCGCTATTGATAGCATTCAGAGGAGAAGTTAACCTAAGAGCTAATTGGTCAGCAACTACAGAAGATGCACCAATGGAGATATTAGCAAATGGACCAGCATGAACGAAGACAGGAGTTCCTTCAAGTGTTTGCATCAAGTTAGGTTTAATGGCATCCTTTAACAAAGCAGTAATGGCACCGGCTGCACCAATGTCTTCTGCGGTGATGGCAAGGCCAGTTTCCCTTTGAGTACCAACTACAACATTACCAACTCTTTCTCTCATGTCAGTCAAATTCTTGGACAATGCTAAGATAGCCATTAATTCACAGGCAACAGTGATGTCCATACCAGATTTTCTTGGAGGGAATTTTCCGGCTTCATTCTTACCTTCACCAATAGTAATTTCCCTAACAAATCTATCGTTGCAATCAACAACTCTCTTAATAGTAATCGAATCAGGGTCAATATTTAAATGAGCAAACTTCTCAATTTCTTCTTCGGTCAATTCATCAGGATTCAATTTGTTGATTCCAATCTTTTGCAATCTTTTTATCATTGAAGGAGTGAAAGTTCTCTTACCCTTCTTAGATGGGACTAATCTCTTGTAGAATCCAGATATGGTCTTAGATGTATGTTCATGGAACATTCTAGTGTCAACAGCGGCACAAAGTAAGTTCTGAGCTGCACTGATAGCATGAATATCACCGGTGAGATGCATGTTGAATTCATCCATAGGGATGACTTGAGAATAACCACCACCAGCTGCTCCACCCTTGACTCCAAAAGTTGGTCCCATAGATGGTTGTCTAACATTAGCGATGGCATTGTATCCCAAATGAGCACCTAAGGCCTGGGTTAAGCCAACAGTGGTAGTAGATTTACCTTCACCCAAAGGAGTTGGAGTGATTCCTGCAACCAAAATATAGTTACCTCTATCAGTTACTGAACCTTCAACGTTTGCATCTAATCTAGCAATGACTTTCTTAGGATCAACCTTTGCTTTGTAATGACCATAAGGCTCTAATTCGTTCTCTAATAATCCTAATTCTTCTGCAACTTTAGTAATCTTTTTTGGTTTTTGAGCTCGTGAAATAGCGATATCCGATGGAACAGGACTCTTTAAATCCAATGGTAATGGCTTGAAGCTGTGTTGGTGAGATCTGGCCTGTTGTATCATTGCAGCGTCAAATACATTGGAGCAAAGCATTGCTACAGTCATTGGCCCAACTCCACCAGGAACTGGGGTAATGAAGGATGCTTTCTTAGCAACTGACTTATAGTCTACATCTCCAACCAACTTACGTCCATTTTTAGCACTGGCATCTTCTTTGTAATTGATACCAACGTCGATGACAACAGCATCTTCCTTAATCCAATCCAGTTTAACGTATTCAGGGATACCGACAGCAGCAACAACGATATCAGCCAGCTTCAATATAGATGGTAAGTCAAAAGTGTAACGATGGCAGACAGTAACTGTACAGTCTTCATTTCTCAACATAGCAGCAACTGGAGTACCAACAATATCAGATCTACCAATAACGACAGCCTTCTTACCTCTCATGACAATACCAGTAGTTTTGATTAATTCAATAACACCACTTGGAGTGCATGGCTTGAAGAGTGGCTCACCACCTCTCTTGGATAATTCTCCAACGTTGTAACGGTCGAACCCATCGACATCCTTTTCAGTAGCAACAGAATTAGTAACCAAAGTTTCATTGATGTGTCTTGGTAAAGGTAACTGGATCAATATACCATTGACGGATGGATCTTTGTTGAGTCTGTCAATCTCTTCCAATAAGAAGTCCTGCGAAACGTTTTCATCCAAACTTATGAGCGATGAGGTGATGTTTGAGGAAGCTGCAGCCTTCAACTTTGATCTGACATAAGCGGAAGAATCGGGCCTTGATCCTACCTGAATGATAGTTAATGATGGCTTGAATTTAAGTTCAGGAACAGATGAAGTAGATGCTGCACCAGCAACTTGGTTGGGGTGTGGGAACTTCTGTTGATTGTATTCAACAATCTTTTGAGCAACCAGAGACCTGATTGATTGTGCAAGTTTGGTTCCTGACACCACTACTGCATCTGCCAATCTGCTTGACAGGTGTATGGAGCGTTTTGCAACTCTCAAGTTCCTCAACATCTCTGAATAAAGCAAGTGAATTAAAAATAAATCAATTCAAAAGTCGCTACTCTTCTTTTTATTTGATTTCAAGTTTCAAATTAGGGTCAAAAAGAAACTCCAAACTGAATTAAAATAAATATATACAGATAATAGGTAACTTTGACTCGAATCCAATATTAAAAGAAAAGGTAAACAGTCAAGAAAAAGAAATGTAGCTTATAGGTTTTTCCATGATTTTAATGTAGGTGTCTGGATGTCTGCTGAAAAATTTTTCGATTCATCATTTTGGGCAAGGATGAGTCTTCCAGCAGGAAAATAGGTTACACAAAAGTTGGGTATTGGGAGAAGAGTATACACGTAGTATGATTAAATTATATAGCGATAGAGTTACAGGTAGTCTAACTAACGACTATTGAAGTGTCCGATGAGCTGAGCTCATCTCATCCGTTTTCACATGTGCTTTGGTTGCATATAAAGTTCGAATGGAGCCCTACGACTCTGGACCATACCTAAAAGAGTGACTCGGAATGACATTTTCGAGAAGAGTCAAAAATCTGTGGGGAGGAGTGAAACAAAGATTGTTACAGAAGGTAGAGGTTGCAACGGAGTTATTCAACCGTTCCTGATATGAAATATGATATCTAATTATGCTATGCTACGTTTATATACAATTCTGCTCGTATGTAAAATTCTATGCTTCTTCTTTCCTAAGTTGATTCAACATGACCTGTGCTCTTAATAATGTTACATCAGCAGTGGAATTCAAATTTTCATTGGGATTCTGCTTGCGTCTTGTGGACATCCTGCTCTTTAATAAATTGACACTTTCGTACTCGACTTCTCTTTCATTCTCAGGAGCCTGTTCTAAAATGTCGTCAATTGTCATCGATGAGTAAAATGATAATGCTTTACTTCTTCTATTCCTAGCCTTTCTCTCTCTTGTACTCGAATTGGAAGATGTGGAAGCACTAGACTTTAATTTCTCCATCAAATTATCAATAGTGGCACTAGAAGTATCAGCAGCTTCTGCAGTACTAGTACTTCCAGAGTCTTTCGAAGGAGATACATCCTTGTATTCGTCATCGTCATCATCTTCATCGTTGTCGTCATCTTCTTCGTCATCATCATCATCATCATCATCGTCATCATCATCGTCATCGTCATCGTTCTCGCCAAACTCAGAGTCAGCTTCTCCTTCTTCCGCCGCTTCTTCTTCTTCTTCTTCTTCTACTTTATTCCGTCTTTTATCTATATTTCCAGCTTGATTTTCCCCATGATCAGGGCCAACACTGGTCTCGTCTACTTCTATAATAGTAGAGGTATCACTATCCTTCTTCTTTCTATTTCCATCCTTCTTTCGTTTAATTAGATTGCTTCTGCTTTCTTCAATCATCCTCTTCCTTGCTTCGTACGCCTTTTGCTCTTCTTCTCTTTGAATGTTTTCAAAATGCGCCTTCTTGAACTCACTAACAAATCCCAGAAACTTTGCAAAGAATGTATTTCGGCTGTTTGAGTCATCGGTGTTTTCTCCAAAATTCATCATTAGTTGCCTATGTTCTCCAATAGTTCTTTTTAAATGTGATTGAAGCAATGAATTTTTAACTTTAGCATTCTCCAAGGGTCCGCTAATTTTATCTAATATTTTGTCTTGAGGATGTAAAACTTCTGGAGCACTCAAATTACCCTTAGTTGTGGAGTCTGATACGTTATTTAACATCTTTTCAAAGTCAATGCAATCACTTTCAACTTGCTCAATTGATATATTATTCATATGATTCAAAGAGCTCAATTCATCAACAAATGACCCATATTCGGGGAAAGTGTTCCTAATGACTTTTTCAATATAATGCAAAAATGTCATAGTATTTGTTTCATCCTTCATGAATTTCAATCTTTGTAAAGTGTCCAACTTGAAACCTAAGGCTTGCTTCGAATAATCATTCATAAAATTACCCACAGACCTAATGATCCCTAAAACATTTTTCAACGAATCAGATTGTTTTAAGGCTCTATTTGCTTCATCAATAACTTGAAGTTTCTTCAATAGGTCCATATATTCTCTTTGATACGTTTGAATGAGTAGCAAAGCACGAGACCTTGATTTCCAATAGTGCTTTAAATTAAAACAAAGTTCTAAGTATAATCTATCTGGACGTTCTAATTCTTCTACAGGTTTTGAGTTCTTCTTCAATTTAGTTGGCGACAAATTTCCTCCTCCCATATATGCTGTTGAATAAGGAATGAAATTTCTGGAGACTGAATCACTAATTTCAGATAATGAATCACTATTGAAGAATTCTAAAACACTCAAGTTTTCTAAAATTTCTTTATCACAGCCTAAAACTTTTTTCACGAGTTCAGTTTCACTAAGTGAAGCAAACATATGAAGATTGATACCAAATTGTTGTGCCAAATCCCTCGATAAGAATGATATCTTGGTGGGCTTTGCAGGTTGAAAGTTTCTTTTAGCACCGCTTCCTGAATTTGCTCCATCTTTAAGTTTAACAGTTGAGTTTTTCGCAACAAATACCTTTTCAACTTCAGTGAGAATTCCCTTTTCTACTAATTGGTCTTCAAGGTCCCCGTGATTGATATCTGTCCAAAAAGTATTGTCAATGTCATCGATTTTGTCCCAATGCATTTGTTTTAGCTTAGTCTTTGGACGAATTGTAGGAAGAATGATATCAACTGGCTCAAATGCCTTAGATAATTCCTGTAAGTTTACTAAAGAAGGATTTTTCGATACCTGATTTGATGAGGTAGACAGTGAAATTATGCCATTGCCATTGGTAGCTAATACTTGATGAATTGGTGAAATGCCCAGATCACTTCTAGAAAGCATTCCCGGTAATGGGGGAGGAGACAGAGATGATTGTAAGGTATTTGTAGTACTGCTCTTGTTAAGCATTCCAGGTAACGGAGGGGGAGGAGGTGGTGTAGGTTGAAAACTCAATCCACTACTACTCTTTGTGAGCATTCCAGGTAATGGAGGAGGTGGTGGTGGTGGAGGAGTAGCTCCTCCTATATTCATTAAAGTACTACTCTTAGTGAGCATTCCAGGTAACGGAGGAGGAGGAGGTGGCGGTGGTGGTGTCAGCAAGTTTCCAGAAGTCACACTCTTACTAAGCATTCCTGGCATGGGCGGAGGTGGTGGTGGAGGAGGAGGGATATTCGTAGCTGTCGAACTGGTCTTATTTTCAAGCATTTCAGGCAATGGGGGTGGAAGAGGTGGTGGTGCCGCAGAAGTTAATGTTGTACTACTGCTTGTTTTGCCTAATGAAGAAGAATTACCGAAGTCCCCAGAGGAATTCTTAGCTACATTGCTTGCACCAACAGAAGTCAAGGCATCAGCAGTCGAGTATGTTCTGCCCTCTGCGATGGTATCTGACCCATGCGTCGCAGCAACACTTGAACTTGTACTATCATCAATAGTTTGGAAATCATTTGATCCATGAGTCGCACCAACGCTGGAAATTGCGCTACCTTCAGTTTTTTGGAAATTATTCGATCTATGCGAAACATCCACAACTTCAGGTGCAAAATCTCTTATTACATTATTGGATTTTAAGATTCCTTTAATTTCACCATGTTTTCCATTCCTTCCAAAAAAGTTGCTCATTGGAGGCGGCGTAGGAGGACGCGGAGCAATAAATTCCAGGGTAACGTCAATATCTTTGATTGTCTCATACTTTTCATTATGTCTCCCTACTAGGACGTTTTCAAGTTCTGCAGGAGTGATTTTTGGAGAGGAAGTCAATGAAGACTGAGAGTGATTACCAACTGCACTAAGGGTAACAGGCTTGACAACAGAAGTATCGACAACTTTCTGCAATCTATTCTTCTCATCCTCTAGTCTTTTTATCTGGTATTGAAGTAAAGCTATTTGCCTTTGTTGAGCAGCCATCTTTGTACTACTTATTTGAGCCTCCTTTTTTAAGTTATTGATCATTCCCTTTGAACCATAGCTAATTTCTACTTCTAGAGCTTGCTTTTCTCTTTCCAATCTATCCACCGTTCTTGCCATATCTTTGGACTCTAGAATCGCTCTTCTTGCGGTATCATCTGTCGTTAATCTATCCATCAACCTCTGAATACCACTGTTCAAAACAGTACCAGAATCAGTACCGACATTGGTAGATTCAGCTATAATATGTTGCAAAATGGAATTGGTAAGAATTAATAATTTGTTGACTTCCACTTCATTTCTGCTGCTTTCCCTTAACGTAATCAACTTTTGAAAAATTGACCCAAGATTGTTTTCTAAGTCTTCTGAATGATCATATAGCTTCTTCAAATCTTCGAAAAGGTCATCAATACTGATTTCTTCGCCGTCAACACCGTTATTAGTTCCTTGTATACTACTACTAGCAACCTCGCTATCCATTTGTAAAAATTCGTTGTAATCTTCTTCTGCGAATATTTCATACTTGTCAATCTCATCCAAAATCCTATCATCTCCAATAACCTTGATTTTATCAAACAATTGAAATAGCCTTGAGTCAGTAAGCTCTCTACGGATTGAAATTCTCGTCTTAATTGATCTAGTTCCTTCAACTATTGAATTAATCAATAACAAAGTAGTAAGTGCATAGTTCTTTAAGTTCTCGCCGTTACCTTCGATACCTACAAACGATTTATTCAAAGATTGTTCAACTGAAGAGAGCCAGGGCTGAAATCTAACCTCGTCTCCTAAAAGTTCTTGAAGCAGGCTCATTCCTTCTAATATAACTCCCACAAATTCGTTTGCTTTATAATATGAGAGAAATATTAAAACTTCAGTGACAAGAATTTTCGTGGATAATCTAGGTGAAATCAAGGAAAATATTATCGCCTTTATAAGATAAGACTTGTTTTTGTTGGAAGACTGTGAGGATGAAGTGGTATTATAACTGACCAAACTGCTCAAGTCACGACTTGCTCTGTTAGATTCAGTAGCGAAACTTCCTGAGTTTTGTTCAATTTCAAAATTTAAAATATTCTTCAAGCATTTCACAATAGCGTATTCCTTCTCGAATTCTTCATTTGATTTGATACTTTTCTTGTTAATTCTTGAAAGGATCACACCCAAAGCGGTCTCACCTTGAGCCTCATTGAAACTTTGTATCCAAGTGTTACCAGTCTTTGCAGAAACAGTGTTTTTAGATAATTTCTTTTCCAACTTTTTATATTCTTTAACAGTTAACTTATTAGACATTAACCTTGAAACAAACCATTCTGGTGAGTTAACTGATAGTTTTGATTTCTTTACAAGAGATGCAAAAGTAGCAGTAGTGTTGTTGCCCGAAGTTGCTGAACTTCCATAGGGATCACTTGGTGTTGAAGAATTGACAGAGGGGCTATCAATGGATTTTTTTCTATCTGAAGTCGTGACTATTCTGGAAAGTGCTAAAAAGGTTGAATGTGGTCTAGATTTACGTGAATTCGAATTTGAAGAATCAGATGACGTGGATGATGTTCTCTCTATATTCGTGATAACAGGTGGAGTGGGAGTGGAAGACAATGCAATTTCGCCAGAATGTTGCAGTTGTTGCTGCAGAAGTTGCCTTTCTAATTGCTGCTGTTGCAAAAACTGTTGTTGATGTAATTGCTGTTGCTGTTGTTGTTGCTGGATGTGAACTTGCGTAGTTAAACTCCGCAAGTCAAAATTCTCATTACTTTCATTTTCGCTCAACAAAAGCTCCCATTTCCTCCTTGTAGGTTGCTCTCTTAAAGTTTTAACTGCGGCCTCAGTGAAAGCTCTTAACAGGAGTAGTCTTTCAAATAGGCTATTTACTATCTCTGCCTTGGGCATTTGGTTAATGTTGGACGATAGGACGGAAAAAGATTGCAAAGTGCTACTGGATCCTTCTTCATTTGTGCTAGGTGTCACTATAGCCTTTTTGATTAAAGCCGGGTTGGACGTGGTCTTGCTTACAATTGGTCCCCCATTACTACTTCCGCTGCTGTCTCTTGAATTGGATCTTTCTGCTGCTGCGTTAGCCCTCCGTTCCGGGAGTGAGTTATTGGAGTTATTTCTTGAAGAATGGTGTGATCCCGGTGGATGTAAGCCGCCTTGATACGCAGTTTTAGTCAAATTATTGTTGTTTATCACCTTCATTGGCTTCATCGTTGGAGGTGGCATCAAATCATCAGAGGATAGCCCGTATCCAGCCAAGTTCAAACCAACTGACGTCAAATCTGTCGACTTCTGATGTTGTTCTTGATGCTGTATTATCTGAGAAGATTTCAGCTTTGGATCTAGTGACGATCCAATACTTGAGACACTACCAGTCGTTATGCTATATATATGATTGTTACTGTTGGTGTTATTGCCAAATGAATCTGTGTTACTACTGTTTCTCAAGTAACCATATTCGCCACTACTCCTTTGATTCTGTAGGTCACTATTATTACTGGGGTTGCGAAATTGCTGCTGCGACAGTTGCTGTTGTAGTTTGGCCTCAAATGAGCTCTGCAGACTTGCAGAGTACTTCCGCGGTGAGTTCAGCCCTATAGATGTTCTGGGCGACGGTGGAGTTTCTTTCCTACCAGGAAGGTATTTTACCTGCACTGGTTCCTTTGGGCTTGTATCCATGGCATCGTACTTCATTGCTTGGAATTGGGTATCATTACTGCTCTCATTACGCTTAGGGGAGCTTGGTTGTGGTATAGAGGAAACCGCAGGTTCATCACTCCCAAATCCAATTTGGAGCTTCTTCATTTTTGCAAGTACTCCAGGTCGTTTTGGAAGCGGTTTCTCGCTTAAGTCGGTCTTCGAACTCGGTAGACGATTATCACCCTGATCGTTCCTCATTTTAGATGGGTTTCTGGTATATTATTCCTAATGGAACGCGGTCAACTCGGTGGGTCAGCCTTTTCCGACTTTGTATGGCAACATGAAACAAAATAAAAAATACAAAAAGATGCTGATCCATATTCATAGGCGGCCTGCACATAGTCCGAGATATGGGGTATTCTGTGCTGATACAAATGCGCATGGAGGGTGGAGGATGGTGGATGCGTTTCTTCTGCTGGTGGGAGGCGTATATTGTTGATAGAAACAAACTGAGTTAGTTGAAGCGGATCTGAAATGGGTTCTGGGTCTCCGTGCTATGAAGATAAAAAAATTAAGAGAAGTACGTATTTGAGGAAGGCATATTGAATATGTAACATACTCACTGCTCTCGCGTGTAGAAGGAGAGTAGGTGAGAAATTGATTGATTGAGAGTCTGGCCATGGGTACACCAAGGCTAGCTTGTTATCCGTTTTTTCTATCGCTGATATTCATCCTTTTCATCTTCGGTTCTTGTATTCGGATATTTCTCCAAGTCAAGAGGTCTATATCTCTCCCTTTAGCTGGAATACTAATCATTTCTTCCTCTAGCTAATTGAAGTGCCCAAAGCTGAGCTTGTTCTTCACACTCGATCGTCAGAAGTCACTCTTCGCAATCAGACCTGCCATACGCTCTTTAAAACTCATAGTGAAAAGAATTCGTTTTATTCTTCATTATCAAAAAATAGCGAGGTCCTAATCTTTGATTGTGACTTGAACCTTTCTTCCAAGGAGTCAGGATATGACAACATTGTTAGCATATACTCGTCTGCTGAACTACTACAGCAGCTCACCCAACTTTACTTGAACCCAAGCACACCCCTTAGCTTGCAGCAATTAAGATTGGTAATAATTGAGAACATCTCTGTGTTCTATTGGACGTTGAAATTGGGCAGAGATTTGAATTATTATGTCCAATTGGCTGATTTACTATCGAAGATCACTCAGAAATACGGCTGCAACGCTATCGTTACCTCTTGGGATAATGACTACGAAAGAGGCTATAACTACAATAGACAAAGACTGGGGAATGAAGCACATGGAGATGTTCAGAAAGATCCGAACCAGCACACTCTCCAGAATGTATCATATTTGCCGAGGCAATACTATGACAGGGTTGACCTTGTCACACATTATGGAGGAGGGTTTGTTTTTGAGCCGAAGAAGGAGAAGAGTGAGAGAGTTAGATGAAAGTAGAACTGTCTTGGATATTGCTAGTACACTCCCGACAAAATTATAATTGTGTGCTGTAGGTGAAGCAGTTGATCTTGAGGAGCTCGAGAACAAAGCTCGATTGACCTGGCTACTGTAGGATCAAAAGTTGTCGTTCACCAATAGAAACCAAGTTTCGATAGCTTAATAAGAATCCGAATCAACTGCCCTATCCTACAAACGTCAACTTGTACCCTTTATGAGCCTAGTAGTCCATTGATAGCGGAACCTTCTGCTGGGGCATACATACGATATCTACAAATCAGCGTATGACGGGGCGGGGAGGCAATAGCTGGTAACTACGACTTTAAACTACAAGTATCACCAGAACTAATGTAGCCGAATACATTGCTGAGGTCAATTTCAATTCCGAAAATTTGCTACTATCTACAGTTTTTCCTGTTTCACGATATTCTCCTCCTTCTTTCAAGTTATTTCAGTATTTTTCTTTTATTTCTTCTTTAACTACGTTTATTTTACTCATGATTCATGCTCTCTACATAACAGTCAAATCACCGAACTTTTCCTTGTAACCTGGAACGTTCCACTTACCGTTCTTAACCATGTAAGTGACCTTTTCGTTCAAGTCTGGTCTGGCAGATGAAACGTCTTCGACGGTCAATTGGTCGAATGGTCTGGCACCTTCAATATCCTTTAAGGTTTCTTCTAATTGCTTGATTTCCTCAGTAACGGACTTGGCAGTCAACTTGGCATTTTCAATGGCCTTTTGTTCGAAAAGGTCAATGGTCTTGATGGTCTTAGAGACATCGTATGTGATTGGCTTGAAAGATTGGACAGCTTTTTCAACTTCGTCGATGACCTTGGAGTTCTTTAAGACAGATCTGTAGTGAGCGAAGTCAACTTCAGTGGATTGCTCAGTCAATGAAATGTATTCCTTTTTGGCTTCATCGTTTCTCTTCTTGAATGAAGTCAATGATGCAGAAGTTTGGCCAGTTAATCCCAAAGTGGTGATGATCTTGGCCCAATCTAACTTGGTGGAAGCAGTCTTAACAACACTTGACATAATGACGAATGATAGATAGGTATGGAGTGTACTGGAACTACGGAACGGTGTTGTCTATATGTGGACTTTGTTCGTTTTTTTCACTCCGTCTGGTTTGTGAGAAACTCGGATATTTTGGTGCTCGGCCAATGAGAATGGATTGGAACGGGTGCACGACCGCGAGGTTAGAGTGTGAAACTTGAGGGAGAAATAGGGTGGTTTGGGAGTGCATATGGCAGCGTGCGCAGGTTGGTGGTGGAAGGTGAACTGGCAATAGGCTGAGAGGAGTGAATTGGCAATAAGCTGAGAGAAGTGGGTTGCAATGAAGAGGTTTAGATCGAGGCGACGGAAAGGAAAATTGGGGAAATAAAAGCGGTCAAGTGCGTCAATGCGTGAAATTGAGCTCGAGTCTTGTATTTTTAGAGTGAATAGTGCTCAGTTTCTGGTAAACACTGACCCATACGAATACTCTGGCATGGTGAAATGCACTGGTAGAAGTGGGTCTCACGGGCTCAGTAAATATCAGTGAGGGAATATTGGCGAGAGATTTAGTGAGAGAAATATCAGTGATTGAAATATTAGCGAGAGAAATTTTAGCGAGAGAAATATTAGTGAGAGAAACTTAGGAGGAGTGTACGCGCGCGCAGCTAACAAGACCCTTCTGTACAGCATGAACATTCTACTTCCCCCTACACTTCTCATTTTTAGGGGCACAGAAAATGGTCGCAGTTAGCTGCCCAGTGCTATTTCCAGTTCAGTGTTCCAGATGTTCCATTTTTGCATGCTTAAAGCATCCAGGGCCCACATTGTTTCGTTCTTTCTTCACATTGTTGGTTCTTTTTCATATATTTGGATTCTCCTGCCTACAGTGAACGGTCCCAGCTTCGTTTGCGCTGCATTCGACCTCTATCTGGCCCTTTTCTCTTCCCTTGTCCTACCTACCGCTGCTTTTCTCTCTCTCTTCATTCACCCCACTTTATTTTTCACTGCACCGTAGTTTTTCATTTTTCGCTAGACGCGCTCACAAAAACGCAATTGCATTTAGACCAGGTAAGATCTTCTTCATTGATCAAGCTCTACGTAGCCCCCAGCCCCTAACCCAAGCCCAAGCCGTTGTATATAGACGCTCACCATGGCCACCAAGCAAATGAAAGGGTTGAATTCCTTCATCATGGACTTGAGAAATAGCCGAGATGTTGAACAGGAAAACAAAAGAATCAACCTCGAGATCAATAACATCCAATCTAAATTTAAACATCACTATGCATCCAATGAAGTAAGCACCAATACCAATTCCAATGGCAAGGACGATATCTCCCTTTCAGGGTACCAGAAGAAAAAGTATATTTGTAAATTGATCTATATATACCTCCTAGGATACTCTGAAGCAACAAACTTTGGAGTTAGGGAACCATTGAACCTTGTAGCATCTACCGTCTACTCCGAGAAACAGACCGGATACTTGGCTCTATCCATTTTGTTCAAAAGATCTCCCACAAGTTCGCTCAAAGAACACTTAAATGATTTGATGGATGTCATGAACGGCTCATTGTTGAGAGATTTACAATCGAATAATGAGGACTTCAATTGTTTGGCCTTACATTTCATTTCTTCTAATTTCAATATCGACAATGAAAGAATTGACACCGAGGGTTCGTCTAAGATACACATAGTTGACGACCAGGATGACAACGCCCGTCAATGGTTGGAGCTCACTGATTTGGTGTTTTCGTTTGCAACTTCTCCCATAGTTGCCAAACATACCAGGAAGAAGGCTGTGCTTGCCTTGCACGTTCTCTTTAAGCTTTATCCCGGAGTTATCATTAGTAACAGCAATTGGGTTCCCCGTATACTTTCGCTACTTGAAGAAAATGAAGATCTAGGGCTATTGACTTCATCAATCCCTCTTATTGAGTTTATAACGACATCCATTAGTGCCAAATATGCTAAGTCCACGATGTCTTCGATAGCAAGATACCTTCATCGCTTGCTCATTGAAGATGCATGTCCCAAAGAATACTACTACTATTCTGTTCCAGCTCCATGGTTACTAGTTAAACTTCTTTCATTGGTAGAACTGTTATTTTTGTTGGTCGATGAAAAAACGGGGAACACTGTTTTGACATTGACTGACTTGGACCTGACCACGATCGGCAACTTAAGACTGGTAATTTCCAGATCAATCCAAAACTCTTCTCAGCCTGTAAAAGGCTTACCTAAAAAGAATTCAAACAGTAGTATCCTCTTCCAAGCAGTGTCGTTGGTTATCTTCTTAAATGCATCGAACGAGGCGGTAAAGGGCGCAGTGAACGCGTTAATTTACTTGTTGGATTCACACGAAACTAATACAAGATATTTGTCATTGGATGCATTAATCAAGCTCATTGGTAGAGGATCAATCTCAGATGTTGGTAATGTTTTTTTCACCAATGAATTCAATATTTTGATTCCTAAACTTTTTCACTTATTAAGTAGAGACAAAGATGTGTCTATAAAGAGAAAGACGTTGGATTTATTATACACTCTCTGCAATGGGTCCAATTATATCAATATTATTAATGGTATCTTGGAGTTTTATCCTCATTGTGAGTATTCATTGAAAGGTGAAGTTGCCATTAAAGTTGCGGTATTAAGTGAAAAATATGCAACTGAACTGACGTGGTATGTCACTACCATGTTAAATTTGATCTCTCAGGGAACCTCAGCAGCTGCAAGCACGAGCACCAATAGCCACGGCAGTAGTACACAGATCGGAAATGAAGTGTGGGAAAGAATTGTTCAAATCATTGTAAATAATGAAGAACTTCAAGCTCAAAGTTGTAAAAAAATAATTTCTTTATGCAACAAGTCAAGTGGCAGCAATGCAGTCTCTGAAAACATAATTAAAGTTGGGGGTTTTGTATTAGGAGAGTACGGTCATCTCATAGTTAATGAAAAGAGCGATGGTGATGATGATTACTCTGCAGAAAGTCAATTTCAAATCCTCTTTAGTGGGTATTTTAGGTCTAGTCTTTCCACAAGAGCGATGCTATTAACGTCGTTTCTCAAATTCTTTGAGAAGTACCAGGATGAGCCTTTCATACCCGACATTATAGATCTTTTTGAAATATCTACGCAGTCTATTGATTTGGAAATTCAGACAAGAGGATTTGAATACTTGAAGCTTTGTACTGCTGATAATCTGAAAGAATTGTTATCAGTAGTTACTAGGCAATTTCCTGTCTTTGAAAAGAAGGTGAGCCCCTTAATGTCAAGAATTGGTAATGTTGAAAGGATTGTAGGTAGAAATAGATCATCGTCATTCGTCAACCCGCATACCATACAACAGCAGAAGTCAGCAAAGTCTCCTTCTGTAACGCCTCCGCCGGCATCAGGTTTAACAGTCCCACCCTTAAATGCTCCATTCAAGGGAGTTGGACAACACAGATCTGTTTCCACTTTAAGTTTACCCGTAACAGAAGAGATAGACGAAGATGAAAGTAATGACGACGAATTAGTTGAAAGCAGAAACCAAAAGACGTTTGAAGGAGAGGAAGATCCATTTCACGATGGGGTCAAGGAAAAAGTCATCTTATCTCCTAATTGGTACCATGGATATCATCGTATGTTACAGTATGATGCTGGGATCTTTTATGAAAATCAATTTGTCAAGATACTTTACAGGATCATTAAAGCCAATTCCAACATCCAGTACAAGTTCACAATTATTAATAATGCTGCCAAAACAGCAGGAACTAACCTTACAGGGTTTACAATATTGGATTTGGAGAGTTCTGCTTCTAAAACAGATCCTAATTATCTTATTCAGCTAGGTAATCAACCTGAACAGACGATCGCTGACAAAACTACATTTGACGTTAATATCAAGATAAGAAATATAGTAGAAAATGACGAGAGTCCAATTATTACATTATCATTTAATAGTGGAGGTTCTTTTAATCAATTGAAATTAAAATTCCCTGTTTGCTTCTTGAGAACTTTGACGTCAACAAATCAAATAGAATTGGAAGATTTCAAGAAGAGGTGGCTACAAATTGGAGAGCAATTGCCTGGTCCTCAAGGCGAATGTATTTCCAGAACACTCACAAATTATAGATGTAACTCCCTGAATGTAGTCAGATTACTAGCTAGATTGGGATTTAATGTTGTATACAGTACTCCAGATAATACAGAGGCTGGAATTTTGGTTATGGGTGCTGGTATTTTACATTCACAAAAATCAAATTATGGTGTATTGGTTACAATTAGAAGTACTGATGATGTTGGAAAGGAATTTGAAATTATAGTACGTTGTACTGGAGGAGGGATTTCAGAAGTGATTAATTCATCCTTAAGAGAAGTTTTGGAAGGAAAATTCTAGATGCTTTATTAATTATGCTATATAGAAGGTAGAAGGGAAAATATGATTCTTTTTGATATATCCAAATAAAATATATTACTCTCGAGTTTTGAAATTATCGTAGGAAAATAAAATTGTAACTACAGAGCCTGGATCTAGAAGTGTGTGGAAGTGTCACAAAGAAGAACATATGATACATACTTTTCAAAAGGTGGGTAGAATCAGGGTCTTTTAACATGTTGCACATGGTTAGATCTTGTGCTTGTTCCCTTTATTTCACAGTCATTGGAGAAAGTCTTGGGTCTAAGTAGTAACTTGTCCACCAGATTCCTAAAAACTCAATTCTTTGCCAAATTCTGATAATTTCCTGCAAAAATTAGCCTAGAGTTACTTCACAACGCTCCAGATCAAAAATATCCCCGCAAAACCTTTTGCAATAAGTAGTATCAGTATTTCAGCTGGCACACCATGGTTCTCTCTAGGTGGCATATTATACGAGTTTGGTAATGCCTAATAAGGTAACTGCTATATATGCAGGAAATCCACATCATGATTCACGCTGAAGGTATACTTTCAGAGTTTACACCCCACACTGGATGTCCACATTTGGCAACCTTTGAAGGTCTTAAACAATTCACAGAGACTAATAACTCACTTAGCATTTCAGTGGAGAGCCCATGATAGAGCTTTTTTTGGCGAAAGTTCTGCTGTATGGGTTGAAAGCTAACGAGGACACACTCGATGTCCTTAGTAATTACCGTTGTAACAAAATAATTCACCATTTTGTCACCAGTACAATAGAATACATTGCTGAGTTACCTTATTAGGCTTATTATTATCCATCGTATAGTGCTGAGCCAATCTATTTTGTTCCCAAAATTGCTTCGAAGTGGTGAAAAATATGAATCGAGAAATCTTAAGAAAACCTTAAATTTCCTATTTAGGTGAAAAAATTGAGCCGCACAGAAGCTGCAAAATAGAAGAGGAAATATAATTTATAAAAGAATATCATTGTCCGACATGAACAGGAATCTGTTTGAAGGAAAGTATAACTAAGAACATACATTCATTTATACGGGGCCATTAAACTAGGTTTTATTCTATCATTTGAACTGGTATTGCCTTCTACCAACCCAAACCGACAGTATACTATTTATTAAAGTAGAAACATGAAATTTTCAATTTCCATTGCAGCCTTAATGGCCGTGGCAGCAGCTCTTCCTGCTCCAGTTGTCACTGTAGTCCAAGTAACCACAGAAGTTGTCAACGAAGACGGATCACTTTATACCAGCACACCAGTAGTCGCAAGCGCTGCCCCAGCAGCTGCTACAACTGCAGCAGCAGCAGCAGCTTCTTCCTCATCTTCATCTGGTTCTGGATTACTTTCTTGGCTCAAAGGTGTTCTTGGTGATTACTTGGACGGAGACGATGAAGCTTCTGCAACAACTCCGGCAGTTGCCGCAGCAGCCGCCACGACTTCCAGTGCTATTGCCTATGCTGCTCTACTTGAAAGCACGTCCTCATCGCCAGTTGCGTATGCTGCAACCTCAGCAGCTTCTGTTGCTGCTCAGTCAACAAGTGCTGCTACAGTTGCAACATCTCAGGCTACCTCGACATCATCTTCATCAGACCTCTATGCTGATATCTACAAATCTTCCGGAATTGACGAGACTTTCGCTAAGGATATCTTAGATGCTCACAATGAAAAGAGAGCACTTCATTCAGCCCCAGATCTTTCTTGGGATCTTGACGCTTACAATTATGCCCAAAATTATGCAGATGCTTACGACTGTTCAGGAGTTTTAACTCATAGTCATGGACCGTACGGTGAAAACTTAGCTGCTGGATTCAAAGATGGCCCTTCCGCACTTGAAGCATGGTACGAAGAAGGAGCTACTTACAATTACGCTGCTGGCAATACTTACGATCATTTCACTCAAGTTGTTTGGAAAGATACAACCAAAGTTGGTTGTGCTTACAAGGACTGTTCCTCTAATAACTGGGGCTTATACATTATATGTTCATATGATCCAGCTGGAAATGTTGTGGGAGAGAGCGCTGCTAATGTTTTAGCAACATAAAAAAAAAGGACCAACCGCTTTTCAAAATATCTTAGTAGTTGACCAAAGTAGCAAAGATTGATAAGTTACTCGTACATACCTTCACTATATCCACTAATAAAAATTGTAATGCATTATAGGCTTTGTAGTTGATCTTCATGGTTCCGTTTCGCTAGGCGAAAAATTCATCACCAGCGCTCATAACCATATGCATCAATATGATTTCCCTTGTAAAACTATTCTGTACTGCACCCTTTATGGAGACACATCTTGCTTGAAAGCACCTGCTATGTCCTCTCCTGAGTATTACTGTAGTAACGGTCTTCGCTTTGTGCGACCGTACTTCCATTTTTTCCAAACACATGTTAAAAGCCGTTGGTTAGGGAGAACTCTACTAGAAGTTTGTGCGGAAGATCTCCATCTTAGGCCCGAAAAGATAGAGTCTCAAGTTAGAGATGGGAAGCTCTACGTAATTAGCAACCAAGGAAGAGCTGCTTCCACCTTGGAGATTAAAGATTGGGGTATTTTGAAGAGAAGAAAATTACAGAGGCACGATTTAGTATGCCACTTGAAACATACTCATGAACCCGCAGTACTCTCCAACACAAGTAATGATGAACCTGGAGCATCAACTGAAATTGTTTACCAAGATGACAACATTCTTGTAGTGAATAAACCTTGTGGAGTTCCAACGCATCCATCAGGATCATTCAGATATAACTCAATGACGGAAATTCTCGAGCATGAGCTCAAATACAAGCTATACCCGTGCCACAGACTTGATAAATCAACTTCGGGAATTCTAATTATGGCGAAGAATAAAGAAGCAGCTGCAAGTTTCAACCAGAATAGAATTACTAAAAAGACCTATATTGCTCGCGTCAGGGGCAAGTTTCCCAATAGTGATGATCCAATAGCTGTAGTTGCCCCAATTTTCACACTTAATGCGGCGGGTGGCTACCTAGGTCAATCTAATGCCAATAATCTAGCTCTTAACCTGAAAACCCTTTTTCAGAGACTATCATATAACGCTGAACAAGACCAAAGTATAGTTTCATGTCAGCCTGTTACTGGCAGAATGCACCAAATACGAATCCACTTGAGAAATATGGGATTCCCCATAGTCAATGATAAACACTACAACTACTTAGATTATAGTGGTTCAACCAGAGATTGTAACAACCTAGTTCTTGAATTGTATCGCCGTATAAAACAAATTCATCCTATGATAAATGAGTTTAAGGATCCAGAATTCAATATAGACGGTACTGTTGATGTCTACAGCGCCACTGATTTCTACAGTGATGTTACGCTTAGATCACAAATATCGGATCTACAGAAGCTAAAACTTTCAGAATTACAAGAAGAAGGAGAGAATGACAAAGAATTTTGTGAGGAATGTGGCGATTATTATAGAAATTCTAAACAGAGTGCAGAAGACCAGAAGATATGGCTACATTCTTTAAGGTATAAGTACCAGGGGGACCCAGATTTGATATTTGAGACGGAGTTACCAGATTGGTACAATATAGATTAGGAATGTACATAGAAGAACTAATTCATTAACCAAGCATCTGACATACTCACCGATACCTATACGTATGCTCTGAGATTACTTTTCTCTTTATTCTATTTCCTAAGAAATGGAAACTTTGGACTATATCCTCTGACATTCTTCTCCCCTGGGGACTTATAAAGTCTTAAGGATTTCCGGAATTCTTCTTTCTCTCGTGGAGATACCTGAGGAGTTTCTAATTTCAACTTACCGCTTAAAATCTTTTCAATTGCATTATCGATAGCACTCTGAACCTCTTGCTTTTCTTGTTCGTTTTTCGGTATAACAAACAATCGAAATTGATAAACTCCCCGTACCTTCAGAATTTCAGATTCAACGTTCTCTGGTTGTACATATTTATGCAACGAGTTGAATAAACCTCTTTTAACTATTCTCCTAAACAAGACTCTTTTCACTGCAGAGTTTAGCGGAGACAACACCTTATTGAAAAAGAGATGTCTTTTATATTTACCGTTATAGCTCTTAAACTGTTCGCTTAGCTGAGCGTTGTTGAACACGAACCCACCACTGCTATTGGTGAATGTATATGCTATATTAGACTTTCTGGCGATACATAAAAGGTGGTCATCAGGATAGAATTTCAATTGGAAATACTTGCCACTAACCAATGTCGGCACCGTTTTGGTGTTTTTCTTACGGTTTAGAAACCTATATGCCAGCAGATCTATTCCTTTAATATCAGTTGGAAGAGCTGGGAGCTCATCCTCTCGTGCGGATACTGGGACTGTCTTTGGGATGTTATAGTAGTACTTATGGTTTGATAGTACAGAAGGTGGAAGTTCAAATGGAAATTTGAAGTTTAAGTTGGACTTTATGGGACTGGTCTTGGTTTCAACGACTGGTAAGGGTATAGGTTTTATCTTAGTGTTAGATATGTTAAGGCGCACTATTCTACTTAATGATGCTGGCAACATGCTGATTGGCTTGGTCTTCCTTACAGAACAGAAACGTAGCAGCAAGGAGAATCGATGTATTAACAACTGTAAAAGTACCCTCTAGGTAGAAGTTCCATTCAAAAGAAGTCCAATATAGCTGAGAAGCCTACGCATCTTGTACTACCGTGCCGATGGAAGACGCACTCGAATTTTCCAGTGCGATGCCCCACAGTCCGAGAGAAGTTGCAATAGAGAGTTAAAATAGACTATGGATTATATATATAAGCAACAAGATTACATTATCCTCTGCTTAAGGACATTTTCCTTTTGAAAAGTCAATAACTCAAAGAAAAAAAAAAATTATAAGGCCCCAGTTCTTATCCAGTTTATTGTGTATTGTTCCTACTATTCTGTATGAATGCTATATGTTTTCACTCTATTAATGGCTGCCAAAGACTCACAGTCGTGTCAGCAGATGCAAATGTCAATAGTTTAGGATTGAATGCCAATATTTTCGGTATACCTTGCAGGGTCTCTATAACTTTTAATGGCTTTATGACTTTGTAGCTCGTTTCCACTGTATCATTTCCTCCTTCCGTGGTTTTGATGGATGATACGTCAAAAACATGCACTTCGTGTTGAGATGAGCCTACTAAAACGAACCGGCCACACGGCGTAAACGTCAGTGATCCATTGAAGGGATATTTGAATTCCATAGCTCCATCAGGAACATGTAGCACACACAATGGTTGTCCCAGGAATGCATCAACAATATAGTGATTATCAGAATTCGTACAGACCAATAATAATTTACCATTGTTCGAAAATTCCAATTTATTCCATTTACATGGTATGCTCGACTCCACCTTCAGGGTCAAAAAGGGCTTCTTGTCGAAGTTGGTAATATCATAAAACTCAATTGTCGAAGTAGAATATTTTCCCACTACAAATATAACCCCCATCGGATCGTACGCTACGATAGAGGGACTTCCTGTATCTATATTCCCCGTTGGATTAGAAGACCTTAAATCCCACATCTTTACAGTTAAGTCCATACTTGAGCTTAGAAAGGTATCATGTACCGGATCAACCTCTAGACTTATGACTGTTTCTTTATGGCCCTTAAAATACCGAAGATACTGATTATCATCCAATGAAAGGTACCTTATCGAATTGTCATGATCCACCTCTTGAAGATTGGAAGTTCCCACCGGAGTTGAAGCATACAAGCAGTTCTTATTCAAATGTGTGAATTTGGCCAAGTGCGCACCGTACTTTTGTGACTGTATATCCTTAATGTGTATTCCCTTGTGATTATCATACAATTGAATCGATTTATCTATACCTGCAGATATCAAAAATTGTCCAGAATCATCATAATCTAGAGAGGTTATACTTGCTTCCTTGTGATAATTGAACCTCTTCGTAGGAGTGAAAGACTTGACTACTGCAGGAGATATTTGGAGCGTAGAAGAAGAGTTGGAGGTGGAATTGATAGAAGGAGAGTACATTCTCTGATAACCACTGTTAAGACTCTACAGCGAGGAGATACGATGTACCGACTGGGTTTTTCTTTCCTATTTCTTATTTCATTTTATTTATTTATCATTCATTATTTTTTTTTTTTTTTTTTCTTTTTGAAAAATTATTCTGCCTAGCTAATCGCGTTTCAACTATTAAGGTTAAAGGCTAAACCGATCATCTAGGAAAACAACGCACTATTCCCAGCAGATTCTGGGGATTCTCGTCGTACAAAAGAAGTGAAAACGTGCCATGATTAACTGACTAATCGCTTTAACTCAATTCTGGTTCAGTTTATGAAATAGGCTGAGTGCCAGTCATCTCTTACCTTATCTTTCCAAGAACTTTCTTTCCTTTTTTTTTTGGTATAAATTTAGCTGCACCATTATATAGGGCAGTGGCTCGGCTCCTGCACACAACGAAGATCATATAAATTCGAAAACGCAACCTCCTTTTTTTTTGAGGGGGAGCCTTGTAGCGATTTTGGAAGTGCTTAACGTTTCAGTTGTTTAAAGATTGTTTTGAAGGATCATAATATTCAACTTATTCAATTACACGACAATGCCAAGCCCACCATTCAAGGTAATCTCCATATTTGAGTACAAGTCTGACTATGACGACGATTTACCGTTCCCTGTGGATCAGGTAATAACCGTTGATACAATCGAAGATGATGAATGGTACTCTGGGACTTTAAACGGACGTTCCGGAATGTTTCCCAAAAATTTTGTGAAAGAATATGAATCTGCAGAGGTGAAACCAGCCGAAGCGACGCCAATTGAGTCTATAAAGCAAACAGAAGCTGTGGAAGAACCTGCCCAGAGCAGCTCGGTGGTAGAACACGTTTCTCCAACACAGCCGAAGGTGGCACCTGCTCCCGTGGAAGCACCCAAGTCTCCAACTGCTGCCAAAATAACAAATAAATTCCCAACCGGAGGAGCGGTTTTCCCCAATCAGAAGATTCAGGATCCTTATGCGGTTAAAAAACAATTCGTTGCTAGCTCGAAGTCCTCCTATGTTCCGCAAATAAAGCCCAGAGATGATTCGAAGGTTGTTCATAAAATGCACAACGAGGTACCTGTTAGGGAGATCGTTAATCATAACACAGAGGAGACCGAAAAAGAAGAAGTTGCTCCTCAATTGAGTTTGAAGGAGAGAATTGCATTGATCCAGAAACAACAACAGGAGGAAGCGGAAAGAGAGGCTGCTGCATTGCAAAAGCAAAAGGAGAGAAAGATCAAGGCTGCTGAGGAGAAGGAAAAATTAAAGAAAGAGAAAGCAGCAGCAGCATTGGCTGCTCCTGAAGCTAATACTGATGATGTTGATGCTGCAGATGCTGAATATGTCGAGGTGGATGAACACGACACCCACTCTCACAAATCAATATCACGTCACAACACTGGAAGATCTTCCATTATCCACGATCACCATGCTACTGATGGTGGTGTAGTACATGGACAACTGATAGGTGAAGATGCTGATCAGGAAGAACAACTGGGCGAAGAAGACGCTGAGAAAGCTGAAGAAAATGAGGACGAAGAAGGGGCCGAAGAAGAAGAGGAAGAAGAAGACGAAGAATTACGCAGAAAGAGACTAGTTGAACGTATGGCCAAGATGTCTGGTGGTAGGAATATGTTTGGTATGATGGGAGGAATGAACCCATTGGCGCCTGCTGCTGGAGCCAAGCCAACTTCTCCAAAGGCTAAAAAAATCACCAAAAAGGAAGTCGACGAAGTGGCTCCTATCAGTGCACCAAATGTTCCATCTATCCCTAAGCCTGTTTCTATTCTTCCAATTGGCGCTCCAAATGATTTGCCAGCCAAACTGAAAGGAGAGACCACTGCTGGTGGTGGTACGTCTTCAATGGGAGACGAAGAAGACGATTACACTGAGTCTGACAGCAAGTTCATAGATTCAGGGGATATTCATCCTGGAGCTGGCCCAATCAAGTCTCCCACGGAGTCCTTTGAGGAATCAACTACTATTAGAGGAAGTGACGATTCTCCTTCGGTTGATCCTGATTTAGAAGTTGCATCAAACCTGATTCATTTTGAACCGGAAGGAACGGGATATGAGGCTGATGTAGATTTATCCGATAAACCAAGGGGTGATGAATTATTGAGAAGAGAATCCATCAAGAGTAGACTGTCTGTGTCTCTGCACCCAGCACCATCGCTACCCTCAGTGGTACCACATGTTCCAGTTCTGCCTGAACTGAAGAATTTGCCTGAGCCAACTGTGGATGACCGTAGAGACGATGGAGAAATTTCACCTGCATTTGCAGTACCACCTCCATTACCGGCCCACCCGCCAATTCCATCCGCAGTCGCACCTACTTCTCCTATTCCACCTGTTCCACCTATTCCACCCATTCCACCCATTCCTTCTGCAAGACCACCACCACCTGCACCCCCATCAATTCCAACGCCACCTGTCCCTTCAATCCCGGTCGCTGATAAGCTGTTCAATGAGAATGCCTATGAAGAAGATGAAGATGCTGATTCGGAGGAATACGATTTTGTCCCGGTGAGCCCATCTAGAGCTTTCAATGCTCCAAGTCATTCTCAGGTACCCGGTCGTGCTCCTCCGCCACCGCCACCAACAGGTGCACCAGCACCTCCTTTACCGACATCTGCACCACCTCCTCCATCACAACAATTCTCTCGGGCTGCTACAGATATTCCTTCCTCTGCTCTACCTTTGAACAGAACCTCTACTGGGACCTCGATTGGTTCTACTGGCAGAAGACATTCTTCAGATTTCAATCTACAGCGCACAGGATCCTTTACCTCTCCTACCAAGGATGGCGTCTCTCAGGCTCAGTCTGCTTTCAACGATTTAGAATTTGAAATTGCAAACATCAACTCCTCTTCGAGTTGGTGGTTGAAGAATGACTTGCCCGAATCGCTTGCTCCAAAGATCGGTGCAGAATTGACATTTGAAGTCGATTCTCATTCTATAACTAAAAGATTAGGTAGACATCTTGTCTTGAAAGATTATTATGTATTATTTTCCGATCTTTCGCAGCTAATCTTTGAGCTAGAGTACGATTCTGAAGATCCTCGCTCCACTATCAAGTTTGTTAATTACTTTGTGAAACAATCTCCTATTGTCCGTAAAGATTTACTTGACAAGAGCTCCAGGGAGTTTGGTCACAAGATTGTTGAATTAGCAGGTGCCAGTCAAAAGATTAGCGGTACTGATGGGCTTGTGTTTGAAGTGTTGGATAAATTATCTCACTCTGACAACTTATTGAAGCCCATCGGCAACAAATCCTTTGGAGTCCCCATTTACCGTAACACCAACAACGTGAATATCGGTAAAGTTGATGAAATTAAACCAGGTGATATTCTTTGTATTAAACTGGGCAAATTTGTAAACCATAAGGCTTTTAATATTGGAAAAAACAGCCATATCCATGTGGGAGAAGATGGAGACGTATTCAGCGCGATTATCTATGAATTTGACCCAAAGAAGGACAGGTTTAAAGTATTGCAGCTGGATGCCAGTGGCTTGGTACATAAAGAGAGTTACAAACTTAGTGACATGAAGAGTGGAAGAATTAGAGTATTTAGAGTGGTAAGTAGGAGCTATGTCGAGTGGTAGGATCCTTAATACATGATTACATGAATACATAGTAAGAGTAGACAAGCGTATGGAAATCTTTTCGTTTACCAGGTAGCCGTCTAATAGTTGGTACGTACAACAACAAACTCTACACTTTACACGTTCCATCTCTTAAAAAACTCGGCTAAATAAATACTATCTATCTAAACGAAATACCCTTAGTCCAAAGTTGGCGAAACATGCATTAGTAAATTGTCACAATCCCTGTCACCTAAAACATTCATCAGAGAAAGAGAACCTTTTCTAGAGGCTAGAAGACTCAGTATAGAATTTAGGAAATTAGGATTTGGTGAGGAAACAACTAAAGATGATGGTTATTCAACTTTTTTAATTTTGGTGGCCTTGATTTAATTTTTCTGTTTTTTTTTCAATTCTTACCATTTTTCAAAGGGACTAGTGTTACTGGGGGTAAACGGAGGAGATCGATAGGGGAAGATACTTTGTTTTTAAGACGTATTGGTTTATGTTAATCGTGTTCATTCTAAATTATGCGGCGGCGTACTTTTCATGTCATCTAGTGAAACAGGGAGGTGGGTAGGGTAGTTTTCGTATTTTCGTTTGTGGGCGTAGGGGATCTGGGTTGTGTATTTCGATACAGTGAGGTACAAATACAATACAGCCGGTAGGGGCAAGCGTGGGTAGGGTGTAGGTGATTTTCGCTAGAATACTATTAGACTCTATTTTCAAGCATTTTTCTTTATTATTAGGGGGGTAGGGACAACGGCGCTAATTAGGACTGAACACGGATTGGACATAATACTTCTGCAACATTTATTGTAACGTTTCCATTTTTCTTTCTCCAACTTTGGACTGAAGGTATTTCATTTAAATAGACGGTGGTGAAACCGGAAGGAGCCGAGCTTCGAAAAGGACAGCTAGTTTCGGTTTCAGCTTCGTCTGTGTGGGATGTGTCTACAGAAAGAAGAAAGAATGTGTAACGCAACGAAATAAAAAAAAAAAGGGGCGGTCATGTATTGAGAAGGGAAGCGGTGGGAATCCTGCATGCAAAAGTTCATATATGCAGGCCGCGAAGGTCTACCGATCGCAACCCGCCGCAGCAACCCAGCAAGTGGTACTCGAGCCCCAGCACGCGCAGCGAGCTAGTGAAACTAAGTCACCGAGAAGGTGGCCAGGTGGTTGAGGAGGCAAAACAAAGGGTGAATCCGTGGTAAAAATTGGGAAGTAAGGCACTAAAACAATCTGCATGTCGTGTTAGGGCGAGCTGAGACCGAAATCACCCGTGAATACCAAGAAAATGCCAAGTTTACTCTTACCCTCTTTCTCAGTGCCACTCTCTCAGTCTGACCTTCGTGCACCTGAATTGACAATCCTGCACACACGACATCCTCATAGCCGCCGCATTTTAAAACACGTATGGTTGCGAAGCTTTTCATTTCAGTGGGATGAAAAATAGCAGGCTGAAGAAGTGTTATCTATTCCCTATATCTTTATTGCTTTAGCTTGTATTCAATGACCGGAATTGCTAAAAGAGCTTCTGGTATTCTGAAGTCTAGTTCGGCGGCGGCTTCTAAGCCAATCCAGGCGTTAGATCCCGACTTTGTTATCTCAATTGCTTACCCAATTGAGAAGGACTCTGGAGTTGCTAAAAAGAACCTTGAAATTATTCTTGACTCATTGTACCATCATGGGTTTTTCGCTCAAGTCAGACCCCAGGATGCAACTAACTTGCTTATCTTCGTGAAATTGGGCAGCTCTGCCTACCTGGAGGCCGTTGCCAAGGACTCTATGAGAGACTATGAGTTTGGCGTTACTTCTCCTTCAACTTCAGCCGCTCCTCCTGACAGGTTGAGAATTGTGTATCAAGTTTTGACCCACCCTGAGTCAATTGGAGGGGCAGATATCGAAGGCTATAAGTTTGTCAACTCCGTTATCCCTGTGAATTCTTCTTTGGGATCAAGCTCGACTCCTACGACTTCTGCTACAGTTGTTACCAAGCACTCAGCGGTCGAGATTTTCAAGTCAAATGCCTCAATTGATTCAATCAAGAACGTATTCGGAACCAAGGTTGCATTTTATTTTGAATTCTTGAAGTATTATATCGCCTGGCTCACCATTATCGCTCTGTTTGGTGTCGTGTCTACCCTTAAACTGAGAAATAGATTCTCCATGACTTATACTTTCTTGAACTTGCTTTGGGGGATACTTTTCATAAGTTTCTGGAACAGAAGGGAAAAGTATTTGTCCAATTCTTGGGGAGTTGAGAACTCTAGTCTTGTGGAGAAGAATATTTTAAAATCTTCAATTTCTACAATCCCAACCTTGTCAAATGCTGACGGTATCAGATTCCTTAAGCAGTTTGCTTTTGTTCCAATTGCCCTTCTCTTCGTGGCCACTTTGGTTACCTACCAATTGGGATGCTTTGTCTTGGAAATCTTTTTATCTGAAATTTATGATGGTCCAGGAAAGTCCTTGTTAACGTTGCTTCCAACCGTTTTAATTTCCGTGTTCGTTCCAATCTTGACAATTATCTACAACAAAGTATCAGATGCTCACGTTGCCTGGGAAAACCATGATAACAGGTACTCCAAGAAAAATTCTAACATTATCAAGCAGTTTGCTTTGAACTTCTTAACTGGATATATGCCATTGCTCATCACTTCATTCGTATACTTACCTTTTGCTCATTTAATCAAGCCAAATTTGGGAGACATCGAACTCTCAATTACTTCAACCATGGAAAATGCCTTTGGCCCTCACCATGGAGGTAGATTGCACAGGTACTTTGCCAAGTTGAAGAAACAAGAAGATTTCAAGTATAATCAAGAAAGATTAAACGGCCAATTCTTCTACTTCATTGTTACAAATCAAGTTATTCAGTTGGTCTTGAAGTATGGACTTCCATTCATTATCAAGTTTGTGATGAAGATTGTCAATGAGAAGATCTTGAAGAAGGATGTTGAAGAAAAAGTAGTGTTCCAAGATAGAGACGATGAGTCCGAATTCTTGGAAAGTGTACGTGAAAGTTTGAAATTACCAGAATATAATGTAGACGATGATTTCCGTTCGTTGATTTTACAGTATGGTTATTTAATCATTTTCGGTCCAGTCTGGTCATTGGCTCCCTTAGTGTCAATTATTTTCAATGTTGCAACCTCTAAATTAGATTTATTTAAGTTGCAAAGTGGTAAGTACTTCCGCCCCCCAGTCCCAGCGAGAAGCGACTCCATACACCCATGGAAGTATGCATTATTTTGTTTGACTTGGATAGGTCTGATTGTTTCGCCAATTATTACACAGTTTTACCGCCACGGTACTACTCCCCCTTTGCCATTAACTGAATCTGACGGTCCACTTGATGCTATTAAGGCCAGCGTTGATGATGCAATGGGTATAGATGGTGAAAGCCAGCCCGGACATAGGGGACCTCATCGTGGAAGAAAACATAAGAAGGGGCCAAAGAAGAATTTCTTCGAGCAGGCCTGTGTCAATGGATCCTGTTCTAGTTTTATTTCGCTTTTCTTCCTTTCTGAACATTTGTTCTTCCTTTCATATTTTGTTATTGCTAAATTTTCCCAACTTTACAAGAGCGATATTGAGCTCAAGAATGATTCCACTGCAACTGACACCAAGCTTAGAAGAGAATTTTACTCAAGCAAGCAGAGAAGCAAGAAGAATGACGAAAAGTTGCTAGCCGAACCAGGGGTTCATGAAGGATTATGGGAGCAATATGGATTAGACAACGCATTAAAACAAGCTGACGAATTGAAATTGAGAGAAAAGGAACTGGCAGATTCAGAAAAGGATGAATTTCAATTTTCTAATAGTGCCAGCCTGAAAGAAGCTTTAAATAAAGTTAAGGATGATGATGACTCTGTTATTCAAGTAAGGGACGGGAGGGGTGGCTACTCATATGCTACCATAGATAACAATAAACATTTTGAACCTCCTGTGTCTGTTTCAACCCCAAAGCCACCACAACACCAACCTCCTGCGGTTCCAACAGTTCCTCAAAGTGCCAGTAGTCAAAAAAGTGGAAGTGAACAATCAGAAGGAATCAGTTCTTCCTCTACTGACGCAGCAATTTACCAAAGCTTTGTCGAAAGTGCCGAAAGAAAGTCTACGGATTTATCCGAGAGCAAAGCTGATACCACGGTAAACACTGCAGACGAAGAAATAGGATCAGCAGATGTTAAGATTGGAAGAAAGAAGAGTGCTCTTAAAAAGTTGTTGTCAAAAAAGAAACAACTTACTCGTGAAGATTAAACTCTTATAACCTTAGTTACTTAGAACATTTTTGACAACGAGTTTGTTATATTACATAAACCGTATATATATATGTTTTTTCTATAAATATATAAGAAGTGAAATGGATTATTTCCTCTTAGACGTAGAATGCATTAGGTTAGAGCCTTAGTATCATTAATTCTTTGGTGGTCTTGCCCCAAAGATAGAGCTACCCACCCGGACACTAGATGAACCTTGTCTAATAGCCTCCTGGAAATCGTTTGACATTCCCATACTTAACTCTAACTTCAAGTTGTACTTTTCATCAAGTATGGATTTTAAAGATACCAATTTTTTGAAATCCGAGTTTTCATCATCAGAAGTTGAAGATTCAAATGAACCGATGGTCATCAAGCCTTCGAGGTTTAACAGCGTACATTCATCACTGAGAAGATATTCCACAGTTTCCGTTAATTCACTATCGCCTACGGCATACCCAGACTTTTGTTCCTCACCTGAAGTATTAATTTGCAAATATATGTTAATTTTTGAATCTGGATTGGAATTCACAGATTTTCTTACAGTGTCTAATTTCTTACATTTCTTCAATGAGTCAATAGTTTCTACAGCGTAAAGATTGTCAATGTTCTTGGCCAAATCCTTACATTTTCCGGTTTGCAACCCACCAATGAAGTGCCACTTAATATCCTTGGGTAATTCTGCAGCTTTTGCTACCAATTCTTGGACGTAGTTCTCTCCAAAGTGACGAACACCAACGTTATAGAGCGACAATATATCTGAGGCAGGCTTCAATTTGGAAACTGCAACCAACCTTACACTTGGATTAAGTTTGCGAACCTGGGACAAGATTATATTATAATTTTGTTCTAACTCGGCAGCTCTTAAAGAAGTAGATTGAGATGACATGTTTCTTAGAAATATTCTTATATTACTTAAGCTCATGAAGCAGCAGCTAAGCTAAGCTAAACTTTTATATCTACAGTTTTTTTTAGCTATCTCGAATTTTCCGATACCCATGTACTTCCATATATGGATAAAGCGCAGGTCAGGTGACTTGAGTCGAACAAATTGGTCTGATCTTACTGAAAGGGATGCTGTGCCTATGGAAGAAGGGCAAACAATGCTTAAGTTGTCAAAATGGAGAAAATTAGTGATCGAAGGCTGCTCACGTTCAATTACGGAACGACATGTATAATTTGTTTTCCCTCCATATCCTTTTCACGTTTCGATACTCATCTGATGAGTTTATGCAAGGTGAGCTAAATGTACAAGAAGGCTGTAGCCTGGCTTCAAAACCATAAACTGCTAGTACTCACCCCGAAAAACTAGAAAGAAATGAGCGAGACCATAATTTCATGACCTTATCTACAACATGTACAGCACCATCATCAGCTGGCTGTTTTGCCAGCGACTCGTGTATGTCTATGTGTGTAGCTCCCTACAGACCTTCCCCAGTAAAGATTGCAACCAAATCATCTCGCCTAGTTAAATTCGGGTCGCGCACGACTTTCGAGATGGCATCGGGAAGTTGGACGAATTTATTTTAGTTTTTCATTTTTCCAAATCTTTGTCATATCCGACCGAGTTGTTTAAGCTATCAAAGATGACTGACTTCACCTACCAGGGTGAGGATTTCGAAGACAAGGTTGTAAAGCAAGTGGAATTCTACTTTTCCGATTCCAATTTGCAGACCGATAAGTTCTTGTGGAAAATATACGAAGCTAATGACGGATGGGTAGAATTGAAGACCTTAATGACTTTTGGTCGTATGAGACAATACAGACCGGAAGAGAAAGTTATTGCGTCATTGAAAAACTCGGAAAAATTGGTACTCTCTGCCAATGAAGAGCTGATCAGAAGGAAGGATCCATTAAAGGACTTGAACGAATTAAAGACCATTAGAAAGAGGAACACGGTACACATCGAAGGGTTCCCACACGAATTGAGCCAAGAACAAGTTGAGTCTTGGTTCAACGAAAAAATTGCAGCTGTTTTACCAAAGAAGGAAGCTGCACCATTCAACTCCATTAGAAGAATTAGAACAAGACAAGACAAAAAGTTCTTCGGTGTTGTAGACGTTGAATTTAAAAATGGTGAAGATGCTGAATATTTCTTGAAGGAAATTGAAGTCAGTTATCCAGCTGGTGTTGCCGAGGCCTCCGAGAAGGCAGAAGAAGGAGCCGTAGTAGAAGAAGAAGAAGAAGCCGTTGCCGATGAACCTGCTGAAAGTGAAATTACTACCACCTCATCGGAAGAAAAGTCCGACAAAGTTGTTGACAAAAAATCTATTTTGAGAAAGATGTCCTTATTGACATTCCAAGAAATGAAGGAAAGTGGTAAGAGATTTGGTGTAAATGATGTCACTAAGAGACGTAACAGTTTCAACGACAACAGAGGTAAGCGTTTCAACAAGGGTGGAAACAAGAAGTTTAGAAAGAACGACAACAGGGAAAGAAAGGAAGGCTCAGAATCTGAATCCAAGTCTGAACCAGAACAAAAGGCTGCTGAGACTGCAGTCGAATCAAATTAAAGTACATATATATATTACATTGATAAGTTATAAACGTTTCATGATACATTAACATTAACGCTAAGATCATAGTAAAAAAAAAAAAATGGTTGCAAATTAGGACTGTATATAAGTACACATGCATTGAAATATTGACAATAAGACAAAAAAAAAAACCCGTAAATCGAAATCTTGACGCGTAAAAAATGTCAACACCAAAATAAAAGAAAAATAAAGCCTTTCGTTTTCTTCTCCTTACTCACCAACAGTAGCCAGCTCAGTTGAAGCCATTGCCATGTCAATTAAACAACTTGTTTCTCTCTTTGGACCGCAGGTTGCCAAGGATGATGCTCTAATTGACAAGTTGAAGTCAATTCAAGAAATTTTCTCTATAGATGAGGAAGATTTGCATCTTCACTGGGAGACGTATAATGTTACCAAAGCCAAAGAAGACTTGGACTTGACTGTAGAGAACTTAGAGAGACTTCAGGAATATATTCAAACTCAAATTGCCACGCGTGCTCCATCTTCTGGCTTGAATAATGTGAATCAACCCGAATCAACGACAGGATCAGGAGGACTTAAGAGGAAGCCGATAATGAGACAACCGATGGTCTCATCTAGTCCTAGTCAATCTCACCAGAATGGCGGTGCCCAGCACAACGTTCCTAGTACCCCTTCACTTAAAAGAAAAAAGGTGGACGAAACTCCATATAAAACTCCTAGAACTAAGTTCGATAGCTCACCTGTAGCAGGAGAGTACGCTACTGCAAATAATACATTCCAATCGCCAACGCCATCTTCAGTTACCGTGAAAGATGAAGTCAAATCCAATACTGTACTTGAGTCACTCAATCCTGCAATTGAAGAGTCTTTAGGTTACATTCAGCTCGAGGAGGATGCATCCACTGCCATTAAGCCATTCTCTTTGTCTGCAAACTTCGACCCTGCCAAATATAAGTTTAGAACTATGGCGATGAAGTTATTAGAAAGTGCTGATGTCTTAGATGATCAGATAGATTCTGTGTCTCAGCTTATTCAAGAAAAGAACAAATCTGTAGAATTGGGGAATCCCTGCTTGTCTACTCAGTTTTCAATCCATTGTTGCGGTAGAGTGGTTCCTGACTCACCTATATACGATTCTAATCATATCTTGAATGCCACTGCATTGTTTTTGGAAACCTCAAGATTCGGAGGCATTGGTCAAAGAGTGCCTCTTGACTTATCAAATATAGATGCATATTCGTTATTCCCCGGCCAAATTGTCTGCTTGAAAGGTACAAATCCAACCGGTAGAAGCTTTATTGTCGAGGAAATCGTAGATATCCCAGAATTGGGAGCTGCTGTGAGTTCCAAACAAGAATTAAATTCATACTTGGAGTTGACAGAACCTTCTAAAGGGCTCAAAGTAATGTATGTCGCGGGCCCATTTTCCAACAGTCATAAGTTGGATTATAAGAAATTCGACAAGTTGGTGGACAGGATAAATACTGAAGTTAAGCCTCATGTTGTAGTTCTATTCGGGCCATTTGTTGACATAACCAACGACTCAGTTTCCAGAGGTGATATAGAGCAGCCAGATCAGGGAGCAAGTAGATCATTAGACGAAGTCTTCAAAAGGATATTTGTTCCAATAGTCAAGAAAATCAACTCAAGAATCTCTGTGATCCTTATTCCTTCATTGAAAGATGTATGTATAAAACATTGCTCATTCCCCCAAGATTCTTTCAACAGAAAGCAGTTTGGTTTGCCTAAGAACGTGAAAGTTTTCCCTAACCCATCCTCATTTTCAATCAACGAGTTGACCATGGGTGTCTCCAACTTGGATATATTTAAAGATTTGAGAGATGTGTACAAGGGTGCTAGAGCGGGCGAAAACAGCTCTATATCTTCAAACAGATTTGAAAGGATCTCAAGCCACATATTAGAACAAAGAAGGTATTATCCAGTTGTGCCTGGCTCGATCAAGAAGAAGTTTAATAAAGATAAAGAACTTGACACTTTAAGCAATGGGTTCATGTCTGAGGAGCTTGCTGAAACTGAAATTGGTGGTTCATCTCTCGAGATGCCTTATTTGGGATTGACAGAGCTAGGAGATTCACTTCCCGATGTATTGGTTGTACCCTCCGAGTTGAAGTATTTTGCGAAGGTTGTAAAGGGTGTAGTAGTGGTGAACCCTGGCTACTTCATACGACCTAACCTGAACCCTGATAAGGAAGACGGCAGTTATGTGATTTTGAACGTGAAGCCTCCTAATGTAGATGAAGAAGAAAACAATGTAACGAAGGTTCCACCCACTGAGGGTGTTTCGGGAGACCTATACTTCCACAATGCCTGTGAAAGGACCAGGGTAGACATATTGAAAAGCTAATACAAGTTGTATTTAGACATGCCTCTGATCGTGGTTATGTACACACATATATAAATATATACTTATGTACATATATAAATACTTTGGCAATTTGCACCCATTCTCATTGTTCAGATAGGTATAAGTACATCATGTAAACGCAAACTTATACACATGTAGCCATGTAGCGAACTATTAGAGTTTGATATTAGACTAGAGCTATATTTTAACATTCCTACTCTCATATTACAAAACAGAAGAGCCCCATTCTCTTCTAAAATAAGTGACATTTCCCATTGCCAAATCTCGGTGCAGCTGAAAAATCTTTGGCCCAATTTTGGTTTGCACGAGTCAATGCGAATGCAACCAACTCTGTTCTTGTTGATCATTTGCTACACTGTAGATTATACCCGTTTTCTGTCCCTTTAGTTGCTGGTTTCCAATTCTGGGATCGGAATTCATCATGATACGACGTACTATGACATTAGAATTAAAGAGAATGAAGGATGTTTCGGTGAGGTCGCTCAGTAGGCAAATGTCTGCAATGACTCTTCGAGATTACCAAGAAGACTGTTTGACTTCAGTGCACAACGCTATAAGTCGCGGAGTCAGAAGACCCGCTGTAGTACTTGCTACTGGGGGTGGTAAAACTGTAGTATTCTCACATCTAATCCCCCAACTAGAGCCTTATACAGAGACCCAGGGATCGAAGACACTTGTACTAGCTCATAAGCAAGAACTTGTCTATCAGGCCGCTTCCAAGATTGCATCTGTAAACCCAAATTTAAAAGTTGCAATTGACATGCACAATATGAAACCAACTGAAGATGCTGATGTCATTGTAGGATCTGTACCAACGTTAGTGAGAATGTCTAGACTTGAGAAGTATGATCCCGCTGAGTTCAAGACAATCATCCTAGATGAATGTCACCACGCTACTGCTAAGTCGTGGGCTAAGATTTTAAACTATTTCCTGGCAGACCATAAGCAGCTGCCAATCCATGTCATTGGTTTCACAGCCACTATGGAAAGGGCAGATGGAAGCTCATTAGGGAAATTATTTGATGAAATTGTATATGAAAGAGGATTGATAGAGATGGTGCAAAATAAAGAATTGGTAGACGTCAAGTTTTCAACGTTAGATGTTGCCGTTGACTTCTCCAAAGTCAAAACCAGACTTAATGATTTCGATACCAAATCATTAAGTGATGCCATGAATCAGGATGAGATCAATTATCTGATGGCAGGCTCCTACTTAAGACTCTCACATGAGTTCAACTTTAAATCTACGTTGATTTTCTGTGTTGATATTGCCCATTGTAAAACACTATGTGGCGTATTGCAGTCACAGGGAATCAATGCCCAGTATGTCACAGGAGACACAGTGAAACATGAAAGGGTTTCCATATTAGAGGATTTCAAGCAGGGTAAAATTCAAGTCTTGTGTAATGTTTTGGTATTCACAGAAGGCACTGATATCCCCAATATCGATTCCTTATTTTTGGCAAGACCTACCAAATCGAGACCATTGCTTGTTCAGATGATAGGGAGAGGTCTCAGGTTACATGAAGGTAAGAGTCACTGTCATATTGTCGATGTTGCAGGTACCAGGTCGATAGGAATTCAATCCGTTCCCACCTTATTTGGAGTACCTGATTCTATGAAAGGAAGCCCCAGAAATTACGAAAAAACTCAAGATGAGGATGAAGATGAGTTAGATACTAGATTGATGTCAAAGGAGGAAATTAAAGAGCAACAGCGTATAAAACAGGAAGAGGCATTAAAAAAGAAGCTTTTGATAGAGGAGTCAAGAAGAGAAGCAATGAATGTGGCATTTCTGACTATAGATGGGTTTTCTTTATTATTACAAAAAGATATTAGAGGGTTTCAAAGTGATAAGAATATCCATCATGCATTCAATTCTTCCAAATTATTCTGGATACGATTGGAGTATGATGTGTGGGGAATTGCATTTCCTCCTATGAGCGATAAATTTTTCACAGTTCGTAGGTTATATGTACTGGAGCAAAAGTACTTCTCGCTTGTGGTGAACACATTCACATCGCGTGAGCACAAGATGGCTGCAGGGCATAAAGTTGCCAACTACCTGTCTGAGACAGAGATAATGAGGGATGCAAACTTACAGGCTGTTCTTACGAGAGCCGAAGTATTGGTCTCACAACATACTTCGAAGTATACGAACACTAGCATTAAATCTAACAGAGATAAACCTAGACATGCGACATCAAAACAGGTGAAGTTCGTTAAGGCTAAAGTAGTTACAAAGGCCAAGCAGTTGTACTCCAACTGGTCATCAGAAATGGATACTAAGTTGGATACAGAATTAAATGCCTTTACCCAATATAGAATGTCAGACTTAATATTTGCTATCAAGTACCTGAAGAATAGCTTATGGTTTCGTTGGGAACTACAAAAATTGCTAGGATATCCCGATAAGGAGAAAAGGTTGATTGATAAAATTTCGAAGAAGGATGAAAATGATGTTGACATTGGGTTTAACCAAGAGAGTCCAAAACGGATTCAAACTACATCAGCTCAATAGGAAAATTATTAAGTATTTAAAAGAAAGTATGCCATATACAAATACATATACATATAGATATATATATATATTGTCACGTTGTGGGTCTATTTTCCCACAAACCATAAGCCAATCAACACTAAGACGGTGATCCCACCGAAGATTTTGGTTTGCTTTGGCGTTATTTTTGTAAGAGTAGTACGCTCTTCAGTGTCTGCGCTCCCGAATAATAAGGAACGGTCCGTGGGTGCTGTCGAAGCATACGCTTCCTCATTTTGCTCAGTTGCATCATCAACCGGGTCATGCAAAATCCCATTCTTATCGTGATTGGCAACATACAAGATGTCGTCTTCCACTTCGTCGACATGCACATTTTGAACATTACCGAAGAAATCTGTCAACAAGGTTTCATTCATTGGGCGGTTAAACAACTTAGTTTCGATTCCCGGGTTCGAGTGCACATTCTCGAATGTATACTCATCGAAGAGTTTATCCATGGTAAGCTTAGAGTTCTTCTTAATCTTTTCCAAAAATTCCAACGTGTAGTAAGTGAATCTATCAATAACAGCCACACCGATGTCCATGTCGGAATGGTGAGAGTAGGATGATTCCTCAATGGCGGACGAACCCACGGAAAGAATGTTAGGCGAGTAAAAGTGTTCATACATTGTGTTTGCTTGGCAAGTGTCAATCATAAAAAAGATTTCATTGTAACGCTTCTTTTCGTACATTTGTTCGAATGCGTTTGCAATATCATAGGCACTGATCTCTTCAGCATCTTGGAACTTTAAAAATTCATTACCACCATGACCGGTAAGGTAAATGAAGATGTTTGAATTTTCATCTGTGAGTAATCTCTTGGATCTAGGCTGGTTCTCATCCCAACGATCTGTGAGCAATCTTATAAAGTTTTCCACAGTCACCTCGTATCCCCTGTAGTCGACTTCGATCAGATCACCATACAAATCGATAGCCTGATCTTGGTTATTGAACACGGTACCTGGGAAGGCGTTTCTAGGGTTGCACGCTATGTCATCAGAAAGCATCAATATGATCTGAGAGTCCGGAATCCCAAGTCTCTTTACCGTTCTGTATAACGACAACACATTGGCCATATGACGGTAATTGAACCAAAATCTAGAAGTAGATACCAAGACTGCCCAATTGTTTGTGTGGGTTGAAGATCCAGTGAACCCAGAGTTTTCAAACTCAGAGTTGGTTTCCTCGTCTGCAGTCACCAATCCTAGCAACACATACGATATTATTATATAAAAGAACGTGGAAGACCTCATATTGCTACCGTATGTGAATATAGACTAAAAAAAGCGAATGATAGATGAGAAAGTGGGCTTTGTACTGAACTGTACGGTGTAAGCATGTATGTGTTATTTATTTAATTTTTCATTGTGGATTTGTAAGCGACAAGCGCAGGTGAAAAGTGAGAAACTGTGGGCAGGCATTTAGTGGGTGCACCGCAAAACGCCAGGGGAACACACCGCAAAAGAGCACTACCGCGGAAAAACTGGCACTGTGAGAGCCTATTTCCCTAGAAATCACTGCGAAAATTTCGAGCTAGCTCCGCGAAATTGTAGAGCACCTCTGTGTAATAGGCGAGTGCTCCAGTAAAGCGAGCACTCAGAAAGAACAGGAGAGTGAGAGGAATGATGATACAGGTGGATAGAAAAAAGTCGAAAGAGGAAGAGATGAGCGGGCAGACTCACTCTAAAGGCACACTTGGCATAGTACCTTCACTACGACCAAGAAAACATACTCCATTTTCCGATAATGGTAGTACTGAGTACTGTCTCTATGTGTCTGAAACATAGACCTGCTTCAAGCATACAATTAAGGTTATATGAATTTTATTTAGGCGCACTCAAGATAGATAGGCGCGCTCAGTTAGCATTGTCCCAATTGTTCGGCGTGTCGCATTTTCCATATGGTGCTGGAATCTCAAGGCAGCCTAGTGCGAGATACACTCACAGATGAGATTCAAATTGCCAATAATGCGTCGATTGGGATGGGGTGGTCCATGGTATAGGGTAGCACTCAACCGCAAGTACACTGTTACACACTTGTGCATTCCATAATGTATAACGAGGTTTGTTTTCCATTAACAGTCATACTTGTGATGATAGCGCTACCAAGAAAAAATACTGGAACACCTTTCGTTTTTTTTTTTTATTTTATTTTTTTTTCTTTTCCTGGGGGAGGAGTAGGTCACCAATGGAGTGAGCACCGAATAAATGAGTGCAGAACCGAAATTAGCACATTCGAGAAAACGAACCTATGCGTCAGGTACTGGGTAGCTCTTGCTGAGTATTGGATGAGACCATAGCAGAAGTACAAAGGAGTTGCACTTTGTCGTTTAAAGTGTGCTGCGCTCCATGCAATGCCCTTTACACTATGCAAAGCATATTCCCTAGCCTGAACTTACCCCCTGATGAAGAGCAACAATTACTGCGCTGTCCCAAAACAATAGCTTCCCCATGCTTGCCCGCGAAATTGACAGGCATCGCAGCTCCTGCTTCTGCTTTCCCTGCCGATTAGGCTACTGCAGCCCAGGTTCCCACTCTCTAGCTTTTAGCATTTATTTTTTCAGCTACAACCTTCTCTTCCTCCCATACCACCCACCAGCTCAAGGTCATTCTTAGGTAATCACACTACTCGCATTATGCACCTTTGTTTGCTGAGGGAATCCTCTCACCCCCCCTCTCATTCGCTGCATCAACAATTGAGATCTTTCGGCGCCCCCTCTAAGCTCCTGTTTCAGCTTAGGTGCTTTTTCTCGCTAAATCTGACAATATCTGGCCCAAATTGGAATGCAGTTTAGAACTCTATGCTTTGAATCTGTGTTAATCGCCATATTACTAGTGACGATTTATTTTTTAGGATTGCTTATTTTCTACAGAGATACAAGTCATCTATTTCTATTTTTACCATTCCATTTCTGCGCAATTATACTTATGATACCGTGATTCACTATTTCGTGGGCTGCTCTTCGTTTTTCTCCTGTCACCCTCTGTAGTTTTTTCTTTTTTTTTTACGTGTCTTTTGTTTACCTACAGAGACTCCGCCATTTTTAGTGTGTAGTTCAAAAACGAAGCAACAAGAAAAACCTAAAAAATCGAAAGAGCTTCTGTACTTTTCCTTGAAACACAAACAAACTTACAAGAGTAGCCCACTTAGCCCAAATATTCCTAAAATAACTTGTATCCTTCATACGCTCAAGTCAATACAAGAAAAATGGGGATCTTCGATGAAATAAAGTCTTTCGTTCACTCGATAACAACCGAGGATCATTATGCCTCCTTCGACTCGCCATACAAAAACTCTACTATTTCCGGAACCAGTGGTAGTGTTAGTGAAGGAGGTTCATCGAGCTCTAGACTACATGAATTAGGTAGATTAGCTGGAGGGAATTCATCTTCACAATCGTTGAACAACTCATCAAGAAACAACTCGCAGACCAATGTCGTTGGATACAGACCAGGCTTACGTTCATCAGCAACCAACTTAAATGGATCCGACTTACAGTTACAGAATTTAAACGCCCTGGGACAACCGCCATTGCCTCTGATCGACTCGTTATGGAATAGAATTGAAACCTGGGTGGACGAGGAGTACCCAGAGTTGGGTGACAACTTGAACTACGGGGTCACCACTGCTGATTTAAATGAGTTTGAAAATGACATTTCTTGCGGATCGCTCCCAGTAGAGTTTAGACAATTTTATAAGATACACGATGGTCAGATGAGAGGTGGAGAACCAACTGGGTTAATATTAGGTTTGACATTGCTAGACATTGAAAGTATTGCAGAAGAGTATAAGATTTGGGGTAAAGTTGCTGTTAGATTGGAAAAGCAACAGTATATAATGCAACACCAACTGAAGGTCCCAGGATCTTTGAGAGAAGGGACATCTTCTTCATCTGGTTCACCATACTCAGCCGGAGCTTCTGGTCCAAATAATTTGAACAACAACTTTTTAGCAAACCAAAAATCCTTACCACCTCAAGCCGTGCAATGTGTCTATTCACACAAAGGTTGGATTCCATTTGTAAAAGATGACGGTGGAAACCAGATTGCTATTGATTTGGCACCTGGCCCCACCGGTATCTGGGGTCAAATCATTATTTTTGGTAGAGATTTCGATACTAAGATTGTGATTGCTTCATCCTTCCAGGAGTTTATTTTCAATTTTGTAACAGACTTGGAAAATGGAAATTTCCAAATTGATCAAGATGAAGGCAACGAAAGCTATGGATATTTAGAGATCAGCCGTAACGATGACGATTACATGATTGGAGCTGAAGAAGAGAATCAAGGTGAATTGAATTTCCTTGACAGAAGTAAAGAGTTCACTAAATCTAAGGAAAAGTTGAGTTATATCGAAGTACAAAAGAGAAGAGCCTTAAGGAAATTTGGAATCAGTAACATCGAGCACTTTTCCACTTCATTTGTACCACATAGAATTAAGAAGACCAATCCCGCGCAACAACAACAACAACAACAACAACTGCAACAACAGCTGCAAGCCTCTGACAATAAAGGATCTGGATTCGGAACTCCTAGAACTACCAGTCCTCTGGTCATACCAAAGGTTTCCAGTCCATTAATAAATATGGAAGCAAGTGCTAGTCAAGTTGGATTAACCAAGGAGACTTTGATCGATGAAACAAAGAAGGAAGAGGCAATAACGAATGATGACCCGAAAGTGGAAAAGAATGAAGAATCTACAACAATTGATACCACTAATGCCAATGCTACCGAGCCAGAAGCAGTAGTGGAAACTATACCGGAAGCTGCAACAGAGCCAGAATCTGTTCCAGAAGAAATCCCAGCAGCCGACGAGGAACCAGAAGTAGAAAAGAATTCTAACTCTGGCGTAGATTCTGTCGCTGATGACTTGAAAGAAGTTGCCATATAGCCGAGATTAGATAGCATACTCACTCCTATTATGAATATGTGCTCAGAAATGATGTAAATGTAAGAACAATCAAACAATCTCCGACCTCCATCTATCAATGACATTGGTCTAATGTAAGCATTCATCAATGGTCATGATCTAATGTAAGCCTACATAGAAACTCTCCGACTGCAACAGTTTATTATCTGGTTAGTTTTTTTTTTTTTTTAATCCTATTTTTTTTTTAGTGTTTATGTTTCTCGGTCTATGTGCAGGAATACATACACATATGAAGATCAAGCTTGGCTCTGATCAGCTCTAAGATGCTGATGTTTGCAACAGCAGTAGATCCAAGATGAACTCCTCAGATTATTGGGAGCAGTCTTCGTTTCATAGACCAGACTCCAATATTTCCCAAAATACAAATACCACGGCGGACTCTTCACACCATCGGGTTCAAATCCAGGAAGAGATTCCTCAAAGCGAATTGCTTGACTCGATAGCCAGTGCTAATGCTTCTGACTATAATGTCAACCAACAGCAAGCGCTTGGAACAGACGACGACTCAGAAAACGATGAGGGCAACATGGGAATTTCTCATGGCTCTCCCATAGAACCTGACGAAGAAGATGAAGACAACTACCACCATCATTCACACCACCACAGTTCCATGGATATCCACCACCAACCTTCCCTAGAACAGATCCAGAGGGTGTACTATACAAAGGGGCTCCAAGAGCTTGAGTCTCTACATTTACTTGATCTATCGCCACTAGCAAATTGGAAATTATCTTCACTGAAGCTAGGATTTGGCTTAAGCCAGCTTCGTGATGACTCTCCAGACTCGTTCTGGCAGTCCGACGGGAGCAATGGGAACAACCACAATGGGAACAACCAGAATAACGGTAGCAACAACGGTGGCAGTAATAATGGCAACAACGGTAATAGCAACAATGGAGGAATAACTAATGCCAACAACGAGCTTACAAACCCTCACTCTATCATAATCCAGTTCTCGAAGAAGGTTTCCATCGAGCGGGTATCTATCTTCACCAATTTCTCCATAGATGAGTCCTATACGCCGTCAAAAATTCAGATTTTGGCTGGGAGTTCCGATGGCTGGGACTTGAGTGAAGTATGTGTAGTCAGTTTTAACAAGCCCATCGGTTGGTCCCATATTATCTTTAATGGTATTAGAGCAGACGGAGTTCTCAAATGTTTTATAATAAAGTTGGTGGTGCTATCCAACCACCAGGATGGTAAGGATACACATATACGAGCAGTGAAGGTATTCGGGAAGAAACAAAAGTTGAAGCAGCAGCCGAACACGCAACTGGTAAATCTTTCCCGTGGCATTAACCATTCTGATATATTGAAGGATATCAGTGCTAGCAGCGGATTGGGGTTCGGTAACGTATCGGGAATACTGTTGAATAGTAGTAGGCATCGCAGACTCAAAAGTAGCGACTCGATAGATGAAGATTCATTGGAAGCCGATGTAATACAGAAAGAGAACACCGTAGAAGAGGACCAGGAAGAATTGGATGTGGAAGTCGATGAAGATACAAACACGACCGAAAATAGTACTGCTATGAACAACACGCTAGGAGTGACGTTGGAGAATGTTAGCGAAATAATCGGATTCAACTCTGGCTTCCAAAGTCTAGAAATGAAAAGCATTTCCTCGATCAGGTAACGATATACTTTACGTGTACTTGGTAACTCATAATGATCACGCCATAATATTACGATTTATATAACTATTATCATTATTCTATGTATGTATATTGCCTGTCTAATTAATTTTCAATGAATAGTCAACAATCCCAGTACCTTGGTGGATAGAACTCGTGGAGTAAATATCAATATCGTTACAGAGATAGCCAGATAAGTTGTTTAAGGTCAACCCTCCGGAGCATTCAAGTAAGAATGACTTTGAAGTTGGTTGAGCTGCATAGAAAGCTTTCAAGCTCTTAGCTACTTTCTGCAATTCAGCGCCCTTAAAGTTATCCAACATGATAACGTCAGCACCAGCATCAATGGCTTCACGAGCATCCTCCTCTGTAGAGACCTCGACCTCGACCTTAATGGCAAACCCACATACAGATCTGGCTGCCTTAACAGCCTTTGTTATACTACCAGTGGAGGTGATATGGTTATCCTTGAGCATAACCATGGAAGATAAGTCATATCTATGAGTATCAACACCACCTACAAGCATGGAGTACTTCTCCAATAGTCTGAGACCTGGGGTAGTCTTTCTAGTTCCTGCGATCAACCCTGTGTAACCTACCGAATCTGCAAGATCCTTAGTCAAACGAGATTGTGTGGCAATCCCTGACAGTCTGGCCATCAAGTTCAAAGCAGTACGTTCTGCTAACAAGATTTTGTTCGCAGCTCCCTTGACTACAGCGACTACGAGCTTACCGTTATGTTCAGCAAGCAATGCTGCCGAGACTACAGTTCCCTCTTCAAATTTCCAGTCAACTTCGAGCTCACATTGTTTGAAAACTTCCTTGGCGAACGGGATTCCTGATATAACTCCGACTTGCTTCATGTAAAGATTTGCAGTTTCCAATTTATCACCAACTACAAATGCACCAAAGTCAAAGCTAGGGACATCTTCCTGAAGGTAGTCGGTGATTTGTTGTTTCCACTTCCCATTGGTAGGGAGAAGGTTAGCATAAGAAGACATTATGCGGATTTAGAATAAAAATAGTGCAAGGACGAAACTACTCTGCTAAAGTGAAGGGGTAAAAGAAATAGTGGCACCATCGAAAGTGAAAAATTAAAGAGTATGGGGAAATGTGAAAATTAAGATCGATTCTTTTGTACATCAGTGCACCACGCGAAAAATGCAAGATATGGGAAGCATCAGAGCACGCGAAATAAGAAAAGCTGGTGCTATGGTTCTTTAAGGTAGATCTCTTTTGAACAAGTGGATTGCTACATGAAATCCAAGAATGATGCTTCGAAAAGGGTTCAGTCTACCTTCAAGCATGCTTCTGGCTCTCAATCGACAACATGCAAGGTGTGTGGTATGACATATTTTCCTCATATACCGAAGGACAAAGAGCTTCATGTCAAGTACCACAAGAAGTTTGTCAGTGGTGTATCATGGCCGCCCTCTTTGCATGACAAGGAAGGAGTTTTGATGACGAAATCTGTTCGGCCCACAGAAAAACGACGGATGTTGCTGCTGCTGCTGCTGCTGCTGCTGCTGCTGCTGCTACTGCTACTGCTGCTGCTGCCCATCGTGATCTCCTTTGTCTCAGTTAGTAAAAGTTCTAACCTGCAATTAAGGAAGGTGGAGGACCTTCTTACATTGGTGAATTCTGAGTTGAGCGCTCCTCGAGATTCGCAAGAGTGGAAGAAGAATCACACTACAAGTGAGGATGTTTCTATAGAAGGTAGAGCTTTTGTAGCCATATACCAGAATAAGGCTATAGCTATTGTCACTACAGACCCGATCTATTCCAGGGCCACTCAATGTAAGTGGATGGTACATAAGAACCAATCCATTGTGCCCAACCAGGTTAACAATTCTATCAAGATCGGGATCTCGAGAATCTGGACCGCACCAAACTACAGATACATGGGGATTGCAAAATACTTGCTCCAATGTGTTATGGAGCATTCTATTTATGGAGTGACGTTATCTAAAAATGAGATTGGGTTTAGTCAACCCAGTTTTGCTGGTGGGCTCCTCGCCAAGAGCTTCAATGGAGTTTTGCATAAATCTGGGGAAATCCTAATCCCTGTGTACATGGAAAAGTAGCACACAACTCGATCAACCTTACTCTACCACTTTACTACATTTATTTCATAATATTTTGATTCTGCACATTCATTTATTGTATATGTATCTAGTCTATTAAAATAATTTCTTCAAAAAGAAATGGCATAATCAAAAAAAGAAAAATAAAAAGAAAAAAAAGTAAAAAAATGCTCCTTAGTTGTTTGAAGTTAAGTAGCTCTTAAGCTCTTTGCCGAAATAACTCTCCAACAATCCACTTTTGTCATCGTAATTGGTGATGTCGATAGACTTTTTGATGATTTCATAATTCAACTCATCGCTGATCTTGGAATCCTTCTTATATAAGTTACTAGTAACGACTTGCTCTCTGAGCCATTTGGCTATAGTTGGTATCTTTCCAGAAGCCCTATAACTGATCAACTTCAAATAGCTCTGTAATTTAAGCATCTTCAGTGCCAATTCATTCAGATCACAATGATGCTTTGCGGATTCAGGTAATAATTCCAAGGAAATAAGTTTAACTACCAACTTAATTAGCCCAGGGAAAGTATCACTACCATTGATGATTTCATCAGTAGTCAATTTCCTCAACTCTTCTTTGGAGTTGCTACAGTCGCACACACCGTTCTTGTGGCTAGAGTAGCCGTTAACATAAACTTCATCTACACCTAGTTCATCATTACCCTCATTGATGAACCTGTCAAACCATGATAAGTCATACCCAATAAATTCTTCATTTTCGAGGCACCAACACTTTGGATTTCTAAACCAAAACTTAGACTTGATAGTAGCATCAACTTCATGAGCTATATTCATATTTTCATCAATCTTCAGTATCGGCTGGTAAAAATTTGGTTTGAATTTTAAAATGGCCTTAGATAAAAGTGAAATGAAAACAGAAAATGCAGCATTTTCGAAATCTGTCAATTGAATATCCAACGGTCTGAATTCAACTCTCCACCCAGGGGTTTTCTCAAGCGATTTTTCCTCGGGATATAAACCTGGAGGCTTAAACCTTAAAGTTTGCCAGTTTGTCAGCTGAATGTTTTCGAAGTGGTCGTTTTCAAGAAGGTTATTTTGGTTGATTCTCTCTGAGAATATCACTAACGGATCTCTAATAAATAAATGTGAAAAATGCGTTGCCAACTCGTCGTCAAACCCATATTTAGCAATATCTGCGCTGGTCAATTTGTTATAAACCTTTTCATTAATTGGTGAATAAATGTCATTGTATTCCAGTTTGTAGTACTCACTACCTCCCAAGTAATTATCAATGGGGGCATATCTTGATTTGGGGATCTTTTGAATTGGCTTCCCATCTTTGGTCTTGATAGAAGTGTCACCAAATTTATTTATAATGTGATCACCATTAATGCCAATACCACCGCCAAGTGCTTCTACATGGAACCTATCGTTTTCGCTTACGTCTAAGCCTCCAAATATATCAACTATTCCTCCGCTGAGTGGCTCCAAATCTCTCTCAATAAATGTTCTATCGTCGACGGCTCCCAGAATAACATTCCATCTAACGTCTTGATCGACTAAGAATCCCTTGAAGATGGGAGTTGCTGCGCTTAGCGCAAGCAATACTGGAGTCAAGGGAGCTAAAGCATCATACAAGTATCTAGCATGCTGGATATCGCTGGCTTGCATTGTAACTTGCAAACACGAAGCACCCATACCAAAACCCATAGAATCCATATACACATGGCCAGGTTTGGAAGCTCCCAACCACGGTTCCTTGTCACTAGGGAACAAATCTCTGTTTTTGGGAATAGAGTCATCCACCAACTTGGTGTTTTCATCTGGGTACAAGGGTAAATTAATAGCAACTTTACAGCCTCTTCTCTTTCTAATGTTGGCAGTCAACGTAGGGAATCTAACATGTCTATTGATAATTTCATCTGGGAGGAACAACGACTGTGAAGCTGGACCTATTGGTTTGGCCTGTGGAGAAGTGAAGTTTTCGCACCCCATTCTTGGGAATGCAGTTAAAGTCAAGGGTAAAACATTGGAGGGGAGCTGCAGTTGCGCCACAACTCTCCTCTTGACCATGTTCTCCTCTACGTAGATGTAGTCGTCCAATAAATCACCATCGTAAGGTCTCAAAGGAGTAGCCTCAATCATGAATCTACCGTATTCTGGGTGGAACGAAATGTTTTGCGCAACCACTTTCTTGTAGAGCTCAGCGTGGTTCACAGGATCATTGAAGTCCTCTAAGATATGATCATTTTCGATAGATAACTTGGCTGTACGTTTAGTATCATTGACGTCGACAAGCATGTATTCCACTTCATCACCCCAAAAGTAAGTGTCATTTGTCCTATTGGCATGTTGTTTGAATATGTTGATCAATTGCTCTATCCCATTGTCACGGACGTGCTCGTTGAATTTTTTGGACTTGTGCCAATCAAGCGGAGTGCCCAATGATAAGAGGCCCATATTAGCGAAGGAAAAGACACGAAGGAGCGCCTAGGAGAAGAAAGAAAAGTGTGCAAGGTGCTGCCTAGAGGGAAAAGAGGAAAAAAAGAGCTATTTGCCTTTATTTGTGACTAGTTTAATCAAAAGAGATGAACTGAATACACACTCACAGTTTTCTCTCTCAGCTATCTGCAACACAGAGACTCAAAGCGTACAGACCAATAAAAAAAAAAAAGAATCAAAAAATTTCTTTTTTTTCTTATATATGTGGATTATTTTTCACCTGCTGGAGATAAAAAGGATTTGGTGTCGCAGAATTTCTCAGCCTTAAGTTTGTTCAAGCTAAGGTCAATGGAATTGAAATTGCTCAGTGAGGGACACGGAACTTAAGCAGAGCAAGGAAAATACTGGGAATGTGTGGTATTTTATCTTGCAGATCAACAATCGCAACATAAACCCAAGTCTGACAAATACATTATGCATTTCTTATCCATTTCAGGACTTTGTGTCACAATGGCGCATGTTTTTGTTAAGGTTCCGGATTCCAAGCGATGAAGCAAAAAAAAAAAATTATCGTTAGATTAAGTTAGTGTTTGAGATGAGCAGAAGGCGGCTGGTAATTAGTAATCGCAGCAAACATTGATACCTGGCTCAATTGGTGAAAATAGTAAGTTCAGGGATTGGGGATGCCGTGTAATTGACCTTCAAAAAAGCTGCAAATTCGGTCGTTTTCGACTACTTGACTGTTGTATTGTCAATAGAGAAGCCCGAAACCTATAAAACTATGGAGTCAAACTATAGCGCAAGTCACGTGCATTTGCGAGATTGCTGCCAGGGCACCTGCGAGGTGTAGCAGTGTACCAGACTACCAGTGTAGCTGTGTGCTCAGTGGTACTTTGAAATTAAGGTAAGGCCACTTAAATCTGGCTTCGGTGAGGAGTTGGAACAATGCAGCCGCTATTATTGGTAGATAGTAGCACTTTGCACTAATTAATTAAGCTTTCTTCAATTTTATAAATCTCGCTCGTATCTCTCCTGGAGTGCTCTAATGCCTTCTGCATTGATTGATGTGCCCTCTCGGGCACTTCTGCTCTATAATATGGTGTGATCTGTAAGAATGCCCTGGTGTTAAAAAATATACGCAACAATTAAAATAATAACAATACTAACATAAAAGGGATCACTACACATCGCTATGTCTTTCGGGCCGCTCTTCTCTCTTCTCACTGTGGCAGGTGCTGAGCTCTCGCCAGCAACCCACCTCAGTTCAAGACAGAGTTGGTGGTATATCTTGTGCCTTTCTTTTCGCTAGTCGCTTTTAGCTTCCCGATTGAGTCGAATGGGTGCAAAAATAATGCAGTCTCACACTCAGAAAGGTATAATGAACCATGGCATAGTGCAATGAGTCTCACATCTCTTTACTCATCTACTTCATGGTGGCTTAAGCAGGTGCCTTATATGTGTCTTCTTGGAGCTCATTTTGCGGGTGCTACTCTCTTTAGTGCCTATACAATGTGCACTAATTGCAACTTTTTTTAATGTCTGTCTACTTCATTCGTTTATTAGTTTACTTGCTTTACTTGATTTTCTGTTTCATCACACCCTCTTTTTAGTATTTCTATGCTTTAATATAATCCCTTAACGTTGTCCACAACACATGCTTCTTCTCCTTCAGCTCTCTCAACTAACTCACCAATGACGAATGCTCTTTCGCCTTCTTTGGTTAAATTAGCTAACACTTGGTCAACGTTTTCCTTTTCCACAATAAGAACCATACCAACACCTAAGTTGAAAGTCTTTAAGATATCTTCGTATGGAACATTTCCTTGCTTTCCAAACCATTTAAAAATTTCCTGTACTTCCCATTTAGACATGTCGACCTTGGCCTGTAAGTTCTTTGGCAAGGCTCTTGGAATGTTTTCAACTAATCCACCACCGGTAATATGTGCTAACCCGAGCAATAAACCTTGGTTAATGGACCCAAGTAATTGTTTGACATAAATTCTGGTTGGAATTAATAATTCTTCACCAATTGATTTGGAAGGATTCCATGGAGCTGGAGACTTGTATGTAAAATCTGACTTCTCGATAATGTGACGTACCAATGAGAATCCATTAGAGTGCACACCGTCAGAACCTAAACCAATAAGCACATTTCCAGATCTCATGGCGTCAATTTGTGGCAAGATCTTTCCCTTGGTAACAGCACCAACGGCAGTACCATTGGTATCGTAGTGTCCAGGTTCGTACATACCTGGCATTTCAGAGGTTTCACCTCCAACTAAGGCACATCCAGCTTGGATACAACCATCAGCAACACCACTTACAAAGTCAGCACATACTTTAATGTCCAATTTTCCGGTGGCAAAGTAATCCACGAAAAGTAAAGGTTCAGCACCTTGAACAACTAAATCGTTGACGTTCATGGCAACTAAATCGATACCAACAGTGTCATGAATGTCTATGATTTGTGCGATTCTTAATTTAGTACCAACACCATCAGTAGCAGCGACAAGTAAAGTATCGTCAGTGTTCTTATATCCAGCGGCCTTCAAGTCGAAAATACCACCAAATCCACCGATATCAGAATCAGCACCAGGTCTAGCAGTAGACTTAACCTTAGCCTTAATGGTTTCAACAAGTATGTTACCGTTGTCCACGGAAACACCTGCATCTGCATAAGTGACTCCAGTAGATTTCTTGTTGTCCAAATCTCTGAATGCTCTGTGTGCAATATCGGTCCTGTTGTACTTCTTGTTGAATTTAACGTGGTCTACTCCAATGTATGCCTTGTCAACAGACTCTTTTAAACTTGAAGCAATTGCAGTAGAAGCAATAACTCTGCCACCTGCGGTAATGACCTTTCCATCTGCATTCACAGCAGTTCCGGCGTGAAAAATATAGGTATCTTCTGGAAGAGTTTCAGATATTTCAATGACATCGCCCTTAGCATAAGCTTCAGGGTATCCACCAGCTGCCATTACAACAGTGGTTGAGAAAGTGTCTGGATAGGTTGCAATCTCCACAGAATCCAATCTGTGTTCTGCACATGCCAACATAACCTGAGCCAAATCAGTTTCCTTAGTTAACAATGGTAAGACAGTCTGGGTTTCTGGATCACCGAAACGAACGTTATATTCCAAAACCTTTGGCTCACCAGATGGGGTCAACATGATACCAGTGAATAAGATCCCACACATTGGGAATCCATCCTTTCTCATACCGTCAATGGTTGGCTTGATAATGGTTTCATCAATCTTAGCTAATACCTTAGCGGTAGCAATTGGAGCTGGAGCATAGGCACCCATACCACCAGTATTAAGCCCTGAGTCACCATTTCCGATTCTCTTGTGATCTTGAGCAGCTGGTAAGTTGAAGAAAGAGTATCCATCAGAGAAAGTCAAGATTGACAATTCGTCACCTTCCATGTACTCTTCAATAACGATTTCATCACCAGCAGCCCCGAAGTTTTTGGCAACCATGATTTCATCTAAGCCTTCCAATGCTTCTTCCTTAGTTTCTGGGATCAAGACTCCCTTACCGGCAGCAATTCCATCGGCCTTTAAAACGATCTTGTAGTCAACCGATTCAATGTGCTTCTTGGCATCAGCAACGTTGGTAAAGTTCTTGAATTGGGCAGTTGGAATGTTGTGCTTATCCATGAACACCTTAGAGAATGCCTTGGATCCTTCCATACGTGCAGCCTTGGCTGAGGGTCCAAAGACTGGAATACCTACCTTGGTGAAGATGGAGGTGATTCCATCAACTAATGGCTGCTCGGGGCCTGGGATAACCAAGTCAATCTTCTTTTCCACGGCAAATTTCTGTAATGCTTCAAAGTCCTTTGGAGATCCAGACAATTCTGGAACATTGACAACTTTTTCAACTAAATGAGTGCCCCCGTTACCTGGTGCAACATAAATTTGCTTAACTGACTCAGATTGAGAAAGTCTCCAGGTAATGGCATGCTCACGGCCACCGTTACCAACAATAAGGATATTGAGAGACATTTTCTTTTTGTAAAACTTGTTATACTAACAGTATAAGAGAGGCGAGGGAGTAGTAACTATTGACTATAGCAGCCTAAAAGAAGAAACAAGAAAGAAAGTATCATTAAATTAGTCAATCTGAAAAAATTTAGTGCAATTGGAAAAATACAAAAAAAAGCAACGGCATGCTATCGCTTATGGTGGGTGTTCGGATGTTGATTCATTAAATTTAATCTAATTCGTGGTGTTTTCCTGCACACACGTCAAATTAAAGTTTGACTCTGGGAAAGTCTCGATGAGGTGGATCATGCTAGTGAAGAGTGTATAAAGGCATGGGAAGAGAGAGAAAGAAGGGTATTGATGCGGAGAACCGTACCAGTGGTGCAAAGAGGTAAAGGTAGGGAAAGAATTGTTTTAAAGGAGAATTAAAAGGAGTTCTGCTCAAAGTGTACTTGAGATGAGCTCCAATTGAGGCACCCAAGCTCAACGCGCCGCCATGAAGTGATGTCAGTGCAAGGGAAAGGTAAGGCACTATTCTGGCTTGTACATGAACTTCTCTTGGGTAGGTTTTCTATTCTACAATGCATTAATCCTACACACTAAACTCTTGCTGCGTGCTCCTTCCTTGGTCATTCTCTCCTTCAGTATGTATGTAATGTATTGTTCTCTATTTACAGTATATTGCCAGACTCATTTAAATGGCAACGTCACCAAGTCCAACTATTCCTTCAAACTTGTACCCCTCGTCACTAGGCACCTTCAATTCTTCACCGTCACTGCTGATAGGCGAGTATAAGTAGTAACCCATAAGTGCGTTGACAGCAGCTCTAGTCTTACTTTCAGCTAAAGAAGATCCTACGCCTTCACCCAATTTTTCTGTACCAACAAAGACACCAGTGACAAAAATGGCATGAGATGACAATCTACCGGTCTCTGCAATCAATCTAACTTCCAATGGATCTTTAAATCCCAACTTGTCACCCAATCTAACCAACTCTCTCATTGGCTGCTGGAACTGGAACATTTGTTCGATGGGGAGCTTTCTCGATAAGATGTGGTTTTTTATGAATTGCTTAGTAGTGAGTTCATCGGTGTGGGTGTATAAACCTCCAATGATGCTTCTTACTGATGCTGCGTAGGCATCCTGTTCCAGTGGAGTGTATCTTCCGTGGTTCTGCTCTATTTGACTGATTTCATCTCCTGTTAATTCTATCACACCATCCTCTTTGACTTCTTCCTTAGAAGTCTCTTCAAGGTATCTCAACTTACCGTATTTCATGAAGAAAGGTTCCTGGGCAAGGTACTTTTCCAATTTGGAGTTTGTATCTGGCTGAATACCCCATGACTTCCCAATGGATGAGAGTGGCTCTACTCCCATGTAGGCATCGATCGCCTGGTTATGAATAGGCATAGGCAATCTTGGGTATTTTATAAGTAAATATTCAGCAACGTAATAGCTCAACAATGACTTCCCTAATGTGTTCAACCCAAAGTTATTGGCTAAACCTTCAGACTTAGTCTCCATATTTAATGCTTGAGATAATGTAGATAAGGAGTATGCTTTGGGTAAGTCCAAACGGGCATGTAAGGCAACCAATTCTGGTGATTGCTCCGCTGTGGACTCTGGTAATCTGTGAGTATAAATATTACTCTTATAAGTTCCGTACTCAAGTGGATTGTCGTAAGTTGTCTTGTGCTTTGTTATGCTAGATGAGGAAAAATACAATGACGATGACAAATTTTTCACTATAGAAGATCTGAAGTTTGCACAAGCTCTTGCTCCAGCTCTAGATGATAACCTCAACATGATGCTACAAGGATTAACGTTCAAACTAGACTTCTGTGGTTCTTTCTTACGCTGACAGGCTCTTTCTGGAGGGCAGTTCGTTTTTTTTTTTTCATTTTTCATTTTGGGCACGCACAAAATTTTTTTTTTTCGAAATCGGTTTTCCTGCAGGTAGATCAATGCTCTGGTATAAAGCAGGTGAAGAAATGTATAATAAGAGAAAGGTGGGAGAAGTCACTGTGGATTCAATACTCACATTGTTGCTCGCAATTGAGTGGATGGCAAAGCTCAAGCTGGACCGCCAAAGCCTCATGGCCCATATTTGTATAACAGTGTAGTGTACTAGTCGGTTCCACGATCGCTGCTAGTGTATAGACATAATTTCGGTCACGTGATTTCTAGTCGTGTCCCCTCCAGACCTCAACCAACCAAAGATCGCCAAAATTTATTTACAAAGCATCAGATTGAGTACAGCAGGCACACTCTAGTTCTTTTGCACATCACAACTAGAAGTAATCATGGGTCACGGACATCCTATTCCATTGAACGCTGGTGCATACATCTTTATGGGATCCGTCCTTTTTTCTTACATTGCTCTCAAGTCTCCAATAAAATACAAGTGGGCTGCCGACAACAGAATAAGTCCTAAGGCAGACTTAGCATGGAGAAACAATTCTCAAAAATGGTTGGATAATCAATAAATCGGCATGTAGAAAAGGAAAGGTGTTTGCTGGCCGGTATATCATTTTGTTCCAAAGTAGCGTAAACTCCTGGCTAGAATCCACTTGCCGGCAGAAATGGCGAACCATCATAATGAGTACGGAGTCAGGTTAAAGTATCTTGCATACAGAGAAAGTTAGTCAAGAATGTATATCACATAAATAGAAACGTAAGTTCTTCAAATAAAATCATATAAACGGAATATAGGCACAGTAGACAATAATGTAGGAGAGAGAGTGTTGGCGTCACTCAAATGAACGTCGGTACAATGGTTGCATCTATTGTAGAATTGGATGTGATTTAGTTAACTCTTGCTTTGAAAAGCTTGGTAATTGTGCTTGCACTGATTTCATTAGGGCGGGCTGATCCAAGTTTTAGATAACTGCAGAATAACAATTTCATCACGATAATTGCTCGAACGCTACACCAGCGTTTCCAATTCTACCATGTCTTGCGGTGCCCTTAGGATACAAACTATATCAATATGATTAAACTGGAGGAGAGAGAGGAGAGAGAAGAATCGGTAGAGTTGGTGAATATAGTAGAAAGTCATTAATTAATTCTGTTCATTCTCCTTTTAAAATACTATCTATGTGTAATAAAGTGAGTTCGTATTTATCTTGTCCAGCTCCAATGAAAAAAGTGTTATTCTATTAATTTTCTTTCACTGCAACCAATTCAATCCCCAGCGATTGCAACTTGAACCAATCTGCTTCTAGCTTTAAAAAGCACCATAACCATCTTCTAAAAATCTCCAATACCTCTAAAGTTGTGTACCCCAACTGGTACGCATTTCCCCCGTAAAGGAATCCACTTACTCTTGCTACCAAGTAGTCTTCATTGGATTCACCAACTCCAGCTTGTTGGAAAAACTTCAATATCCAAAGGAATCTGAGAACAAAGTCAATTGCAATGATGGAATAGTACTTAATCATTGGACCAATCAACTGACTTCTTGGTCTAAGAGTTTGCTCTACGAGAGTTTTACCTCTGTTTGGATTATTGATGGCTTGAAAATCAAATAATCCGAATCCCCAATCCATTTTCACGTCCCAAATGAAACTATACGTGGAGTTTATGGTGGCTAAAAAGTACCACCAACTGTTTAACGAAGCCAACCTGTTGATCACACTTTCGTCGTACTCAGGGGTACCCCTTAATTCGTTTAACTCAGCGTTATTTACAGTAATTCGAACTAGAATGTTGATCAAAAGAGGTCCAAATGTGGTCAAATATTTGACCATATTGAGTAAATGCTGTCTAGACCCTGTGATTTTGTACTCATACCAACACTGCTTGACTCTAATCAATACAGGTGACCCAAGGGCCAAAGTCTCTACATATATGCTGTAAGGGCCAAGAGATATCAATATCCACAAGTATAACACAACATCATTGATGACCCTGGAATATGAAACTAAGGTATCTGAGATTAAAATGTCATTGGTTCTCATGGTCTTCGAGTTAATTGCTCCTGTTATGATTCTCTTCAAAGTTGTCCAGTTTCTTGTGGAACCAGGAGTCTCATCCGGACGGAACAAGGTGCTTAAGGTCATTATTATTATAGTAAGGGGGAAGCCAGCACAGATAAGAGAGAATATAGAGCCTCCTTTCAGTAGCTCCAGCATATTGAAAATATGGTAAACTAACAAAGATCCCACTGTAATAGATACAACTTTGTAAAATGTGTTCCAGATACCGTTCATCAATGTTTGATTCTCTTTGTAGTCGGCACTGACAGTAGTAGCAAACTCGCCATTGTCCACTTGTAGTCCATCCAACTGGGTATAACTGAGATTTGAGTAAGATAGGGACAATAGTTGCAATGTGTTTATATTAAAGTACTTGTAGTTGACCTTCACAATAGAGAACCAGAGGTACGAACCCAATGAGATCAAAAATAAGATCTTGAACGGGAGAGGAACAATAGCAGGAAACTCGTACGAGTTGGAAGCATCGTCGTCCATTGCTCGTTCGGTATCGAAGACTTTCAGTAACTAATTCGGGCAAACCTTTGGACGTTTCCTTTCTGTTTTCTTCGTGACGTTTTTTTTTTTTCAGTTTGTCAATGAAGGTTGCATATCGCGTTCTGTTTACGTGGTGAGCTAGATGAAGATCTTGAACCAGAGAGCTTATAACTTACACAAAAAACGTTACTTGGGTAGAGAATGTACAAGTAAGACATTTAAAAGTCTTGAAGGGTCTACAACTAAAATACTTATTCTTATCTCAGGCTTCAGACGAAGTGCTTTGACACCGCGATTTAAGTATGTTTTAATCAGAAGTATTCATGATTAGCATGGAAGCATCATTAGCCATAAAGAAGGAGTATAATAGAGAAAGGCGCGATCCAGAGGAAATTTTCAGCTCAAGTTACAGGAAAATGAAGAGGTTATTGATTTTCCAATATTTCAAACGGTGATGAAATAGTATATGAATTCTGTTTCAATAGTTAGTAAAATATTCTCATAAAGATCAATAGATTTCCTACATGGACTCTATTAGTTCACTCTTTCTCGGATTTTTTTTATTCTTTTTCTTTTAGTCAATGTATTCATTATTCATCAGAATTTTCAGTGTGTTTGGCATAAAATCGAATCGGTCATAGTCCTGAAAAGGATCCTCCGTTTGGGGCGACAAGCTGTCATCATAATAATTTCTAGATTGAAAAAAAAAAAAAAAAAACATCACAATCTACTAATGATGTAGATAAGTTGTGCAGTACATACAATTTACTCTATCACGGTCTAATCACGCTCGATCGAAGCTTTAAGTACCCTAGACCAAGGAATGACAAGATCGTGAACAGAATATAATACTCATAAGCATATTTTCGTAACTAATGCCTAGAAAAGAGTAGAGAGGAATGAACATGAAAATTTTTGAAGGTTTCATTTTTTTTTTATATCGATGAGAAAAACTTGAAATTATGAGAATATGAGTGACTTACCCGGATTTCGAGCTTACAGGTTTAAATGCTAGAAGATAACACAAAGTGAGGATGAAGTTACACTCCAGGATATGTTCAAGAAGTAGAGGATTAAAGCAAGGGTGCTTTGGAATCGAAGGGGAGTCCAGGCGTAGAAAATTGGATTTACACCTCTAGCTGAATAGTTGCTGGAGTATTTGCTAAAAGATGTTGGCACTGAAAATCTACATGCAAACATTAATTTGGTTCCCAATTTGCAAGCTCTGGAAAGAAATACAATTAACTTTTCAAGGGAAGTGATAATATAAGACTATGTATTAATCTATGTGATCTGAATTCTTTTAGTTTAAGTTTATATACACACGCATTGATGTCTTTCACTACCCTGTAAAACCAATTGGGTACCATCCAACCTTCTTTTTTTCTTTTCGCTTACCTTATTTCTTAAGTCTGGTTTCTTTTTGGCTCATTTTGGCTTGACATTTTCATTTTTTGCACCCAGTGCATTTACTATTTTCTTCAACTTCAATTTATAGACAAGAAAAGGCATTTCTGTCAGGAATCCCCCATACTAAAATTTCTCCTAATAGATGTGGGTACCTACTGGAAGGGTTATTTTGACCAGTATGTACTGACCCAAGAATTTCGACACAACTGCTTATGAAATTAACAAACATCATGTCGCCTATCTCATCGCATCAAGTCATCTCTCTCCTGTACATAATCACGTCAATATACATAATACAAGGGCCAACACTTCATATGGAATACACAACGTACATTAGGCAATTGATTCTACATTTGCTACTTTTTATATTTATTATTTTTGGACCTTTCCTTTCTGGTGTTTTCTCTTCTTTCTCCCTTGGACAAGTATCTGAACTTTTTCTTTTTCTGCTTCAGCTTATCATCCTTAGATGGCTTACTCACACCACATACCACCGCATAGTTCTTGGCTCGTTTTATCGATGCTTCCAAAACTTTTTCGGATTTGTTCAAATCCACATTATTGGCTCTGGCTAATGTCTCTAAGTTTTTTTGTGCATTGACAACTGAAGGGTTATCCATAGACTCAACAGTGACTGTAGTCTCATCATCTATTATCACTGGACTGTCTTCAAGAACCAGCATATCCTCAAGTTTATATATTTCTTTATGCTGAAGTATTCCCTTTCTATTGATTTCATTTATTTTTCCTTCTGCTTCTTCTTCCTCGTCTTCGTTGGTATCACCTTTTACCTTGGGTTTGGTGTTTTCATCTATTCCATCCCAGCTCTCTGCATCGCTTTCATCATCCTTCTCACCAGGTATAAATCCCGTGATACTAGTTATATCCTTTACAGTAGCATTGAATCTTTCCATTTGCTTCTCCATGTCCTTTTTTCTTTCATCCTTCATCTTTTTCCTCTCCTCAATTCTGGCTAACCTCTCTTGCTCTTTGTTATAAACTTGAGCCTTCTTCTGTCTTTCAACTTTACGCTTGTGAAATCCAGTCAAGTACTCCACTCTGGCATCTTTATCAAATACAACTTCTTCTACTCTATGCTTCTTAGCTTGCTTGGTAGCATATTTCTTACCACCGGTTAAGATTTCTCTGTTAGTACGAGCCATTTTAATCGGAGTCTATACCAGTAATGAACAGTTTGGTGATAGAGTAAGCTAAAGTTTTCCACTCATCTTAAGGGCACATCTTATGTATCGATAGTGACACAAAGCAGAAACGAAGAAAAAAGTGATTGGAAAAAAAATATTACGAGGTGATGAGAAGGTACTTACCTGCAGGAATTCAACTGCACCATAACCATCGAGAGATTGGAGAAATGAATAATGATATTCATTGCTTTCGGTTTGTTTGATGAAGTCGAGTGTGTGGGGCCTTTTTCTTATCAAGAGAGTAGGAAAATACATTGAATTAGTCAAATTAAACTTCTTAATCTATTACTTATTAATATTTTTACTAGCTGAGCCTGAAACCTTTTCCTGACTATACATAATATGGAGAACATCGAGAACGTTAAGCAATTCATTGAAGCATTGGATGCATCCACGAATAAGCTCTCTCTGAAGTTGAAACCGATACTAACAAAGTCACTTGACGAACAGGTTGCATCCATAGAAGACCCTGTAGCCAAAATAAAGTTCTACAATAACTATTTATACGTTCTTGTATCAGTCCTCTTCGCATACATAAAGTCTGTAGGGATAGATACGACCTCGCACCCAATTGTTAAGGAATTGGGCAGAGTAAAGTCATACATGAACAGATTAAAGGAATTGGAAAATAAGTTGAAGTCTAAATCAAACTCTAGTTCTGAGGACGCCCTTGCTGCTAGAAGCTTCCTTCAAAACACTCTTGGTGGTAAAGTAAACGGTGGAGGAGCCGCAGCAACTCAATCTTTAACCACTCCAGCGATAAGTAGCGGAAACTTTGGTAAGCATACTAAATTCACCCAAGATGATGTAGAAGAAAAGAGTGAGGAACTGGAGGTAAAGAACATAAAGAAGAAGAAGTATCCTAGTAAGGGTAAAATAACTAAGCCTGCGACGAAAGGTACTGCTAAGTCAAAGGCATCCAAGGTGAAAAAGATCAATAAATAGCATAGCACATTAATACATAACAAACGATAAATAGAAATATAAACTTAAACGGAAAAAAAAATTCGATATTCGACCCTTGTATAACCTATGTTGAGCGTACTACAATTCTCTAGAATTTATGAGGTTCTACAGATCTCTACATGGTGCGGTACTTAAATATAATAGCATATGCTCTAATGTACATTTTCATGATTTCGTTCAACGTCTCTCTCCTTTAGTTAATAATACTCCTGAAATATATGTTCTTCTTTCAAATTCTCCTCAACAATCAGATATATCTCCATCAATATATTTGGGAACCTGCTATTGAAATAATTGTAAAAACCATGAGGCAATGGGCTCATCTGTTCCTGTAAGCTTGGTGGCATATCGTTATAGTGATGGTACTTGTTTCTAAGAGCTCTCAATAAGTCCATTAACTTAGTAGTATGGTACTTCCTATACTTACCCAAGTTAGTCAAGAATTCCTCATCCATCTTAGAGTGCCAGTCCAAATTACAGACCTTTTCAGATGCACACTCCAACTTTAAAAGTAGATCGCTAGGTGGGTCTCTACGCTCAATTTCAAACCTATCACTAACCTTCAAAAGGAATTCCAACTTCTTGTGCAGACTCCAAAAGAATGGGTGCTTCATTATCTCTGAGGTGTCCGGTCTTTGCCTAGGATTATAAGCAATCATTGATGAAATCAAATGCGTAACTTCCACCCAGTCAAATGGACAAGCACTTTTAAGAAGTGAAATGTCATACTCTCCCTTGATAATATTCCCCTCTCTGAGGTATCTATCGCCAAATGGATGACTACCTCTTGTAAGGATATAGAAGTAAACGCAGCCTAAAGAAAAGATATCGATTGCCTTTGTAAGTCTTTTGCCACCTTTATCTCCACCATTTGTATTGCTGGTCACGCTGTGATTAGTGCCTCCATTAGTGGAATGTATTGAGCCAACGGTTTCAGGCGAGATTTCTAGCAAGTCATGATGTAACAATAATTCTGGAGCTCTCCAGCCTGAAGTTCCCAGAGCAGCATGTTGCGTGGTGGCTCTGAAAGATGATTGGTCTGCATCCAACTTCTTACACAACCCGAAATCAGAGATTAATAGTCTGATCTCTGAAGCACTTTCTCCGTTAGATTCGGATTCTTTAAGTTTAATCTTCTTATTTTTAGTAGCGGCATCCCCTACTAATATGTTCTGAGGTTTTAAATCTCTATGAACAATCTTAAGCAGATGCAAATAATGCAACCCACTGGCCAACTGCAACAACATTTCATTAACGACAGGCTTACCCTGATCCGTCTTGCAAGGTATTTTAATTGTTGTAGGTTTTTCAACAATATCCTCAAGAGAACACAAGCATAGTTCTATCGCAATATATAAAAATTTTTCCAGTTCACTCAGCTGAGAGCAAAAGTATCTTATGACGTTTGGATGATCATCACTTTCTTGTAAAAGTCTGACCTCATGACTGGCTATATCGAAAAAATCCAACAACATTCTTTTAATAGCGACAGGACGGTTCTCAAAAGTACCCTGAAACACAACAGTACCATGAGAACCATATCCCAAAACTTTATCTGAAAGAATAAGATTGTTTTCGATTTGGAGCCTTTTAACGGGAATATTTGCTGGAACAGCCTTTATAAGAGATGTTGTGTTTATGATGTGAGGTTGCTCGACATCCATGTCTTGTTCGTCTCCTTCCACGCCATTACTGCTCTTTTTGGTAGACTTACCTCCTCTTTTACCACCTCTAGCCCCTCTCTTACGTTTCTTCTTGGATAATGGGTCATGCCCATCGTCATCACCCAATAAGGTTGGATCTTGGGGATCTACTGGTTCCAGACCAGGTATTGCAATTGTCACCTTTTTAGAGGTGGATAGATCGTTATTGGATGATTCTTCTGATGTTTCATCGATAGAAATTGATTTGACATTGGTACCTTCCGATTGGTCCGATTTGTAAGCCTTTTCACCGCTTATAATATCTTTATCCTTCTGTTCTTCCTTTTCAGTTACTTCATCGACATCAACCTTTGATTTTTCCCTGCCCAAGATGATATTTGCAAAATTCTTCGCGAATTTACTTAATCTGCCGAAAGACATCAACAATACTAATAGAACCAAAATAACAATAATGTCTTCGCATATCCTTTTAATCAAGTTCAAGGATTTAACAGTGGTCGTATCTTCTTCCACCTCATAAAATTGCGGAGCAGGGATTGGTGGCCTATTAGTGGATATAGAAGAAGACGAGATATCTCCATCCAAAAGAAGTAAGTTGTTTCCTGGTTCCAATTGCGCATTAGGAAACCAAATTCCATCCATTATTTTTGGGACCTCTGTAGTGATCAAGTCTGAATCTCCGCTGACAATTGCAATCTCATCAGATCTTGTCCTACTGGCCGAATGTTTCCCTTTCCTACCTTCAATTTGATGATTTGCTCTTGTAATTGCTTCGTTGTCGTCCCATCTCAGTTTTGGCTGGTAAAAGTTCTCTGGGTTCAATTTAAAAACTTTATGAATCCCATTTATTAAATTTTCAACTTCCTTTTGATTCTCTAGGTTTCCTGAAACTTGCAAGTTCTTCAAGTAATCCCCACCACTATTGGGCATTCTTGAGCCCTCCTTGGTCAAGAAGCTTTGAAATGCTGAAACTGGGGCACTCTTGATCAAAGTCGGGTAATTTTGGTAACTCATGGCGAACCACTCGTTGCTTCCAGCAGTCTTGTTGATAAATACCATGTCCTCATTCACATTGGTTTCTTCCTGTGACAATTGAAGATCATTGAGCACTTTCAATGGATGAGGCAAACAGACAAAAGATGAGGAGCTATCGGTATGTCTCTTTGTAGATTCGAACACGTCAAATACATTAACAGCAAGGGATGGCAATCTACTTATCCATACCGGTGTTCCCAAGTCCTTGTTGATACCCAAAAGTGATTTATCGTGAAAGGGGGTGAAATAGAGTTTGTCTATACTCTGTTGGTTTTGAACAATTAAATCGTTGTCTATATTGTTTGGACCCCACTGGGAATAGGTCACGTTCCAAACTATGTTGGTGTTTTCCTTCAGGTGTATGGAGAGCTCATAAGTTGTCTTTCCGATCATAATTGTATCTTGCTCTTCATCGTCTTCATCTTCTTGATTGTCATGCTCGTTTTCTATGTCAATGCCGTGTTTTGGTGGTCCTTGTTTGTAAATGTTTGGAACAGGGCACACTTGCTCTCCTCCGCTCCCAAAGCTAGATGTAACTTCACCTGTACGAATGTTGATGGTGTATAAGGAGGTCTTCCTTGATCCTGTGTAAATTTTGTCATCCCCACTGAGTGAGAAGGGAGATTCTAGAACTAAATTCTTTATGCTTGTGGGGAGTTGGTTAAGCCCAAACTTGGGCGTGAAGTAGTAAAGCGAACCTTCATCGTACGGTTCTACAAACCATAAGATGTTCGAGGTCAGTGAATACTCTGATCCTGGCTCGGAGTTGTTGGTAGAGATTTTCACCAAGGGATCATCTATAGGGAGTGTCCAGAGTAAGGTCCCCGTGTTTCTTTCTATCCCGTGTAGATTCCCATCGATGTCACTGATAAGTAGAAGATCAGTCAACTTCCAGTCACTGATGGATCTTAAATCAAGGGGCAATAGCTTCAGGCGATCATCTTGATTGTGATGTGCCAGCTGTTGCTGGTTAAGTTTCGGCTTATTCCTATCATTTGTGTTTTCTACTTCATTTATTCGTTCAATCTTGGGTGATGCTATAGTGTATGCCAAATTTATCGTTGTCAATAGTAGTATCAACCAGCTTAAATTCATATTGGATGAAAAAGAAAGGGTTGTGTAGCGAAGTATCGATTTACGACCTGAAAGAGCAGCGTTTTATGAGGTTTTTTGGCAGTTATTACTGGAATTGGTTAAGTATAGTTGAATGGAATCGTAAAAACTCTAGGTTACAGACTTGGATGTGGACTTGATATGGGGTAAACACTAACCATTCGATTTGCATGATTACTTTCCCTGAGAATTTTTCATACAGCCAACTGGTGTGGTGTGCGGGAGGTAGGGCAAGGGTCGTGCAGAAGCGAAAAGCAGACACCAGGCGAAGAAGGAAGTAGGAGCATGCACTACAAAGTAGGGAAGAAAGAGGCCGAGAGAGGCAAGGTAAGGAGGGACAGCAGCCATTTTCGAAACAAAGAGATGCATAGAGGTCTAGTGTAGCTACTGAAGCTCAGTCAAGTGGATACTTTTTTGTTTCGAAAATAAGATCTCTGGAACAGATGGGCTTTTCCCATATTGTGGGAGTGCTATTTTAGTCAGTATGCTTGAAGCGCCAAATAGCCTACATTGCCCTGGATGCAGTCCACAGTAGACAGAAACCGTAAAATATGCACAGGACGTACATCATCACAAGTTCATCTACCTTTGGGTAAGGTCGCTCCTCCTTGGTGGCTAAGGTTTGAGTGTCCCTAAAAGAGCTGGAGCCAACACTGTACTGAGCTACAAGTCCAAATGTTTACTATTGTGATTATTTTAGATCAAGTTAATTATTAGCTATATAAATTATGGATGCAATATCTTTATACGTGCATCATGCAAAATGAGAGTGAGGAAATTCGTACTATGAAAGCGAAAGCCTATGTTTGGTGCTGGGAGCTAGGAGCTGGGCGCTAGGAGCTAGGTGCTGGATACTGGGTGCCAGGTGCTTCGACCTAGAAACCGAATGATCGGTGCTAGCTGCTCTGCGCCTGGTGCTCGGTGCTATGTAGTGAAAGGATTAAAGTGAATGGTATGCAAGTCTAGTAAATACATTTGGTAAGTATTTTTTATAGGGTTTTCTTTTTTTCTTTTTTTTTTTTTTTAATATTTTTTGCCTTTATTTCTTGGTTTCCTCTCGTTCTCTATCAATAATCTCTGAGATGTGTTGTTTCCCTGACAAGAAGGGAATACTACGGTGGTTCTTTCCTTTATTTGCCAGTGCTGGGCGCAAAAATATTGCTAAATATATTTTTGGGAGTGATTACTCTTCTTCTTTCGCTTCAAGTTCGGATTTCATTTCCTCCAAGATGTCTGTAGTTCGTAGTTGCCTCTGGTCTGCAATCATGGTTACCAAGCCTAAGGCGATGTCCTTCAAATCTGTATATTTTTCCAACAGCGCGATGTGCTTCTTGACTATTGCTACGGGATTTTGATTAGAACTAAAAAGAAAAATCGTTAGTATATTTTCGATGATAATATCTTAACAAACAAACCTGCGTGTTTTATTGTGTTTTCAGTTAGAGTTTCCTCTACCTCATCATACTTACTCTAACTCACTGATCAACGCAGAGCATTGATTTTGAATATCTTCTAGCCTCTGGGCTTTCTGTATAGGTGTTGAGTTGATACTCCTGGGCATTTGCGGGTCATCGATATGATTATTTATTGGCTGAAACATTATCCAATTACCTGTTTGTTTTCCAGATGCTGTGAAATATTTAACCTTGGGATAGACTAAACACAGCCTGAAGTTCGATAGTGAAGAAATCTAAAAACTAGATATGATGAATAGTAGTATTTTAACAGTTTTCTCCTTGAAGAAGAGAGAAAAGGAAAAAGGAGAAACAAAATTCACAGAACTATCGGATTTGCCTACGAAGAAGGATAAAAAAAGCTTCCCATTACATTGAGCGCAAAGCCGATTGCGAAGCGCAACTCTTATTAGAATTTTAACGTCATGGAACTACCACTGACGCAAGATCTAAAGATTTTTATTTTTTTTCTCCTAATTGACAATGTTTTTTAGCGGCAGGGCTCAAGATAGCTTGACATTATTCGTCATTTACGTAATGTCGCATATTTCACTTAGGGACTAAACGATCAAGTTGCAATAAGAAAGTCAATAAAGAATGGACTATAATACGTCGCCACGAAAAATGGAGTAGAGGATACTAAATACAATAATACGCAGTTGAAGAGGAAGAGGATGTTTCCTGCTAATACAAAGTGGTGCAAATTCGCAGATAACGAGGTAACGTGAACCACACTGCCCTGCCCTGCTCTACCTTGTAACCAACAAAAGCTTGCGCAGAAAAATCCCAAATTTTTGTAAACACACCCACTCCCGCGAATGCAAATTTATCTTGTGCCATCTCCGGTGAAATTGGTAAGCGATGAACGTGGAAACGGTTAATTATGATTACGCTGGCATCAGCATGTCAACAAACATGGTATTAGCATTACTTACGTGGTCTGGATCTTGAAAGATGAATCGGGACAAAATGGAATAAAGGTGAGGTGAAGTGGAGTTTAATTAAGCGTTCCTGGTGCTTCCATGCCTAATGCTCCATTTTATTTTATTTATTTTCTAGCTTTCTGTCTATCTATTTATCTCTGTATGTTTATAGCTACTAAATATAGTCTATTTTTGGGATACTTTCCATTTCAATTTTTTTTAATTAGTCATGTTTTTGATTTCGGAAGATCGAGAGATAGGTACTAACAAAACAACAAACCACTGGAGAGAGGATTAATAGCCCAGTGATAGCTTATTATTATGCAATTTATCACATTCAAAGATTTTTTTTTCATTTTTTTTTTTTTTTTTAATCCATTTCATTTTTCTTGCGTTATAGTTTATCTATGGTGCCTGTGACGTAACAGGGAGTCATGCTACGCTACTAAAAGTGAAATATGGTAAAACAGTAGAGAACAAAGTTAGTTGAGTGTCATACCAAGCAACCCACTACAAAATTAACTTCTGAGAAGCCAGCTGTTGGTGAAGTTTGCAGTTCGCTTTCACGGATATTCTAATTATTTTCCCGAGGATTTAAGAGCACGGAAAAGTTTAATTTAGGAGCCGAGTGATTCGACACTGCTGTTGCATATGATAGCCCCGGAGGAAGGGCAGCTGAACCTCCCTAAAGTACCCATTGCCTCTTTCTATCGTCAAAGCAAATATGTAAGCGTTGTGGTCATTCCCTGTAATGCGCAATACGGTTGTTTGATAATCAGGGATCGCCTGAAGTATGGTAATTGTCTCACTAATATTACCGTTCGGGTCTAATGCTTTTCAAAACCCTATTGTATTCACGAATCTTATTCTACTTTGTTTGTTTTCAATATTTTCTATCGAAGACATGCGTTTTAATATGCACCTCTTTGTATTTTCTACAACGTCATGTTTAAATTGAGATGCGTAAAGCTGCAGCACTAAATAGACTTCAAATGTAGCTGGGCAGTTCTATATATCGTAGAAAATAACACTCCTCGATAGGAGGAATCAGAGCTATTGACGCTGAGGATATGTTGTTACTTGCAGTTAGTAGGGAGTAGATTTAGATATGGTAGCTATTGGCACTGGTGAAAAGGAAAGAAAGACTAATATTCTTGGTACAGCTATTTACAGAGAGTGATATCAGGAGAAGAGTACAAGTGAACCTCTATTATGTATCTATCGATGCCAAATCGAGTAAGTTAATTAAGAGTCAAATTACGTGAGCAACCAAAGAGTACTCAATATCGTTTTTTGCACATAGCTTTGCAGCGTTGCCAGCAGAGTAATTAAGATAGTAAATGGACGTATCGGAACCCACAATGATGAATATCGTCCTTCCTTTTAATCCAGATTACGTGTAAGGTATTAGCACTCCGTAGTCTCTTTCCTCTTCATCGATGTTCTTGCTGAAGATGGAAATTATTATATGCACTCCACAACATCCTTTACCCCACAAAGTAACATAGGTGGATGAAAAATTTCAAAGTCAACAGAGAAGACTTGTAGAACAGTGCAATTAGTCGGTACAGATTTTTTTTTTGCTTATTCACAATGTCTAGAGAGGAAGTATTAGAAAACTTAAATACTATTGTTGAGTCAGGACTCGAGTTTGTCCTCGATAACGAAGAAGCTATAGTTATCTCTATTTTGGTGGTATGCACAACTTCTATTGCTGTCGACTTTATAAGACTAAAACAGGAAAACCCTAAGACTTCATGGAAGAGTATCGTATCCGCCTTTTTTCCTAGTGTTTTAGCCACGGGCGCTGCTATTAAGTATATATCTGCTACTTTCCCCACCACTAATCAAGTGCTCTTCTTGCTAGCTGTGTTGGTGTCAGCAAAGCTCAGCAAATGGGTTGACTTAGAAAGAAAAGTGAAGCCCTACGTAGAAGAGAGCGTTCTTGCAAGATTGGCCTTGAAAAATTACTCTAGGTTAACGGGCTGGTTGAATTTTGTACCAAATTTCGGTTACTATATCTGGTTATTGATTGTTTGGGAATGGCTCAGAAGAGGTGATAGAGTAGAAGATGATAGAGTTAAAAATATTTCCCCTGTGCCTAATAGTAAGCTAAGCTTATCACTAGAACTTGGCCTGTTTGCTGTTATCTTAATCGATCAGCTTATATATTTAAAGAAAATCTTGTTCCAATTCAAGAGGAAGGGCGTTTTCGGCAAGTTTATCACATTAGTTTACTTCCTTTTGGCTGCTACGTTCTTACTGCCACCAGTCAGCTTGATATCCAGAAGGTTGAAAGAAGAAGGAGTCTTTTAGCTTATAAAGGGTTTTCTCTTCATTTTGTACTGATATGTTCTATTCTTTAATATACATTAATATACAATCCGGTGCCATACTTCAATTCTAACTATCACTTCGTAAAGTTGTTGAATCTTTCAGTAAGGAAAGAACCCAACTCTCCAGTTGATCCACCAGTGACGTCTTCTTGTCTGGGTATTATATCGCCAAAAATATCGTTGGCTACGGTTGCAGAGCCCTCTGCATCGCCTTTCTTAGTCAATGAGGAGTTCTCGTGGACTTCTTGGAACAAGCTAAATGTAGCAGAGTGATTATGCGAGTTCTCTCTTGATGCTTGCTTCATTATTGAGTGGTAAACGGTGGAGGTTGCAGAGTTGTTATCCCCATCAGCCTTGGTTGTTGTGTCAAGGAAAACGTTATCTTCATCGTCATTGCCAGCCTTTGGCTTTTTACTCTTTTGCGATCGATTGGATTTCAATTCTGGAGATCTTGGTAGTTCTTCACTGGAAGAAGGGCCAGGGATCGGAATTGAGCGTGCCTTTGCTGGCAGCACAGACTTGCGGGGACTTTCACCTCTACTTCCTGGGTTGGACGATCTGTATTTTGGAGTCAGAGGAAACCTCTGCAAAGAAGCTCTCTTCAGCTCACTTTCATCCAATCTCACAGGAGAAAGGACTTCGACATCCTTACCAGCTCCAAACTCAGATAACAATACAGGTGGCTCTGGTAGAGTAGGAGAAGAATCGATCAAGTTCTGAATCAAAGAAGACCTCCTATTTTCATACTCACTTTCTCGTTCTCGCACTGGCGTTCTCTTTCTGGGAGATATGGACACTTTATGATAGTTATCTAACGATTTCCGTATGGTGTGGGTAATCTTTGGGGGAGAATCGAATATATTGGTGATAGTGGTTGGAGGCTGAAGCTTCAAACTGTCACTAGAGTCAAACCTTCCAGGGTTACTGAACCCAGACTTCCCCGTGGCTGCTACTCTCTTGTATTGTGGAGTCGAAGACTGTATTCTGGTTTTGGGCTGTGGCTGTTCGGTAGACCATGTTGGAGTATCCTCCACATTCTGGAACGCTTTATTAAAAGGTCTCTTAAACTTACTTCCTTCGTTATCGTTGCTTTCAGCTTCACCCACCTTTCCAGCACTTTCGTCAGCTTGTCCGCTGTTGGTTTGAAGTTGAACATCATCTAGTAAATCGCCCCCCAGCTTGGCGTTGTGAAGCGTGTTGGTGTCGGTGCTACGGTTGGCAGGCTCTTCGTATCCATGTAACTCTACATTTGCCGATTGTTCCATAAAGTACTTCCAAAAATTGACATTTTGCCATACTTGCGATGAAGATCGCCCATAATTCTTCAAAACGGGGAATATCTTGTCGTTTATTATAGCATTGGATTTGGAAAGATTTTTATCGATCTCCTGAAGAGAGAGCGTGATTTCCTGCTCCAATCTCTCAAGCTCTAACGTAGCAGGCTCATCTTTGAGGATATTCTCCTCGTTTTTGCTACTTCCCGCGGTAGCTGTAGACTTCCTTCTGGTGGAAGAAGAAACGATAGAATATCGTTTCATACTGTAAGGGCAATTCAGGTATCTTCGAGCAGATTTAGGACAGTCCTTGGTGTTTGTTTTGATAATTTTTTTTTTTTCCTTCGCGTTTATAAACGGGTATTCATAGACCTGCATATAACATGAGGGTATAGCTGACGAAATGGCAAAGGGAAATAGGCCCAAGGGGGAAGGGAAGCTGTTCTTGATCGGTGTTTGTAAATCATCTATTTATTGTTCTTACCCTTCACTACAGGATATGGGAAATATAATGTCGGTTTCTTTTGCTCCCGAATGTACTGAAGCGAAAACAAAGTACGATGACTGCTTCAATGTATGGTACACTGAAAAATTCTTGAAGGGCAAGTCACTTGAAAATGAATGTGTGGAATTATGGGATGACTATATCACCTGTGTGAACACTGCTTTGGCCACCAAGAGTATCAAGCCCATCCTTGACAAGTCAAGAGAAGACCAGCCCTTCACAAGTGAAGAAATTAGGAAAAGTGCAGGTACAGACAAATAGTAGGTGAGCTCATCTGTGGGAGAACAGAGGAGAATGAGAATGAGGATGGAAGAGAAGAAAGTAGAACCATGTCAAATATGTGCATGTAAAATGCCTCCTTTTGAATAATGATTTCTTGTAAATAGAGTAAAAAGTCAGTAGATACAGTGAATACAGTAAATATACTAAATATACTAGTCGTTATATGTATTCAGACGACCCTGTAGCATCGTAGTGGCCCAGTGACAGAGAAAGCTAAAACTTCATAAATATATCCTGCATATAACACCAGTACGTATTTGTCAAGAGACTTGCAGAAAAACAGTGCTAATGGTCCTAACAACTGGTTGTAGCAGACTCTTTCTTTGCTTACTGAACTATTAATTGTTCATAATGTTGGTAGAAGAGGTACCCAAGACTTCTGCTCAGAAGGGATCCACTGTTTACTTCACGTCCAGTGTCAATCTAACGGCCAGGCCGCCCTCGTATCAGGATAGACTAGGCAGCTCGAACCTTGGCAGCTCGATCAGCAATGAAAGCAGTGGCAACAACAATGAAAACGGCAATGGTGCTGGAGGAGATGGGAGTTCCAGTAATAACGGATCGAGTAGTAACCGATTTGCCAAAAGTCGACCTAAAATTAACTATAACCTTAACCATTTAATGAATGCACAAACATCAGTTAACGATGCCAGTAATGCCACTAAGGGTCAGTTGAAGTCGGCGCAACAGATACAAATCGAAAGATTGATTAGTAGACGCATAGGAGAATTGAATAAAGAAAACAACGGTAGTATGTCGAATTTCGAGATACCCAAAAACTTTGCAGATTCACGTAATGGCACGCTTGGTGGTGATAAAAAGAAAGCAAGACTAGGAAACACGCCGCTGACGAAGAAAATTCTAGCTGCAAGAAGAAACTTGGCGCTGTACTTTGAAGAAGAGAGGAATGTGCTTAATATAAATACGATCTTGAGTTTAAACTACCAGTTTGTGGACGAATTAGAGCCCATGCTGGTGGAATCCTCAGCAAAGAGACAGAGGTTGAGTAGATCGTTAGTCAAGCCAAAGGTGAAGCTCTGCTGCATATGTGGAGGGAACTCAGGGTATGCTAGATGTGAAGCTTGTGGGTTATTCAGCTGCAGTGTACGGTGTAATAAGTTGCACTTAGAGCTGAGATGTGTGTGACCGAATGAACGAATGAATGAATGAATGGATGCATAGAATGTCATATGCCAAGAGGCCCAAAAATAGACCTTCGTCACAACTGCAGGAATAAGAGGGGGATTATAAAGGATACTAAAATCAGTAGCTTAATGTACATTACAAGTCAATTCCTGGCTCTTCTGGTGTGAGTAGCTTGCATGATCCTTTCACCTTCCTCATTAGTAGTCGATTTTTCCGTATGTTTTTTACTTGTTTTCTATGTTTCTGTCTACAGATCATACCTCAGCTCACTCCTAGCTACAATGACACCCTTAAAGGTTAGCTATTTTCTCCTCTGTTGCCCACGGCCTCTCCCACCCTCCACCCTCTCAGCACTAGTCCAACGTGCTCAGTGGATCATCAAAACCTGCATATAAGACCCATCACAGATTTGGCGTGGGCATAAAAAAATTGCAGAAAACCGTCAGTGGTGCTACAAGAGTTACGGTCATAGCAGCATCAAAGATGATGACACATTCGCAGAATACTATCAAGCTTGTGGCAGGTAACTCGCACCCGGAGTTGTGCAAGCAAATTCTGGCTCGTCTTGGCATAGAACTCTCTAAAGTGGGGGCCTTCAACTACACGAATCAGGAGACGGCAGTTGCCGTAGGTGAATCAGTCAGAGATGAAGACGTTTACATCATTCAGACAGGATGTGGAGAGACCAGTATCAATCAATTCTTAATGGAACTATTAATTATAGTGAATGCGTGTAAGATCGCCAGTGCCCGTAGAATAACTGCCGTGATCCCCAACTTCCCCTATGCTAGACAAGATAAGAAAGATAAGAGCAGAGCACCAATAACAGCCAAACTTGTAGCCAACTTGTTGCAGACTGCTGGATGTAGTCATGTCATTACCTTGGACTTGCACGCATCTCAGATTCAAGGGTTTTTCAGAGTTCCAGTAGATAACTTGTATGCTGAGCCCTCAGTGTTGAGATATATAAACGAGAACTTTGCTAGAGAAGACATAATCATAGTCAGTCCCGATGCTGGTGGGGCCAAGAGAGTTTCGTCTATAGCAGATAAATTGGATGTGAATTTTGCTTTGATCCACAAGGAAAGAAAGAAGGCCAACGAAGTTTCCAGAATGGTTCTTGTTGGGGATGTGACAGATAAGGTGTGTTTGCTTATCGATGATATGGCCGATACCTGTGGTACCTTGTGCAAGGCAGCTGAAGTTCTATTGGAGGAAGGAGGAGCCAAGGAAGTCATTGCTATAATTACCCATGGTATATTCCTGTCCAATGCCATTGAAAGGTTGAACAACTCCAAGTTATCTAGAATTATATGTACCAACTCGATGCCCTTGGAAGACAAGTTGGAGAGATGTAGCATATTAGAGACTATTGATATTAGTCCTACGTTGGCCGAAGCAATTAGAAGGTTACATTACGGTGAGAGTGTTAGTTATTTATTCAACAATGCCCCAGCATGAACGACATGAGCAGCATGAAAGACATGATCAGCATGAACGACGTGAACAGCATGAACGACATGAGCAGCATGAACGACATGAGCAGCATGAAAGACATGATCAGCATGGACGACATGAACAGCATGAACGACATGAGCAGCATGAACGACATGAGCAGCATGAAGAGCGTAAAAAACATAGAAAGAATTAGTAAGTATTTGACCGATAGTGAATAGATGTATAATAAACTGTATTTTGATTGAGTTGAATTGTTGTAGGGGAGAGTAGAAAAGGTGTCAGATGCGAGAAGTGTGTCGGACGGAGGAAGTGACTTAGGAGAGGGAGGTGACTTAGAGGAGGGAGGTGACTTAGAAGAGGGAGGTGACTTAGAAGTGGGAGGTGACTTAGAAGTGGGAGGTGACTTAGAAGAGGGAGATGTGTTAGAAGAGGGAAGTGCATTGACAGTTTAAAGAGCGCTAGAATACAAGTAGAAGTGTTTCGAAGGAGATGAAAAATAAAAATAACCCAGCATTTCTATATCATAGACTGCATTTTAACTCAAGATTGGAATTAATCCAGGAGGGTGTGTAAGACGGTAAAAACTCTGTGTACAAGTGCTACAAGGAATGGAAAGCTAGAAAGGCATGAAAAATAACAGATGCAGTTGATCTCAGCGACACCACGCGCAAATTCGAAAAGAAAGAGTTAACCAGCTTGTCTCAAGAGGACCGAAAAGTATCCGAAAGCAGAGACTGGTTGCAGATCACAACTTCAATGCTGAAGAATGACCCGAAACTAACACACCTCTAATAGCATGCCGAACGTACTGATACTGCCTCAACGCATTGCATGTGGCATGGTAGCACATGCGCAAAGATCTTTATAAATAATCGTGCAGCACAAGAACAAGCACATCCATGCAAAGGGCGGCGACATGTCACGACCATTCCTACGTGCAAGCGTCGAACACAGCTACAATTAAGTTGGCCTGGTGGTACATTAAAGCTGTCCCAACTCGTATGCTTAAATCTAATTCTACACCAACAGGCAACCAGGTGGGTAGCTTGTTTCACTTGTTTCTGCAAGAAGAGGCTTTAAAAGGAATTAGTGATCGTTGGGTAAAAACATGCAAAATTCACGTATTACTCGCAGAATTAGGCGCTAATTTAGCGAGCGTTTCCTTTCTTTTTTTTTTTTTTTTCGGTGAGTAAATTTACCCCAGACTTTCGGATGAAATTAAAATTCCAGCCAACGAGGTGGTGAACAGTCCCGCAAAGGAATTCAGCCGTGGAGCCCCCACAAGAGGGAATAGGAGGGAAATGAACACCTATTATATGGTAAAGGAATGAATAGGAGGAACAAAGACATGTAGCGATAAGAAGGTACTGATGTAAACTGCTGGAGCAAGGTATTACGGTATGCCCATTTTGCTCATTCTATGCACATAGTCAAAGGAATTGCAATTTTTCAGTTCTCAGCTTACTCACATGAATCAAAATAAATAGTTGCAACAACTAATTGTACAGCATTCCCTTAAGCGCATATTTATTTAACCACCACAGTTGCCCTTGATGGGAAACATGTAGATACGCCAGACACGGAAAATATATACAGAAAAACGGTGCAATCTTGACATCCTTTTCGGAAGGTGGACTGTGTCAGTATGAAATCTTATCCAATGTCCGAGGAATGGTGTTCCCTCGGTTTAACGGGAGTGCACGACCCCCCCGCAAACCAGAGATGAAAAAAAAAAAAAAAAAACTACTTATACTGTAAGAATCCCGGGAGTAACGAAGAGAATACTCGAATAGGAGCTATATCAAGGTCACTTATATAGCTGTCGATATTATAACTTGGATCGTGCCACACTCATTCAGAGAAAAAGATAAAAAAAGGTAAAATTTGAAGCATTCACTGCAAGTAAGCTCTAAATTTTTATTTCATTTCATCTACTGTTTGTACTCTTTCCAAACTCCATAAGCTTAACGTTGTCTATATAATGATAAAATCACTTGGAAGAAGAATTATGCCCTCAATTAAACAATTTTCTACCTCCTCCTTAAAGGGGGACCTCTACAGATACCAGAAGGACTTGCCCAAACTTCCGGTTCCTACCTTGGACGAGACTGCCGCAAAGTACCTTTTGTCCGTTCAACCATTATTGACGGAAGAACAATTTAAGGCTACTAGTGAAAAAGTTAATGATTTCGTTAGCGCCGGTGGAATCGGGCCAATACTTCAAGAACGTCTTGAGAATTTTGCCGCTAACCCTAAAGTAGACAACTGGCTTGCTGAATCTTGGGATGACTATGCATACATGGGATATAGAGACCCTGTTGTTCCTTATGTATCGTACTTCTTTTCCCATAAAGATGTTAACAATCTAATTGGAAAGGACCAATTGTTGAAGGCTACTTTAATCTCTTACTACGCCACTCAATTTTTGGTGGATGTTCAAAATGAAACATTGGAGCCAGAGATCATTAAGGGTAACCCATACTGTATGAATGCTTTCAGATTCATGTTCAATAATGCTAGAGTGCCCCATGAAGTTAACGACATTACCAACAGTTATGATGGAACCAAGCATCGTTACTTTGTCGCAATTATAAATAACCACTATTACAAGATTTATCACCACAACAAGAATGATGACACTCCTTTGACCAAAGCACAATTGTACAAGCAATTTGAGTTCATTTTGAATGATGTCACCAAGCGTGGTAAAGCTGCTCCAATTGGTGCATTGACTTCATTGAATAGAGATGAGTGGTTAAGTTCCTACACACAGTTGTTGAAATCTCCATCCAGTGCTGCTTCGATCGAAGCTATAGAAGCATCTTCTTTCATTGTTTGTTTAGATTCCAACTCTCCTATTACAATCAAGGAGAAGTCTGCCAACTGTTGGCACGGTAACGGTCAAAATAGATATTTTGACAAACCATTGGAATTTCTCGTTGGTGCTAATGGTAATTCCGGATTTATTGGAGAACATTCCAGGATGGATGCTACTCCAACTGTCCAGTTAAACAACTATATCCTTGATAAAATTAACAAGGAATCTCCTAAGGATTTAATTGCAGAGATTGAAGGGTTAAACGTTAATGTGAGAGAATTACCAGTTACTCTGATCCCATCTGTTTTACCATTTGATATCAATCCATACGTTAGAAGTGAAATTGAAAGTGCTGTTGTTAAATTCAACAAGACCATTGAATCTCATGATGAAGAAGTTTTCCAATACCAAGGCTATGGTAAGAACTTGATTAAACAATTCAAGGTTTCCCCAGATGCTTACGTACAGATGCTTATGCAATTGTCTTATTACAAGACTACAGGAAAGATTAGACCAACTTATGAAAGTGCCGCAACGAGAAAGTTTTTGAAAGGTAGAACTGAAACTGGTAGATCCGTCTCCAATGAATCCAAGAAGTTTGTTGAAACTTGGACCGACTTTAACAGTACCAACGAAGAGAAGATTGCTACCTTCCAAGCTGCTTGTAAACAACACGTTAAGTACTTGGGAGAAGCAGCCAATGGTAAGGGTGTTGACCGTCACTTCCTTGGTTTAAAAAATATGTTGCAACCAGGTGAAGAAGTTCCAGCTATCTTCTCAGATCCTGTTTTTAGTTATAGTGCTACTTGGTACCTTTCCACATCTCAAATTCCTAGTGAATATTTCCAAAGTTGGGGATTTTCTCAAGTTATCGATGATGGATATGGATTAGCCTACATGATTAACAGTGATTGGTTACATGTTCACATCAGTTGTAAGAAGAATAATGGCTTGAGAAGTGATGTTTTGAAGTACTACTTAACTGAAACTGCTAACGAAATGAGAGACATATTAAAGACCAGCTTGCCACCAAAGGCCAAGTTGTAGTTAGAGTTGAATATATTCAGAGTGCAGCATTCAAATGGAAGTTAAGAGTTTGAGATGGAAGATATTAGAGAAGATTACGAGTGAGTTTTACTACAACCGCAGCCGAGATTCTGCATCTACTAGTATGTTACTAGCTTGGTTGTGATGGTCACCATTCTTCTTTTCTTTTTCTACTTACCCGATACGCTTCAAATCAGTTCATTTCTTAAAAATTATGCAGCCCGTATTATTTATTGTTAGATATTTTATATATGTAAATGTATATATATATTATATTACTTCTTATATCCACTGTAGCACGTATGGCACCTATTGGGACAAATTACCCCATTTACTGATATTTTTATTCTTTCCATAAAGCCCTGCAAACTATTTCTGGATCAGTTTCAGATTTGGTTTTGAAGGAGAATGTTTGCTGCTTAGATCTCCATCATTTCCGTCAGAAACATGAATTTTTTCTGATTATTGACGTTATCGTACATATTACAGATGATCTTAATGATCTTGATTTGGATAAGTAGTAAATACAATTAAGCTTTATATAATTCCAAATTCCAAATATAGGTTAATCTAATCGGAAAATAGTTTAGAAATAGAATTTTTGGTGTAAAAGTTGCTACAATGGAATGGCGGCACAGTGTTGAGAGAGTTAAAGTAATTGTTGCAAGTGGGCGAGATTCCACCCAGCCAGACGGAAAGTGAAACAACATGACTGACGCTTGAGGAGGGAGTAAACAGGTAGCGCAAAGCTGAACTTTATTCGTCTATAGATGTTTACGATTATATACGAAAGCGAACTGAGCGAAGAAACACTAAAAAATAACAGTAGATATGAAGAAAAAGAGAGATATGTAAACAAATATGTCTCAAATGAAAGTGAATAATAATAATAATAATATCATTTTACGTCTAGAACTTTAATTAGTCGAGTAAAGAGAAGCATGCTCTAAGAATTTTAATTTTATGGACTCTCGTAACTTTGCAAAACGTATTGGGCCCTTTGGGAACAGTAGAGTGCTCCCTACCACAATGCACCAGTTGCTTTTTCTTGCCAGGTACGTACCTCTCGCTAAAATGGATAAGTCCGATATCCCCTGACACAATCAGGGGTCTTTTCGAGACTCAAGTTTGATTGGCCATTGATAAAGAGAGATCTCTTAAGTAAGAGGAGGGAGGTAGGAAATAAGAAAAAGTGTGACTAGCAATCGAGACTATACATTTCTTTTTCCATTAATCAGTAGCAACGGGTTAATTTCTAAGAAGAGAAAGAGGGGACTTCTCCGTGGATAACAATCGTTCTATTAGTATTTTTTAAGCTTTTCTTTCTTTTTTCCCACAGACCATTTCTTTAGGTGTGGAACGCCTTACACAAAAAAGCTTGATTACATAGAGAGAAGTTCAAATGAGCACGTAAAAAATAAAGCTTGGGAACAAAAAAATTAGCTATGTGCACTCCTCGTCAAAGAAATGAGGTTTCCTGTTTAGTCACTATTGTAAATTATGCAACATTCCGTCTGCAAATTAGTAAATGGTATTGTTGACGATACATGAATCAATTAAGACAATTCAAGAAATAAATTGCGGATCAATGGCCTTTAATGAGGGCTGTACTTGGAATTTGATGAAGAAAATGTAACAAAGTTCCAAAATGGCCATAATGGCAACTGGGACTGGAAGTCATACGTGATTAACTTTCACATAGTTCTGCATTCTTGTGCTTTCCATGCATAAATGTACTTACTCACCGAAGCACAGATCAGGCTTTATTTTGCAATCCTGAGCTTACCTACTACGTGGTTAAGCAATTTATCTCTGTACATGAACCCTAATGTAGTTACCCAGTTCCCGTAAACCTACATATACATATACATCTTTTTTTTTTTTTTTTATGCTTTCCCTATCATTTTGCCATCATTTTTTATTATTTTTATTTTTATTTTTTATATTTTTGTTTCATTTGCTTTTTGCATATTTTAGCTATACGGGGATTAAAAAAAAAATCTCTTATATATATACTTAAAATAGGGAGAATCCGAAATTCTCGTCTAGCCCTATTAGGTATACCTAGAATTCATAGATACTGAACGTATTGATATAGTAAGAGTGTTCTATTAGATAGAAGTGAAAGGTGAACTTGGAAACAGAAGGCAACAGTGGTATATTTATTTTCTTTGTTCGCTAGTACTTTCTATTTTAACTGCTTCGGCCCCATTACACCAAAACTAAATTAAGGTAAAAATCGAGCCCGGTGACACAAAATTCTATTATCAGTTCAGTTGTCAACCAGACTTGAAAGAATCAAACCCATCCCTCTTATCAACACAACTTTAATTCCGAAAGTTATCCCCCACCAACCTTTGAATAATACACAATCAAGACACACTTCGGACGAAGCGAAACAAAGAGAAAGGAAAAAAAAAAAGAGAGAGACTTAGCATAGTTCTTTCTTCATCAACTCAATTCCTCACAAGAACTCTTCAGCCTTCAGTTACCTAAATATAACTTTTTTCCCTGAAGCAACCACTACTGCGAATTTTCCCACTCTCCCACAAAATACTAGCGGCCCTAAATAGATAAGCCCTACCATACTAGAGAGACAGAGAGAGAAATTCAATAATCTTAAGTAAGCAACAGATCAACCGAAAACACAAGTGAAATCTTCATTTTAATTCAAGTTTCAACTTTTTGTCTTTGACTTCATTTATATTCACACAATTAGCTACTCGCCCATCACGGAGCCTTAAATTGACAATTCTCATTTAAGCTTCTAGATCATACCTACGTCTTTCAGTAACCCTACGTACCCCAGATCATAGATCACCTCAGATTAATTTTTTTTGTTTTTCTCGAGAAAGGAAAAATAAATAAACGTTCTGTGGCAGATTAAGGAGTACCTCAAACACAAAGACAAAAATAGCTACAGGCGAGAAGAAACCTTTGCCTAGCCATACATAAGTGTTGTTTAATACGGGGAAAAAAAACCAAGCTAGAAAATCGACCAAGCAGCTTGTGTCCTAATTTTAGTTTAATTAGGTGCCTGTTTTTTTATACTGTTGAAGAAAAGCCCATTGAGACCCAGGAAAAAAAAATTCTTCTTCCTGTACTTACCTTAGAAGAACTACGCCTCTTCTAACGACTTTCATTTTATAAACCCCATTCACGATTCAGGCCACAGTCCCCACCTATGCTCGAGTTATGTCTGATAACCATAGTCATAAATCGCATAAGCGGCAAAAATCGTCGACACTGAATATAAACTACTATTTCCCACCTCCGGGGCAGGATCCAGACATCTATCTGCATCTGAATGTGCATTCCTCACCAACACATCCTATAAACTTACCTACACAACAACAACAACAACAGCATCATGTACAGCATCAACCCTCATCCCCTGACCACTATCATCAGGATACACAGCAACAGCAACAACAACAACAGCATCTTCCACAACATCAGCATCTGCATAGCCTTCATAGTTCAATTCACACGCCCATTCAGGACCCTTACCAAGCAGTAGGTGGTGGAAGTGTTTCTCATGCTGCGTACTCATTTCCAGGGGGACAAGATTCTCATTTGACCGGAGGTTCAGGTCAAGGTTCAGGCTCCGGAACAGTGGCTGCACTGGGACCTGGTTCTGGTGGAACTGTTCCAGTTCCACCAGGAGAACCGCTGTCAGTGCAATCGTCTCCTTCGTTCAACCAGTTCCCTCAACAATTCGTGTATCCATCAGTTGATTCACAGTACTCAATGCATCCTCCTCCGATGAACGCCACTTCTGGCGGTACCCAATCCGCCCCAACGGGCCATTCAGATTCGTTCCAGTCATTCAATTTCCCCAGGCCCTCACAGGAATTCTTTTATCCAACATCGCCCGTAGCTACAAGAGTCCTGCCTGCAAAGCAAAGAATCCAACACAGTAAGAATAATTTGTCTATCTCATCGCATTTCAATCTATTTAATTTAAAGGAAGAGTATGACCCTAGTGTAAGACAGATGCAACAACTGCAGCAGCAACTGCCTCAGCATAAGGGACCGGTACCAACTACACAACTGCAAACATCTCAGCTTTCATCTAATAGGCTCTTACCTTTGAGTAGTGGATTGCCTTCTCACTCTCAATCATTGAGTCATCAGACCCCTAGCCATCTGCATAGCGGGAGTGTGGGTACTACAGGAGAGTTGTTACCACCGGCTCCACTTTATCCTACAATGCCTTCGTATACGGTTCCTCTCACAACCGAAACAAAATCTGATATAATACATTCCTTGTTGATTCAATTACCTATGATCGATGGACAAAACATTAATTCTTATTTACTTGACGTTATTCACAAGATTTCCAATCAATTGCCTTTGGATGAATTTTATAACATCCTATATAACTCAGACGAAGACTCTCATTCCGCAGAACAACAACAACAAATACAGAATATGGGTAAAATTGACAATACCGTTTTTGACTCTCCCTCAATAGCGGCAAATTCAAGTGAAACGGTTTCTCTGGTACTTGGAGTCTTCAAGAACCCAATGACGTTGACAAACTATATATCAACTATCGACACATCTCTGATTAAGTTAACTTCTGTTAATTATCACGAATTATTAAGAACATTCTTGGCTATTAAGATACTATCTGACATATTGATTCAACTCCCTGGAACAACAGTGGAATTAGAACACACTATACCTAGGTTGTCTATATACAAGACCTACTATATAGTATGTCAGAAATTAATTAATAGCTATCCGTCATCATCCAATACTGTCAGTGAACAGCAAAAGATCATCTTGGGTCAATCAAAGTTGGGAAAATTAATTAAAATGGTGTACCCAAATTTGAGAATTAAAAGACTTGGAAGTAGAGGAGAGTCTAAATATAATTATTTGGGAGTCGTCTGGAACGAAAATATTGTTCATCCTGATATCAATGCATTATGTGAAAATAATGAGTTGAGTGACTTGAATACATACTTCATGCTGAGGAAAATGAGATCTTCTAAACTGGGGAAAAGAAAGGCATCAGGGCAACTACAAAATCCCGGACCACCTGAAATGGTCCCTGGAATAGGAATTGGGATCGATATTGGTGATCCATCGATTGAGCAACTTCATCACTCTACTATGGAGGGAGGTCAAAATGCACTTGTTAGTACTGCTGGTGGAATTGGTAGATCCAAATCTAAGTCAAAAAGACAGCCTCATACTTCAACTGCAGGGGCTGGCTCGTCATCTTCAAACAGGAAGGATGAAAGCTATGCATTTGCTCCTCAGCTTTCCTTTACAAACCCTTTCTTGAAATTTCCTACTTTTGAAGACTTTTCATTAGCTCCAGATTTGAATCAGGAGAGTTGGTTTGATAGCATTAGCAAGGAGCAAGCGTTATCTATAGATAATTTGTTTGTTAGCAGAGAAAACATATCTATTCTTGATATAATTCAAGGTATATTTATTGATAACTTAATTGATGTTGAGGGAAATTCTGCCAATGAAAATAATGCTGAATCGCCACTACTCAATTCATTTATGGAGAAAGTTGTTCATCCGTATGCGGCAGCTGCTATGACAAATCCAGAACCCTTCAAGAATGTTGATTTGAGAATTTACTTAATAACTATCATTAAACTACTTCCCTATCTACTTCTCCTTTCAAAGGATCCAGTCAAAAGTTTTAATAATCACGGTAGTTTCTTGCAGACGTTAAGATCAAATTTAATCCAATTCGTAAACAACTTTTCCGACAGCATATTTGGATTAGAGAGTGTGTTCCCACATACCAATGCTACGATATTTTGCATAATTTTGAAAAAATTAATTAATGTTAATGACTTGTTAATTACCTTCATTAAATTAATAATGAAAGAAGAGGGATTTACAAGTACGAGAAATAGCATGAAATCTGATATTCAAAATTATTTGATTTCTCCTTCACCCTCATTATCCTTCGAAAATAATGAAATTAGGTTCAATTTCAAAGAAGATATTGTTCAGAATGATTTGATATTCAGTTTAATGGGTTATAATTATAATCCAACTACTAATGTTGACGAAGGAATTCACCAAGTAGAACAGCAGCCACACCACATACAACTGCATCAGCAAGAACAGCACCAACAACAGGGTAGAATGCAAGATCCTAGCTTTTCCGGAGGCATGAGTCGCAGTACTAGCATGAACATTCCATTTACATCAACAAACATGGAGAAGCCAAGCTCGGTCGTATCTATGAAATTTGTTCGTGAGGAAGCGACGTTGATCGAACAATTCTTCAAAGTTGACCTTGTGAGGTTCTTAAGCTTTAAGTTTGAAGCTGATGACGAAGCTGACTTGATTGGTAATGATCCTAATTGGATAAACTTATTGACAAGTCAGGAATACAGTGCATTAACCGCCCTTATTAAATTAATGCACGAAAGCTTGCTATCTACTCATTTCAAATCGAGGTATCCAATTTTAGTCTATCATAATTTTATTAGTTGCATCTTAAATGATTTACTCAAGCACATATATTCCAAGCAACAAATTCAACTGCAAGTACAACTGCAGAGCAGTTTTGGGAATTGGTGGGTATTTAATTCCTTTGTTGAAGAGTATGTTGGATTAATGGGAGAAATTGTTGGTTTATTCCAGACAATTTAATAGAGGACAATTGCATAAAAGGCATCATTGCTTGACATTTAATTTTTATTTTTAATTCCATCATATTCAACTTTTTTTTTACAATTTCGTTCTTTTGAATACATCAAGATTAGACACTGATTCTTAGAATTCTTTTACATTGATTTGTATACTATATTCAGAGTATATCGAATTAATTTCACCTATTTGTTGCAGCCATTATTAATTTATAACTCAAAATGATCAATGCACAAATTACTTTTGTATAAACAATACAACTAATAATGACAATGACAAGAGAATTTGTAAGCACTACTTTCACAATTGCATTCAATACTTTCCTTCGCACATGTAGCTATACTTTCTATAATTGGAGTCTTATAGCTAACTTCAAATTTGTGTTCCGGACTTAGTTTCGAATATAAAGGCTTGCAATATTTGAAGAATCGATAACTACATTCAGATAATTTTTCATACTCTATGTTTTTTAATGATTGCTTTCGTCCTTATCCATCTAATTTGCCTTTTACCGTGTTTGGTTTCATCCGAAATAAGTGAAGCCGAATACGATGTGTTATTGGATTATGCGAAATTTTCATCCATTGCCTATTGCTTAAATAAAGGTTTGACTTCAGGACCAATGTCAGAGTCATGCGAGTTAAGTTTCTGTAAAACTCCCGAGCTCAGTGACATTGAAATCATAAAGACATTTGACTTCAATGAGTGGGATGGTGTTGGATCAGGGTATTTAGCAATAGATCATAAAAATGGCAGAGTTATCTTAGCGATGAGAGGAACATCATCAAGAAGAGATTGGATAGGAAATTTTGACTTCATTCCCGTACCATATGAGCCCCTAACCAAACTGATTACAGTAGAATGTGAAGGTTGCAAGATTCACAAAGGTTTTTACGAGTTTTTAAGGAATAAATGTGCATATATTATCAAGGAAACACTGAACCTCCATTTCAAGCATCCAGAATATAGATTAATTGTTACTGGTCATTCTTTGGGTGCTGCGTTGGCAACGCTAGCAGGAATTGAACTTTCCTTGATGGAGCATGATCCCTTGGTCGTGGGGTATGGTAGCCCTCGAGTTGGAAATACTAACTTTGTGAAGTGGGTGGACATTAGTGTACTGAGTAAGTTACAAGTGATAGTTAACATTGCCCAAACGAATATGATCACAAATGGCTTTATCAGAGTAACTCACGAGCATGATTTAATACCTAAATTACCTCCTGCTCCTGTCTTCAGACATACCGGAGTGGAGTACGAAATAGTGAAATTGGAAACTCCGCATGAAAGAAATGATATCAACAGGGTGGTCAATGAAGAATGGCAAGATATTGATGATATGGATTCCAACGCTCAGGTTAAAACGATGAGTCCTCTGAAATTGTGGCCCCCATTTTTAGGTAAGTATGAACATAAACATTACCTCATAAGAATTACTGGGTGTGATGACAATAAAAGTTAAGTGATATGTTCAACATAATAAGTTACATGCTTTGTTAGTTTTTCAAGTCATGAGCAATTTGCAACAACTCTTCTTTACTTTCAATCTTTGTTCTTTCTTTCCCATGTTCCTTTCCGAGATTTCTTTCAAATTGGTCAATCTTTTTCCACTCTTGCCATGATACTCCCCTAGATTCTTCAGGCAAGCCATTGACTCCTACTTTTAGGTTCTCAGGCCCTTCTGTCTTTATATTATTGCTCAAATCTTCTAGCACACTATCAGCCGTTTCAAATGACTCCATCATTGTTGTTGCTATTACACCCTTTGGGCCATTTTTAATCCATCCTGAGGTATACCATCCAGGTCTATATACAAGTTTATGCAGAGACTCACCTCCTGAGTTGGAAGAAGAGAGGATTCTTCCTTCATTGTTCAATATTCTATTTCTGTCGAAGGATATATCTAATTCTTCAAATTCTTCAAGTGGGATACCTTGGTATCCTATAGATAAAATAACTAGTTCATTTTTGATGATTTCAGTTTCGCTTGTCTTTGAAACTTTAACAGAACCCGTGAAAGAATCCTTCTCTAAATAGTTTAAAACAAATTTGGTTTCCGAGACAGAATTAAGGTTATTACCTATGAATTCAATAGGAGACCTTAAATAGATAAGTTCCCAAGATTTGGTTACTTCAATATCGGTATTTTGTTCTAATTTTGAATATTTATCAAGCAATTGAAACTTCCTCTTGTCAATTCTATTTAAAGATTTGACATTTGGACGAATCTCATCTGTTAACTTATCGTCTATTGGCAAGAACTTTATATTGGTACCATTAGATAATTCTAACAATTCTCTAATTTCCTTATTTGAAAATGCAGATTCAAGTATTCCCCTTCTAGCTACAATATTAACCTTCTTAACGGTAGATTTCCTTAAATGTTCCAAGGCACTTACGGAGATATCAGTTTTGGTCCAGTGGCTGTCAGGATCCGCTAAAAGTACTCTTGCTACATCTAGGGCCACATTACCGTTACCAATAATGGTGACAGTATCAACTTTATCTAAAGGAGGGGGTTTGAGTCCACTTTCATGAAAGTCTACACTACCATTATACCAGCTAACGAATTCACGAGCCGATATTATTCCCTTAAGATCCGCACCAGGCACCAGCAACTTGTTGTCACTATGGGTACATCCATATGACAATATTATCGAGTGGTATTTCTCTTCAAGGTCTTGAAGAGTAATGTCTTTACCAATCTCTACATTACCAAAAAATCTGACCCTGTGCAGTGAGTTCTGTTCTAGCTGTTGATCACCATCGGTCGCCGAATTGCTTCCATACTTAGACATGATATTGTCAAGGTACTCTTCACAATTTTTAACTTCTGGGTGGTCTGGTGCTACACCATATCTACTTAAGCCATATGGAACCGGATTCTTCTCGAAAAAGTCTACATTTAGTACGAATTGATCTTTTGGAGATGACTTATTCAACAAGTGATGTGCAGTATAAAATCCAGCAGGACCAGTTCCAACTATTGCAACATTAAAAGTAGGCACCGAGCGTACGCTTGAGGACGCAAATTTTCTTACTACGTTTCGGAACATGCAAATTGGAGTCGTCTCAACCTTATATATATAGCTAGATAGTTACCGAATTCTACTGCTACTAGACATCACAATTCTTGAAATCAATCGAGCCATTAAGAAGGAACCGAGTCTATCCAGAGTGTGCTGCATATAGGCTCCAACAAGCATACATAGAAATCCTAAGTATGTAGACGAATTTTCAATCCTCGCACGACCCTCGATATGGAAGTGCAAGCATTCCTCTGACAAGGAAAAAAAGCCGGAGGTTCAACACCCTAGAACTGGAACGTTTAGAAGTATATATATAAAGTCAATCAAGAGAAAACAATGGCTACTGCTATAGCAAATAAGTCTGCTGCCACCAAGACCGATCCATCTAAATTTTTAAGTGATATTATTGGAAGTTCTGTGAGTGTCAAGCTTCACAATGGTGTAGAATACGTTGGCAATTTACAGAGTATAGATGGGTACATGAATATAGTGTTAGATGAGACTAAAGAATACGTTAGAGGTCAACCTCTGAATAGAAGTTATGGGGATGTTTTCATCAGAGGAAATAACGGTAAGTAGAAAGACTTTGAAATGTACTTCAAAAGTTGTGAGAACTTTGCAAGCTTGATCAAGCTGTTGTTGGTTTCAGCAGGCTGATTCGGTTTTTGAATTATTTTTTTTTTCCTTTACTAACTGACTTTTCTAGTTTTGTACATTAGCGAGGCTTAATTTGGTATCAATAGCATACTACGATATATAAGTGAAAAGAAAAATGAAATATATACATGCATATATAATTACTGGGTAATAGATAAAGACCTGTAAGATTGCTGAACGTTGTATTCCGTACCTCTGGGCAACTGTAGACTGGAAGTCGTTTCTATATTACTTCCCATGTATATCGCAATGTTGTATGTAGTAAATTACACTGCATATACGCTGTATGTGGCCTAATCTGGTATCAATAGCATACTTACATATACAAGTAAAGATAGAAGGAAGCACGTACATATACATGTATATGATCATCAGGAGACAGATGGAAACCTGAATCACTCTTTCGTGTTATACTGTTCACTTCTGGGCAGCTATAGAGTGGAAGTCTATACTTACCATCTAAACACTCATACACATTGCAATATTACAGGTAGTATGGAGAACTGCACACAATGAGTGACCTACCAAATTAGTGAGCTCCTTTTTGTGTAACAAAACTTTCAGTATGAGCTTTGTGCTCTCTTTTTTAGCGAATAAGAAGTCGCAGACACTCTACAGGAAACCCAAACCTCGCAAGTTAACCTGAACAAAAAAAATTGAAAAAGTCAAATACAATAATAACTAGACTATCTAGAGTATCTTATATAAACAACAAAATATGTCATTTATTATTAGAAGACAATTGTCAACTTTGATTCCACCAAAGATTGCTTCCGCAAAGGTATGTAGAGAGAAAGGAAATAGGTGAAAGGAAAGAAGATAGAGGTTGAAGCGAGAGCGAGATCGGCGACAGGAACCATCGACATTTTTACACAGTGACGTTTAAAGTGATTGATCAATTGTACCAGTAATGACTCGTTGAAGTGGCCAGAAAATGAGCTGGTATGCTTAAGATGACACTGGATGCAGAGCCGTATCACATTTCAACTCTATTGCTCCACATCTCGAGGTCTGGACTACTGTCAGATGACATGGAGATAGTGCGTTAGATTTGATATCAGAAAGTAATGCCTCTGCCAGTTTCTTGAATTTCCACCACATTTCCAAAAAAAATAATCGACGAATTGGACTCCCACACGGATTTAGTACGATCTCTCTTCAATTCCATTATTTTTGTTACTAACAAGTATTTAGAACATTGGATCCAATCCAAATGCCAAGAGAATGGCTGAAGTTGTTTCTTTCTACAAGAAGTTACCAACCGGACCAGCACCTGCTGCCAAGTCTCCTTTGACTCCATGGGGTAAGTATAAGGCTGCTTACTTTGATGGTGACAATGCATCAGGTAAACCATTACTCCACTTAATTATTGCTGTAGTTGTTTTAGGTTACACTTGGGAATACCAATCTCACTTAAAGCATCACAAGGAGCATTAAAAAGTTTTATTAATGAATATGAAACAACGTAAAATAGAAAATAGTAAAAAGGAATACATGATCAGTTAGAACCAGATTATGGGGAGTAGAGCGTAAAGCGTAGAGCCAGTTTAATGTAGAGCTTAGAATAGCAGACAGTAGCAGTAGGGGAAAGAACGGAAGAATGCGAAAAGGCAAGAGAACTAGAATCGAGACAAGCTAGCAAATATCGCTCAACGAGATCGAGCTCGAGCTAGAGCCAGAAGAAATACTTTCCTGCAATAAGTCCAAAAAAGTCTGCGCAGGATGGGCCAGGCATTAGGCAAATAAATAGTAGCATGTCAAAAAGTACCGAAGCTGGGCCACCACAGGGCCTGCCTGGCGCAGAAAAATGTTAAAAGAGTGTACAAGAATGCGAAAAGAATGTAATAAAGAACGCTAAAGTGCCGAAAAGTGCTACATGAAATAGTGTGGGTCCACCCAGAAAGGGCATATCCTGACTAAACACACTTATACAAAGAATGTCACCACAGTTGTAGAGCGATATTTTACAGCTCATGTGGAGAAGAGTGGGTGTTATGCTGTAGCTCAGATTAAGCTTTGCGCAAGTTTCGGCTTCACTAAAATTTCTAAAAACTGAAAAAATACGCACCACTACTTGCAGCCAAACGGGGTCTCAATTTTAGGGGACTACCTAGTGCTAGGGGGCAACAATAATATGAGAGAAAGCCAAAAGAGCCCTAAAATGCACCCACGCGTGCACCAACACAAGTACACATAGGTGCAATATTTCGGCCAATTTCCCTTCATTACTCTCTAAGGACCCTTCCTTCCAATTCTTTCGAGCTCTACTCCATCCCTACTACTTCCTCTTGGACCTCGTCAAAGTGCATCTCCCATTTCTGGCCCCATCTGGCTCCATCTCGTATTCTTATTTCCCCTGGCAAAATCTCCCGCATCAAAATATTCCTAACTCGACCAATTTATTTTTCCTTTTTTTGATGTTCGCACACACGAGCAACCTGAATGTATGGGGAGAAGGGGAGAAAATTCGCCAAATTGCTGGCAGCAGTGATTAGATACCAAAAAATGTATGGAATGAAAAAAATAAAAACGAAAAAAAAAAAATAATAATAATTGCAAATTCTTGACATAGCCTTAGATAACGAGACTGAAATATATGGCTTCCCTTCTGTGAATCATATACGTCGCACTAGCAACCCTAGCAAACCAATTCAGCAAGAAACTCCCAATTTCACCGCAGTTTCTGTTCACGCGACTTCCATTTCGCTTAACAGACCCTGAACGCAAACCTTTTTTTTTTGATTGTCTTAACTGTGCTGTTCCCTTTTTTTCTCCATCCTTCTTTTTCTGGTGTTCTTGTGTAGTTTAATTTTTCCTAGATTTACGTAGGGGAAAAATTAGCCAAAAAGTTTTTGAAAGGCTAAAAAAAATCAGAAAAAAAAACCAAATTCCAAGTCCTCCAGGTACAAGGTATTCGAAGTTTGAATCTATTAATTCAACACGCACCACTCTGTTATGGCTCACCAGATGGACGCAATGGAATACGGTGCAGCACAATCGCAACCCCAGGAGCAATCACACGTCCAGGCGCAACAACAGTTGCAATATCACGGCGGGGTGCCCGAGGGTAAGCCAGTCGTTAAACGAATTGACTCCACAGGGAGCACCGGCCAACCTGCTACACCCAGAATGCTCAGAAATGTGAGCGGGTCCTTGAAGAACTCAAGGACTGATGTCACACTCAGTGAGTACGTGGATAACCCGGCACAAGACTTCGGGCAACTGCTTCAACTGCACTTGCAGCAGCACCAGCAACAGCAACAGCAACAGCAACAGCAGCAACAACAAAATCAACAACATCAACTAAAACCGCAACAAAATCTGAAGTACGCTCCCCAACCTCATAGTCGAACACATAGCATAAATAGGCTGCCCAGTGCTCAAAAGAAGCCTGAGTTGCTACCACCTGCATCGATTTCGTCCCCACAAGAACAGAAAAAGGCATCCAATCATCCACAGTCATCTGGCCAAGCTCAATCGCACTCTAATCAATCCGGCCAAGGCCACTCTCAGTCAAGTCAACCTACCGCCCTGTCGGGCCATACGGGCGAAGGAGGCCAGACTCAGCAATTCCACCGTAAATCGATTGGTGATTGGGACTTCATCAAGACTATTGGTGCAGGCTCCATGGGTAAGGTTAAGTTAGCACAACATAACACCACAGGTGAAGTTTGTGCAGTGAAAATCGTTCCACGAGCAGCCAAACTATTCCAAAGAGCGCATGCAAATGATCCACCAGTTATGAATCCTCAGGCAACTGCTCAAAGACAGAAAGACTTCGAGAAAGAAGTTGCTAGAGATAAGAGAACTATAAGGGAAGCAGCATTGGGTAGATTGTTGTTCCACCCCTTTATTTGTAGGCTATACGAAATGGTACCGATGACAAACCACTACTATATGTTGTTTGAATACGTGGAAGGTGGACAGATGTTGGATTATATTGTCTCACACGGTTCATTGAAAGAGAAAAATGCCAGGAAATTTGTTAGAGGCATTGCCCTGGCGTTAGACTACTGTCACAAGAATAGTGTGGTTCACAGAGATTTGAAAATTGAAAATATTATGATTAATCAAAAGGGTGACATTAAAATTATTGATTTTGGATTATCAAATTTGTATTCACCCACGACATTGTTAAAGACTTATTGTGGGTCCCTTTACTTTGCAGCTCCAGAATTATTGAGCGCCAGACCTTATACTGGACCTGAGGTAGATATATGGTCTTTTGGGGTGGTTTTATATGTATTAGTTTGTGGTAAAGTTCCATTTGACGATAAGAGCGTCTCAGTACTTCATGAGAAGATAAAGAGAGGTAACGTGGAATATCCGGAATTTTTGTCAAAAGAATGTGTTAGCTTGTTATCTAGAATGTTGGTTGTTGATCCGTTGAAAAGAGCTACATTGTATGAAATTATGCAACATCCATGGATGAATAGGGGCTATGACCACACAGTCTCATCTTATATTCCCAAGAGAGTGCCCTTAACTTTGCCTTTGGATCCAATGATAGTTAAGAATATTGCATCTTTTGACTTGGGAACTGAACTGGCAATTACTCAAGAATTGACAAATATCTTGACCAGCGAGGAATATCAATTGCTGTGTGAAAATTGGTACAAGATGGCCAAACAGGGCCGGGAGTACAACTCTGCATCAAATAGTCACGTATTACCTGATCCAACGGCAGGATTCCATCCACTAATTAGTATTTACTTTTTAATTGATGAGATGAGGAAAAGAAAGTTGGCCAAGGAGCAAGCTATTGAGTTGCAAAGGCAACAGAGAGAGGTTCAACAAAGAGGGCAGCAACAAAAGGAGCAATTGCAAATATTGCAACAACAAAAGCAGGAGGTCCAAAATACTCAAGACCAACACCAATCTCAACAACTGCACGTACCTGTTACTCCTCAGATACCTGTGACTCCTCAAATACCTCAACTCAACCCTTCACAAATCGTCACACCCCAACAGGCCAATTTGGAGAAGCCAGAGCGTACACAATATACTCCAGGAACCCAGCAACAACAACCTTTGATCTCATTTCCCGAAGCTGCGCATACATCAACTACTTCAACTGGTTACTCGAAACGCTCACAATCTCCCACTGACTCTCTGCAAGTTATTCCCGAGCAGCAGCCATCTTCACCTAGAAATTCTGCTTTCATTCCAGATACATTGGATCCAAATGCTGGAAAGGGCACTGGATTCAATTCAATTCTCAGGCGCTTATCAACAAAATCGAAGAATACTCCTCCGCAAAGAACATCTTCCAATTCGCACTCTAACTCGCCTAATAAGAATTCAGGAGAGTTTAACTTCCCTAACAATGTACCACCTATTCCTATGATCACTACTACTCCACTGGACTCACATTCTTCTCAATCACCATTTAGAGTTGACCCAATGGTTCGTCGTGGGGTCAGTATGAAAATTACTGCAAAGGAAAAGCTGTCAGGCTCTAGAATCAACCTTTCCTCTCCAAAGAAAGGAGATTCAGAAAGTAGAGAATCAGGCGTTGAAACCTCACCTACTAAAAATGCTACGAGTGAAAACAATAATAATGATGATAATAATAATAATAATAAGGCTGAACAACAATTACGGGTTAACACCAACATGCCATTTGTTGATCCAGCTAAGCATATCCGCTCTTCATCAGCAACAACTACTAATAACCCGTCGAATAAATTTCTGGGTTTCGTACCAGTTGAATATCTTCCACCATTACCAAATATTAATAACTTGACTCCAACTACATTGACTAGAGGAGATGCTGCAGGAAATATCAAGAAGTTACATCCAACTGCTAGAGCGAAATCTGTAGGGGGACATCTCAGGAAAGACAGTTACAGCCAGAGAGTGCCTCCTGGCCAAGGCGATAACCATCATCCTCCTTTACCAAATGCCTTGGCTTCACAAAATAGTGACGAAATTATTGAAGCATACTTTGATGATGTCACTTTGAATGATTATTCAGATTTACCTCCACAATTGAGTGAAGAGCAAATCATTGACCAGTTCAATAATGCTAAGCAAGGTACGATGCCTTCTATTGAATATCCTAAGACTTTGTTCTTGAAGGGTTTCTTCAGTGTTCAAACCACTTCAACAAAGCCTTTACCTGTTATTCGTTACAATATTATTAGCGTATTGAGCAAGTTGGGAGTAAAATACCAAGAAGTTAAGGGCGGTTTCATTTGTTCACACAACCCATCATTGCAAGAATATGCTTCGGCTACTCCAACCATAACTATTGCCCCTGAAGAAAAGGATTTATACGGAGATGCGTTCAAATCAACATCTTCTTCTATTGAAAGGTCGACATCTATCGGTGGAGCTCCTGTACGTATTAATACACCTGAGCAAGAAAAAACTGTTGCAAGACAACCATCATTAAACTTGCACACACATGGCCTCTCGTCGCCAACTAGTGAAGTTAAGTCACACAGGTCCTCTAATTCTATTGGAGGCGGTAACGGTCATAGAAGGAAGTTTTCTATTGGTCAATCTATTTTGACTTCGTACCGTAAGAAGAATGGATCTCAAGTTGCCATGCCTCCTAACACCCCTGCAACTACTAAAGTCGGTCGTGGATTGTACCCTGATGGGGATGGTGATGACATTGGTGATGACGATGATGCAGAAAATTCTAGGCATGATGATGGCGATTCTGTTGACTCGTTGAATGGTATCATGATTGGGGGTGGCAGTGATATGTTAGTTTCCTCTAGGTTGGAGCATAAAGCCCGTCACCAGCACACCCCAAGTAATGCTAGTGCAAATGCTAGTGGTAATGGTAGCCACAGCGGCAAGTCACCTCTTAAGTTTGAAATTCTTGTAGTTAAAGTGCCTTTGGTTGGTCTCTATGGTGTTCAATTCAAAAAGATTTTAGGTAACACTTGGAACTATAAAACTTTAGCTGATGAAATTTTGAATGATTTGAATTTATAGACTATAAATATAAAAAAAAAAAAGGTGAAGAGAAAGAGTGCTACTACTGAATGTAAGTTGCTCAGTACACATTTATATTTTAGAGTTTGAAAAATCGTACATTATATTCTATTTGGCATCAATGTAATATAAAAAAAGTTGCTTGGTCAATAATAGGCATTCTATCTTTAATGAAGAACCTATTTAAGTGAGTATTCTCTCTCAACTTTAGCAATTCTAGTAGTAAAATTCTCGTAGAATCTCTCTTTTCCTAGTTGTTGAGCTACTAAGTGGTCTGCATTCTGCTTCCAATTGATAATCGATTGTCTGTCCTTCCAATAAGATAGGGTTATTCCGAAGCCACTAGAATCCCTCGTGGACTCTACACCAAGAAAGCCAGGTTGTTCTCGGGCGAGAGAATCTAATTTTTCGCCTATTGCATTATACTCTTCAGGGTTCGAATCAGACCTCTGGCTCGCAAATGTAACAACATAATATGGAGGTTTTGGTGTAGAAGCAAACAGCATTAGAGAAATTCCAATAGGAAGACTACAAATAAGTGACACTAATGATCGTACTCTTTTATATGCTTACGTTCATTTAAATTTTTATTGGTGACTCAGCGTAATGAAGAAAAAAGTGAGCCACACGTCAAGAGGCGCGCCCAGTTGCTCATCATGGGTGGGTTTTCCACTCACACTTAGCGAGCTTCACCTTCTTCCCTGGGAACCTTATCAGCTGTTATCGCTGAGATTATTACTGGTTCGGTAATTGGGATCTCCTCAGATTCGCCTATCGGGTTAGAAGTTGGCTTTTGAACTAATTCAACACTTGGCTCAGCCGTTGGTTGAGATACTGGTTCGACTATTTCGCTAACTGCTGGTGCAACTATTGAAGTCTGTTCTTGCAGATCAGGCACAATAACTGTACCTTCCACCAATACTGGTGCACTCTTTATAAGATCTTCCTCGGTGGAATTTACAGCTGCAATTGGAGTCTGTTCTTCCTGACCAGGTGCAATAGCTGTACCTTCCACCACTGGTGTACTCTGTACGACTTCCTCCTCAGTAGATTTTACTTCATCGACCACTTGGTTCAGTACCAAATCAGTAACCTCACCATCACTCTCTGGCTTTACTGCATTGAATTCGGTTAGTTGATCATGGGCTCCAGCATTTTCTACTGGAGCTTCTTCTTCGGGATTTCTTCTCATTCTCAATCTTTCTTCTCTGGTCATTCCCTCGCTAATGTGTTGCTCGTTTCTAGCTAGTCTTCTTCTTTCCAATCTCTTTTCAGCTGCAATTCTCAACTCTTCTTCTTCTTGTATCCTCGCTAACCTCAATTCCTCTTGCTTTTGTTTTTCCTTGGCCTCTAATCTAGATGATCTCTTCCTAGTGGCTAATAAGTTTGCCAACTGGAGATCCTTCTTCCTACTGGTTATAAACTTCCTTTTCTTGATTTCTGCAATATACAACGTTTCCAATATAGCAATGGTTGTCAAAGTCAGGTATTGAGTCTTAAACTTAGAATTCCTCTTCGATTTAATCTTCAATTCCTCAATGTACTTATTATATTGGTAAATTCCCTTGGTAATCAATTCAAATTTAAAGTCCACTACATCGAACTTACTGTCGTTAAAGTGAGTCTCTGGGTCCTTGGGGGCTAACTTTCTCTTTTTTGGGATCGAGAGTTGTGGATATTTCGTAATTCTTTTGTATAACCTTGTACAGTCAAAAAGTAATAAATAGTCCTCTGATGTTGCTGCTGATGTGTTTTCGTGGAAGAGTAAATTCCATCTAAGCATATCAGAGGGAACATTGTTCTTATCGATCCAGGCTCTAAATTGTGGATAACCAGATATATACTCAATCATTAGGTACAATACCTCGAATTTATCTTGAAGACTTATTTGTTCAAATCTTGGTTCATAGACTTCTTGCTGGCCACCATTGGCAACAACTGGCTCATTCTTGACTTCAGTACCTTCACCAACTGTACCTACTGGAACATCTTCTTCTTCTTCATCATCATCTCTTCCGCCTAGCGGGGTCTTGCTACCGAACCAGATTCTGAAAATATTTTCAAAGTTGTTAGGCGAACACTTGGATCCTTGGACTGTGGAAATGAGTGCAACTCGAAGCTTGTTGATAAATAAAATGGATTCGTCCAAAGGTGGTGGGGAGACTAGCCCTAATAATTCAGTTTCCAATAAGTCGATATCAAAATACTCAGATTGCAATCTCACAAACCCTCTACAATGGTAGATCCAATTAACTACGTATATATACTTCCAACTGGTTCGTAACAGGTGGATTGGGTGCTCTAAGTCATTTTCAATGTATGTAGATTCATTTGGAAGATGAACTGGCTGGAGTTTAGATAAAGCGATAATTTGGTCTTGCGTCAAGATTGAAAGCTCGTTCGCGGGATGATCTTGTGGGACGACCGAGGGTGTCGATGACTTCGATTTGACAACCATCTTTGATGTTTATTGACTATTACCACGCTGCTGAACACGCTTCTTATGTGCTAAACATTGGAATTTTTCATGGCCTTAGTTTTTCGGAATCCGAGCAAAGCGCGTACACCATGTCGACGTATGCAGGACATGGATTGGTATATTATTGTGATTAGAGAGTAGCTAGTAGACGTGTAGCACATAGCAAAGGTGGACGGGTAAAGAGTCAGAGATGGTATATCTAAGTGCTTATGAGCTTGCCCACTATCATCATCAGATTCCAAAAGTCATTTAGCTTAGCTTCCAACTTGTACGGTTCATTCATAACTATAGCATGCACTGAGTGTAAACTTAAGTGACACAAAATAGAAAGGTTGCAACTCTGCATGAACACCATTGCAGCATTTCTAGTTATTGTTTGTTCAAGCTTAGGGAAGGTAGAACGAGTTTAAGTTGATATATATGTCTGTTCGGTCTGAGGGGATTCTCTGGGGGCTTCCTGGGGATCAATGAAAAATTTGGATGCAATATGAAGTACTACAAGAGGAAAGATTGACAGGATGAATTAAATTTAATATGAATCTTATGAAAACTGCAAACTTGAAACAAAATCAAACTTGACTCCGTTTTGGATCTTGTGCTGCGTACCAATCCCCCCTTCACTTTTTAATTGTCATCACTGTCATATATACATAGTATGTACGGGTTCATATTCATAATGTATTTGTGTTTATATGTTGATCATAAATTTGGAGAGGTTCTATTCCAATTGTTTCCTATAACTCTATCTCAAAAGTTTTCATGTTTAGTACAGCTCTAACGTATTGTGGTTTTCAATATTATATGTCAATGGATCAAAGGTTTTGAGTACTGCAAAATTCACACCATCTACTACTAATCCCTTTTCAATTATTAGATCATAGAATGCTTCGTCATCGGGGTATCGCCATGCCCCAAAATGCTCTATATTAAAATTCTTGTACCAGTGCAAGTAGTCTGAAAATATACTACGCTCAAGGGATATTCTTACTTTACCCATCAAGCAGAGACATGCATAAATGAAAAGTATCTTTAAGCAAAGCAAGTTCCTACTTTGCTTTGCTTCCTCAAGTATCCAGTCTTCAACGACGAAAAGATACCTTAATATCAGACATTGTTTGCTACTTTCAATTGCTCTATAAATCACAACTTTTAATAAATAAAGGGCTCCTTCTAAATGCTTCTTTTCCTCATCAGTTATTTCAGGATTTATTTCAAAGTACTCTTGCATGTTCCTCTCCAAATTCTCACATATTGGATAAACATCGTCTTCGGTGAGAATAGGGAGAGATACTCGCTCACTGGATTTCAAGATCTCGCCAAAACTTGAATAATAGAGCAATGGAAATGACTTAGTCATCGATACTTTTATTCCTTTCACCATAGAAACTAGATCTGTAATTTTTGGATCGTCAGAAATAATGGGAACTAATCCGTAAGGTTGCACTGTTAAGAAGGAAAACAATAATATTCCAGACATAACTATTTCTGCAGCCTGGTGTTGACTTTTCACTACCATATCCTGACGCTGAACATTCTCCATCACTGCATAAGTCCTCCTTAGAGACTTCACAAAGTATTCATTCAGCTTTTCAAAAAGTAACTCTTTAAATTTATCTACGTCTTCATTATCAACATCGTGTTTATCATTCACCAATTGTTTGGAGTTTTTATCTTTCGAGGGAAACAATGGGACCTTTGAGCTCCATCTATCCTCAATTGAAGTACTATTAGTGTCCAGAACTTTGGTTTTGCTTCCTTTATAGAAACCCGTGGTCCAATTATCAAAATTGTTACTATCGCCGAAACTATAGTCTTCTTTATAAACTGCCTCTAAATTGCACAAGCTGGAGAGTATCAATGCCGAAAGCAGAAAAACACTGTGTCTGACCAAGTCGGATTGCTGCCAAAGCATGGGAACTTCGATTTTCCAGACTCTTTCCATTCCTGGGTTTTCAACAGCTTGGTCGGTAAGGCAGACTTGATTAAAATAATACAACAATCGCAACTCAAATTTGGATATATTCATGTGAGAAGTGCTAGCATTCAATCGCCTACTATTGGATGTTAACGATGGTGCATTGACTGATGCGGATAGTATAACGTCCAATTGTTTCTCAGTTGGATATATGCATTCCTTATCTGTATGTGAGCAGTACTCACATTTAGGAGTGGCTTCGTCACACTGAGATAAAAGTTAGTATACAGCTTGAGTAATACAAGAAATTGTGAATCTTTGAGCGACCGAAGACTCAGTCGCTGTGCTTTTCATTAGAAATTACACACCTTAATTTTGAGCTTTCTGCAACTCATACATTTAGTCTTACGGAGGTTGGGATGCCTTCTCTTCCTTACGGCTTTCATTGGAATAACATTCATTATATATGTCTAACCCCAGGTATCGAAGATGCTGATGTAACTAGAAATGTGACTAGAAATGTAAATGATAAAAGGTGGTGCAAATTCAGTGTGATAAGTATGGTTTGTATAGTTCTCGTGCAGGATGCCACTATTATTTTTTAGTTATAGATGGTCATTTGCGGCTCAAGGCTTTGACGCAATCCCGGAGAAGTGCATGACTTCCCTTCCAGTCCTGTCATTAATGTCTAAATAAGGTAAATGTATAAGGAAGTCGTAGTCATCTTTATGCATTGCTTTTAAATTACGTACGTTTACAGGAATTGTCGCCGGATGTGAAAAAAAGCTGTCTTTAGCTAAATCGAATCGTCACATACTATATTAAAGAGGAAAATACGTCACTTTGTATTCGTTACCACTTCCATGCCATGAATGTTCATTCGGAGATACTACCTCGACTACTGAAAGTAACTGAAATATGCAGCTTGGCATGTTGCTAGTAAAAGTTGATGCACGGTCAGTTTTGATGAACTGGATCTATCATATTATTTTAGTGACGCAGTGGCTGTGATGTGGCTGAAGTAGATGCGGCTGGAGGTTAAGTATCAATGTTGCACACAACAAAATTGGATTGTACATATGCAACATAGGCAGATACTATTTGTCGGTAATGGACGCTACGCATTTCATTTTGAAAGTGGGGCTGGCTTCGTAGTGTTATACTATCATTTAGACACACTTATATGCAATTTGAAATTATATTTATATTTAATATACAAAGAATAAGACACTATTGTGGGTGCTATTATCTAGGTCATAAATCAATCATATTTACTTCTTGGAATAAAATGAGTTGCTCTAGTTTTCAATACTATATATCAATGGATCGAAAGTCTTTAGCACATCAAAATTCTTGTTATCAATTACAAGTCCCTTAATAGCAATCAAGTCATAGAATGCTTCATCGTCAGGATATCGCCAGTCTCCAAAAAGTTCCATATTGAGCTCTTTGTACCAATGCAAATAATCGAGATAGATATTTGCCTCAGAGAAAAGTCGTAGTTTACTCATTAAACATAGCGCTGCATATGTGAATAATATTTTTAAAGAAAAGACATTCTTATTTTGCTTTGCATCATCGAGTATCCAGTGGTCAAAGAGGAAAATATACCTTAATATCGGCAGAGGATTCTTCATCTCAATTGTTCTGTAAAACACGATATCTAATAAACGGAGTGCCTCTCTGAAATGACCTCTTTCCTCCTCAGCAACGATGGACTTTGCTTCCAAGTATTCCTCCAAATTACTCTTCAAGTTTTCGCAGATCGGGTAAGAATCATCTTCCGTAAATGTAGGTGGAAATAAATGTTCACTGGCGTGGAAAAGACCACTGTATCCTGAATTAAATAGGAGGGGGAAAGATTTTCCCATTGACACTTTCATTCCTTTAACCATAGAAACTAAATCTGTTACTTTTGGGTCAAAAGTCATAAGTGGGACCAATCCATGAGGTTGAAGTGCCAAGAAGGAAAATAATAGTATTCCCGACATAACTATTTCCGCAGCCTGATATTGACTTTTCACTGACATATCTTGTCGCTGTATAGTTTCCATCACTTTGTAAGTTCGATTAAGACATTTTATGAAATACTCATTCAGCTTAGTGAAAAGCAAATTCTTCATTTGCTCCACATTATCTGCATCTATGCCAAATTCTTCTCTCGTAGTTTGCTTGAATTCATCAATTTGCCCAGGCGTCAAGGGAAACTTTGAGCTCACCTCACATTCAATGCTGAGCTCAGAAGAAGTACTGGCACTATGAATACTTTCGGTTTGGCTATCGCTTCTGGTACTTCTATTCCGACTACTGAAGTCCGAACGACCTTGAATTTCGTTTGGGTCATAATCCTCCTTATACATTGCTTCTAAATCGCATATGTTCCATAGAATCATCGCAGTAAGCAGGAATACACTATGTCTGACCAAATCGGATTGTTGCCAAAGTATAGGAACTTCAAATTTCCAAATCCTTTCCATGCCAGGATTTTCAACTGACTGATCATTAAGGTAAATTTGATTGAAGTAATGCAATAGTCTTAATTCGAACTTGGAGATTTGCATTTGGGATGTGGTCGAGTTCAACCTGGTACCACTTCTTGTCGATGTCAAGGCTGCGGTTTTAACTGCCGCTACTAGTGCAAACTCCTCCAATTCCTTTTCAGTTGGATATACACATTCTCTATTTGTATGTTCACAATACTCACATTTTGGAGTTGCTTCATCACACTGAGCCCCTAGTTAGTACAAATTTTAAGGAAAAATAGCAGTGAATTATTTGCCTATAATAATGCACGGCTGTGCCACCCCATTGAACTTGAATACATACTTTAATTTTGAGCCTTCTGCAACTCACGCATTTATTTTTATGGAGAACACGGCGCCTTCTCTTCCTCATGGGTTTCATTGCAGGCCCGTTCATAATGACAATTACCTACAAGTTATTAATTACTAGTCGACGAAACAAAGAAAGAGGAGTTTGAAGAGCTTTAAATAGAGTCAGAAAAGATTCCAACGGCTGTGTAATCAGGTTACATGCTTCGCCTTTGTTAGCTTAATTTTGTCGCAGGCGAAAAATTTAAGCTTCACAGTAGGACCCTCATTGATGGACAAGAAATTAAGCTATACAATCCATGCGGCAATCAGATCTTGCCAAAGAGTCCCTAATAATAGCTAGGTTAAGATAAGTAAGATCAAAATCAAAATGAAAGTCAATTGAGCTGGTTGAACATTTAGGGATGGGCCATCCTTTCCAATAATAAGTTATATATCATTCGATATCAAAATTGTTATCAACTATATCAAGAACACACTCTGCCAAATATACGGCGTATGCATAAAAGTGTGTCCTGGCCAAACGTACCAGGCTGGAGATAGTAAATGGTAAAAATAGTCATTTGCCGTTGGATTTCACTTCACGGCGCTAGAATCTTTATTAGCGGATGTTTCGATGTATTATGGTTAGCAGACATGCTTGAGATAAAGTATTGAGTCCACTTCCCCGCGTAAGAGTATGAATACTATTTCATTGAACTTTATATACAGTCACTCCAACCTGTTGTGTATATAAGCCCTGTTTCCAAGATTAGGAAGCAGTTACAGTAGGGATTGCGGAATGATGATGAAATATATGACATAATTGTACGCGCCACATCGGTTGATACCATATAAATATCAAAAGATTTCAACGTCGGCTTATTTAATTGCTTAGTGTCACTTCAGTAGAAGAAATCTCAAATTCCCAAAACTGCAATTGCGTGAACCAATAGCGTTAAAATATCTTCAAATGTGTAAGTTTGCTGCGAGGTGAATAAGTTTCAATTAGTTTCAAGTATAAAGCACGTACTAACCACCATCTCTTTAGCGGCACCTCTCTTAAAGTTATATACTGCATCAACTCCAAATGGACACAAAGTGACTATCTTATTGGAATTGTTAGGTCTTGAATATGAATTCCAAAAAGTGGATATCTCCAAAAATGAACTGAAGGAAGAATGGTTCATCAAACTTAACCCCAATGGGAGAATTCCAACATTGGTTGATTCTTCGACAAATACGACTATTTCGGAAACTGCTGCAATTTTACAGTACCTTGTTGACACTTATGATAAGGATAATAAGTTCTCTTACAAGGTAGGCACCCCATTGTACTACAAGCAATTGGAAGTATTATACTTCCAAATGGCAGGTGTAGGTCCAATGCAAGGTCAATTGCATCACTTTAAGTTGTTTGCTAAAGAAAAAATTCCGTATGCAATTGAAAGATATGAAAATGAAACTAAAAGATTGTATTCTGTTGTTGAAGAATACTTAGAGCGTAATAAGGCTAATGGACCATTTTTGGTTGGCAACCATTTAAGTATCGCTGACATTGCCATTTTTCCTTGGGCAAGAAGATTGGAGAGATCTGCCATTGATATTAAGACATGGCCATTGACTGCCAAATGGTTTGATGAGATCAATAGCTTATCTGAAGTCCAAGTAGGATTGAGCAAGCCAGAGCCAAACTAGGCAAAAAGGTATGAGCTTTTTTATCAAGAAAAATAGATAGAGAGTATTACAAGTCAATAGTTGAGTATCCCCATTTGTAGAGCTTCTTACAAAAGATTTGGCAGTATATTGAGTAGAAATATCTTTGTAGGAGCTAGTTGAGCGACTCAACTGAATTCTTCAGTTGGTTGTAGCAGAAAAGAAGCAATGAAAGAGTTTAATCGGTGATCGGTGCCATTAGACCTAGAGTGATGAAAATTCACTTTATCTTCAAACATTTCTTCTTTCCATACATAAAAGCTTGCGTATGTAGATGCAGTATACCGCTTAGTCCATATAGTCTCCCATTCTATATCTTCTCCTCATATAAACCGGCCCTGCCGCCTTAAGAATCATCCGCCAGCGTTATTTTTAGTAGCCATGGAAATTAATATGAGCGAAACATACTTTTTCGTCTTTAATCTGTCCATTTGTCAGAATTTCAAGCAAGAATGTGGAAGAATGAGACACTGTCTACTAATATTACAAAAGAACTCCGATAATATGCTAATTATAGGCAGACAGACTGCTGGTGAAAACTACATTCATCTTGACTTGACATACAACCCCACGTTACTTAAACCTAATTCTCACTGCATATTGAATTCCACACATGGTATTCAGCCGCTTAGCATACATTCAATAATTAGTAAGTATACCATCTTCTGTGCGTATTCAAGCCAGTATTAGTAAAGATTTTAGTCATAGTTGATAATAAATGACATCCTGTTCACTGGAAAATGGCAATCTTTATAGGTACCATGTTAACGGTTGGAGGACAGAGACATAGGCAACATTCATCCATGCATTTTCCTCTACATGTGCATGCGCTCCACATATGCAATATGCAGCATTCTTCTGCATATAAATTTCGATGTGCTTGAGGCGATAGAATATCATTAAATAGGAGGAATCTCCAGCTGCTACTGTTCAATTTATTACTCAATAATTGAATTGTTGACTTTCATATATAAACAATTTTAATTGTGAACTAACAGAAGAAAGAAGCTAAAATGTGTACGTTTAGGAAAAAAATTGAACTTTTTGCTGACAGTATGATTATTAAGAAATATATACTAACTTCCAAAATGTAGCTCCATCTTTAAAATTATACACTATGCCAACTCCAAACGGCCACAAAGTATCTATTTTATTGGAATTGCTTGGCCTTGAATATGAATTTCAACACTTGAATTTTGCAAAAAGTGAACAAAAGGAACCGTGGTTTCTTGAACTCAACCCCAATGGTAGAATTCCAACATTGGTCGATTCTTCTACAAACACTACACTTTCCGAAACGGCTGCAATTATGCAATATCTTGTTGATACATATGATAAGGAAAATAAATTCTCTTACAAAGTTGGAACTCCATTGTATTATAAACAATTAGAAGTTTTATACTTCCAAATGGCTGGAGTCGGTCCTATGCAAGGGCAAATGGGACACTTCAAATTTTTTGCACCAGAAACCATTCCATATGGTATTGAAAGATATGAGAATGAAACTAAAAGGTTATATTCAGTTGTTGAGGAATACTTGAAGCGCAATAAAGAAAATGGACCATATTTAGTTGGCAACCATTTGTGTATTGCAGATATTGCGATTTTCACTTGGGCATCAAAATTACATAGAGCTAAAATTGATATCAATAGCTGGCCTTTGGTTGCACAATGGTTTGAAAACATTGCAAGTTTGCCTGAAGTCCAATTAGGTTTGACGAAGCCAATGCTAAGCACTTAGGCCAAAATGTCTGACCATTTTGGCACCATGATATAAGAATAACCTCTACACTAGAGGATCGGGGAATTATGAGCTAGTAAAATAAAAAAAAATACTAAACTATTATGTAAAGGTGAAACTATATTCACAAGTTTCTGTTTTCATTTAAGTTCTTGTAAGTGAGAAGATTTCTTCTTTTAATTGTCTTCAAGCCCCACAAATTAGTGAATCCAAATTATGCTCAAGAGAGAACGACGAGATACGAAACTCATCCAACTCGCGGGCAAGATTTCTACGACAATTTAAAATGGGGGTAAAGGCTTTACAACATTGCTGATAACTATTAGTTACATAGTTCAGCATGTTTTTTGTTTTATCTCCTCGGAGTTAAAATTAAGCACGCACCAAAATGAGCAATGGCCAACGATGTATGCAACTCCATAAGCTTCGAGCTTTCTAGAATATTGAGTGTAGATTTAACTACGAGAATAATGATATTCAACACTTCACTAAAATGGTGTGCCCCTATCACTGAAAACTATAAAAGGGTAGGTAATTCTTGAAAATATTTTTTTTTATAGAATTTCAGTTGGTCTAACATACTATCGGAATAATTCAATACCGTTAGTGTTAAAGAAATAAATCTCTTAGAAGTTCAGTCAAAATGTGTAAGTGAAGGTAATAAGTTTTCAAATTTAGCGGATAGAAGAAAGAAGTACTAACAACAAATAGCTACACACTTGAAGTTGTATACTGCAGGAACCCCAAATGGGCACAAAGTGACAATCTTATTGGAATTATTAGGACTCGAGTACGACACCCAAAAGTTGAATTTCTCTACAAGTGAACAGAAGGAAGAATGGTTTATTAAACTTAACCCCAATGGAAGAATTCCAACATTGGTCGATTCTTCGACAAATACCACTCTTTCGGAAACTGCTGCAATTTTACAGTACCTTGTTGACACTTATGATAAGGATAATAAGTTTTCTTACAAAGTTGGCACCCCCTTGTACTACAAGCAATTGGAAGTATTATATTTTCAAATGGCAGGGATAGGCCCAATGTTTGGACAATTAGGCCACTTTAAAATTACTGCTAAAGATAAAATTCCGTATGCAATTGAAAGATATGAAAATGAATCCAAAAGATTAATTTCTGTTGTCGATGAATACTTAAAGCGCAATAAGGAAAATGGATTATTTTTGGTAGGCGATCATTTAAGTATCGCAGACATTGCTATATTCCTGTGGATGGTAGTATTACACAGAGGAGATCTTACTCTTGACTCATGGCCATTGACTGCACAGTGGTATGAAAGTATTGCAGGCCTAAGTGCCGTTAAAGCAGGATTAAGTAAGCCATAAACAAGTTAGGTAATAGCATGTACACAAAACAAACATACGCTTAGCTCTACAATTATTGATATAGCTCTGTAGGTAATATCGAACCCAGGCAAGCTAACCGACTTAGCTTGCTTCTACTTCGTCAGTACTATGTGAGTGTGAATAGAGGTGAAAAGTTTTCAATTCTACTTATGCAGCATTTAGTGATAAGAAAATAATTTCTGGAGATATGTAAGAGTATGCCGACTGTAACGAAAAGCAGAATATTCAAGTCGGTCTAGAGTGAATAATACAGTAGCATCCAATGTTTGATCACTTAGCGACTATACTTGATATTCATATAAGAGTGGATATTCCAGGGCCCAATGGCGTAGGCTATAAGATATCAAACAGCAAGCAATTGGCACCCCTATTGGGGAGAAGAAAGAAAAGCTGATCGTGATCTTAGGTTATATTTGTAAGATTTACGTAAAATAGTTAAAATTCAAGCAACTTTAGTTTGCCATTGCGCCGATAAAATTGTTCCAAACCATGTGGTATCTTGACTTTGACCTTCTTTCAGATTGGATTTAAGCCAGTTGATGGAATCGAATAAGGGCTTAGTAGGAAAATGACAAAGTAGCCACTAGGTATGTGGGTACTCTTTCAATTGTAAGGGTGAAAATCAGACGAGATCCACCCAAAGTTTGCTGCATGCACTATTGTGCAGACGGCTTGCTGCATTTGACTGCACATAAAACCTTAACTCCAGACCAAATTAGGCATATTGGCCATGTCTTATTAATCAATAGTCAATCTCACGTAAGTGAGAGTATGGTGAACCTGGAGATAAAAAAGCTTTTTATTATGTGGTCCCTATAAATAGGATGAAATTTTTCAGAATAGAACATGGCAATTTGAGCTCATCAATTGTTTTCAAGCATATCTTCGAGAAAAACAATTGAGTCAAAAATGTGTAAGTTGATAAAGAAACTGAAAATTATTATTTCGCTGTGGCATTGTGAGAGTCCATTCAAATAAGGATATCATTTATTTACTAACTACCGCTGTATAGCAACACCAATTAGATTATATACCCAAGCTACTCCAAATGGACTTAAAGTTTCCATTCTTTTGGAATTGTTAGGACTTAAGTACGATGTGACACCTATTGATTTTTCCAAAAATGAACAAAAGGAGGATTGGTACCTTAAGCTTAATCCAAATGGTAGAATTCCAACAATTGTCGATACTTCAACAAACACCATTCTTGCAGAGACGGCTGCAATTATGCAATACCTCGTAGATACATATGATAAAGAAAACAAATTTTCCTACAAGATTGGAACACCATTGTACTACAAGCAATTGGAAGTATTATACTTCCAAATGGCAGGTGTAGGTCCAATGCAAGGACAGATGGGACATTTCAAGAGGGCCGCACCAGAAAAAATTCCATACGCTATTGAAAGATATGAGAATGAAACTAAAAGATTATATTCGGTTGTTGAGGAATACTTGAATCGTAACAAGGCTAATGGACCATTTTTAGTTGGTGACCATTTAAGCATTGCTGACATTGCCGTGTTCACCTGGGCAAACTTCTTGGAAAGAGGTGGTATAGATATTAAGCCATGGCCATTGTTGGAAAACTGGATTGAAAGTATTGCAAAATTACCAGCAGTTCAGGTTGGGTTAAACGTACCAAAGAGAGATTAGAGGAGATTAGCCGTTCAGCATATTTCCAAAAATGTCAATAGCTACATAACTACATAACTACGTATATATCTTCAAATTTCAGTATATATAAATGTATAGCCACAACTTATACGGCTATTGAAAAGTGGAATTTAAGTAGGTGTGTAAGTATCGCAATGCAACAAAGTAAAAACTCTCCGCGTCGCTACTTCTCGAGACGAAAACGGGTACCCACTCTTAGTAATCACACTACGAAGTCTTGGAAACGTACGAAGCAGGCTTACGAGCAGGACGGGCTAACTTTTTTGTACAGGCCATATTGACATCTATTGTTGCAACGGCAGGGCCGAAGACGGAAATTCGGTCCGATCGACTCGATCCGACTCTCTAACCCATCTAAATATGCTATTCAGGTTGAGAAACTACACAAGTGAACTACAGTGCTGCTTCATGGGGGCCGAAATGACGCTCATAGTACGGTCCCTGGTCTATTTCTAAGTTCTTTACGTGATTTCTTGAATTGTCACTTCTAGGGTGTCATTTTATTATCGTTATATTTCAGTACAAAAACTCTATTCACTTTAGCTTCCTTAGCACCTGGGACCAGTAAAATTGCTCTTCTGCTTAATCCCATGAAAATTCATATTACAGTTTATTTTAATACAAATCAAGTTACAATCTTATATGTTGATAGTATTTACCTAGTTTCATATAAACATAATATTTACATTTCTATAGAATTTATGTGGGGGTTTAAAATTTTTTAATCCATATTTGTTCGTAGTTATTTCAATTATTATGAACTTCTGAATTAATGTGTTAATGTGCTTAATTGGTTTATTTTTCCAGTAAATTATTCTTCGAATCGTCAGATGCATAGTCGGACTCCTTTTCACCTTCCTGTTCAAGTTCCTTTTCAGGTTCCTCTTCCTTTTTCTCTCCAGCAGCGGCAGCGGAAGCCCCACTACTGACTGCTGGTAATCTCTTATTAGTGATGAGAAGAGAAGAAATGAACGCAAGACAAGCAAAGCCAATACACATGTAAAAAACGTTTCTCATAGCATAGACCATTTGTTCCTTCACGAACATGCTAGCAGAAGAACTCATAGTCTTCAAGATAGAAGATGATGTAGTGATTTGCTTGATATCAATAGAGCTCAATTCATCAATTACGGATTGATTGGTTAATTTAGCATATTGTTCCTCGTATCTGTTCTTGAATGATGTATTGTAAACAACATCAGAAAGGATAGATCCTAATGCACCACCAAGTCCTCTTCCAAAGTTAACGACAGTGGTAGCCATGATAGTACCACCTGGAGTCTTTGGAGCGGAGATCTGAGAAGATATGATTGCTGATTGCATTTGTAAACCACAAGAAACACCAACAATAATAAGCAAACCAATCTTCTGTGAGCTTGACGAAGTTGTTGATAACAAAGTAATCAAACCACACCCAATAGGGCCCAAAGCACCTCCAAAGACAGCAAATGGTTTAACGTACCTAGACTTATTGATGGAAATACCTGTTGAAATGGATGCAATCACCACTGGAATAATCATAGGTAACAAATGGAGACCTGAGTGCCATGCATCTGCACCCCAAACAGATTGGAAATAGACAGACAAATATAAGGCTGATGACATGAAGAATGCAAACATCGAAAAGATCATAACGGTGGAAGCCATCACCTGTGGCACTCTGACAACTTCCCATGGAAGGATTGGGTTCTTGGAGTAACCAAAGTTCCAAGCACCGAAAATGAACATGAATACAACCCCAATTACCAAACAACAGATAACTGCAGCGGAATTCCATGAGTATTGGGATGAACCAAATGTAAGACCCAACAAGAATAACACAATAGCAATGGTGATCAAGATAGTACCAAGGTAGTCGATCAACTTTAATTTCTGCCTAATGCTACCCTCTGGTTTTGGTGGGTTGAAAGCCCAGATTAAAAAGACGAAGGCTACGGCACCGATTGGCAAGTTAATGTAGAAACACCATCTCCAGGAAACATGAGTAGTGAAGGCACCACCAATTAATGGACCTAAAACAGATGCAACGGCAAAGACACAACCGACAAGACCCATAGCCAACGGTCTCTTTTCAATTGGTACAATTTCAGCAACAATGATGAAAACCAAAGACTGAATTCCACCACCACCGACACCGGCGAGGACTCTTCCACCGATTAAAATGTTCATGCTTGAAGCCAATGCGCACATAAGCGAACCAGCTTCAAACAAGATAATGGCAACGAACATAGCATACTTTCTACCAAAGATAATTGAAAGCTTACCCCAAGTAGCAACGAAGACTGCCAACGATAAAAGGAAACCTGATGCCAACCAACCAACTTGGTCCAACGCGTCGAATTTGTTACCGACATCACTAAGTAACGTGACGATAATAGTCTGATCTAATGCAACAAGGAAAAGCGAACAGTACAATGACAATAAGCACAAGAAAAGCTTGGTGCCATGTAAATATTGATCTTCTCTCTTGGATCCATCACCGGCATCACTTTCTATAAACACTTTTTTAGTTTTATCACCAGTTCCTTCCTCTAAGGCCACTGGAGATGGTGAATGCACGGCGGTACCATCTGCCTCTTCAGCATCATATGAATGTGTAGAACTTCTTGAACTCATATTTTTATTATATATAGTGAAATGTTAGTATACCTCTCTATGAACAATGCGATGTAATACCTTAACGCTGAATAACATGAAACACCCTTTATTTGGGCATCTTGACTGGTATATATAGATATATATACATTTTATATTGCCTGTCACCGCTACTCACATCGCAAATTTCAACGGAGAAACAGTTAGGTCCGTACTATTTCCTTCCTAACTCCATGGCGCACGGCTATAATGAAAAAAATAGAGAATACTTCAAAAATACGAGAGCATTCCTAGCGCGAACAGATAAAAATCGAGACAGATGCGGAAAAAAAAAGTCAAATTGATGGAAATTTTGGGTTCGACCCAGAATGTTAACTCCGCCCGTCTTGTCTAAAGCAATGGGCATAAGGGCTAGCAATTGATGACAATTGAACGTGGATATTTCCGAGCGGTTTTTAAATAGACCTATTCCATTGCCTTCTGCGAAGCCGTAATCTCCCCGAAATTCGAAGGGTTTGCAGAGAAGAGCTGTGTAAAGCCGTTGCAACTGACCTTGCTCCGTAACGGCGTGGAATTGATGTCAAAGAATAGGGGTCGTTGGTGGTAGATCAAAGAGATTAAAATGAACTCGTAGGGAATTTTTGCACCTAAAGAACAAGGCAAGAATAAAAAGAAAAAGAAAAATAAAGAAAAAAAAAAGAAAAAGAGAAAATAATAATAGTAATAATGATAATAATAATAAAAATAAAAGTAAAAGGCAGCATATTTCAGTGCAGTGATGAGCATAGAAAAGGGGCAAACTTCAGGGAAATTGTGCTGTTGTAGTGCTCAGTTAACGGTCGCGTAGTAGTCTGCTAATTGGAAGGAATGAAGGGAGCGATGTAAAGAAGGAACACTGGGCTTAGTCTGATTAAATGTTTTTTCACAGTGCATTACACTGGCGACACGAGCCACTTTCCAAGTCCGCACGGCTTAAGTTGTAGTAGTGTAGGTAAATGACAGGTACCAGTGGCGTCTTGACGGACCAAGAGCCATGTTAGTGAGTGCATGGGGAACATTGGAAAAAGATTTAGAAAGAAAAAGAAATAAAAAAAAAAAAATAGCGTAAGGGTGCAACCGTATATACGCAGGGAACAAGAGTATATTAGTGATGAGCTACGAAGAGTATCAATAAATCCCAAAAATAGCTATAAGAGCGTTTTTCGGGTATCGATCCGATAAACAGACTACAGCTAGGCTGTTCAGGTGGCACTATCGATCACCTTGTGCGATCAAAACCGCATCACCTTCTGCTAATTCCATCCTGAGAATTAGATTTAGTCACTGCAGTGAGGCTGCAGATCTCCACTCGCTAGTTTTATTTGCCTTATCTTTTTTTTTTTTGGGGTAATTCTCGTTTTCGGTGGTGGGCACTGTTCGAGAAAGTGAAGTGAACTAAAACACACTAAGCACATTCTGTCCTTACTTGTGTTAATCTCTAGATGTTACTCTCCACCTTAATCAGCTTTCCTAGCTCGTCCTTCCCCTCCGTTCTCCCTCTCTTTGAGCCCACTCATCTACTTCACCAGCCCACACCCTGATGGCTCTTGTCTACTCTGGGTCTCCCCTAAGCACAGTAGCTCTCTCCTGCACTTGGCACATTTTGTGTCTCATTTTCACTCTCGCTTCCCTTTTTGGACAAGCTCCGAAATTTTGTATGGAGTTTCGCGGAACAGTTAAATCATTTGAATCGAGTAGGCACAGAATTATCGATAGAACCAAGGCGATTGACGGCATTTTCCAGAGAAAGTATACCTTGTTTCTACTCTGTTCGCTTGTTGACAGATTGGCTCGATATCTAAGAGAAAAAACGGGAGAAAAAGGTTAGATTTGCCCAGTATATTTTCTCGCTTATTACTAATACACTTGCACCACTAGCTAAATGACAGTGAGCCCGCCACCAGATCTGTTGCCCTACGGGGATGGCTCTAATAAAGTGTATGGGATGGAGAATTTTGGGAACACTTGCTACTGTAACTCAATCTTGCAGTGTCTCTACTATACAGATCTGTTCAGAACACACCTTGCTAGCCATAACGACTCGTCACACAACAGGAGGCTAACTTTCCCGGGAATCAAGCAGCATGGATTCACGGCAAAGTACGAAACATTGATGGCCAAGAAGGTAAAGCAGACCAAATCTGGATCTTCGAGTAGTGGTAATGGAGTTGGTCCAACGGCTCAATCGTCGAATGGACACTCCGTTCCAAACGGGAGTAACAACAGCGCAAACAATGGCGGGGGATCTCACAGCGATCGAACAGCGGGGGCCAACGGATCGATTGTATCAGGCAGCTCAACGGGTTCAAACCCTACTGTAAACCTGGGCCCTTCTGCTCCTTCTTCAGTCTCATCAGCTGGTTCACAGCCCACGCTGGGCACCCACGGCTTACCTCCGCCTCCTTCGTCGTCGTCATCCTCGGCGTCGAACAACCCTGCAACTAAGAGAAGCTCGATTTTCGGAATCAAGTTTAACTACAGCTTAGGCTCCAGTAGCAATAACAACAGTAATAACAACAACAATAATAATAACGCACAGAATGGTTGGGACGCGTTGAAAAAGAACAGTATACTGGATGCCCAGCATTGCGAAGAGTTGTCAGTTGAGCAGCAAATATTGATCAAGAAGAATCCGGATTTCCAAAATTTACTGATTTTGGTCACTAGACCTCCAAAGCAAACTTTTCAAGACAAGATGGACTACTCCCAGGCGTCTTCTATGTTGCTAGGAAAAGACAGTGGAAACAATAATAACGGAAAGGATAAAGATGCCCAGGGATGTGGAGCGGGTGCTCTGCCTGGAGGCACGACTTCATTTGTAATTGTAGGTATCCCGCATCCCGACCCATTAACTGCCTATAATCCTAACCCCACTCTGGACCAACGTAAACGAGCTGCACTCATAAATGGACCCATTATCAACTTAGACTGCTCATTCCAACTCCCATCTCAGCAGCACGAGCAAACAGCCCTCCTTTATTCACTTAGAGATATGTTCCAATCCATGATAGAAAACAAATCTCAAATCGGGGTAGTATCACCTAACTGGTTTATTAGTAAATTGAAGGAGAAGAATTATTTGTTTAGGCAAAACAATATGCACCATGATGCGCATGAGTTCTGTAATTATCTTATAAACGACATCATTGAATGCATAGATCAAGAAAACCTCGAGAACGGTTCTGAAAATACAAATGGCGGTAATTGGTGCAATGACATTTTTAAAGGTTCCATTGCAAACGAAACCAAGTGTTTGTCATGCGAGACTATTACTTCAAAGGAAGAATCTTTTCTTGACCTTTCTGTTGATATACCCCCTGGCGAATCGTCCTATTCATTGACCCATTCGTTAAACAATTTCTCCAAGCTGGAAAGGTTAACCCATCAAAACAAGTTTTATTGTAACACATGTTCTTCGTTGCAAGAGGCAACAAAGACTATTAAGATTAAAAAGATTCCGGAAGTATTGGTTATTAATTTCAAGAGATTTAAATATGATGAAAAAGTTGATAGAATGGTCAAGCTTTTCGATTCAATATCTTACTCGCATAATTTGAGATTATTTAATACCAAAGAGGAGGAAAGTAGTAAAGATCAACAGCACAATAACAATGCAAGCGGATCACATTACGGCAATGGAGATGACTTTGCATTATTTGAATTGTATGCCTTAGTTGTTCATATTGGAGGTGGTCCTATGCACGGGCACTATGTTGCACTTTGTAAAGTTAAGGCTAAGTTATGGCTTTTATTTGATGATGAAACTGTAGAACTTGTGGATGATTCATATGTTATGAGATTCTTCGGTGATGGCCCAGGCTTGGCGAGTGCATATATATTGTTTTACAGGAGATGCAGAACAGAGGCAGGAAATCTTGTAGACAATGGAAAGGAGAGTGAACCTTCTGACGAAGATATTGATTTTGGCTTTAATTTGGATGAAATTTACCATGGAGGTGACTATTCACTTGCTGGTAGCTCGAAGGTGAATCCACAACAGCTGCGACAGATTTCCGTGGGTTCGGATGGAATACATGATGAAACAGCAGGAGGGAAGCTTTCCACAGCATCATCATCGTTTTCTACTTCTGACACTTTAGATGGAGGTCAAAATTTTGCGGGGAAAGATGTTCCAATTTCTAAAAAGGCAACTGGATTATTCAAAAAGAATTTCAAGCTCGACAACTTTACGGAAGAAGTGACTAGTTCTGTTTCAAGAACATCTTCAATTGGCGGTGAGATCAAAAATCCGTCACCACCATTGGCTAAGAGCAACGAAAAGAAATCATGGGTTGGAGGATTGAAAAGAAGGGAGCTGAAACAAGAAGGGCTTAGTGGGAAGAGCCAGACTGCTGAAAGAAACAATTCAGTAGTCAGTGAGAGTAGTAATGAGGGCGTTGCCAGAAGGAAAAGTATATTTGGATTTAAGAAGAAGAAATAAGGGGTTCATAGAAGTCGGGATAAACTCCGACTGGTGGAGAGAGGATTTATTAAGATTTGATTTCGATGAAAATTTAATGCCCAAAAATAATAAGAAATATTGGATGATGTATGAAAAGTTACATCATCTTCAAAATTTAAAATAGAAGTATATATTAATGATATCAATTGATGCAAGGTACATCGGAGAAATGATGCTGTAGGCGGAGGTGGGCATTGAGAAGAGTGACGGGTAACTTTCTTTTCTTTTGGTTAAGGACTGACCCCTTACCATTTCAATTAAAAGCCAAGTATTTTTGTTAAACAAAGAATTCTTAGTCATTTGTAGATTGCCATTCACTGATAACCATTTGCCTTTAAGAGCCAGCCGCATGACTAATTCATCATAGCCCAAAAAACAGTCAACAAAAAGTTCTCAAACTTCTCAAAAGTCCGAGGTCTAGACTTGATCTATCTTACTAAACTATCCTAATATCTCAGTTTTTGACACATCTAAGACAGTTCCATGGGCCGTATGGTCAACAGATTGGAGCATCGACGCTAGTCATCCCATACATGTTTGCAGCCAGTCGATGGCTATGACGGAAAGTCACGTGCCCAGATATGTCAAAATAGACATAAAAAATAAAAAAAAAATTCACATATAAGTAAATAGAGCCACAATGAAATTTAGAAAAACGTCTGACAAATAGGCTAACAATTTATAAGAACCATAAATCTTCTTCCTTTTCTTCTGGAGTCAGATTTCTACTGTTTATAAGCATTAATAATTTACGCAATGAGTAAGGTATCACCAACATTAAAGGTTACTTCAAGTTCCAAGCTTATAACGCTTGCTGCGGGATGCTTCTGGGGTGTAGAAAGAGCACTTAAGAAGCCGTTCGAAGGCAAGGGCTTGGTTGACATCAGGGTAGGATATGCCAATGGGATCGCATCAATTGGCCCTGTAACTTACGAGAAGGTATGCTCAGGATCCACACAATTTGTAGAGGCTGTTCAAATTTCATACGAGCCAGAAAAGTTAGCATTGGTAGATCTTCTAGAGATATTTTTCAGAATCCACGATCCAACCCAAGCCAATGGGCAGGGTCCAGACATTGGTTCTCAATATATACTGGCCATTTATACCCATAGCGATGAGCAAACCAAGGTTGCCCAGGAAATCAAGGAAAAGATGCAAAAGGAGTGGTACCCAAACCACAAGATTGCCACTGTCATTGAACCAATAAAGATTTGGTACGATGCAGAAGCATACCACCAACAATATTTGGATAAAAATCCTGGTGGGTATGAATGTCCTACACACTTCTTGAGGACAAAGCCCAAGATCTAAAGATTTAAGGAAGCAAAGAAAGAAATTCAAAAAAGCGCAGCAAATGGTACGAAAACTAATGGATAAGAGAATAATTTTAATAGTAGAAAGTGGTAAGTAGGATTGACGTTGGACCTTTATATAGATTTTGTCAAAATGGTCGTCTGTGAGGGCACTTAGGAGATTTACTTTTCTCAGTCTACACGCACCACCCAAATACGCAATCGTTAACAGAATTGCTTTGCACCTTTGATTAGAATAATCTATGATTTTCAAAATATGCATGGGACTGATCAACAAGGCAAGCAAGGAACAAAAATAAATGTGAAAATTTCAAGAAGAAAAGGCACTGTAGTCAAGAAGTTGCATAAAAAGAAAATTGTAGTGGAAAACAGTAAATTAAAATCAAATTCTTTAATTCACAAGTCTGAGGTCTATGAGTGTATTCACTTACAGACGGAACCATGCCACTGTATAAAGTGTAGCTGACTGTATCCAACTCAATAAACCGTGTACGAAGTGTGTAGCTGATTACTTTCCTGTATAAGGTTATGGAATTCCTGCATATACCGAGACGCGTACATCAATGAGCAAAGGACCAAATGCATTTTTCACAAACCTATTCGGGCGTAACTTGGCTCTTCTGGACCATCTAACTCTATTGCTAGGTGCTAAATTTACAATGTCGCTCTGGGTTGATAAATATAGGCCACGCCTGCTTGACCAGTTGTCGTATCATCCAACAATCACGCAAAATTTAAAGGCATTGGCCAGCACTGGGGACTTCCCTCATTTGCTTGTTTACGGACCTACTGGTAGCGGGAAAAAGACTAGAATCTACGCCACATTACATGAATTGTTTGGTCCTGGAATTGAAAAGTTGAAAATCGATGTGAAAACATTCGTTACTTCCTCCAATAGAAAATTGGAATTCAATGTTTTGTCCTCGCCGTACCACCTTGAAATCACTCCTTCTGATATGGGGAATAATGATAGGGTCGTGATCCAAGATTTGTTGAAAGACGTTGCCTCCACGGAGCAAGTTGATTTCACCAACCAGCAACAACAAATAAAGGGCGCCAACGGATCTTCAAGTGCTGCAGGGTCTAAACACAGGTTTAAAGTTGTTATTATCAATGAAGCCGACTCTCTTTCTCGTGACGCTCAGGCTGCACTTAGAAGAACCATGGAGAAATATTCTTCCAACATTAGACTTATCATGATCAGTAACACGACATCCAACATAATAGCTCCGATCAAGTCTAGAACGCTTTTGGTTAGAATACCAGCGCCTTCCACGCAAGAGGTATCAGCGGTATTGTCCCACATAGCTAAGAAGGAAGCGGTGAAATTTAGCTCACCGAACGAGCCCGAAATCAACCAATTCCTAGAGGATATAGCACACAACTGTGAACGGAACTTGAGGAAGGCAATGCTTTGCTTTGAAACCATTCTGATGCAGAATGAGCTGATTTCCTTAAACAGTAGTAACAGCATCATAAAGTTGGACTGGGAAGTAATTATAGAGCAGCTCAGTAAATCAATATTGACCAACAGAACCGTGGCCAATTTGGCCAAGGTTAGAGTTGTGTTCTACGAGTTGTTATCACACTGTATCCCTGCCCGAGTCATCTTGAAGAATCTCTTATTCTGTTTGGTACAGGCGGTGGGGGTTAACAAGAGCAAGATAGTGGGGGAGTTGGTTTCTGTTGGATCGGTTTTCGATGAGAGGTTGAGTCTAGGACAGAAGAGTATCTTCCATTTAGAGGGGTTTGCTGCTAAGCTGATGGTTATATTGGAGAAGGCAAAGTAATGAAGAAACGAAGGCTACAAGCTAGTAGTAGAACCTGCTCACAACTTGGCAGGGAAGGGCATAAATTTGTAAATATAAAAGAAACGAATTATATCTTGATCTTTAAGGCTGGTGTAGACAATTAAGTTGTAGTTATCCTTATGGATTTCAACAACTCAAAGGAGTGTTTTCTGGCTTTATTTGGCACTGCCAGCTACTCTACCTTTGTACCTTGTGGTCCGTACCCTTGGTGTCCGATACCTTTGGTCCATTGCTTCCAGTGCCCTCTAAATCGTTGTAGTGAGGGGGTGCGTCCTTAGGAGTCTCGTTATCGGTGTATGGCTCGTAGGCGACATTACCAACGACAATAGGGGGGTTATCGTTCGAGTTGATAGACAGGTAGTTCCCATGGGAGCCCGAGCCAGAGCCCGAGCCAGAGACTGGAGCAGGAGGACCGCCTGAGTGGGTATCGTGATGGTGGTTGTGGTGGTGTGGGTGATCAGAGCCCTCATCATCGATCGAGGTGTAGCCGAGGGGACCGTCACTAGCAAAGGGATCCAGGTCGTAGAAGATCACGTACAACGAGAATATGATCCCTGGAATATGGCCAAAGATGGTCAACAACAAAGAAATAAAAATTTCCTTGGTGAAAATGGTGTAGTTGGGCCCTGTCAACAAGAAGAGCGGCAATGGAGGGAGAATAAACGCCATGATGGCGAGGAAGAGCTTAGGGCGCTCGACCCTGAAGGATGGCTGTTGTTCCAAGTCTGGCATTGTGGTAATCAGGAGCTGAAGAGCGGTGGGAGCAATTTGAACAGAATAAAAAGACCAACAAGAAGAGGAAGAAGAAGAGGAAGAAGAAGAGAAAGGGTACCAAATCAACCCTCTCCCTTCGAGCTTGTGCCACTTTGCCATTGAGATTTGGTGATTTCCATGTAGGTGCTGCGGCTAAAGCGAGGATTCTGCGGGACAGAGAGCCACTATTTCAAGGCGCAAAAAAATATTTAGTATGTTCGTGCTGTGGCTAAGTGGGAGCATTTGCGGGATGGCAAGCGTCCTTTATCAGCGAAAAAACAATCGAGATAAAAAAAAGCGCAGTGTGGAGCGCAAATGGAAAGGAGAGAAGCACCAAGTAGGACAGGATAACTCCACAGAACAGAGGTGAAAGATGTCGTCGATGCTTGACTATGTCAAAAAACAGATATATGGACCAGATCCAAAGGAACAAATGAGAAAAATCAACCAACTTCTCCGAAAAAACAAGAGAGAATTGGACCGTTCCCTTAATCAACTCCAACCGTTAAAGAAGAAGACGGAGCTGCTCATCAAGAAGTCCGCCAAAGAAAAGGACTATAAGTCAGCCAAGATCTATGCACGCGAGCTCATTAATGTAAATAAGCAGTACAACAAGCTCTATACTCTGAAGACGAGAATAGATTCGATCACCATGGCCATCAATGAGCAGTGGTCTATGAATAAGTTGACCGAGTCATTGCAAGCGCTGACCGGGATAATGCGGGATGTGAATAGTTTGGTGAACTTGGGTGTAGTTCTGGGAACGATGCAAGAACTTCTGAAGGAATTGATGAAGGCAGGGGTTATCAACGAAATGATGGACGATATGGTTGACCTTGATATGGAAGACGATGAGTTGGAGAGTGAGAGTCAAGACGAGGTGAACAAGATAATCCAGAGCTTGACGGAAGCGAAATTCAGCAAGATTGAGAGCGAGGTGCCCACTTCTAGTATAGAGAACCCAGTTGAACTGGAACCAGAAGCTGAAGAAGAAGAAGAAGATTATGAAGCTTTGAATCAGATGAGGGAAAGGTTGAAAGCCCTTCAAAACTGATTACCGATTATGTCCGTACTGATAACATTCTTACTAGTTTGTTTAGGTTGATGTTCCTTCAGAATTGACTGACTATACTGTTGGCACGCTCAATGGCTGTTTAGGTAGATGTCCGCTTAGAAATCACTACTGGCCGTACTGATTACTTACTTAATATTTTTGTTTAGGACGATGACCGGAAATTAAGGGGTGCCCTCAGCGGGATGGGGATGGCAAGGAGATATCGACATTCGACATAATGTCACAGCTCACATGTAGGTGCAGCCAGAGGACGGTCTTCATCAATGAGGGTGCAAGTCTGAGGGGGGGGATTAGCTACCCGTAGAGAAAACACATCCCAATAGAAAACCCCTGCCCTCTCCCATGGCTACTGTCTTAATCTACACTGCGTCTCTTATGTTTACCTGTATTTAAATAAATCCTAGAAATAGCAATAATGTACCCATTAGTAAGCGTCCAGTCAATCTTGTGGCGCTTGACTCCTCATTGTCGATTTTGTAAGCAGCAGTATCATTCACTGTATACTGAGGAATATGGTGATGATGCAGAGAGGAGTTGGATGCTTTTGGCTTTACTTTATGACTCAGTTGAGTACTTTCGGACTTGCTCCTGTTGAAATATTGAAGAGCAGCGGGAGTAACAGCAATTGGGTATACTTCTTTTCTGTAGTTTGTTAAGTTAAACTTTGTTGTATTGTTCGTCCTTGCACCACTCGAGAAGAGACCGTGGGAGTCCTCGAACGCTGGCTTAAGGAGCTCTTGTGAGGGGACTTGGATTATCTGTCTACGAGCATCGGGCTCGACGGAAAAGGGCCAAAACCTGGCCCACTTACTCTCCTCGCAGTCATCTTCTTTTACTTCTTCTTCGCAGTCCTCATCTTTATTAAGATCAAAGAAGAGTCCTGTTTCAACTCTGACATCTGCTTGTCTAACAAGATTGTCATTGGAAATGAATTCTAACGGAGCAAGCCCGTTAGTGATGGGAGAAACACCTGCAACTAGAGCGTCGGAAGTGCCTGCATCGATATTAGCATTCCTATTCAACTTGGGTTTGTTAGATACTACACTAGCTGTGGAATTACCATTTGTAGTTCGTAACTTAGCTCCCTCGTACTCATTCAATACAAACAGCAAAACGTCTTGCGCAAATGGATCGCCTGCCGCTGCAATGGAGAAGATTGCTAGAAAGACCACCTTGACAAACAACATCTCTGGGATATGTAAGCGAATCTATAGGCAGATGAAGAAGCCAATTGAGGTATGGCCGACCGACAATTCTCATTTCTTTTCTGCTGTAGGTGTAGGGGACCACAAACCACTCGCAATACACAAACCCCAAGGCACAACACTGAATGCACAAACAAGCAAACAAACAGCAGATCACACCAACACCATGATCTCCAATTACTTCTTAAGATCAGCTTCCAACTCTTTGGACCATTGATCGAGTTCTTTGGTTATTTTTTCGATTTTGGTCAACTTACTCTCAATACCATCCAATTGGTGTCCAAAGGAATCCATCACCATCTCTAAGAGGTTAGTACGAGAGGAATAAAAGGTGAATAATTAGGACATCGATGAGCCAGACCCGATAGGGCCCTCATTTAAAACGTGGTGCTGTTCTCCAATTGGAATATACTTACTTTCATGTTCGTACTCTTTCCCATTCTTCTCTAAGTTGTTGAGTGTCTGCTCTAGCTTGATGTAGTTTAAAGATTGATTGGTGTTTAAATTCTCGAGCAAATTCAAGTCAATGACAGAAACTTCGGTATCTGACTCTATAATCTGAGACGTTAGCCTCAATGTGTTATGGACAAGCTTCGGGGTATCCTTCAGGTAAGACATGGGGAATAGTAGTGGCAGGTAGTTGGCTTTCTACTGAGGTGAAGCTTCTCCACAGATGTACCGGTGTATGTGGGAGTGCATATAGCACAACACATGTCCCATCGCTTTGATGTCCACCAGCCAAAGAGGGCACAGACTTCATCCTCAGAGGGGTTGAACAGAGTATATAAGGTAGTTATTTCGGATTATTACGGGTGGAGCAGCTACAGGTTTACCCGATGACGATCTCCTTGGTTCGTCCATCCTATTTCATCTGTTTCTATGTATTATTCTATCTATGTACAGTGCAAATGTTGCAGTTTCTCCTATTTATAGAGCCATCTGGAACCCTTTTGGGGCCTTTTGAGGCCCTTTGGACTTTGGGGGCATTCTAAACCAATTTATCTACAATTACCTTCCTCTGTACAACATGTACATAGGATCCTTTGCTGTCTGCAAGTTGGCCCACTTCTTGGTGGGGTTCTTGTTCAACATGTCAACATAGTTGATTGGTTCTGGCTTGTCGATACAATCGGTAATGGAAACTCTGACCTTGGAATCTTTGTCAATAATCTCAAAGATCCCTGGTAACTTAGCAGCGGCCTTTCTCAAGGCTTCTTTGGCAACCTTTTCGTGGAAGGTTCCGTCAATCTCGAATAACACTTTCCCAGTTGGCACCCTAGCGGCCCAGTGCGAGAACGCACCTTTACCCTTACCCATTCTGGTCTGGTTACCCTTGATACAGACTGCAACGTTACAGATGAATCTGGTGAACAACTTACCATTGGTAGGTCTGATTTCTCTTTTGATCACTTTGTCTGCTTCTTGTAATTGGGTGGCAGTCATACGGATACCTCTCGATTTGAGTCTGAGTCCGTAGATTCCGTACTCGAGTGCATTCCCTTTTATGGATCCACCAGTACGGACTGAAGTATCACCTTTCATTTGCTTTCTGATTCTCTTATATCTTGGAGCATACTCGTGGGTGAATCTCTTAGCTATGATTCCTGAGGCACCTCCCAAAAATGGGACTGCACTGGGCGATTTGAATATACTAAAAGCTGGAGCTTTGATGAACGCACCTAAACTGAGCATGGCTAGCGGAAAGAAGGTCAGGCAAGAAGAAGAAGGTCCAGTAAAGCGATGTTAACCAACCGTTTGAATGTCTGGGAAACTTCGACTGAAAAAAAAAAAAAAAAAAACTTTGAAAATCAGAAAGTGAAATATCTGTATGCAGGATATATCCTTAGGTGCAGAATGATTGCAGAATGGGCTAGGAAGATAGGGAGGTAAGCTAACGGTGTCTATGTACCCCGTATGTTTTAATATTGAGTGAAGCTACTGGTTGGCAAGGGAATAAGAGTCATTTTTAAGATCCTTTGCTACTAAGATGTATCAATGTTTATCTCATAAGTTACGTTTTTTTCATTTACTATGTACATGTTCTTATACAGGATATATATATATATATATATCCTAGCGTTACCAGTCAGGTAGTCGGTAGGTTTCGGTTTCCAATCTAGTGGAAGTCTCCACCCCTTAGCTCGAGGTATTCTCTTGTTTGAACTACACTATCTTATCTCAATTCCAAAGTAGTCAATTAAATCTCCTTCAACCTTTTGCTGAATCTCGTTGATTTCTTCGTTGGTCAAGTTCCTATCCATCGACTGGTAGTTGATTCTGTAGCACTGTGATTTTCTTCCTGTCTTTGGGTGAATAAACTCGTCAATACAAGTAACGTTCTCGATTAAGTCTCCCCCATAAGTTCTGACGATCTCCATCACTTCGTTGACATGGACTGCCTCGATTTCCTTGGGGATCCAAAAGGCTACGTCTCTCTTGATACCTGGATACTTCGAGTATGGCCTGAATGTCGAAATGGTCCCCTTGGTGAATTGATTCGAAAATCTTTCGTCCTGTGTCCAGAAGAGCCTGATATCTGGGATACCAAACAACAACATGGCAATTCTATCAAGACCCACCCCAAACGCCCACCCTAATTTCTTGTCAGAAAGTCCAGCGTTAAGTAAAATGGGTTGCTTCACAATACCACACCCACAGCACTCGAGCCATTCACCCTTCCACCACACTTCAATTTCCCACGAAGGTGTTGTCCATGGGAAACAGTCTTCGTTCCATCTCACTTTGAGCGGTTCGTCCAAGTAAGGGTCCGTGGCTCCACTCAATTTGGCGCATTCTCTGGCTGATTCGAACACAGTATGCACTAGATACTCGATAGTTTTCTTCAAATCCACAGCGATGAGTTGTGCTTGCCTTTCAGTCATGTAGTCCTGTTTGGGGTTGGCGGCGGAGATTGGCTTCTCACGGTGTGGATCCTCCACTATGATGTTGGTGCTGGGGATCGCAGCGGTACTTGCCATGATTTCTTCTTCAACTCCTTCGCCAAGGGTCCATAAACGAGCACCTTCCATTTGGTGGAATGCAGGATAGTGGGTTCTGTCTATTTCATCCTTTCTGTAGACGTCTGCAGTTATGAAGTATCCAGGCAGCTTGGTCTTCTGGAAACATTCATGTTCGTGAGCAGATGTGTGTGTTCTTAGCAAATTGTCCTTATTCAAGTAGTATGTGTCAGATTTGGATCTGCCTGGGTGATCCTTTGGAAATCCCAAGATGTCGAAGTTTTCATAAGTGGTCACATTGGGCTTGAAATCATTGTAGAATGTGTAGCCCATCGACGAGAAGTTTTTCTCGATTAAATCCTTTAAGATTCCAATGGGGTGGTTTTCATTTTGGTGGAGTTGTCTTTTGGTCAATTCAAGTATAAAGGGAGGTATATTTGTCCATTCATCTGTGGTGTATGTCTTGTCTCCGACGGTCAAAGTGTCTGGATACTTCTTGATAGATTTCTGTCCGATTGCCAAGATTACAGACGAGGTAGAAAAGAAAATCCTCGACCGCACGGAGCTCACGCGCCTGCTGAGGGACGAAACTAACATTCTATAAGAATCAGAGCCACTTACAGGTGTTTCTAGACTGAAACGCTTGATGCCAGTGTGGGCTTACTTGGAACCCATGAAATTTTGAAATTTTTCAGTGAGTCTCGGTTTTTATGTTTGGTGTACGGGTGTTTGGATCATGTTGGTTGCAATCTTAGTGGAAAATGAATGCTTAAATTTATTGAATGCTTATTATTGAATTCTGAGTGTATGGCTCTGTATATTATATATCTATGTGTCTATGTACTCCAATTGGCCCATTCTATGTCTATTACCACGTTTCTTGAATATACCTTTTATCTCTTTCCATATCGGCCAAGTACTTCGTACCTTCTTCTTCTGTTAAGTTACCTATCTTCTTTAAAATCTCCACCAAAGTAATCCGTACCTCTCTTGGCATCGAGCCATTAGATCCACATATAAACACAATGGCACGCTTATTTAATATTAGCTCGCCAACCAACTTTGCCTGCTGGATCAATTTATGTTGCACATACTTGCATTTGGCGTCTTCCTCTTCCCTAGAGTAAACTGGGAAGTAGTTTAGAAGCTTTTGCTCTTGTAAATCCTCCCATACGTCGTTGAAAAATGCATCTTTCTCCTTGTTTCTGCACCCAAAAAATAAGTACAATGGTTGCGGGCTATTCGATGCTATCTTTTCTTCTATTAGTGACCTCATAGGTGCAATTCCTGTACCCGGCGAAACCATAATTATAGGAAGAGCCGTAGTGGGAGATGGGGGATCTTCGCTGGGCAAGTCAAACTTCAAGTTGGACTTATTGATCTTGAACATGATTTCGGAACCAGCAACCTTAGTTTTGAGCCATTTGGTGCATAAACCCCTTCTAATCCTTCTGATCATAGTCTTATACTCGACAACTGCTACTACAAGTTCTATGCGTCTGTTTTTGGTGCCGGTATCTTTGATGTTGGAGGACGCTATCAGAAATAGCCTTGGTCTTATCTTTGGGAATAGGTCAAATATGTATTCGACCGGTATGTTCAAATTGGCTTGGAATTCTAAGATGGCTTCCAAGATCAGCCTCCTTGGCCTGTTTGCATAATTATAAAGTTCGTCTACGTCTTCAAAGCTACTGAATTCCTTTAGTTTTTCCTTCTCTCTTTCACCATCTTCGGTAGACTCATCGCAGAAATGCCAAAGAGTCATGAAAAACGATCTTCGAGGAATGGACATGATGTCAATATGATATTTAAGAAGCAGGCGGAGCGTCAAATTGGAGGTAAGACCACCTTCAGTCTTCGGAGATCCAGAGATCTTCAACGGCTTGTCAGCTAGTGGGATCCAATGTGGCTGCAGTTGAAGAAGGAGTTCCACGCTATTGTCATCATTTACTGGGAAGAGCGATATCGTATCACCAGGGTAATAGGATATATCCAGGTCCAGCTCGATGACGATGTGTCTAACATCTTGGAAATGGTCACTGGCAGTGATTCGAGCATTCTGCTTCACTGTTCCCTTAAGGAGCAGTGCACCCTTCCTGTCAAACTCCACCGAGTCAGGAACAAGGACGTCTTCACATTCTTCTTGAATCGTCACTTTGTTGTCTGGTTCAGACAAAACTTCTTCCTTGCTGCCCTCGCTTTCTACGTCTACTCCCAAGGACTTCAAAACGGTGGTTTCCCACTCGGTATAAAACCCATCAATACCTTCAGAGGATTGCTCGTCAGCTTCGCATCTCCCACAGAGCTCCTTACATCCTAGCTGCATAAGCCTAGTGTGAATTTTCTTTATAGCGTAGTTAAATTGTGGATACAGCGAATCGCCTACCCCAAAGGTAGTCAACGAGATGTGATCGAGAAAGTCCGATGGGAGTTTCTTTTTGAGAATGAATTTCAAGAACTTTTTGGAGTTTCTTGGTAGCTCTCCCTGACCTGTGGTCGAACACACAATTATAAGCACCTTGGTCTCGGTTATCAAGTTCTTCAAAGGGTAGTCATCAAGCGCAGCGACTGTAGGCTTTAGCTTGTAGTAGCGAAGACGCTTAGTCAAGAACTCGGCATAATCCTGAGCATTACCGGTCTCCGATCCGTAAAGAATAGTTATCATTACAGCAAAGGGACTATATTAGCAGCGAATCGACACAAAAATATCCACCTCTCTACACGTTTCAGTCTCTGAACGCCGTTGTTGTCTCTTCTCTCACCGGTTTCCGTATGTCTGCTCCAGACCATACTTACTCACTGCTGCTTATGTAATCCACTCCGAATTTTTCAGTCTTGAATTTCTGCGCGCGCACTCACCAGCTAAGAAAATAAACACAAACGAGCTAGACACCCATAACAGGAGGAGTTTTGACCCAATCATTAGGAGACATATCGATCGATCAAGAATAGTAATGGCGTCAAAGAGAAAGTCCAAGGGATCAGCTCCAGCTACCCCCAGCAATAAGAGACAAAGAGCATCGGCTACACCCAAAAAGAAGGTGGTGAAGCCTGTGAACTTGACAGGGCTCTACTCTTCCATTCTTAAGCAGGTGCTCACGTTGAAAGATAAGGAAGACGAACGAGAATTGGCAGCACCCTTTATTAAGTTACCATCCAAGAAATTATATCCTGATTACTTTACGATAGTGCCCAATCCATTCACGATTTCGGATATCCAAAAGAAGGTGAGCAGGGCAAAGTACAGCAAGACAGACTCCAGTGAGTTTGTGGAAGATTTCAAGAAGATCTCTGAGAACGCTGCGTTGTACAACGACCCTGATTCTTGGATTGTGGGAGACGCGGAAGAGATTTTGGACTTTGTGAATGACAAATTGAGCGAGGGAGCTGTAGAAGAGGATGACGATGCGGACGATGCTGCTGCTGATGAGGAGGAGGTAGATGAAGCAGAAGTTGGGGAGGATGGACAAGAAGACGGAGAAGAAGATGAAGAAGACGAAGAAGACGAAGATAATGAAGAAGAAGTACGCAAACCCCCTCCTAAATTGTCGTTAAAACTCAAGAAACCCAAGGGGAGACCACTGAACGCAGAGAAGGCTGAAAGGGCAGCAGCAGCTGCTGCTGCGGCCGCTGCTGCCTTGGAGTCCACCGAAGAACTCACCTTGGCCGACCTACCAGAGCTCACCACTATCCTCATCAAAGCAGTAAGGGACCACAAGTTTCCTGGCTTGGGTCTTTTAAGCGAACCGTTCCTTGATGATATCGACCGCAGAGACTACCCAGACTACTTCAAGATTATCCAGCATCCAACATCATTTAATAGAGTGCTTGCTGCCATCAAGAAGAAGGGCTACTTCAATCCAAAAAAATCGATGGAAGAAAACTTGAGCCAATTCTATGAAGATACCACATTGATTTTCAGTAACGCCCAGTTGTACAACGACCCAAGTTCGTTAATTCACCAGGATTCGGTCAAATTACAGGAGGTATTTGAAGAAAAGTTTGACCTTTTGAAAGAAAGAGCAAAGCCTAAAAAGTTGAAACTTAAATTGAAGCAGCCTGCTCCTGAAGAAAAACTCACATTAAAAATTGAAAGAAGAGGTAGAAAGAAGAAGTCTGTAGGGGAGATTAAGGTTGAGTCTGAGGCTGGGGAAGAAAATGATGATGTAGAAGTAGAGAGTGCTGAAGAGGAGGAAGGTTCTGAAGAGGATGGTATTAATCTGGAAGACGATGTCGATAATGGAGATGACTCAAAACCAATATTACAAGCTGAATACAACACTATGGGTAAAATCTCCAGTCAGCCTAACCCGAAAGAATCGTTTATCCAGCTGGTAAGTTTATGCTCTTCTTCCAATACGATAACTGCACTTCAACAAATGGCTCAGCAGGGCCAGCAGCAACAGCAACAGCAGGGGTTCCAGACTCTTGCTAATCTCACAAAGAGTAAACAACTTAAGTATACACTTTTCCCATCACATGCTCCAATTCCAAACGCTATCCTTTTCGAATACAAATTCCCATCTAGAGGGTTTGCAGATTCTTCGTATACATTGACCTTACCACATGATTCAACTTCCCTTGTGTCACTCAAAATCTCACTCCATGAACTCTTTTCCGACCTTAAGAAGTCTTACTTGGTCAACAACCATGGGTTTGTGAATTCGACGAATGATGAGGATTTCCAATGTCGTTTATTCTTGAATGATGAGGAGGTCAATACTGGTGGAGAAATCTATGAGGGAGAAAAAGAGGATGATAAATTTTTGAACTTCCAATACGATTTGAAATTGAGTCAAGGGTTGAACATATTATCGTTTGAGCTTAAAGTATCGCCAAGTCTTGGTAAGAAGATAAAGAAAGATGACCAAGATCAAGGTGAAGATCAAGATGAAGGTACAGGTAGGCACACCAGACACCAATTGCAACAAATGAAAATGACATGGGATGTAGAAAAGATCAACTTTATTATTTGTAATAATTTCAATTAGATTCCAGAAACAATTTCATTTTTACTATGAATACCTGCCATACATTGTATACTACTGAATAAATGTAAAATTAATACATACCTATTTACAGACGTATTTAAGGATTTACTTTCCTATGCAGAAGCTGGAAAATACAACGTCTAATACTTCCTCTATTCCAACAGTCTCTCCTGTTATTTTTCCTATACCTTCAACTGATTGTCTCAAACTTTCCGAAGCTAGTACTACTTCATCGTTCTCCTTCCAAAACTTGAACTGCTCAAATCCATATAAGACGTCGTTGGCAAGTAAATCTTGAGATCTTGCTGAGATGATCACCGGGTCATTATTTTCGGTAAGAGTAATGGACTTGAAATTGTCAGTAAGAGTCTGAGTAAATGCTTCAATTCCTCCACCAGTGGAACATGAAACTATATAGAAAGATTCAGCTGGGATATTCAATCTTTTGCTAAATTCATTTACATCTACTGAACGCACAAGATCAGACTTATTCAATACCACCAATATCTTTTTGTCTTCTTTTTGTAAGCTGGAAATGTGGTCGGTAAGCGACTCGTTAATATTAGGTTGGTCTAAGGGTAGCACAATAAGAATTAAGTCACCGCTAAGTGACCTTACCTTTGCTCTCTTGATTCCTTCAATTTCTATTGTATTTGCTTCTGATGTTTGTCTTATTCCAGCAGTATCTCCCACCACCACTTTAAACCCGTTAATATCTAGTGGAACATCAATAACATCTCTGGTCGTACCAGCTATATCGCTGACTATTGCAGCGTCCTTATTAGCTAAGATATTTAACAAGGATGATTTTCCGGCATTTGGAGGACCCAATAACACGAGCTTAATGCCCTTCAAAAGGATTTCAGATCTTTGAACTCTCTGTAAATACTCCAATATCTCACTGTGAATCTTGTTGATGTTCTCTTGCACTGTAGCAAAAAGAGTAGAAACTTCTTCAATATCATGATCTTCTCCAAAGTCTATCACTGTGGTTAACAAAGCGACGTTTTTCACAATCTCGCTTCTCCATTTCATAAATATTTGTTTCGTGTTTCCCGTCATCAGAGACAACGCAGCAACTCTCTGGGATTCAGTTTCAGCGTCAATCATCTCTCTAATGCCTTCTATCTCCGTCAAGTCAAACCTCCCATTGATAAAGGCTCTCTTGGAGAACTCTCCGTTTTCGGCATATCGTATATTTACACCTCTGGAAGGATCGTGCAACCCTTTAATAGAATTTAAAACTCCTTGAATAATTGCTGTCCCTCCGTGAAGATGGAGCTCAAGTATATCTTCGCCTGTGTAGGTTTTTGGAGATTTAAAGAATATGGTTAAGGCTTCGTCCAAAAGGAGATTACTTACGGGAGAGTATAGCTTTCGAACGCTTGATAGTCTGTGCTTTGGTAATGCTTGTCCTTTCTTATCAGCATTCTTGGTCAATTGTTGGTAAATGTAGCTTGACTGAGTACCTGATATTCTCACCACACCTATGGCAGATCTGCCAGGTTTGGTGGAAAGAGCATAGATTGTGGGATTGAAGTCTTTGACAGAGCTCGAGTACAATCGCCGAGGAAGCACATATTTAAACATGTCTAGAATAGTAGCCAAGGCAATCAATATCGTTATCTGCTTGGGGTCCTAAACTACAGTGAATCAACACTGATCTCATCTCATCTCATCTCATCTCGAATTGGCTTTATTCGACTCCACATTTTTTTTTCCACGCACAGCAACTGGAAAACTTAAGTTGATCAGCCAGACGTTGATTGTTAGTAAAACTCATATAAGGTACAGGTAAGGATACTTAATATTTACAGTACAATGTTACGGTTTTGCAGGCCCTTCGGGACATCATTGAAGAGATTTCATGAAAACCCACTAGGATTGCCAAAGAATGCTCCAAATATGCCTCGAATGTCTAAAGGCTTACCAATAAAACAAAAGATTCCCGGAGTGAATAAAGTAATTCTTGTATCTTCAGCCAAGGGAGGAGTTGGGAAATCTACTATCTCAGTTAACATTGCAATGGCACTTAAACAATTAGGTAAGAAGGTCGGTATTCTTGACGCTGATATATTTGGCCCATCTATTCCGAGGTTGATGTCACTACTGGGAGAGCCCAGAATGACTGAGCAGGGGAAATTATACCCTTTGACTAATTATGGGGTGGAGTCCATGTCAATGGGATTTTTAGTACCTGCTGAAAGTGCGGTGGTATGGAGGGGATTAATGGTAATGAAGGCACTTCAGCAGCTATTGTTTGAAGTAGAATGGACTTCCAATCTTGATTACTTAGTGATCGACATGCCACCGGGAACTGGCGATACGCAGTTGACCATTAGTCAACAAATTAAAGTTGACGCTGGGATAATAGTCTCCACACCCCAGGATATCGCCCTCATAGACGCCGTGAAGGGGATAACAATGTTCAACAAAGTGAATATCCCTATACTTGGCATGGTTCAAAATATGAGTTACTTTGTCTGTCCAAATTGTAACCATGAATCACATATTTTCGGCTCAGATGGGGCCCTAAGGGAGGCCAAAAAGCATAATTTAAACCTCCTTGGTTCCATACCATTGCAAGAGGAGATTTGCATTCAATCAGATAAGGGAAAGCCTATAGTGGTTTCACATCCAAATTCCCCATTATCTGAGCCATATGTCGAAATAGCTAAGAAGATTTTAGCTGACTTGGAGAAATAAATAAGACAGAACGAATGCAAGTAAGACCATTAGTTAGACTATTGGTTCTAATGGTTATGTATATAGGTATAAGATGACTTTTAATTGATACAAATGGAAATTTTAGCTGAATTGCGTACAAGTAGAAAACGATACAAGTGGAACATTACAAAGAGGAAAGGAGAAACAAACGTAGAGTAGTGGAAGAAGAATAACTCTAGTCTAGATAACTGAAGATTCGATTTCACTGTAATCACTTTCGATGAAATTAATATTTCTTTTCGTTGTGCTTCTGCAACTAATTGTAGTACTTGCGACTTCCAACGCCAGCGTTTTGGAATTACTTCCTAGTTTTTTGATATCTAAAAGCCATCTAACTGATGCTGAGGCCCTACAGAAACATATGGACGACTTCAAGGGAGTATTCTCAGCAAGAAATGATCCACTCAAATTGAACCAAATGAAAGAGTGGATGCTGAAAAGTAAGGCGGAAAACCTTATACCAAGCTATGATCAAGCTAAAAGCCAATTGGTGACCAATTTGAAGGAGATAAAAGTCGCAGCAAGCTCAATACAGCGAGGAGACACGAAAGGTGGATTAGAAATGGCTCTTGACGAATCTAGTTTGTCAATACAATCTACCACAGTAGTAAAAGAAGTCACAGTGACTCATTCAGTTACGGAGACAATAACTCGATTCATGACAAACGTAGAAACTTCAACAGAGACTTATCACGATGTCGTAACTCATACTACAGTTGAAACTTCGAGAAGCACTGACGCTAGTGAGCTTCTAGAAGTATTTGGTTCAACAGGAAAGGATGTATTAAACAGTAAGAATCCCTCTCATAAACTTTCAATTAACCCGCAGTTCAGTTATCATTCGAAGGAGGGCTACCAGGAAGGGAATTCGTATTCTAAACCCAAAATATCACCATTGTCACTGGTTCGTGAGTTTGTCAGTAGTGATAAGTTGGTTGGTAAAGCATTCGGTATAAATGATGGCGATGTAGAAGTTTTAGGTGAGGACAAAGCTGAAGGCAAAGTTGATGGTGAAGACAAAAATGAAGGCGACGCTGTTGCTAGTACTGATGTCGTTGATGGAACAGACACTGGAGTAGATGCTACTAGAGATGCCGGCCCTCTCAGTGAATTTGAAGGTAGCGTCACAGAGAGCAGTACCGGTACCAACGAAGATGATGATAACTACACGCTGGACCATATTAATAATACCGAAGATAGAAGCAACTTGCAATCCAGTCGTCAAAAGACCAATGTCAATGCAACTAGTGCAAAAACAAGCATGGTATCCTTTAGTTTAACTGCGTATACCAACAGCACCGTCACCACCACGTCAAGAGTACCTTCAAGGTGGAGAGCGGTCAGTTTAGCTTCAACAGACGAAAGCGATACAGGAAGGCACTTGAGGAAGATTAAACTGAACAGAAGGAATCATACCCGGCCCGAGTTCCATTTATTTAGAATCAACAACGAATCCAGCCAAAAGAGCATCAACGTCACATCTCTATTTGCAGCCTTTATATTAGCCATCTTTACTGTTTTGCTATTATAATATATATAACTACATACATGTACAATGCATGTCGAAAATTATAAGGCCAAATACCACCACTGCAATAACATCTACTCACTAACCGGTCCACACTAATCCCACCCACTCCGTTCCTACCCTCTCTTCTCTCTCCTTCCTACTTCCAGCTTAATCCCAGCCCAGCCCTTTTTGACAGTCCTCTCTTGACATCCTGCACCTCTTCGATCTGGGGTAGGACAGTGACACAAAACCAAACAAAAACAAACAAGATCATCAACCTCTTCGCACTTTTTCCTTCGTTTCGCTTTTTTGCGACTGGCCTGTGATAATCACCAGCCAAATTGAGTGTAGATCATTTTTTTTTAACAGTACAGCCTTAATTTGAAAAGTGATAGTCGTTGATTATTGACTTATTGTCTAACTATTCCTAATATACAAAATAATATACCGCAAGTCTTAAGATATGACCAGCGTTCCTCTGACACCAAGAACGCCTAAAATAAGAAAGGGATTTGCTAGCAGCAGAGTGGCAACCCCTAACTCAGCCCTTTTGAAGAAAACCATTCTCAACTTTGATCCAAATCTGTCGTACATGGAAAGCGATGACCTTTCTTACGTGAACGAAACCACGGAGATATCGTTTGATGAAGACGACGAAAACATCAGAGAGGAAGATGATGAAGATGATGAAGACGTTGAGGAAGGGCTTGATGAAGACGAGGACGACGAAGACGGGGACGATCTCTTGCCGTCGGCTTCCGTGAGTGACGACGATGACTCTGGCTTGATTCCAATGGCCACACGTCGAGAACCAACTGCTGCAGAAAGAGCCCTTTTCGAGGAAGACGACGAAGTCAGTGAAGCAAACATCTCCGGCATTGCCGGTGCTGCCGGTGCTACTGGTACTGGTTCTGGCTCTGGTACTGGTTCTGGTGTTGTCGTTGAAGGTAGTGTTGCTAGCGCGGAATCAGCTTTACGCAAATTCATAATAAAACATGAGCTCATCCGTAAGGGTCTCCATTCATCCATCGGTATCTTTACCCTTTGGCTCTATACCCTTGGTGTTCACCAAACTCAGTTAATACTCCCATTATCCACCCTTTTCGCCGTTATTTTTACCAATGATTATATTAGATTCCGTAATCCTGAACTCAACCAAAAAATCGTCAAACAGTTTTGGTTTTTAATCAGAGATAAGGAAGAAAACCAGTACAACGGGACATTGTACTTCCTCGTTGGATTAGTTATCATCTTCTCAACATGTCCTAAGGATATTTCATTAATGAGTGTATTATTATTAAGTTGGGCAGACACTGCAGCACTGACTTTTGGAAGACAATTTGGTAAGTATACCCCAAAGGTTGGTGAAGGTAAATCGTTGGCAGGTTGTATAGCCAGCTTTGCTACTGGGATCATTAGTTGTTATGTCTTATATGGATACTTTATCCCTGGGTACAACCACGTCAACACAGCTGAGGATATTATGTGGACTCCAACTACATCTAAATTAAGCTTCCCAGTTTATGCCTTTTTATCAGGATTGATTGCCAGTCTTTCTGAGATGATCGACATTGGAGGAATTGACGACAATTTCACTATTCCAGTCTTGAGTGGAGGATTCTTGTACGCTTTAGTGAAGTGGTTTCAAGTTTAGAGCTTTGAAATACGCTCGGGGAGGTTTTTGTGAGATGTGTGTGGATATTTGTATGGGTTGGTTGGGAGCTTTCAAATGTAGAATTTGATATGTTGATAGGGGTAAGATGTCATATGTTTCAACTGGTAGGACAAGTTTTGATAGAGAGTTTAAGTAAATATTTTTTTTTGTCTTTGTTTCATATATAGAAATAGGCGTAATAGGTGGCCGTTAATTTATTGAATTTAAATCATAAGCGAAGAACTCAGTGTTGGAAGTGGTGTAGTGAAATGTAGCAATCTCTTTCACTAATCGAGTGGACTTATGCCTACCCTTTCTGGTCTGCTGGTTTGGAAAAGAATACGAAGGAATAAGGCAGCATTATTTACAATTCTGAAGCATCATGTCAGGTATGTATGGTGATTTTAATCACTGTACCCCCAGGTTGTTGGGTCTATTAAATGCTGAGGATCACTCTCACTATGCACTTAGAAGGAAAAATTCCAACTTTCCATTTCTATTCATGTGCCGGTGAAGACAAATTAGTCACTTATAACAGAACTGGAAACATGACAATACTTTGCGTGTGCTTGGAATTCATAGGAAAGGAGCCTTTAAAATTAACTTTGACTATTTAGAACGAGGGCCTCCTCCTTTATAAGAACCTAAACTTTAAGTTAGGTTCGAGAAGTAACCTAAAATACATACAATATAGAGAGAACTTATGATCCAGCTGTCGAATTCGACTAGTCAATGCGCTCTCTACCTGATGAAGTCACACAGTGTTGTGGTAGCAAACGCAGATGTCATTGTAACTCACACTTCTACATTCACGAAGAGATAATTTGGAGCTCGGGCGACCAGACACTACCCATACACAACGTGTGTTGATAAGCTTCTGTGTAACTAGGTGTATAACAATGGGAAAAGTTTCCCTGCTACCGAAGCCTGGATATGCGAGCGCTTTGATACACTAGGTTACGTCACAAGTCCGGTTACCTCAGAAGGAAAGACCTTCTCTGTTGTGAAACTCTAACGCCTGGAAGAGGATGATATTATGAAATTGCAAGTTACCACAAAGACCTGAGATTATTGAACACCCGCTGGTCCAGTGTGCCCTCACGTTAACCAGAATTAGCAATTACATCGTACAAAGTCGGAGCCTACGATGCCTTAAATAAGTAATAGAAAAGGGCTGAAGAATATGACCGAGTGGCTTACTCAAATATTCTCCATATGCAATGCAGCACCCAATGCAGCGGTGAATTGCGGTGTCCGAGAGTACAAAAACCTTAATTAAACGGTAAGTGTTACCAACCGTCTTTGGTCCGGGATTCATTATTTCGTGGGGTTCAACATGAAATGGAGGCTCATGCTCTACTAGCCCCTATATAGCCGTAGCAAAGCAACTTCATTTGGAAATCTTTGGGGGCTGATGGTAGGACACTCACAGCTAATGCTCAAGCGGTGGATATTCTCAGAGAGCCAGAAAGAAAAAAGAAAAAAAATATTATTATTTGAAGCAAATGACAATAAAGAAATAGAGTTTGGCTGTGAAAAATAACTTTTTTGGCTACGTTCCCCACATTTCGCTTGATGTCTGTTTTGAGCCTATGTGATTTTACCTGAATTTTCCTTTAAAGAGCGCGTTCAATACGGAACCACACCTGCTACAGGGATGGTATATATAATGAGGCAAAGCCGCTGCCTACTCAAATTGCAGCCCAGTGTGCTTTTTAGCCATTATTGTCAACAGCATTTCAAAGAACTGTACACCTCTTTCCTTTGTTGAAGATTTTGTCCCGATTAGATTTGCGCGTGCTAAAGCTTGTAAACTTGCATAAGCATAGAGAGAAAGCAAGAAAAAAAAAAAAAAGATCGTAACTACAACGACACGAGCTTTAGATCAACGACGAGCCTTGCAATTGAAAAGCATTCCGTCATAACTTTTTTTTTTTTTGAAGTAATGTATCTTCATTCTTCATTCCTTTTCAACAATATGAATCCCTCTGGACCCTTGATGCTAAACTCCTCGATAGAATTACAAAAAAGAGCACACACCACGCTCAAGAATCGTTTACACATTTCTATCGTTGATAGCGATACTGATAGCACAGAATATGACTCTGAGTCTGAATCAGAAGCACTATTAAAAGATGTCACGACTGTGGAAGAGAAATCTTCCTTTAGACAGTTTGCTAGAAAATATGAACTTTCCAGAAAGGGGTTCCATTCCTTTACGGGCTTATTCACCGTATGGCTTTACGTTAATGGAATTAACCAACGTCAATTAGTTGTTCCTTTAGTCATAATGGCAGGGCTTTGCTTTGCTCAGGATTTTATTAGATTCCGCAACCCTGCATTTAACAAGCAATTTATTAAATATTACGGGTTTATGATGAGAGAGAGTGAACACGATAGGTATAATGGAATTTTATTCTTCCTCTTGGGATTAATTCTTACCTCAAGCTTTTTGCCAAAGGATTTGGCAGTTATGTGCAACTTCTTGCTCAGCTGGGCCGATACTTCTGCACTGTTCGTTGGTAGATTGTACGGGAAGTATACACCCAAAATTAGCGCGAACAAGTCCCTCGCCGGGTGTGCAGCAAGTTTCGCAACCGGTGTTTTCTCGTGCTATCTCTTGTACGGAGCATTGGTTCCAAGATATACTGACAAAGTTGATCTTCCTGGCGATATATTGTACCAGAGAGACTCGTCCAAGTTGGATTTGCATTTGTATGCTGTTTTGTGCGGGCTTATTGCAAGTATTTCCGAGTGTATAGAGGTAGGAATTGATGACAATTTCACGATCCCGGTTTTCAGTGGGATATTTTTATTTGGATTGGTTAAGGTGATGCAATAGGGACAGGAATTATATATTTATCTACAATAAATGAACATCTTCATGATGAAATGTTATCTGTGTGCAGCGTGTTTAATCTATTTCTTTTCCCTCCTTTTAATCTGAGGTTAGGGCTCTTGTAAATACACGAAGGTACATCTTAATAAAGAGTGGCTTCCTATTACAATATTTTTATTTCCATATATATATCTCTAAATATTCTTAATCCATACTCAAATTAATTTCCTTATTTCCTCATACTCATTGTAGCCCATTGAATCCTTTTTCCCGCTGTATCTAACCAATTCTAACCAACCTTCTTTAAGACCCTTCTCATAGAAGGCAGTTGTCTGCAGTTTCAGTACTGCGTCATAATCTGCCTTTTTAAGTAAGTACCATAAAGTGGTCTTTTTATCCCAGCCCTGTTCCTCTGCAACAGAAGGTAGAAATGTACCAGAAAAATGTTGACCTCCTAATTTTATGTACACCTTCAATCCATGCTCCCCCACAGTCCAATCCTCGTAAGAGGATATCTCTTCAAAGTTATCTAACAATGTGACAGAAACGTCTAGCCTAGGCAATTCACTCGAACTAATTTGCGGGAACCTGTGGTCATCAAATGCTGCGGTTAACGCAAACTTCTTAACACCTGATTCAATTGGCAAACCCAGAAAGGTTCCAATGCATCCTCTGAGCTGTTCATCTTTATCCCAAGTGATGAAGAGAGGCGCCTCCTGAGGATAATTGTAGGTATTATTTGTAAGCTTATTGTAGGCTGCTAAAGTGTGAGAAGGGGCATCCGGAAGCAATTTGGAATAGAGGGTGTCAAACGCTAAACAGCAAAGAGACTTGGACATGAGGATAAATTTCTATATATCTAGTGTGGATGTTATTATTATAAATAAAACGCAAGAAAGAAGAAAGAAGGAGTAAGTCCCAAAAAGAAAATAAAAAAAAGAATGTGGTCTTTTCTTCAAAAGTATCAAGAGCCAAAATCTACTATAACAGTATACGTGATAAGGAAACCCATGCGCACCTGAATCTAAGACTAACCAGGGGTCCCAATACGGAGAAAAATTAGAATGACAGTGCGTAAAATGGAGTACCAAGAGTAAAAGATGAGCGTAAGCTACGAAGTTGGATAGAGGGATAAAGAACAAATAAAAATCTATACATTATGAACTATATGCATTCCCATCATCACACAACTATCACCTTGAGCTTTCTTCTTTTATACCTCTCATGATTTTCGCTTACTTTGCAGTAGCTTATATCTAATTCACTGACCAGAGATGGTATGTGGTGCTTGAACAAGTGTCTCAAGTTGTTCCCACTCAAGTTCAATTTGGTTAAACGGGGCATAGTGATTTGGACGGAGTAGGTGATTAGGTTTCTAGAGAGATCAAGAGTCTCAAGCATGTTCAAATTATTAATGCTTTTAATAGAGTTACTCTTCAAATCATTGCAAGCGAGATTGAGGTGCTTAATGTTTAGTGGTGTATTGGTCCCAAGAGAAGATAGATCTGATATGTGGTTATTGGATAAGTTCAATGATTCTAAGTTGTCCCACAACTCAAAGCGAACGGAGCTGATGAGGTTATTAGAAAGATTAACGTTTGTTATCAGGGTAGGAAACCTGATCTTGGAAAGGTCAGAATCTGTCATATTATTGTACGAAAGATCCAAAGATTGCAAATGATTGCAAACAAAGCAGGAATTGGACTGTAGATTAGAAACTAGCGCAGCAGAATCAAACATGTGGAGCTTGAGATGATCTATCACGCAACTGTCGTCTGTAATAGCCGTTGCAATATCCAGCTGGAAGTTTGTAAATTGTAACTCCTCTTTTCTGCCAAATCGATACTCGATGGATAACTGGTTTATTCTGGAGTCGAATATCCTTAGAAACGACATAAACGACGTGTTTTCACCTTTGTAGTTGTTGTAGCGATCAAGGTGACCAGTATCGCCATCTTGATGAGCCTGTGTGACCAAGATCTTGACTTTAAATTTCGTAGTTAGGCTCCGGAAGTATCTAGAATATTTTAATACTGTTTCATACGATGGGAAAGCTCTCTGTACAGTAAGATTAGAATCAAGCTCGAGTGAGCCTCGGTTTTGTAATCTCCCGCAGACTACGAAATTGATTTCCTTTGGGCGTATGAATATGTTATGCCTCACTAGGTACTCAAGATCTTTGAAAGTAAGGTGGTTCAAATACGATGCGTTTCGTGCTGAGTGTATAGGAGCGTCTTTAACCACGGTATTCGATTTATAAAACTTTGAGTACAAGGCAAGGTTTTGATAGTAAGACTTCGGCAATGATGGATCATTACGTAGCAAGAATATATTTTCTAGCTCATCTGGCGCAAGAAAGTGAAGGATGTTTACCAAGATTTCATCAGGAAAACTCAACAAAAGCGGTAACATTCTCGAGTAATATTGAACAGTACAAGGTACCTGTGTAGTCTAAGAGGGATTTATGAAAGAACGAAAGAATACGTATATATGAATGAATCAGCATTTTACATGTGAATGGTTATACGATAACAAAATAAAAAAATAAAAAAAAATAATAAAAAAAGAAACTTTGCAACCCTGTGGTGCAGCAATTTAGGGCCACAACTGATAACTGCACCAGTCCAAACTACTGATAACGACAGCGGTGGAAGGAAGTATGCGCGTAGATGTTCTCTGTCGCACTATTTTTCCCTATCTTGGTCATATGACCAAATCGTCAGAAAGAAGTATTTCTGGAAAAAGTAAATATTACACAAAAAGATTACTAGGTAAAACCGCTCGCACCTAGTTGATACAGGGGAGTACACTTCTATATTCGTTGCTATTAGACCAGCGTTTGAGTATATAGTTGGAGTGTATCAGTCTTTATATACTCGCACTTCGTCCCAAATCAAAAATGGGAGTTTGCTTATCTTGCTTAAGACCCGAACTTGAAGACGATGAGTATAATGAAAGAACTTCGCTTCTCGGTCAGCAGAATAGATTTTCTGACGAGAACATACAAGAGGAGCTCTTCAAGCAACAGCAACGTCAATCTGAATTGAACGGCATAGTAAACGAACTTTCTGATAACTTAATTGATGTATCCACATTCTTAAGTCTGAACACTACTATAAATCAAAGCGTAGGCAACATAACTGAGGCAGGTGAAGAAACTGTAGACGATGAGAATGAAACTGGGACTTTGAGTAAAAGGGCGAGGAGTAAAATTTTAGAAGACGTAGAAAATTTAGATAATGAAGTTAAGGAAAGTTGTAAAGTAGAATTAACAGGCCCATTATTCTTGGAGTTTAAATAGAGAACGTGAAAGCAAATTAAACATAATAAAAGGAAACAAAAAGAAGGAAATAAAAGGGAAAGAGAAACGAAGAAATAGTCAAAGTTTATGTGTATCTTTGTTCCTTTTAGAAGGGTATTGGGTAAGTAATTAGTTTTGAAATGGTGTATATACGATATACTAGCGCAGTTCATAAAGTGATTGTGAGATGAATAGAGAAATGTAAAAGATAATGCGAACTTACCAAATGTGTAAAGAAGTAGACCTGTAATTTAACACTCAACTGAGAGTTCCACCAGCAGGATAACTTCTCCTTTGCAAATTACGGAAAGCCTTATAACTTCGTTTTTAATTGAGAGTCCTAAGTAAGAGAGTGACTTCTTCTTTGCATATAGGTGCCTTCTTCTCTTCGGGTGATTACCTTTAACTCGGGCTACCTTATTGTAAAATCAGTCCGTGCGGGGCCAGTGTCACGTACACTCCTTCTTTTCCAGAACAAAGAGAACCATTCCACCATGGTACCAAGAATCTAAACGCAAAGAAGCTAGTAACTCAAATTCGAAGGTCATTTTGTTGGGGTTTCGATGGTACGCAGTGCAGTGGAAAGAATTATAGCGGCGCATGGGTCCTCACCCAAATTTCTCTAGATTTGTATAGGGGGTGCCGCCAAGAGAACCCCATGGAATCCTTGTGTCATACAATCTACACATTATCTCTAGAAAAGTATTACAATCTACATGATGGTGCTCACGTCGACTTCAGAGTGCATGAAATTTAGGCGTTCATTTGGTAGATTACTTTCCTGGTATATGGCTTACAGATCAGCAAATGTAGTAAGCTACCACGCTCCCTACAGTAATAAGTGAACCCTGAAAACAATAATTCTTCCGTCTATCATCTATTAGCTTTTACCCTTACTATCACTGGACGTATTTCTCTGTGATGTGCAGCGTGTAGTAGTCTTACATGTGACTAAGACCTGCGGCATCGTTAACGCAGCTTCACACATATACGAGATCTTCTTTATTCCTGTACATAATCCTTCACTGTCTTGGCTCTGTATCCACCAACGTTATCAACCGATGTGGAGTACTCTTAGACGAAACTTACAGTTAAGCAATTCCTACATCATTTTAGTTGATTACTGCTATTAATTAATACAAAATAAATATATCCTCGTAAAGAAATCTTCTAGATTCCTAACATTTGATTTTTTTCACTGTTAGTTTTGTTTCGTTTTTCTCGTCAATACTATGGACTTTATGCCATTAACAACCTTTGAAGCTCGTTATTTTTTTCTTGAATCGTTATGATCTCGTTGCTAATCTTGACCAACGCCGTGTGCTTGGAAATGTTTGGTAAACCATCCTTCAATTTTTGCTTTCTTTTAATCGTTTTCTTTCCATCCTTATGCAAATTTATATACTCATCCAAATTAATGATCAACCTCAAACATCTTTCGTAAGCAACCTTACACAATTGTCTTCTCTTTTGTTCCGAATAAGAGTGGTTTAATCTCTTCTGTTCAAGAGTAAGCAATTGTTTCATGGAAGATCTCTTTCTCTTCTTAGTTTGGGAATTGTCATCGATTATGGAAGAGTCCGATGAATCCAGTTCGTCAGTGTATGCTCTCTTGTTCAAAGATGAAGGAGGCGATTGCTTACTGCTAGTAACAGGAGTTGGCAATTGCTCGTGACTTGAAGGAGATAATGGTTTGGAAAGTCTAGAGACTGATGGTGGGTGGCTGAATGCTTCCGTAAGCTCGTGCTTGATATAATTAGATTGCGAGGATGAGGAAGAAGCATGCTTCTGAGGAGGTGGAGTTATCAATGGCATCATAGTGTGAAGATCGTATGCAGAATTGTTGGTGTTGAATGATTGAAGAAGGAATTGGTCCTGATGTTGTGGCTGCTGTTGGCGCTCAGTCTCCACCAAATGGTTATGAACTGGAGATTGTTCCAGTAAGGAAGCTTGGTGCAATTGGTTCATTGGAGGCTGGTGAGTGTAGAATTCGGCTTGCGATTGTGGGGTATCGGATGACGTAGGGTTGGCAAGCTTATCCAAGAACTGCTCCAAGGCATTTGACTCCGTGTTGGAGAAGAAGTGGTCAAAGTCATCAACAGTACTTTCCGGCTTCGACATGATCTGAGAGCGGTGGAAACTGTAGTCGTTCAGTGATGAAGCTTGGACGTTTCCTTGTTGCTGGAGGAATTGCTGTTGTTGTTCCTGCTGGAGGGCTAGTTGTTGTTGTTGTTGCTGTTGAAGGAGGTACTGTTGCTGCTGCTGTTGTTGTTGTTGTTGTTGTTGTGACTGTGGAACCCCCACCGTGTGCTGTGGCACATCGAAGCTAAAGTTGTCGTTGTAGCCACCAGCGAAAGTCGAGTCAAATTGCTGGTTGAGAATCTGAACCTTCTTCAAGTGCTCGACGGCATTGAGAGCGTTCTTTCTTTGAAGTAAAGAATATGCAGAGTAAGCTTGTTCGAAATCCATGTCGTCGCTTACCATATCAAGAGAGAAAAAGTCGTCTATGTTAGTGAATGAATCGGTAGTTTCCGTGCGCTTTGTGTTTGGTTGTGTAAGTGGCGGTACTTCTTCTTGATCTGTTCCCAGGTCGGAGTTTGTCTTTTCTAAAAATATACCTTCGCCTTCGGACATCTTTCAAAAAAAGTCTGGGAGAGATGGGCCTACTTATATATACATGCAACAGCTAAAAAGAAGAGGGAAAAAATATCCAGAAAAGAGTAAACCATGAAAATGGGGGTAGTCTATTGTGTGTGGGTACTAGGTAACCTTAATTTTTTTTTTTTCCCTTTTTTTTTTTTTTTTTTTTTTTTCGTTTCTTTACGATTTCCGGATTTCAGCCAAGTTTCTGGCTTGGGTGCAGGACTTTTGGAAAGTACGGGAGGTGTTTCAGTATCCGTTCCTCTACGGTGCTGAGAGATAGAAGAACGGGGACAGCTGGAGTAGCATGCAGTTAGAGTAAAGAGGATTACGGTGAGAAATAGGAAGCTCAATTGCTGGGGGGGCTCCATGGTGGATGGTTCCTTGGAATCTAGACGGGGGTACCTTATTTTTTTACTCCATTTTGCTTGACTATCTTTCCCTTTCCTATTCTTCTTTCCATCATTGCTTATCCACAATTGATTAAGAGACTTTTTTTTTTTTTTTTTTTTTTTTCTGGTTTTTGGCTTATTTGTTGCTTCTTTCCACTACATCCAAAAGGTTAATTCATGCACAAATCATCCATTTTGTTGCAGTTGTAGTTGTTAAAACCCTATTTCCATGCCCCTCCACCGTCAACACCTCGGTCATTTCTGACATTTTCAGTTTTAGCGCGCAATTTTTTGGCCGCTCCTGGCAATATTTTGTAGCAGAAGCCAGATTTCACATAAGGGGCTAAATGCAGAATCATCGTTTCCTACATTTACCTGGTGGTGGATCCCGTACACCGAGCGAAATTCTCACGAAGGGTCCGTAACTTGCATATAGGGTATAGGTTTTACTTAATTAGAGCGGCCGTTTATCCATCAAGCCGGAGTTGCTACAAACAAAGACCTTGGGCTAATGTGGAGAAAGTTGAGGTACGATCGAATAAGTTTTTTTGAAGAAATTCCACTTCGGCTGGTATGTGTGTCCGTTGGTTCATTACGATGAAAATTTTCAGTAATAGATTTGTTTGAATAAAAAGCTCTATTATTTTTTTTGACTTTTTTTTTTGGGGGGGGTGATCATCAGTATACCATAATGTATGTTTAGCAAAAGAATGTCTCAGCTTAGCAAACTATCACCTCGCTCTAAGAGTAGTACTAATTAGGCAATTCGCCGAATTCCGCATAAAATTCTCCGTTCCATGCGTAAAGCTATAAGTTTCATTGCAAGCAATAGATAGAAATAGGCTTCATCAAAAAGGGGAAAAAAGGAATTGGATCGAGGGGTTTAGATTTAAAATTAAGAACAAGAGCTTTTTAGTTTGGTTTCATAGTGGACCCATTGCTCCAATAATAGCTTAACAACCAGAAAAGGACAAGGGAGCTCAGGTATTTGAAACATACTCTAACACTAATTCGAGTAGTCATTCAAAAACTGAAATCAAAATGAATTTTAGCTGGGTACCAGAGCAAAATAATTAGAAATCGTAAAATTGTGACTCTACTTAGACCAATTGGAAAACCTCGTTTGCTTTTTTTAAGCGAAAAGCAAATACATGTCATTTGTTGATTTCTTTGCATTCGCTGACTTACTTCTTATTTCTTAGCCTTGAGGCTGGATATCAGGCACCTCGTTCGCATTTACGACGAGGTTTTGTAGTTCTCGTTTCTTGATATTTTATTTTATTACCTAACTAAGCTAATTATCTACGCATCACCTTGTTTGTTTATAGTTTGTTCCGCCGCTCCGCTCCAATGTAATAGCTTTGGGTTATACTAACCATGGTCTATAACAAAAATACAAACATCGTGGTTATTTGAAAAATAGAAAAAAATAAAAAATAAAAAAATAAAAATTAAAAAATATTAAACTCCGTTTCCGACAGGGTTCTTTAGCAGTCCTGCTTTTTAGCGGGGTACTCCGTTTCCGATTGTGGCTTGCAGAATCTGTCGGTTGTTCGGAGACCTCGCCGACTTTTGGTTGTAAATAGGCAATTTTCAAGCTTAGTTTGGCGATGTACTGCACAATTTGTTTAGATCTTCTCCTGCGTATAAGTTTTTTTCGAAAAGTAGCTCGGTCATTGTAAGGAGGAGAAGCATTTTTACATACAATTCAATGAGCTTTCGAATAATTGACCGAGCTATTATAAACTGGGGTAAATATTTCCAAGATAATCTTACATGCTATTGTCATAATGCAGTTGATAGGCTATTTACGACGAAAGAGGAAAACTATTTGCGGAACCGTCTTCAACTCCGTTCCACTCCGAAGTAGTATGGGGTGTTGTTACATTAATTCAATTTTCTACAATTAAGTACTTTTTTTGTGATTTTCCCATTTCGAACAAGTAAATAAAACAGAAAAAGTAAAAGAAAGACTAACTTAGGGTCAATTAAATGTGTTTATATTAATAGTAATGCGTGTAAGGGAGAATATATCTATGAGAATTTCCTAAACCAATAAAATAAAAAGACAATTGCTGGTGGCATTGCTGGATTTATACTTTTAAGCATTTTTGGTAGCAAAAATTATCTTGAAGAGATCCTGCATGTATTTTTACACAGTATCACCATAATAACTTCTCTTCAAAGTAGTCTATACGTTGGATATCTCTCTTCAATGACTTTGTTGCGGTTAGTCTTGCATCGTAGTTCAAAGGATCTGGACCGCACAGAACAATTGCAGTTGACCCATGCTCAATTGTTTCTATATAATTGTTAATTAACTCTTTTACAGAGGGTCTTTTGTAGTGCACATTGGCTGGAAGTTTGTTCCGAAGCAAAAGTTCCATCAGTTGAGTTTGGACCACCAGCAACCCGTTAATCAGCGAAACAGAACTTACCGATTTACATCTTTCGTGTACTTTTTCTTTACCTCCGAAAAACGTATCCAGCGTTTTCTCATATTCGTCATCAAATGGATTATCAAATACCTCCATATCTGGAGTCTGAGAGGCTGAAGTTTGATAATTTGCAATCATAGGTCCAGGTTCAGTTCCTCTTGTAATGTAAATGTCTAATTGGATAATACCCATCTTGTTCATGTTAATAATTTCTTGCATATTCGTTTGAATGAATGAGGTATTTGGAATTAACCAAACCATTCTGATTGGTCTAGCAGAATTATTTATATAGTTATTCTTTATGAGTTTTGATTTGAACATTCTTGCAAGATCCATGGCATGAGTATAGACAATAGTGAAGCCAATACCACCTGCGACAAATAATGCATTATCGTATCCATTGAACGCTAAAGTTGATCCGTATGGTCCCTCAATGATTAAAGGAACTTTGGCAATCTGATCTGGTTGTAGAGCCAACCAATTTGCTAAGACTTTGGTAAGCCCGTTTTTGACTCTGATGTTTAACACTAGTTTATTGTAATTCTCAGGATTAGATTCAATGACAGTAAACGGATGTGATTGCCAAAACATGTTACTCTTCATGAAGTATATATATACATAACTTCCCAGGAATGATCTCCACCAACCTGAATGCTCAATGACCACTTTGATTGAATGAGGTTTATTAGTAATCTGATCAGTGATAACTTGGCATTCACCATAGACTATTCCACCTGTAAGCAATATTTTCTTTAACCTCATAATATAGTCAAATCCCCATATGATGATTGCTGCATATATATATTCCATCCATCCTAGAGTATAACAATGATAATATGCTCCAAGGACAAACAAGATGGCAAAAAATATATGAAGGATCTTAAACACCTCGTATGCCTTCTGTCTAAATTTATAAAATGAGCAGATTATGATCAAGAAAATGGATGCTAAGCCTATATTTGCAAACTGAAATTTAGTTGTTGCCCACCTCTGGATATAATCACCATTTCTAAAAACAAAGTCTAGGTAAAGAAACGAATGTAAAATTACAAGTAAAAAGACTAACCGGGCAATCCACTTGTGGAAGATATTGAATGTACGGTATGGCATCCCCGTTAGTATAATGAATGGATTGTTTCTGGTTCCGAAGAGAAACATTACTGGCAATTGAGTTATTGCTAAAACTCCGCATCTGATAGCAACGTAAACCTTCTTCTGTGCTTTCAATGAATTGTAAATGGGGTTAGGGTCAACATAGTTATAGTCAATAACAGTCATAACAAAAATAAGCAAGAAATATCCAACTATGGCAATGGTTTGGATACGTGTTGGTGCTAATTGCAGAAATTTAGTTCTAAGCGAGGGAGGCCCCTTACGAGAGACTTCTGATTCACTCTCTTTCAAAAGTTGAGGAGTAACAAAATGCCTCCTAAACCACCTCACCCATGTATGATTAAAAGATTTCACAAGACGCGGCAGGGTCCACATGGTGAGGTTAAATATGGTGACAATGAACAACACAACAAACCAATAGCATAATAATACTTCTCCATATCTGGTACTCATTAATCTATGTCGTGTTACACCCTTGACGGCATTATAAGCAATCTCGTAAGTACTGTTTGAAACCTTAATGGGAACGAAGTATGTTCCATTAGAAAATCCTTCTTCATCGAAACTATTTTCTTCCTGTGAATACTCTTCAGCCTCTACGCAAATGGATTGTAATTCTTGGAATGTGAAATCTACGTTTCCCTGCAAGGCACAAACATCATGTAAGAACGAATACCCATTGTATAATTCCTTTACTTCTAATGAGTGTTCTTGAATGCAGAGAAGTAAACTTCCGACAAAAGATCTGCTATTGCATCTCCCACTGTAAGATAAATCTGTTCCAGTAACGTTGAATGAGTATTCGGTGATGTTGTTTAACGAGAACAAGCAACTTGCTCCAACAGTTGATGATAGTCCTCTTGCATAAACTGCAGTAATTAGTACAAAAAACCAGCTCACCAATATCATTAAAGTGTGAGAACTCTAAGGATTCAAATAGACGTGTAATACCACTTCACCAGAAGCTAGTTTTTTCTTATTCTAAAAAGTTTAATGGGTGCAAATATTTTCTTCGTACAAATTTAGACGATAATAATCTAACAGGTGAAAATAAAGAATAGGAACAGTCTAATTGTAAAGCAGAAAACCCCTTGTACAAAGAATAGAGTAGAACTCTCGCGATAAATTAAGTTCAAATGACAAACATTGATATATGTCCGAATTTTAACCTACATCATAGCATTATGCTATTTTTATTTTCGCCTTAGGAACTGATTGATTTTACTTGTACCTTGAAATGCCGCACCTCTGCGTTTCTCATCTTTTTGAGTATTGACTTACCCCGAATTTGGCGATTTCTGAGGCGCAAATGCAGGGTTTGCTCAAAAAAATATGAAATTCGCTTAATTTGAACACCCTGTTGGCGACAACATACATTTGTTAAGTATGGGGTCTGGCAGCATATAAAATCTAAGGCAACATTACACGTAACTTTTTTGAACTGATGGTGACTTGGCGTACCCTACAAACTATAAGAACAATAAAGAAATCTGCACATAGTTAGTGAATGAATAGTAAGGTAAGAATTTTTAATCTTTTAAGTAAAATTTCAATCCACTAAATCTAAGGAAAATAAAATCGTTATGCGCACGAGCAGAGACAATAGAATATACGGCGATGGAAAAAAAAGGAACAAGCGAAGGTGACAGCTATAATGTATGGATGCAACTCGTTAACCTTCCAATACGATGAAATTCAACTGCTCTCTGGGCTTGAGCTCATTTCGTTTCTTAAAAAAAAGTGCAGCGCATCGAAGCATAAAATCATGAAATGGGAAAATAATAACATGCGAAATTGTAAACAAAATAGTTCAAAAGTTTCATTGCAATAGAATGAAATTTGGCAATCTCTTCTACTAATTAGGTCATAAGTACATCAATCTAATCTGGACTTTACGATAAGATACGTCTAATAACAATGTCTCAAACAAAAATGAACAATTAGACTCCATATCCCGAAGCATTTCTTATTTTATAACATGAATCTGTGACACCTGTGCATAAAGGTGGTAGGTATTGTTTCCATCAATGCATTATTATTGATATTATTTTCTAAACGCGGCCATCCTGGAATACCGTCAAATAATTTTCTCTTATTAATCGTTGAACTTTAAATTGAGCATTAGTATTACGGAGTTATTAATTAAAGAGTTATCTATAATGAAAGGCTTCTATTTTTGAATGGTTCTTCCCTGTATTTCCTATTCCTACTGACTTTTGAGTGTACATTCCTTTCTAGCGTGCGTTTTCTTGTCTCGGGCAGCTGTCTACACTTGATGTTAAGCGCTGTTGCACTCTGTTCTAAATTTACATGAAACTTGGTAAAAAATTGTGGAAGATATTTGTCAAGAAGTGCAAAAACGAGTCTTTTTGCTCGCACATCATGCAACACCTCCTTCGTCGTTCAATAGACCGTTTCAGTCATAATTTGAAGAATGTACTTGCTACATACCTGAATGTGTCTATCTGAAGACTTGTGCAGGACTACTAAGGCGAGAAAGTAAAACAAACCTCACGATGATCAAACTGCTGGTCAACTGGTGTATATGCAGTACGTACAGGCGAAAAAGGAACTACTGTCAAGAGCATTAAAATGGGAATCAGCTGGTGTATGTGCAAGATTATGGTTGTATACAAATTCTTTATCTTTTCTTTTTGTGGATTCAAAGTAGTAACACAAAAGTGAGCTGGAATATTATATACAGTGCTCCAATTTCTGAAGCCGTATAATGTGAGGGCTATCATCCAGCCCTTAGGTGGCAAAGGAATAGGTATATAAGAATCCTTAAACATATTACAGTTGTAATCTTAATATCGTATTATCCCATCAGTTGTATTATTTAAGATTTACTGGATGCGGATTGCTAATAATTTATGTTTAGTGACGGCCCTTGCTGCTAGCTCAGTATCAGCATTCCAAAGCCCAATTGCTATTAACCATGACATAGACTCATTTTTAGAAAAACATGTTCTTGGTATCCAAGATACCAAGAATGTCGATACTTCTTTGGTTGCAGCGTGGAAGGAACTACTTGTGGAATATGGACCTTCTCAGTTAGTCAATGAAATTAATAACTACAAGGAGAGGGCTTCTTCATTTCCTGGAACTGTTCAAGAGTTAAGAGAACCATCAGCTGCAGAGGAATTGGCTTCTACTTTAAAATCTATTCATAATAATAATAGTCCAGAAATTGCGCAAAATGGTTATGAAGTTGTCTCCATGCGCGAAAAGTTTAAGAATCATTCGCTTAGAGTGAGAGAGGGACACCCAGAGTTGCTCCATTTAGACTCGGTTAAGCAACATACCGGATATTTAGATATTGAAGACGAAGATAAGCATTTGTTTTATTGGTTTTTTGAGCTGAGAAATGATCCTGTTAACGACCCAATTATTCTTTGGCTTAATGGTGGTCCAGGTTGTTCTTCTGCTACAGGTTTATTTTTTGAGTTAGGACCTTCCCTGATCAATAAAGAGATTTATCCTGTATATAATCCACATTCATGGAACCTGAACGCTTCAGTTATATTTTTAGACCAACCCGTTGGAGTTGGCTATTCACATCTGAGTAAAAAGGTTTCCACTACTGCTGCTGCTGGAAAGGATGTGTATGCGTTTTTGGAACTATTTTTCAAGAAGTTTCCACAATTTAATTCTCCTAGCAACAAATTCCATATTGCAGGAGAACTGTACGGAGGACATTATGTTCCTAAGTTTGCAAGTGAAATTATCAACCAGAAGGATAGAACATTTGAGTTAAGTTCTATTTTGGTTGGAAATGGACTCACCGATGATTTAATTCAACTTGATTCCCAAAGATCTATGCTCTGTGGTGAAGGGGGCATTGAACAATTGGCAACTGATGAAGAATGTTCGGAAATGTCCGATGAATATGACAAATGTGTTCCATTTGCAAAATTATGTTATGACCTTCAAAACCCCTTCGCTTGTGTTCCTGCAAGTTTGATATGCAGTCGAATTGGTGATAATGTTAAAAGTGTACCACCTTTCAATCCATATGATATTCGTAAACCTTGCGAAGGTGATAATGGTTTGTGCTATGAAGCTTTGGACTATTCAGCAAAATTTTTGAATTCTGAATTTGTGAAAATGGTTCTTGGGGTTGACAGTGAAGTTCAAGAATTTGAATCGTGTTCCAATGACGTTGGATATGGATTTGCCTTTCAAGGGGATATCATGTTACCACACCAGCAATATGTTGCTGAATTATTGGAAGCAGGCATTCCAGTCTTATTATACGCCGGAGACAAAGACTACATTTGTAACTGGGTAGGTAACAATAAGTGGTCCGCAGCTTTACCATATTCAGGGCATGAAGTTTTTGAACTGGCTCCATTCAAACCTTTCATTACAAGCGGCAATGCAACAAGTGGTGAGGTAAAAAACTACGACATATTCACGTTCTTAAGAATTTACGATGCAGGACACATGGTACCATACGATAAGCCAGAAGTTTCATTAGAAATGTTAAATAGGTGGTTAGCTGGAGATTACGCTTTTGCTGGAAAGAAATAGTTGGATATTAGTGTTTTCTCTCATATCTTTCTATTCATTAAAAAAATGAAGGTTTATGAGCGCTTAGATAATACACAATTCTCAACAAAAATTTTATGCTTTAGGTCATGTACAGATGCTGCTGTTTACTGAAAATTGAACTTCTATGAAGATTTAGTATTTTGGAAAGGGAAAAGAAAGAATTATGGGTACTATTTATGTGTACAAACTTCTATATTATGTTAGAATCTAAAATAGACAATTTTATCTGAAAACTAATGCGACATTTTAGTAAACTGTATGATAGCTTTTAGGAAACGATACAATAGAGTTATATTATTCTCCATTGTTTGACTAATGAAGCAAGTCCATCATTTTCGGTAATATATAGTGTTCCATTTTCTTTCCAAGAGTCCTTTGGCATTACTCCACTGATTTTGCCAACTCCTATAATCTATAATTGATTTTGTGTTTTACTAGATGTAGAGTGAATATAGTATTTGATAATTATGTCGGCCCAAACGGGCTAGATTGTTTCAATATATAATAAAACGTTAAAAGGGATAAGGTATGGTATACTGTGCTTACTTTTTAAAACCAATCAAAGCAGCTACCTTACAAGAAGTTTTTTATCTACAAATATGCAACTTTTTCAATATATTGTGGTGGCTAACTATTCTGAACAAGAGGAATATTTTCTGAACACCTTAAATGTCAACTTCTTTGCTTAACACCAAAAGTGCCACCATCTTTTGTAAAATGGTTTGCCAGCAAGTATTTCCTTCTCTTCTAACAACTCTTGCTTCAAAACATCCAAATCGAGCTCTCTTCTTCCAGTGTCGAGGTCTATGTCTCTGGCTCTCACGTAGAGGGTCCAGTTTCGAGTCCATAACTTGTGAGCTCCATAAAATACCAATATAATTGGAAATGATAAGTAGGACTGGAAGAAATCAGATGCATTTGGTTCACCTCCAATTGGAAAAAGTGCAATATAGAATTGAGCAATTAAAACTAAAATGACTAAACCTACCCCATAATAAGAACCCCAAACACCAGCTTGAGCAGTGTAGGCTAGTTCCTCCGTAGTTCTTCCTTGTACCTTCAATGCATATCTAAATCTGATATGACAGAAACAAATCGAACCCCAGGTAAATAAAGAGGAAAGACCTGACAAAGCAGACATCCAACTGAATACAGCATCTTGGTTTCTTGCAGCAACAAGGAAGCATAATGCACCGATGAGACAAGTAACAATCACACCAAATATTGGCCTTCCCTTTTTGTCAATGTAATTGAAAATCTTTGGTGCTTGATTACAAGCTGCCAATGCTGCCAATGTTCTTGATGATGCATAAACAGCAGAGTTTCCAACTGAGCAAACAGAAATCATAATAACTACATTCATTACTGAAGGTAGACCGTGAATACCCGCATCAACAATGGCTAAAACAAAGGGAGATGCCCTAGCGTCAGCTGAAGAAGTCCCTTCGGTTAATCTTTTGTCGTCATATGGAACTAATAATCCAACTAATAAGAGGGATATAATATAGAATAAAGTGATTCTCCAGAAAACTTGCTTAGTAGCTTTTGGCAAAGACTTTCTTGGGTTTTGAGTCTCAGCGGCAGCTAAACCTGCCAATTCAGTACCACCGAATGCAAAGGCAGCAGAAACAAACACAGAACAAACCCCCTTAAACCCATTAGCAAATGCACCAGGGTGGTAGTAGTATCTGGCACCAAGGTACTCGTGATTTGGTCCCCCACCACAGATAATGACGATACCAAAGATGATAAAACCGACAATTGCAATAACTTTGATAATAGAAAACACAAATTCGGCCTCACCATAACCTTTAGCACCAAAGAAGTTGATAGCACAAATCACAACGTAAAAAATACATACAAAAGCTGCTGGGTTTTCGGTCGAATTCCAATAATCTACTGTTAAGGAAGCGGCAACTAACTCCAAAGGTAATGTAATCAACCAACCCATGGCATAATTCCAAGCCATAGCAAAACCCCATGATGGATCTATAAAACGAGTGTTATATGTAACAAAAGCACCAGCAACTGGGAATGTGACGGCCAATTCACCTAATGCTTGACATGTTGCGTAAATCATAGTTCCGATTAAGAAATAACCAATTAATACACCTGCAGGGCCACCAGTGTGCAATCTCAGTCCAGAACCAACAAATAAACCAGTTCCGATAGCACCTCCAATGGCGATCATCTGTAAATGTCTGTTCTTTAAAGCTCTAGACAAAGGAGTGTTAGCAGTAATAATAGCGGTTTTTTCAATTTCAGTCAAATTAGGGTCAAGATTTAATTCTTCAGCTTCGTAACGCCTAAATGAATCAACAAATCTTTCAAAGAAAGGCAACTTTGGCTTATCATTTTGAAAAGGTAAGATACCTACTTCTACACCTCCTTCCTTCTCATATGAAGAGTTTTCAGCTGCTTCTCTAGAAGCAATGTAATTAAGTTCTTTCTCGGGCATTTGCAGTAAAGTTAAAACGAGATTTGTTGAATTGTTGAAGAGTATGAAATTAGAAAAGAAAGGAGATAATAAAACGACAAAATAGACATTGTTATATACATTGTGAAATTTCACATAAATGAATTAGAGAAAGCTATATCTCTCTTAGCAGGCACTACATGAAGTCTTATCTTTGACCCATACGGCTTTTTTAAAGGAAAGTTGCCATAAATTTCATTTAAACTCAAGCAGCCACAATCTTTCCTCACTTGCCTTTTGTGCATAAGAACTTTACTATCTGCTTTATCTTTTTTGATTAGGATATCGGCTCCTGCAAGGAACAGACGATAGCATTAATACTTACAAAATATTATTATCTACTTTTCAAATAATTGAAGATAAACTGAAATTTTAGGCGTTGTGAGATGGTTTTAACTTTCTTGCAATTCAGACTCATAATTCATAAATGCTCATTAAAAATATTGAAAATTTCGAAGTATCAAAACACTTTTATTAAAGCACTCTTGGAGCGAATTGTCATTTTAAGAAAACAGAGATTATAATGCTTCCAGTATATGCATGAGACTCTTCTTCATCTCTTTACTCGCCAGTCATTTAACCTTTTCGAATAATTCATAGTCAATGAATATCCTGCTGTCATAGTTTTGAATTTCTTTTTTTTTTCCACAATTCAACAAGTTACACTCCAAAGATTACTAAATTACTGGCTGGAACCAAAATATCCTAGTCCTAGCCTAAAGTATATAAGACAGAGAAATGAGTACCATTAAAAAATGTTACTTGGGGTGATACGTATGGTGTTTATTCCTCGACTTTGAGATGTTGTTGAAGTACTTATTTTCTTTGTTGCTTTTATCAAATATGGTTGTATCCGAAAAGGGTGCACCGTATCTGATATACTCAGACACTGTAGCAAGTTTCTATTCATGCAATTTGGCAATCCGAGCATCTGCTCTGTTCTGTGAGACATCAGATTATGGTTGTGCTTGCTACAATCCTGCAGCATTGGCCAGTGTCGCTGGTTGTTTGAACTATGGGAAAGAACCTAATGGCAAAGAAACAGAATTCTTCGAGATCTGTGAAAAGAGTTATGATTCAATAGTAACAGAAGAAGAATACTGGGCTGCATACGAAAACTATACAAAGTACGCTGTTTATACGTCTGATATCAAGGGATTTAACAAATCGGTGCCAATTTCTGTACCGATCATAGTGAACTCCACTTTGATCTCGAAGTATAGAAATTCTTATGCTAATTTCTTGGGAAACTTTAGGCATGCCTTGCATTATGGGAGTGGGATTTTGGGCTACTGGGCCAGCGTGTTTTTACTTTCTAGTATCTTTCATTGGGCAAAGTTCTTGTGTCCAAATCTTATAAAAAGGTGTACTGGACCTATCATTAACTTTTGGAGAAAGAATGTTACCCTTCCAGCTCTTGGTAAGAAAGATAAAACAAACGACTTTACAACTTTGAAAGTTATTAATATCTTACTTCCATCTAGAATTGAATCATTAGTTATTGTTGGATTTTGTGCTCTAACTGTATTTGCTTGCTCTAATGCTATACATTGGCCCGAGGGCGATCCTATTTTTACGGATAAACAGAATGCCTTATTGAGATTCACTGCCGATAGAAGCGGCATTGTTGCTACTATCATGATGCCAATGCTTATTCTTTTCGCTGGTAGAAATAATTTTTTACAGTGGATCACAGGCATCAACTTTGCAACCTTCATAACATATCATAAGTGGATGGCTAGAGTTATTTTCATTTTGGTCATGATTCACTCTGCTTGCTACTCAACTATATATGTGAAAGGCAAAACATTAAAAGAAGAATACGAAGCTACTTACTTGAGATGGGGCGCTCTTGCAGCAGTAGCGGGCGGTATAATTTGGATTCAAAGTATTTTGTATCTCAGAAGAAATTGGTATGAAGTATTTTTGATTGTTCATATCATTATGGCTGCTTTATTTATTGGCGGTGCTTGGATCCATGTTGACGAATTGGGCTATGTTTGGTTCTTCTATGCAACTGTGGCAGTATGGTGCTTTGATAGGGCCGTAAGAGTTGGTAGACTTATTCATTTTGGATGTCCAAAAGCTTCAGTAACTCTCTTGGCAAATGAAACTTTGAAGGTCACAGTTCGTAGACCAAAGTTTTGGCCAGCGATTCCAGGTGGACATGCTTTTCTTCATTTTATGAGACCTTCATGCTTCTGGCAATCCCATCCATTCACATTTACAGTATCGCCGGACTCAGATGAAAATATTGTTATGTACTGCAAAGTGAAAGGTGGTGTTACACACGGTCTCTACCAATATTTGACAACCCACCCAGGTAAGACAGCTCAGATTAGAGTTTCTCTTGAAGGACCATACGGAGAACCTACACCTGCTAAAGTGTATGACTCAGCAGTCTTCATTGCTGGTGGCAGTGGTATACCTGGAATTTACTCAGAGGTCTTGGACTTGGCAACAAGAGCAGTTCAAGACAGCAATAAATTATTGAAACTACACTGGGTTGTCAAGGACTACGACTCTTTATTTTGGTTCTATGACGAGATTCTAGCACTTAAAGACACCAGCATTCAATGTGCGATCCATGTAACTAGACCAACTTTGTGTGCTGATTCTAAGCAGGAAGAAACATTCGGTGATGTATTACCTGAGCAATCTAGTTCCGATGAAAATGATGAGAAAAAGAGTGGGCCAATTGATTTTAGTGAAACCAAGGAAGTAAATGCTGGTGTCGTGAGCGATATAAAGAAGGGATTGAGTCATGTTACATTCTTGGAAGGAAGACCTTCTATTGAAAACCTTGTCAAAGCGGAAGTAGAAGAATCTAACGGGTCTGTTGCGTTCGTCACATGTGGACATCCATTGATGGTTGATGAAGTACGTTACTGTTGTGCTCACGCATTATACGATTCAAAGGGTAAAAGAATTGACTTCTTTGAGCAATTGCAAATCTGGGCTTAATCAAAATTCTCACCACATATTTTTATTGCAAATTAAGATTCATGTACGCTATTGTGCTTAAGTTATTATGTATGTATTTAAATATCATGTTTTATGTCGTATTTCTGCACTGTCTTTGAGTAATTTAATACAAAAATTCCAGCCATTTCATAGACTCTACTGAATTTAGCAAGATATTCTCTCATAAACTTGATTGTGAATTCACGAGATCTCTGGTAGCAATGATATTCATGCAGCCTAAACTGTGACCTCGTTCTTACCACTGGGAAACCTAAGCCCATCTTGAAATAATTAAAAATACGAGCCCATTCTAAGCAGCATTTTATTATATGCTTCTTCACTGTGAGGAGACTCCAGCATTAGGTGAGAGCCAAAACAAGTTAGATCAATCCCTGTTATTTATCCATCTATCGAAGTGCAAAATAAGCAAACTGATGCGAATTTTGGTCCACTGCACCAAACTTTAAATAGGCGCTGATCCTTTAGATAATTCTTATTTTCCTCGGAAAAGTTATCTGATCGATCTCCGTGCAGGGTTCAGATGACCCTTAATGCCCACCGAAAAAAAATAAAACCACGCTATGATAGCGTTTGGTACCGTATGGGCTGTCCAAGGTCATAAGGTATTCTAGCTTAAAAATGAAATTCCGTTGCCAGGGTGTGAAGTTTGGCCATCACTTCCGAAATTCCTCTGTGCCTTAATTCCGCCGTGCCTGCAGCATCTTTTGAGAGCTTAAGTGCGTTGATTTCATCTACCTGTATTGGGCTGATCCATCGCAAGATATGTCCTCCGATTCTCGGCACCGCCAGAATTGTTCTCTAATTTTTTGATCTAGCTACTTAACTACTTTCCTACTATCTCCCAAAGAACCCTTTCCCTTCCTCTGTACACGGTAACTCGTAAAACCCCGAGGCTCATCATACTTTTGACAGTTGATCTATGTAGACAAAAGGGAGAATCCATTTAGCTTACAATTTGACACATATTTTTCTTAACAAAACCCCCTTTGCATTGCCACATTTGGAATCCACTGGAAGCCACGGCATCCACCCTTAGCTTATCTTCTACTGACAGCCTTTATGTCCACCTAAAACCCGTTGTAGCAAGACAGTGATTTATCCTCAATGCTTGGCGGTTTATTTTTTTCGCTACTCGCGCCCTGACGCACAAAGGAAATTTTTTTTTGGTTGGATCAAAAATTAATTTACTATTCCTAATCTTTCAAGTATAGATTCTTCCTGACCATACGAGGTTGCTATAACTGGCTGGAATGTAAATATTGTTGGCCCAATCCAAAGCAATTAAGACACGGAAACTATTACTATTAGAAAATGTTGCTTGGGGTCGATACGTTTTGGATTGTCTTCCTCAAGCTTGATTTGTTATTGAAGTATTTATTCTCATTCTTGGTTTTATCAAATGTGGTTGTGTCCGAGAAAGGGGCTCCATATCCATCGTATTCGGAAACTATTTTAAGTTTCTACTCGTGCAATTTGGCAATCCGAGCATCTGCTCTGTTCTGTGATGAATCAGATTATGGTTGTGCTTGCTACAACCCTGCAGCATTGGCTAGTGTCGCTGGTTGCTTGAACTATGGGAATGAACCTAATGGCAAAGAAACAGAATTTTTCAACTTCTGTGCAAAGAACTATGCTACGACAATTACGGAGGAACGATACTGGGCTGCATACGAAAACTATACAAAGTACGCTGTCCATACGTCTGATATCAAGGGATTTAACAAATCGGTGCCGATTTCTGTACCGATCATCCTTAATTCCACTTTGATCTCGGACTACAGACATGCTTACATTAATTTCCTAGGAAACTATAATCACTCGTTGTATTATGGGAGTGGGGTTTTGGGTTATTGGGCACTTGTCTTCGTGCTTGCCACAATCTTCCACTGGGCTAAATTCTTGTGCCCGGGTCTCATGAAGAAGTGTACTGGACCTATCACCAATTTTTGGAGAAAGAATGTTACACTTCCAGCTCTTGGTAAGAAGGATAAAACAAACGACGTTACAATTTTGAAATTTATAAATATCTTACTTCCTTCCAGAGCTGAAACCTTAGTTTTAATTGGGTTTTGTGTGGTAACTGTGTTTGCTAGTTCTCATGATATACACTGGTCTGAAGGTGATCCCATTTTTCCAAAGAAGCAGAGTGCCTTATTGAGATTCATTGCCGATAGAACTGGTATTGTTGCTACTATCATGATGCCAATGCTCATTCTTTTCGCTGGTAGAAACAATTTCTTACAGTGGATCACAGGCATCAATTTTGCTTCTTTTATTGCTTATCATAAGTGGATGGCTAGAGTCGTCTTCGTTTTGGTCATGATTCATTCTGTTTGCTTCTCCGTCATAATTTTGGAAAAGAAAGAGAGAAAACGAGAAGCTTACTTGGTATGGGGTACAATCGCCACTTTGGCAGGTTTGATTATTTGGGTTCAAAGTATTTTGTATCTCAGAAGAAAGTGGTACGAAGTATTTTTGATTGTTCACATCGTTATGGCTGCCTTGTTTATTGGCGGTTCTTGGATCCATGTTGACGAATTGGGTTATGCTTGGTTCTTCTATGCAACAGTAATAGTATGGTTCTTTGATAGGGCCGTAAGAGTTGCTAGACTTATTCATTTTGGGTTCCCTAAAGCTACTGTGTCACTATTGGCTAACGAAACTTTAAAAGTCGTTGTTCGTAGACCAAAGTTTTGGCCAGCGATTCCAGGTGGACATGCTTTCCTTCATTTTATGAGACCTTCATGCTTCTGGCAATCCCATCCATTCACATTTACACTATCACCGGACTCAGATGAAAATATTGTTATGTACTGCAAAGTGAAAGGTGGTGTTACACACGGTCTCTACCAGTATTTAGCTACGCATCCAGGTAAGACAACTCAGATTAGAGTTTCTCTTGAAGGGCCATACGGAGAACCTACCCCTGCTAGAGTGTACGATTCAGCAGTCTTCATTGCTGGTGGTAGTGGTATACCTGGAATTTACTCAGAGGTCTTGGATTTGGCAACAAGAGCAGTTCAAGACAGCAATAAATTATTGAAACTACACTGGGTTGTCAAGGACTACGATTCTTTATTTTGGTTCTATGATGAAATTCTAGCACTTAAAGACACCAACATTCAATGTACAATCCATGTAACTAGACCAACTATGTGTGCTGAACCTGAACAGGAAGAAGTTTTTAGCAATACGATACCGGAACAATCGAGTTCCGATGGAAGTCTTCACTATGATAAAAAAAATGATTCAGTTAATTTCACTGCCGTAGATGAAGTCAGCGCAGGAATAGTTGGAAAGATTAAATATGGCTTGAGGCATGTAACCTTTCTTGAAGGTAGACCGTCTATTGAGAAAATTGTCAAGGCTGAAGTTGAAGAATCGTCTGGTTCCATTGCATTTGTTACATGTGGTCATCCATACATGGTAGATGAATTGCGCTACTGCTGTGCACACGCTTTATACGATTCTAAGGGTAAAAGAATTGATTTCTTTGAGCAATTGCAGGTCTGGGCATAAATCATTCATGTTATTCAATTAATGAATTGTTGGTTTTCATAGGGTACATTATTTATATATTTTATACATTCAACATAATACTATTTATAACTTTTTTATATGATTTTTATGTGATTAGCTACTTACCCCACCGAGTTTCTTTCAGTGATCTAGCATTTGGGCTAAATTGACATTGCAATTTAATCCAATAAGCTGACTGCCTCATGGGCCATTCCCAAGCCACACATATAGCCATTTCCTGATGCTCCATAGTTGTGGATTACTAGTTTGTTAGGAGCAATCAATTCTTTTTCAATACGAACCCCACATTCTCTACATGGTCTTGCACCTGCAATAACTCTGAGAATTTGCAAATCTTCAATTTTGTCTCCAAAAGGATTCTTTTTCAATAAATCCGGAAACATTTCTGTGGTTCTTTTCAAGATACTTTCAGTTTCAAATCCATAAGTATCTGCCGTGTCCTTTTTAGGCTGGTAAGGCTGGTAGTATCCTCCGAGAATGACTTCATCTGATGCAGAGTCAGGACGCTTTATAATATAAGTTGCTTCATCATTCCACCGCAGAATGCACTGGTCAATATGGGGACCCTTAATTACTACAACTTGACCTCTAGTGGGGAAGACTTTTTCATCTTCAACACCTCCCAATAACCTTGAACCGTTTCCTGTACAATTGAAGACAACTTTGGTGTCTGAATCAAATGCATCATGAATGCTTTCCAACCTTGTCCTTTGGAATGCTACACCTATAGATTTGTAATACTTACAGAGTTTTTCTAAAAGCACTGGACTGTTGAAGATCCAAGCTTTATATCTTATAGCACACCTGCTTCCTTTAGAGATTATTTCAATTTCTTCAGGAGATAAAATTTCAAAATCATCTATATTTTCACCAATTGCATTTAAATAGGGATCTGATTCTACCTCCAAATCATCAAGAATCTCTGTCGATGTACAATGGCCAAGTCCACATTTTGGCCCTAACAAAGTTTCAAGTTTGACCAAATTTTGATAAGTGTAGTTACTATACTTAAGCAACTTTAAGTCAGCACTAGCTGAAAAATAAGCTCCTGCAACGGGTGACGCATAGTTGATAGATAAGTCACCTGGGTGATGTTCCGCAATTATTGCGATAGTTTTGGGATCGATTCCCTTTTCCAAGAGACCAAATACTGTGTAAAGACCAATAATACCACAACTACTTGAGTTAGTACCATACTGCGAACACTATGAAATCCAATATACATACCCAATAACAACGTGTTCGACCATTGCGCTAAAAGTTTATTCGATTATATACTAATGTAGACTGCTTAATTTAGATCTGAGCCTGCTTTATATGAACTCCCGTCCCACTTATCTCTTCCTCTGTCGGAAAATTCAAAATCGGTATCATTCGTCGGTGCTCCTACACTCTCGCCTTATCAACAAAAGTGAGCGTCGGAATATTTAGCGATAATTCCGTTGTGAGTTCTCGTTGATGCACTGATGCACTCACCCAGTTGTACGGGCTCTCAGTTACACACTCATCTTTCATGGAATGCCGGCAAATATAGGTTGGATCCTATCAAGAATATATTGTATGCTATAAAAATATACACTCAGATTAACCCACTAAGGGTCAATTTTTCTAAAAAGGGCGACAAGTCATCTTTCCTAATCTCTATAACTGAGCTGTCAAAACTGTCAATTCTAACCTTTGCTCCAGAAGAATTGGAAACTTGCTGAAATGCAACACTAAATGTATTGAGTCTTGTAGTAAGCGACGAATCTGATTCATCGTCTTCACCTGGTTCTGACTTTTTTACTTTATTTTCCTTGCCTTGCAATAACTTCGACTTCATGGAGTTGTTCATTCCTCTTGGGTACTTTGGTGCTAGCCCAATAACCAAGTAGGTATCTGTGACTACATCCAAACTAGCAACTACCAACGGCTTTAATCTTCCATTATTATTATTCAAAAACTCAATCTCTGCAATATTTTCTAACAACCAACCTCCTAATTTCGATAAAATTATAGGATTGTTGAATACATTCAAATCCGGGATGGAACCATCGTTCAACACGCAAAGTCTATACAACCTCAAGTTCTTAATTAATTTTCTCTCTAAAAGAGACATTCCTGTTCTAAAGATAATTTGTTGGATATCCTTGGCATGCTCTATACCGGCGAATACCAAGTCTAATCCTTTTGCTTTCTTCAATATTTGAATAGATTTGATGGAACCACCCCGACTGCTGCTGGCACCACCACCATTTGAGTTTAAATTTAATGCGTCCCAGGCAGACCAAAAGTTGTTCACCCATATCTTTTCCTTCTTTTCTATTAGTGAATTTATATGATCTTCCTTATTATAATCATTATCGTTATTGCTGTTATCATTATTATTATTATTGCCACTATTACCATTATTGTTGGTACTGTTTTGATCGCTATTATCAAAAATCCTCTTATCACTTTCCAATAATGCTGTTAATGATTCTACACATTCCATGGCAGATAATTGACCCATGTACCCAAAAGTTCGAATGAATCCTTCTCTGACAATTCCCTCTAGTCCATAAAGAGGAAGATATTTCTTAAAGATCAGAGGTATCTGCTTCTTGATTCCTATGTCCACATACAACCACTTCTGCTGTGCAATTGCCAATGAGATCCCCATTTTGGCAAATAACTTGTGGAGCTTCTTTTTCCCGTCTTCTGTCCATAAATTGAGCTTGGAGTTGACATGGGAAGAGTAGAAAAACGAATCGTATAGTGTCCAATGACGGAGCAAGAACAAGTGATAGTCCTTATCAATACTGAGAGTACTTGTGTCAGCATTCACTCCGTTGCTACCTCCATTGCTGTTATTGCCGTCTTCTGGGTTAAGTCTTATTACCTCCTCTTTGAACAATGGCTGGATCTTATCGTATACCTGGGGATATTGATTATCTAACGATGAGGTGCCTATTATGGCTAGCCACAAATTTTCTATGCTGGTTTCCCCAATTAAAGTAAGAACGGAATATATTATAGCACTGGTTGATGTAAATATCGTTGTTCCTTGGTTATAGTACGACTCCAAGACGTTTTCGCTTTCGGTTCTCTCTCTTTTCCTCTGTTTTCTCAAACTCTTCATTTGTTGCTTTTCAACACGCTTTCTTTTACGTGTGGGGTCTGAGGAGTCCGAGTTGATCAAAGTGTCGTCCTCCTCTGATAGTATACCTACTTCTTCCTCATCTTCATCGTCGCCTTCTTCTTCTTCTTCATCGTCGTCCTCATTCTCTGTCGTTTCAGATTCAGATCCTTCTACTTCGTCGCCTTCTTCATCGTTCACCAACTTTATGTAAGCTGACTTTTCGGTGCTCAAATTCTCCTCAACGTAGCCATCATCAAGACAAACCACCATGGACGAGCCAAACAAATTGTCCAAGTTCCACGGCCTGTGTCCATCTATAACATAGATCTTCCTCCTCAACTCTATCTCGTTTCCATCACTCTCCGTGAAATCGTCATCTCGGCGGCTCCTGCCGTATTTGGAGGATTCATCCCGGTCCACCACAAATTCATCAACCTCTATATCGAAGAAGCTCTCAAGGTCTAGCATGGACCCACACCCAATTAGAATTACATTGCTGATATCATCGTCGAGCTTGAGAAAATGGCCTTTCAAATCAGTGTATCCCACTACAGGAATCAACTGATACTGAATCAACTCCTTCTTGAATACTAAACTAAGAATTTTGGCGGAACATAATGAATCGATATCAAGGCAAGCGACAAATATTACTAGCTTGCATGTTGAATGCGAAAGCGAAGTTCTTTTGATTTCTTTAAATGTGTCTGAGTATTGGGCTGGCGATATGTACATGCCCGATAAACAAAAGATTCAAATAACAAAACCACTGTCTTACTTTATATAGCTTTGCTACTGTCAATACTTAACCTCTTCTTCTACACATTTTTCTTCTGTGTTTATTGTGGTACGCGCTTAGGCGCACACGCGTGGTAGCAACGGAGTGCATATAGAGAAACTGCTTTGGGATGGAGATGGGGTGGAGATGGGGAAAGTACTGGGCTAGAGGTAAGCCGTTTTTATGTATTGAGTAATATTCTCTGTTTAGCGTGTTTAGCCTGTTTGGATTCCTGAATCCCTGGAACATACTGCGACGGAGTAATATTAGGTACTAGAGTGCATTAGAGTGCCCCGTTTGTTTGGTGTGGGCTTATTCTGATAGATGCCCTATTATATGCACTCCCAAAGAGTACTAAGTCTTATGGTGAAGAAGTGGTACTCAGGGAGAGCTACGCAGCATGGTAATCTACATTTCAATTAATCGTACTTCGTAACATTCTTATAAAAAAATGAATACCTACATAAACCATATGTCCATTAAAAATTTCGGTTCTGATTATTTTCACTATGCATAGGAAAAGTTCCCTGAACAATTTCTGCCCCTTGTATTCATATCCCATGTCAAAATCCCCCCATCTTGGCACCCTACTAGTAATTTCTCTCCGTACCAATCTATTCCTGATAAATTGATCTCTCCATTGATTTGGCTAGCATTAGCTGTTATGTGGTCATGCCCTGGATAAGACAAAATATCTAAACCACTCCTATCACCACCAGATGATCTTGGCGATGATTCATTGTAGAAATCGTAATCATCTTCACTAACCATCCCTGATCCCATACCACCAGAATACATATGATTTTGATTCGGGATGTTTACCTCCGGTGACGGTAAGTAAGGTCGTTTTCCAAACTCCTCGCTATCCGGTTGGAATGAATAATCCTTGAATATGTGTGGATTAACATCGACAAGGTAATCATAGTCATACACCAATGGTGCTGGGAAGTCTTCCATTATATCACTATCCTCGTATATTGGGATCTTGTAATGAGTCGACGTTCCTTCATCGTCCTTTTCTCTTTCTACGTTCTTGTCAGACAGATGCTCCCCGCTGATTTTCTGTCTCTTAAAATTACTATATTGGTCCAAGGCATATGGCAAAACCATAACTTGGTGTCCTGCAGAAGAAGTAGTTGAGCTGGAGGAAGCCTTCTGTAAATCGATCAAATGCACTCTTCCTACATGCTCAGATATAACTAACAAGTCGTTCAAACCCGTCTGGGAAAACTTGCAGCACCTGAACGCTCCATTCTGGTGTCCCGCTCTTGTTGACTTAAACTCTAAAAGAGCCTCAGAGTCTTTCTTGTTTCCAGCACCCAGTTTCGGTAAATTTCGAATGTCATACAACAAGCAAGAGCCATCTTGGAAGGAAACGGCAAATGTGGTTCCATTTGGGTGATATGACATACCAAATCCTGAGTCATGCTTTGTCTTAATAGTTGCAATCTTGGAGTTGGAAGAGGTGGGGTCCACCAAGAAAACGGAAGACAGATCTCCCGTAACAGTCAACACCTTTTCGTTTTTTGGGCATCTTACCACATTGTTCAACGATGTGTTCAATTCACAATTAATGGTACGATCAAGGGTAAGTTTTCTTGACTGATCGATATCAACAACATACAAGTTTGAATCGTTATTGCAGATATAAGAAGTGTAACTCAGCAGCGAGTTCTGATAGATGGTAACGGCATTGTTGATCATTCCACCAAGGGCCACAGTGTGAGACTCTTTCAGCTCCGGATTATAGAAAGAAAGAATCCCTTTAGAAGATCTGGATGAGTATGAAGTAATGTTATACTTTCTGGCTGAGCCCGCTTTAGACACACGATTCCCATCCAGATTTACTAAGGGTGAGATTGGAGAGCTTTTTGATGGTAAATACTCATTGAACAAGGTCTCTTGGCCAGCACCTATTGTAGATTGAGTGAGTGTCAGTGGCAGCAACTGTGTGTGTGATGACAAGGGAGATGTAGAAGATGTTTGTTGAAGTGGTGCTGCAGAGGAGAACGAAGCTGAGCCTTGGGTTAAGTGAGGAATGCCATTTGATTTGAATTTGGATGTGGGGGTCATGAGGCCACCAGTGACCATAAATCCGCCGTTTGTCAGATGAAAGCATTTAGGTAGGTAGTCCAACGACAACTCATCCTTGGAATGGAATCTTGTCTCATCAGAGTCGTCCGCTATATTGATGGACATGATTTTATCTTCTTTCGCAAAGAGAACTTCCCCCCGGTAGGGGTCTACCTGAAGCATATCCCGCAACTGCCAATGATTGACGCTGGAGCGAACATCGGTGTAGTACCTGGGGAATAGATCGAGGTAAGTATGACAGTGATAATAGTTCTGGAAGCATTTGTAAAAGGCCCTATTGGGCGGTGATGTATCCCTTAAATCAATCGACATGACTCCTGGCTGATTTTATTGATTATAAAAAGGGGATGTGTTTGTAAACTAAACTGTTGTTTGTTTCCTTGAGAGTAAACTGCTTCAAGCTGTGTCCGTATTCTCTTGCCTAATCTAAATAAAAAGGAAAGGAAAAAGGAAAAAGGAGAAGGGAAATGATCCGAATATTCACTCCTGTTTTCATACACTTTACAGGTAAAGAAGAAACCAAAATTTATTTGCTGTCTGGCTTGATGCAGTGCAGCAAAAATCGCAATCTGGTAGGCCTAAGAAAGGGAAAAAATGAAAAAGCCTGATGCTCCAGAGTATGGAGAAGCTGAGATAAGATAACGCAATATTTTTTGGGGGAGCTTATATAGCGCACTCTAGGAAGTGCTGTGAGGGTGAGTTTGAGAGGAGCGTATACGCTGATTACAGACATGTATGCACTTACAAATGTATACGTAGTAGCCACGTATGTGTACTATCTATTACTATCTATTTTAAAGAAATTTTTACGTCCAGATTAGCGTTTTGGAGTGGTGTACTCCCTCCGATGGAGAAGCTTTAGCGTAGATGGAAATGCCTGAACTAGGCTGCCCTTCCCTTTTTTTTTGTTTTTCCCTGCGCTCTTGCTAAAAGCGCGGGGTCACGGATGGTTACGAGCACCCACGCTCCCTGGGTCCAGGTCAATTGCTAACACTGCTCAGCGAGAAGAAAAGTAAAAGAAACCAATTTAAGATTAAAGTAGCAGTAAATACTGTGGAGAACAATGTGGCCATCATGCTGTTCTGTTTTTCCTTGATGCTTCTCTTTTCGAAAAGTGAAAAATTCGAAAAATGTGAAAAATACAGTAGTGCTGCTGAGTGGGTTCAGTCTCTCCTAGTGCACCTATATACAGGACACGCTTAATTCAGTGCCTAACAAAACTGCTGGGTAGAGCTTATTAGCACTTATACCAGAGACATACACATGTTCTCTCCACTCTCTACGTAGTTCTTACCCTTAGATCAAACCTACATATTCTCCCTCATACCACTCTCTACGAAGATCTTGGCCCCTCTACAAAACCCGAAACCTGCGTATGCTCTCTCCTATCACCTCCTACGTAGATCTTGGCCCTTATACCAAACCTGCATATGCTCTTTTGACCCATCCACAGTCTCTTACGTTATCATCTTGAAGGTCTACATCCATGTTGGAGTTTGGGTCGTCGTAGTGGTACGATACTTCGCCTGCTGGCTTCGAAATGCACATGTACTTCGCGTCAGGTAACACACATCTTAACTGAGAATTAGGAAATGCGCATGGACAGTCGTTTGGGCTGCTGACACACGCAGAGGTGTCTGGGCATATATAGTTTGAACATTGGCTGTTCAAGATTTTCTGTTCGAAGTCTTCCGGTTGCTGTTCTTGCTGACCACCGGTGTGGAATTGATTTTGGAAAAAGTCGAATATGCTTGCATTAGCAAGGCCAACCAAGAAGGGTAATATTAAGATCATACTCTGACTACTGCTCTGTAAGCTGTGTTGGTAACGAGGTGGATCTTCTTTGATTAGATTTATTTTCGCTGTTCAAGTTTATTGTAACACGTAAACGCTGAGAAGCAAAAGAGAAAAAAAAAAAAAAAAAAGTTGTATATTTCGACAGACTGCATATAGCCAGACGACCCTCGTTTAAAAAAAAAAGCCCAGTCTACACTGAACCACGACCTGGAAAAATACTTCAAAGAGATCCATGATGTCATTGAAAGCGAAGAGACGGGCCTGAACATGGTTCCGTACCACTTCAGTGGCCCCTAGCTTTCCCATAGCATAGAACATAGCTTGGAATGCCAAGGGGGACATAACAAGAAAAGAAAGCAAAAGGGAAGTATTCTAAGCAAGGATGGCCATTGGCGGTGCAATGGTAAGCTTCTCGAATCGAAAAAACCAATTCTCAACAAAGATCCCCTGAACTTAAATTTTATGCTTGAATATTCCCACTTTGGTTTCTACAATGAGGAATAATGAATGGCGGCCCTATTGTTTCATGTCTTCAATTGTCCGTAGATTTTTGGCTAATTGTGTAAGCAGGCTGTCACTTTCCCGACATGCCCTTTAACTAGAATCGCTTAGAAGCATTGGCTTTCCCATTTTGAGGGCGTATGTTGCATATGTCAAGATATTTACTCCACCCATTTTCTGATCCAAATATCAACCTGTTACAAATATTCAGGGGAACCCAACTAAAATTTTTCTACGCAATTAAAAAATAACCTTTTTTTTCGTTCTACCATTCTAGTGATCTGTAATCAGTCCACACTTCTTCTGCCAGGACATTTAAGAAATGGCCATGCGGGGGCTCCGTTCAACCTGTAATTGCTCGGCATAGCGTAACTAGTGCGCACCCACACTCGTAAACTTGTCCTACTCCCTGATTCCCGTGGCCCTTGATGCCCAGCTTAAGTTGAATTGATCAATTTCCATTGATGTGCCTTAACGGGTTCTTCTGAGCCGCACATAAGGTATATTTTTAACTTTTAGTTATTAGCCCCAAAAGCTGTGCCATAAATTAATTATATAAACTATGGTGGATCCGCCTCCCCCTCCTCAAGGGTAAGAGGGTGTGACGAAAGGAGAAGTGCTCTTATCTATCCGCATTGTATATTATAATATTTTATATATATATTTATTTATACACCTACATCACTACCCAGTGACCAAAAATCTCTCGCTATTCATTTCAGCTGATCATCAATATTTGCTAACCTTCTTCTAAGTATTGAATTCTTTGTAGTATGTCCTCACTTGTAACCACTCAAAATAGCAATTGGATTCCGATGTTAATAAGCGGTAAACTGCAACAGTCACCCAATAAAATTACCCTACAGCCCTTGCTGACAGTGGGGAATTATCCGCCGACTATCAAGCACGTCGTTGCGCACATCAAGCTTATCAAGTACTTTAGCTCGTTGAAGGAGCAAATCGACAAAAAGCCTGGAGATTGGGACTTGTTCCTCCGGTCGGGGCTAAGAAGATTCATTTGGTTCGTCAGCTTACTTCGAAACAAATTGAAAACCAGTAAAAGGCACCTCGATGAGTCGGTACAGATATCTCAGTTCAAGAACTCCTCCAATGCTAAGGGCATTATTCAAAACTTGAAGACAATTCTTCCACCGGTGGATATTCTTTACATTTGGTATGCATTGATCATGAAAACTAGATCGTTCTACGAACTAGGAGTACGGTTCCAGTTCTTAGAATTTTCAATGCTCTCCTTCCCATTGTTTCAAGTTGGTCACAGTATCAACGAATCCACCCAGACGTACGCTCCTCACTTGAATTATGTCAATAACTTCATCCTGATAACCAGTAACCAGATCCCCTATGACTGGAAGCAAACGTTATCGCAGAAAGTCCCTGTGAATTGTCCTATATGTCTGCAGAAACTTGGATCCACTTACTTGAAGGACTTCACCAGGTTTACTCTGGGGGGCTCTGGCTCCGTCTTACCCAGCGGGTGCAAATGTAAATTCCAAGGTGTGATAACGTTCCAGCAGTTAATAAAAAGACAGTTGTATAGTGATGTGATGAATTCTGAGAGACCACTACCACTTGTGCTTCAGACCAAGTCACATTTCCTCTACGAAACTGGAAGCGATGAATATGTAGATGATTTGGACGAGTTAGATAAATCATTGAAATCCATACTAAAGAATGATATTACCAGCTTGAGAATGGCAAATGCCACACCCGAAAGTTTCTTTCAGAGCATAGATGCTAACTTTGACAAGATTTATTCCAAATTCTACTCTCAATCGAATTTGCTTCATCTTACCATTCCCGTGGCCAGACCTATCCAAGTAACTGAGAATTTTGATACTATAATTGAAGCAACCAATAGGTTTGTGAGTAAAATGAGTAAATTGGAGAGTTGGTTCAATGCGCCTACGTCAACTTCCACATCTAGACTAATTAACGCGATTTCCAAGTATGAATCTTTCTTTATGATGGTCGCAGAGAGCTTCAGGTGCTACTCATTGGTCCCATTAGTTGAAATAGATCTTGTATGGCAAACTCACAAGCTATCCCCTCACGAATACATTGAGTTCTGTCGGTCCAGATGCCAGAACAATGTCATTGATTCAAATGGCGACGAAGTACAAGAAACAGATGAAATGCACACTTCCAGTTTCCAATTCACCAGTCAATTTTATAAGACCTTGCACCATACATCATATTCCGACTGCATGTGCTTATACTGCTTCAAGTCCTGTAGACTCGTGAGACAGAGCAAGTACTCTCCAAAAATTGAGCAATACTGCACGTCAACTAAACCTTGCTCCAAAATCAGTGATAACTCAACTACAATTATCCATTCCACACCCTTCCCTTCGAAATATTGAGAGAATAAACTAATACCACCCTTTATCTCATATATTGTTTACTAAGAATAGAAATATGAAAAAAAGACCCCTATCCTTAATGCTCCATGTTGTATTGCTTATATTAATGTACATATTTCCATAACATACTCTACCCTCTATCTGTAGAAATCTGGACGGGCAGTGTTCACTCCATATTCACTGAGAGCGCTATTCAAATCATCCATTGTCAATACGATTTTCCCCTGTTGATTACCAGCAGCACCACCACCAGAGTGTTGCAGAGGTTGCAGATCTGACAGACCATCTGCAGATCCTGGAGGGCCACCAGCACCAGTCATCTGCTGCTGATTGGCGTACTGTTGGCCAAGAAGTAACTGCTTAGCTCTTACCTGTGGGTTAGCTGAGTTGTACACAGATGATGTACTACGGATTCTGGAATATTCATAAGCATCCTGTGCTATGTCCAGTACGAATTTCTGTGTGGCCAAGGCAAGCAATCTTTTTATCTTGACGTCCGAACTAGTAAACCCATTCTTGGCCAAGTAGTAGTCTGTAACGGTATCCGGTATTATCGGAGCAAAATCACCATCTAAGAGGTCTAGCACCTCCTTTAACGTTTTATCCTTACGAGTGAGTTCTGGCAACTCAGGCATTCCAATAGCAGGAGGAACTACGGCAGCAGGTTCTGGTTTACCGGCACCATCAGCTTTTGAGGCACCTACGCTTCCACCTGAAGTTGCTTGTTTCCCTGGCTCTTCATCATTGAATTCGTCATCAACTTCAACGTCTTCTTCCATTTGGACATCTTCCTGCGACTCGGCGGTCTTCACCGTGGGTTCTTCGGCACTCTCACTAGGCATATTACTTCGGCAAAGGGTGGGCTATATCAGTAAGATAGCAAGTCTAAGTCGATACTTAGCCAAGTTCAAAAAAATGAAAAAAAGAAGAGTCAGCTGTACACGACTATATGCAGGCATCGAACATGGGTGCCAGAAGACCACCCAGGCACCAGCTACCACACCATAAAGACACACTGAGCTTGTCGATTAACGTAGTTTTCACTTCAAAGGTTGAATTCTTTCACCTTCTTCTCTAAAACACCTACTCTCAACACATGTAGGTCCCTGTATCTTCGAAAGTAGTATGTCGTTGCTCTTACCTTCTACGCAGCCTCTCATGCACTATCTGCAGTACCTCACACAAACATCACTGTACGCACGCAAGTCTTATCTTCGTACCTTTCAGACCAAGCGGTTACAGCCTGTCTAGCTCCTTATAGTTCAGCTATACCGCCATGATTAAAGACCCGTCTGAGTCTATGACGTTTGGCAGGTCGCTCCTGCTACGTGTAGATGGGGCCATTGGTGCAATGTCGTTGTCCCCCAACGGGAGAGACGCCGTTTTAGCAGGCAGAAGAGGACTCTTCATTATTGATCTTGATGACCCCTTCACTACTCCACGTTGGCTTCACCATATTACATCCTGGGAGGTTGCAGATGTGCAGTGGTCGCCTCACCACAGTTCCAAGCCGTCCTGGTGTATTTCAACATCTAATCAAAAGGCTCTCTTGTGGGACTTATCTAGACCATCAAACAACGCCATTCTGCATGTCTTGCACAAGCACACTAGAGCCATAACAGACATAAATTTCCACCCTTCCGATCCAGAAGTTCTAGCAACTTGCTCAATTGACACCTTTGTGTATGCTTGGGATATGAGATGCCCTCGTAGACCAGTTTCTCAGTGGGCCGAATGGAGAGCTGGAGCTACCCAGGTGAAATGGAACCACGAGAACCCTCACGAGATAGCCACATCCCACGACAATAGTTTTTACATATGGGACGATAGGAAGGGAGCTCTTCCGGTTGTGAAAGTAAGCATGGCACACAGGGGGAAAATCAACGGATTGGACTTCAGCAATGGGTCTCTGAATATTATAACTTGTTCGAATGACCACACAGTGAAGTTTTGGAACTTGAAGTCAGAAAGATCGAAGAAGTATATAGACGAGTTCAATTTTTTCAGTTCTGATCATCACCACCATAATAACAGTAGTAGTGGCAGCCATAATGGCAATATTGACACAGTTGGTGGCCCATTGGAGCCTAGTGTGGTAATTCATACGGATTTTCCTGTGGCTAGGGCTAGAAGTTTGCCCTTTGGAACCGACAAAGCATGTGGGATAATGCCTTCGAGAGGCGGTGGAGACGCAATACATGTTTCAAACTATGACAACGCTTATAATGAAGCAATAGAGTCGGGTAAAACTGTTGAAATACAAATGAACCCAGTATATAGCTTTAATGGTCATGAAGGTTCGATAAAAGACTTTCTTTGGCGTACAAGACATGAAAAGTACGAAGGGATATCAGATAATTCCTCGCAGCACAACGATTTTCAACTTGTTACCTGGTCTTCACAGGATTATGACTTAAAGCTTTGGCCACATAGTGATGAATTATATAGAGAGGTCAATTACAACCCTTTGCATCAAAATTTGCTACCGGAAGCGGTCCCTGACGAAAACAAAGACAACAAAGATGCTTCCACCCCTTTTACATATGAAACTTATATTACCGAACCACCTGTCACTATAGATGATATTACCAAGGGTAATAAGAATGACTTGTTGTCATCAATGACAATGTATCAAATAGTCAAAAAGAACTTCAGACAACAGCATGGAAATAATCAGCTTAACCATCTTGATTGGATATCAGGTGTTCGTATGGGAAAATCAGCGAATAGCAACAATAATAATACTCTAAACAACTATAATGCGAATAGCAACACCAACCATACCCCTGCAAATAATTCGAACAATTTGTCCGACTCTACGACTCTTATCGGGAATGTTGACAGTCATAATACATCTCTCGAAGAAGATAGTGGGCCCTCAAACTTGGGAGAAGAAGTAAGTTATGTTGGACATAAATTCCCCAAGATCAGGTTTGAGAAAATATCGGTATCTACTGGTGAGTTAATCATAAGCTTAAGGGGCCCGATTTCAAGCTCAGATCCTGACGAATCGTCAGGGAACACTGAAGCTTCCAATACCGGAGGCGAGCATGAGCTTACGAAAGATAAAATTGTTGAGAGCCAGAGTGAGACTGATAATGACAAAGAAGTTACCGATGATAAGAGGAGCAATGCAGATAACGCATCTCTTGTAAACACCACGGCAAATACTTCAATCACCAATGCTTCAACAGGAGGTTTAACAAACGCTGGAAGTAATCACATATCTAATATAGGGAATCTACAAATTCTGGCTAATACGGATGAAGATACAAATGAACAAAAGCTTGCATTTATTCGTATGAAGGTGAAGTTTCCAAAAAATTACCCACATTTAGAGCAGTTACCTTCTTCTGCAACTACTAGTGCAAAACAATTGCTCAAGCTACAAAAAATAAACCTTATAAAGTTTAATATCGAAGAGACACATGAACTTACTTCCAGTATTAGATTAAAGATGTTGGACACACTTAATGACATTGCAGAGTTCTATACTAATAAATACCAAAGATTTTGTTTAGAACCATGCTTGAGGTTTTTGATGGGTGATAAGATCGATTTAACTGACTCCATACTTATGGAACTGGATAATGCAATTGCTGAAGATGAAGAAGAAGGTGAAATTGAGATTGGGACTGAAGGATGGGCAGATGATTTAATTAACCAACAACCTGACGTAAATTATACTACCAGTGAAATTAATGACGATAATGAATATGAGTATGATGATTTTGATCTTATGCCAGCAGTTCAAGAAGATGATATGAAAAGTAGTACGGACTCTCTTAAAAAGGATTATCTTATTGCAGCAGGAAATCAGAAGGTAGATGAAGGAAATGGAGATCTAGCAGAAAAAGCAAGTGCTCCTTTATTCGACTCAACACCAGTTCCTAAGGGATGTGGGGCGATGTGGACCCATTCAGGTCAATTGGTGTGCTTCTTCATTCCCAAGGAAAACGCAGAGGAAGAGAATACGAAGGCTCTACAGAAATTTAACATTTTCAAATTTACGGATGGTGGCTTCAGTGTGAATACAAACAATGGTCACCATCATCACAGTCATCGTCGAAATCCTAGTAAAGATGATTCGGAAGAACTTCAGTCGCTTAGTTCAGGAACAGAATCAGACGAAGACCTTGAAACTGATGAAGAATCGTACGATTATGAAGATGAATTTGATAATGATGATTCTAACGACTCCTACTCTGATTCAGATTCTTCTTCCAGCTCGGAAGATAGCTTCACAAATGATTGGGATGATATTTTACTTGATGATGTGACAACTAGAACCCGGATTCCTGGTCTTTTTAAAACGTCAGTTGGCCTAGGAAATAGATATATAGCTAGAGGAGGAGGAAGAGTAGGAAGCGGTACTGGAACGGGAACTGGAACTGGAGGACAATATAGTGGAGGAAGATCACTAATAAAGTTTCAAAGCAATGGGAATACATCAAATAGGCAATCATCATTGCATGGTACAATCGGAGGCAATAGTACTAAGAAGAAAAGCAAAAAATCCAAGGGATCGAAGGCAAATTTGAACATTGTTGGTATATTTGACTTGAGGCATTTAATTCCAGACAAATATGAATTAGCTTGCGAATATAGAGTATTAGGAGATTCTCCAGAAAAGTTGGCAAAATACAATGCCGAAATAGCATTCAAATATGGACTAAAGGAAATAGGAGATGTCTGGAAGATTTTGGAGATGGTCTTGATCAAAGATGTTGAAATTAATGAGATAAAGCCTGTATACTATTCCCCTGAGACATTAGGAGAAGGTGGGAGCTACAAAATTGAGGCACTAAATCAACTAATAAACAACTCTGGTATCATCAAAAGAGCTGGTACGACGCCAACTGATAAAAGTTATAGATTTTATTGGGGGGCCCATCCTTTTGGACATGCATGGCTCATTGAACAGATATTTAGATACTTTGAGAAATTGGGGAATAATCAGATGCTTGCAATGTTATCATGTATTTTGTATGAAAATTCAAACAATTTAAAGAATGTGTCTGGCTCTAATGGGGAAGTGATCAATGTTCCTATACATACCCCTTATGGGGCCTTACCTCCACCTCCTTCAGTGATTGCACTAAGACATTATGGGACATCCTTAGCACAGGAGAATGGTCGCAAATATTCCTTCGATGAAGAAATAAGCTACCTGCAGAATGGGTCGAATTCCTTTCAATTTGATAGACAAAGAAATGCATCAGCTGGTCTGGTGGTTCAAACCGGATCAGTCGGAGCTATGGGTTCTATTCACGCTTTAAGTGGCCTCAGCCCCGGCCCATTCTACGCGAGATCTACCAACTCTTCAATTGACGGGGAAAGTCTAAAGGATGGAACATCGCCTGAGAGATTTGGTAGCAATTTCAGAAAACCTATCCAGCATAGTTCAACATTGAATTCGTTTTCAGAGTATGGAACTCCTGCTTATGATTTAGCAGATACTACGAATATTAGTAGCCACAGAAATAAATTTATTTCTAGAAGAAGTGCTACCTTCCAATCTGATACACAGCAGCAAAGAAGGAGAGGTGTTATTAACGGCAGTGTAGGTGGGGGATTTAATGGAGACTATGCCAAGAAACAAATCATGGCGACTCCTAATACGCCATACATCAAAACAAGAGCTAGAAACCCCCCAATAGTCACATTAGAATTATTAAACACAGACAACCTAGACCTTTATGATGATGTATATACACAGTCACTTCTTGGTTCTAGTAACGAAGAAAAAGTCAAGATTTACAGAGAGCAATATGCGGATTTGTTGTATATATGGGGCTTACCGATCAGCAGAATCAAAATTCTAAAGTTTAATTATCCGAATGTTGATAAAATAGAAGACTACAAATCACCCTTCAATGTTCACAGAGGGTCTTTTGGAATTAGAAAGAAGCTGGGCAAAAATAATGCATATATCTCAGATGATACAAGTACCAGGTCTGTAACACCAGTGACAACTTCGTTGAACCAACCACAAGCTTGGAATACATCGAAGACCAATTTTTTAAAATATTGTAACCTCTGCGGTTTACTTGTGACAAAGAGATTGGTAATTTGTACCAACTGTGAACATGTTTTACATTCTCACTGTGCAGCCGAGTGGTGGTCAATTGAAGAAGAGACCCTTCTCGCTGATAGTGAAGATGCGAGCGAAGAGAGAGATTTGCAGGAATGCCCTAGTGGATGTGGCTGTCATTGCTTGAGCCATAGAATATAGCAAGTGTGAATCAAAAGAAAATGCATACAAGCATAAGGAAAATGCATATAATAAATGAAATACAATAAAAAATATTCCTAAGTTAAGGAGTAACCTTGTAGAATTCTCATTTGAATTATTACCGATATTATTATCATTATATTGTTGAACTATGGTTGTCTGGTATTGACAATTTGGTCTGCCAACTTTGCATCCCATTCTTTACACAATTTCTCTAAATATGCTACTACATCTTCACTTCCTGTAGTGTCAACCTCTTCACGAACTAAATATTCTTCACCACGTCTTGTTGTAGCAGATCCGATTTTTAATGGCTGAAATTTTTCTAACTCACGCTCGTTAGCTTCCTTAACGCAGTAGACTGGAGCATTGGCAGCGGTATACCCAGAGATATTGTGCCATGGTGATCCGAGAAATCTGGCGATATAGAAAAGCATCAACATACCATAGTAAGTGAACACATTTAAGTATTGGAAGAACGAATAACTAGTGAATATACCTGGGTGAACCAAATACTGCTGGATACCAAAGTCCTTCAGCAAAGAACGGAAGCTGGCACTATGCATTAGGTCAATTAGTCTCTTAGAGCCTTCATAGGGTGCCGGACTCTGCACTAATTCCAAATCATCAAAGGAGAGATATTTAGATTGTCCCATCAACGATGAGATCCAAATGATCTTCCCTCCGTCTTTTAAGAGATGCTTAATCTTGTGAATCAAATAGTATGGACCAAATACATTAGCCTGGAACACCAATCCCATACCATCGGCACTCTTCACGCCGATTCTCTGTAACTTGTAGGTTGGGTTCGTCACCCCTTCAAGTGGACTGGTGCATATTTCTTTCACCGCTCCGATCCAATCAATTCCCGAGTACACACCTTGTGCTGAATTGATAAAAGCGTAGTCGATCTTCTTGAATTTTTTGTTCAACTCATAATAGGCACTGAGTACCGATATCATATCAGAGAAGTCTACAGTTAAGTAATCGAATTCCAATTGACCAGTTCTGTCTGACACATTGTCGTAAGCATATTTCTGGATTTGTGTGATAACCTCTGTTATTTTAGGTAATGTTCTTGATGTCACTATGAAAGTTAAGTTAGTAGATTTAGGCGTTTCTTTAAGAATACGGTACGCAATATTTATCCCCAAATTTGACGAAGTACCTGTAATAAGGCACACTTTCGATTCAGTCATGGCGAGATTCGGCTAACTTAAAATGAGTACCAAAAAGAAAGTTATTTCAATGCTTTTGGGCTTCTTTGTCGTAGCGATATGTAAACGATCGTAAATTTTTCACTCCATACTTCGTATCGGTATAGAAAAAAAAAATGGCGACAGCCGCAGGATTCGAACCTGCGCGGGCAAAGCCCAAAAGATTTCTAATCTTTCTCCTTAACCACTCGGACAGGCTGCCAATTTTCGAAATGGTTTCCATCAGAAGAAATCATTCATAGTAGGTACTTTTATACCCAAAGGATTAGATCCAAGAAACAATTCTTTCTTTTTATACTGTTCGCCAGTTTCTTTCCTTTCAGCAAGTGCTAGAATTATAATTAAAGTGAAAATGAGGTTCCGTATCAAGTCTAATATAGCCACCAAAGTGGTGACAGTCGAAGGAACTTTACAAAACCTAGTAGATGAAATAAAGAAGCAAGGATTAGTTCAGGAGTCCAATTACGTAATGTCAATTAAGTATGGATTCCCTCCACAAAGTGTTCAGCTAGATGACAAGTCTCGAGACTTAGGCAGTTTAGGAATAAGATCAGGAGATCAGCTTATAGTTGAGACTTCGGACTCGACGGTTCAAGAGGCAGAGCCTGCAGTTGCTGAGGTGACTAGAAAGAAGACTGAAGACATTCCCAATGTATTCAATAGCGATTTAAACTCATACACGATTCTTAGAAATGTACCAGACGATAATTCTTGTCTATTCAATTCGATATTATACGCAAAATTTGCAATTAGAGACAATGAGGGAAACTTGGTGCAAGAGGAGGTTTCCAAATTAAGAACACTAGTTTCCAAGGCGATCGGTGAAAATCCTATCTTGTATGATGAATTAGTCTTGGGTAGACCTGTTGACAAATATCGCGAGTGGATACTTAAAAAAGATTCCTGGGGAGGAGCAATTGAGATAGGTATCATTGCTCAACACTTGAACTTAGATATCTATTGTCTTGATGTAGAGCTGGCAAATTTCATCAAGTTTGAAAACAGTTCGTCTGCTGAGGAATTCATAGTACTAGTATATTCCGGAATTCACTACGACGTAATGGCACGAAATCTTATACTTTCTACAAAATTACTGGATAAGCGGAAGGATGAATGTGTTTTCAGAAAGGGGAGCCCAGAAGGCAAATTATTTTTGGAAGACTGCCAAGAGTTGTGTCGTTTACTTCAGACTAAGAACTATTCAACAAATACCACCACATTCAGAGTCAGATGCTTAGAGTGCTATGAAATTTTAGTTGGCGAAATGGGGGCCTCCAACCACGGTAATAAAACCGGCCACTATAGATTTGGAGAGATTAAAGATTAATGATATGTTAGATTGCTATATATTTAGACTTTTGTACTTTAAAAAGAGTTCAGTCTAGGGTTCCGAACTAGACTTGCTTACAATTCTGATTTAACTGAAAAACCATTTCATTTCTAAATATGTAATTTATCAAAGTAATATCCATTATATTCTTCTTTTTTTCGTTATTCGTTTCCCAACGTTCATTCTGGACGTTTCCTTTTCTTCATTTATCATGATTTTCTTCATTTTAAACCTTATTCATTAAATTAACATCTTCGATGTTTTGAATTTCATTACTTTTGTTTGTATCCATCTTAAATAACCCATGCGCCTCGTGAATTTGTTTCTCGCTATGTATTCTGGCCTCTGTGAGGACTTTCTTGTGGGCTCTGTAGGCGGGCACAGAAGTATCGAAAAGTTGATCCATATCTTCCAAGGCAATTCCCTTAGTTTCAGGTACGAGGAAAAATACAAATGGAATTGAAATAGCAGCGATACAGGCAAAGAAGAAATAAATTCCATAATGCATAGCAGCAATCATCTTGGTAGTAAATCTTGACATTATGAAAATTGGTAACCAAGAAAATGCAGAATTGATAGCTTGGACAAATGATCTGATATTTTGATCGAAAACTTCACTACCAATAACCCATGGACCAGCAGACCAGGCTAAAATGAATGAGGCAATCCAAATGTACATGAACACAATTGCAGCAGTTCCTCCAGGACCAGCCTCGACACCTGCTTTTGTTGGATCATTTAATTTCAAGTAAGCACCGATGTACCAGAAACAAAGGGAACAGATTGTAGATGTGGTCAAAAATGCTCCTCTTCTTCCAAAAGTATCAACCACAAACAAAATATAAGCAGTACTGGCAACGAATTTAACCACTCCAAACATACCTGTAGAGAATAATGAAGCATTAGTACCCTTGACACCTAAACTCTTGAAAATAATTGGAGAGTAGTAGTTAATGGATTGAATACCCATAAAATTCTGTAAAAGCATTAAACCACAAGTAATAGATAATCTGAAAAGAATCTTTCTATCGTGGATGAATACCTGCTTTGCTGGATCCCATAAACCTAAGCCTACTTTCCTTCTTTGTGTATCAACAGATTCCTTAACTTGGTTGACTTCATAGACCAAATATTCGTGATCTTCTGGTAAGTTTCTAAACCACTTCAAGTTGTCAATAGCCTTGTCATATTTACCTGTTTGTAATAACCATCTTGGGGATTCTTTCATGAATAAACTTCCAAAGAAAAATAATGCTGATGGGATTAATTGAACAGCAAATGGAATAATCCATTGCTTGTTAGATTCAGGAATATGAGAATCAATACCATAATTAATCCAGAACCCAGTCAAATCACCAATTCTCCACCCAATTTCATAGATAGCAACAACTTGACCTCTAATAGCAGGTGGGGCAATCTCACTAAGATACACAGTAGTTAAATTTGTAGAAAATCCCACAGCTAAGCCGGCTAACACTCTTCCGGCGTAAATTGGGCCCAAGGTGTGAGTGTTTGCAGATATCAACATAATACCGGAACCAAGAGTAATAGTGAATGCAGCAATAAGTAAAGAGATTCTTCTTCCAAAATAATATGAAAATGGATATGAAATCAAAGAACCAAAGAAACATCCGGCGTGGAAGACCGACACGATATTTGAAATTATGAAATTTGCATGAGCGGTGGTCATCTGGTCAAGTCCGAAGGCCTTTTGGAACGAAGGCAAAGCAACAGTACCTCCAATAAAACCACCATCATAACCAATAATAATTGCAGCAGCCGATGCCATCAAGGCAGTACCGTAGATTCTCCAGTTGTAGACACCTGCAGGGGTTGGTCTTTCTTCGATTTTTTCGAACATTTTCTTCAACGTTATCACGTCTTTGAATTGCTCACCAAATGATTTCTTCTCTTGACCATATTTATCCACTGGTGACAGCATAGAAGATATAGAGTTTTCATCTGGCTTCACAGAAGTAGTTGCACTATCAACGTCGTTCTTCATAGTATCCTAATATATTAAGTTTTGCTTTGTTGTGCTATATGTTGTAAATAGAAAGGCTTTAGCAAACTCCGAAAGATTTAAATTTCTATAATGAAGAAAGTAAAAAAATATCTTGAATGATTTGAAACTTTATCGGAAAGATTTCTTTGTTTTTATATAGTTTATAACTTGGCAGGTCTACCCCACATATTTTAATTTACGATGGGCTTCGACGCTTTAATTTAATTTGTAAATCCAGCCTTAATTAAAGAGGTGACGAGTAGTATAGGCGCCCCACAGGAGAAGAAAAAGTCAGACATTAAAGAAAAAAGCAAGACTCGAACCCCACACTTTCTCGTGGGGGATAGATTTTCAAATCTTTAATTTCATCCCATTTACTAAAATTATTGTGTTGTAAAAGTTTTTGAAGATTTCAAACGTTCAGGGGGGTCACACTTAAGTAAAAATTGTAGATCACCGATAATTTTTCGGGGTGCCCCCCACGCGTGGGGGATACCCCCACGCTGAGATTATGAACCAACATCTACTCAAGTTCGATCTTGATGTCATAAGACACAATAGATGGATCTAAAAGCTTAGATTTATTATTTGGAAACAAAGTGGGGATAAATATAGACCAGATGCCAATACTTTCTAATCGCCAGCGATTAAGGTTATAAAATGGAAATATTGGGCTAAAACCTTGGGGGATTGTATGGTCAAGATGTGTAATATGGTTGTTATGGAGTGGCTGCGAAAAAATCAACATTCTCGATATGGCTCATTTTGTTGTTGCAGAGAAAACTGATGTGTTACGCATGAGGTACTCTTCAGGATCAGCAATTAGTCTTTTCGGATCCGAAATTACTAGGTGGATAATTGAAAGGTGGTAAGATTGCGCCATTAATATTGACACTTCTCATATTCCATGTCTACTAAGTTTCTCTGAAATCATATTTCTAATCATAAATATATAATTGCTCTGGAAAGTGTTAGAACAGTAAAAATTCAGAAAACTACTTTGAAGAGTTGAATAAAAAATCACGAATATATAATATCTCTAAGCTAGGATAGTTCACTTTCGTAGGCAAAGGCGTCTGGTAAATGTAATCCCTCTAAATCAGCTCCACCCGCACTACTTACACTAGACATAGTTGCAAGACTATTGCTACTATTTATTCTAATGGAAATAGTTGAGTTAGATTTGGAAGAAAACAAGGATCTTGATACCGGAATGGAACCAAATCTCGGTGAATTTGGGTCTGTTACAGTGTCATTACCTTCGTCATTGGCTCCACTTGAATTGCTGTTTGTAATAGTACCATCACTATTGGAATTCACTTGGGACCCTAGTATGCCATTTACACTGAAGTTATCAGAAGTATCGACTCTCATGCCGCCTTCTTCTTCATCTCCTTCTCCAATTGGTTGCAAAACAAAGTAAGATCCATATTTATTCAAAGCTCTGCTTTCTGCATTCCAATCATTCCAAGGGAAAGGTCTCTCAATTGTTTTATAATTCATCTTCTTTTTCTTGGTAAGCTTTCTAACAGCATTGTGAGCGGAAATGTGTGAAGCATTAGTGTTAGTCAAAGAATTGGAAATTCTTAAGAGAGAACTAGTACTATTGTTTAAATACTTAGTCTCTTCTGCCCTAGCATCGTTGTTTGAAAACAAGCTTTTAACAATCGGTCTCGTATTTTGAGGAGTATCATTGCAAAAAGAGCAGGGACAATAGTAATAGTGTTCGCCAAATCGTTGATAGAATAAGGTGCCAGTTGTTTGGAAAGATGTCGATAAAGTATCTTCATCAATCTTATCATCATGCCCGATCACAAACTTTCTAGGAGTGACCGACCTAGAGTATTGAATATAGTAAATGGGACTCAATTGATGAGTATGCCAAATAAGGTCAATATCCAAAGTAGGCACAAGCATTGTATTCAAATAATTTTCACTCATTAGCTTAAAGAATTTCACATATCTTGTAATACTTTCATCGGCCGATTGTTCTAGATAGACTTTTGAATTTAATAAATCAAAGGAATTCATTTTCATAATAAATCTCTCTTGCCTAACTGTCAAAGACACCAAGTCTTCAGAAATCTGTACACACTTGGCTTTGGTTTTAGGTATAGTTAAATGTAACAAATTCATTTGCTCATACAGCTTCAAAATTCTGAGTGTATTCGGAATAGTAGATATATTCAACAAAAATGAAACGTTATCGATAAAATCAGACCAGCTGGATGCCGATTCCAAATAACTAATGATAAGATAGGATGAGCTTTTAAAGAAAGAGTCTAACTCAACAATACCAGATGAAGGTTGCTTATTTAATAATCTTGATTCAGTTCGAACAATATTTGGTAAATACTTAGTACCAAGTTGAGCACTGCTTTCTAAATCAGCATGAACTTGTCTCATTCTTAAAGAATCATGGTCAATATCAACGGTATGATTTATACACATGCATCTACCGTTAGCTACCGATTTAAAACCTGGGTCAGCAAAACCTTGATTAGAATAAGTAGTAAAAGGAACACCATGAGCCAAAAGCTGATCACAAATTGGACAGATGATTGATAATTTCATCTTAAGGTCAAAACCGTAATCAAATTCCATGGCAAGCCCGAAGTCCCTAGTGAAATCGTGAAATTCTTTAACAGAGTCACCCAGAGGTTGATAAATGAAAGTATTCTCATCAATAAGCTCAGCAATTTGATGAAGTGGGAAGGGACATAAAGTAAATTCCAAGAAATTATTCCTAACACCATTATCATAGAAAGCCTTTGGGTTTAAAGTAAATGAATGCCAAACCATCAAAATATCAAGTGGAGGTAATACACTATTGATGTATTCAGAAATAAGTTTGCAATTAGGGTCGTTCATGTAAATTGTCAATTGTTCGGTTTCATCTACGAATGGGTAATCCTTTTTAAACTTATATCTTAAGGCAGACATATACACGATAAACCTTCTTGCTGCATTTGAGAGGTAGACTTGCCAAAATTTAATCTGCTTAGCAGTGAAATCTATGAAGCTACCATTTTCGTCGATATCACCAGGTTTACCAAGAATTTTAATTTTCAAAAGCTGAAACGCTTTAAGAATTTTAAGGTGGGCTATCACTTCTTCATTTGTAGGGATGTGTTGGTTTACGCTATCGCTACCTGGAAGTAAAGATCGATTGTGCTTAAGAGACGCAAACTTATCAAAAGTTGCGCTATCTAATATACCTTGGAATTGTTTCTTCGGCAGAGGGTTGATCATATATTAAGGAACGGAGATATGGATGTTATAAAATTTCAGCAAAAGTGAATTTGTCTTTCGAAGTGAATGTTGTTCAAACTACAAAACAATATGCTTTATTGAAATTACAAGAAAGGTGTTGTTTGAGAAGAAAGGAAATTCCATGGTTATATATACTAGTTTAGTTGATGTTATTCTATCATTATCACATCACCTACTGGGTCATCTATCCACCATCTACCCACCATTCCATGCAACGGAAACTCTAAATTTGCAAAACTGTGTTATCGGCTTAGCGTAGATCTAATGGTAACTGAATTTCCATGATACTGCCGCGCCGTCTGTCATGTTCCACACAGGAGTAAACCTTAAAAGCTCGGTTGTTAAAGGGAAGTAATCGCGAAAATACGAATTCTTCCAAATTGCGGTGACCTTTTTACAAGCGACAGAATGAAAAATAAAGATGTAACATTGCGTCATGAGTCACTTGAACCTAGTGAAAACTGTTATTTCCGAGATATCAAAGCGCTTGGATCTAACGTCTTTATCTATTCCTTTTGTAGAACACTTAGCACGTTAGGCCTAACGCTCGTTTGAAAAACGAATTAATTTAGACTGTGCCATTAAGTAAGTTGATTGTAGACAATTGTGTATTGAAAGATGTCAATGTAGATAGTCGTAGACGAAAATAAATGAAGACTAGAAGACTGGAAGACTGAACAAGTTATTGGAATTCTCACTGGTTCATTCGTAGCCTAGACCTTTATTACCAGTCAAGAATGACTTCCATTTTGGAAGCTTTCAATTGGTATGTGTGAGAACATGAGTACCATCATCTATGCATTAACTTAATCCTTCTTACACGTGGGGAAGGCATATATGGAATGATCATCAAAAGCGTACACATACCAAACCGTGTTACATGTTTTCACGTCTCTTGCATATCCATAATGCAAAAGAATCCCATAAAACATAATCATGTGCTGTAACTAGGTTGTATCCCAATGGAAGGTAATTCCGACTCCTGCTGTTAGGAATGGTGGAATCATCTAAAAAGTGGAATCATCAAAAAAGTGTAATCTGCGAAAATTCCCAGTGTGGAAATACTTGAGATATGACATCATAGTTTAGTCTCTTTATCTGTCAACTTTGAATAATGCCCCATCACTGCTAGTGAAGGTGAAAAATTTATAGGTTTATGGATACCATATCAAAGCCATCAAGCTCAGCGACCATATACTCCAGAATTGAGCTCAACCAAGATCAATTGATACCAATTGATACGATAGTTCAGTGCGATTGTCACCCAAATGATCGAAAAAGAGTGTTGCGAATTTGCTACTCGGCTTAGCAAAATCTAAAAAAAAAAAAAAAAAAAAAAAAAAAATCCAAACTCGGCTGTGAAACTCCAGTAGTCCCATAAAAAATACTCTTAAAAAAAGATGATCTACGCTATTTCATTATGGTACATTCCTAAAAAATAACTATTTACGAAGGTCAGTGTTAAAAATGTAACCTTGAACTGATTTCACAACTCAATGTACTGAGGACGCTGCAAACACTTATCCCCACGTTTCCACATTTAATTTACATGTTGAGGGAAGAAAAAGTCCAAAGTGGAATTATTATTGTGTCATATTTAGCTATTAAACGTTTTTATGTATTTATTACTAGATTAAGATAGGCATCGCTGACTGTCGCTTATACATTGGCTCCAGGTCTCTCCGAATAATCTACCTTAACGTTGAATCCAGGTCTCTCCGAATACTCAACCTTAACATTGACTCCTGGTCTTCCCGAGTAATCTTCCTTAAACTATCTTCCATTGGGTAGTTAGCTGGTATTGACAACTGAAATGAATAAAGTCAAAATATATTTTTTCGAACTAGCCTTTTGAGTTTCGAATAAAGCGTAAAAGTGGTAAAAAGGTCAAAATATAGAACTACTGGGAGTGGTTTATCCTTCTCAATGCGGAAGGGGGTTAACTAATCATGACTTGTATGCCAAATATTCTGCCGTTGTTCGGATAGAAGGCGAACTATTATTACTATCATTCATTTTGGATCCATTTTTCTTTTTGTCCTTCGATGACGATTTCAACTTACTGAAAAATGAAGATTTAGATTTCATCGTGCTAGCAACTGAATATGTTTCTGAATTGTGTGTATCTTTCTTGGAGAGGCTGGTCATTTTTTATTGGGATTTATTTTACTATTAGAGGTTTTCTAATATTGTAGTTATATGTGTTATTTATAACTTAAGTGGTTCAGATTACTGGAAGATTTCCCAGCAATTTATAGCATACACATTATCTTGGTTATTAAGAATGATTTTACAGTATAGTGACTCATGAGGATGGTAAATGGCAAATGGCTAACATTTGAGGGCAAATACCCTTCACTATTAGTAATCGGGGGCCATTTAAACTATTTACGAGATCACAGTGAGGCGCCCGCACGGCTGCACAAGAGTAGTACTCACCACTTAGCCCTATGAGTCCTAGGTAAGAAAGGAAACACAACTGACTAATAAAGAATTGCCATAATTTATTTTCTTTCGTCATATTAGCATGCACACTTGCAACACACACCTGCTATACACACTGGGGTGAACATCTAGCGTAGTATTGTACATTAGTAGTACTGTTTTTACTATTTTCTCAAAGTTAATACTCTTTAAATATTTTCTTGAGTGAGTCATTATAACACTTTGCAACCTTTTCTCCAGCTTCTTTCACTATTTTTTTTTTTTTTTTATTAAATCACATCACATATATGCATCATAGGGCTGGAACAGTTCTTTCTTCACTTCTGCTGTCAGAGGCGTATGGCCAATTGTAGACATGGCTAGCCCTCAACGTCTAATCAAAATTTATACTATATCGTTCCTAAAAGACTCATTTCCAATTGACCACTGAGTGCATTGTATTTGCATTATATTATCTTGATTGTCGATTGGATACCCCTACAAGTAAATTGCAGGGGAGCCCAAAACTCGGAAACTGTAATACTATATTATGACCATCGATATCTTTGTACATTTACTTGTTAAGCACCAAGAAACATAAAAAAAAATGGGGGCGAGCTGGGAATTGAACCCAGGGCCTCTCGCATGCTTGATCAAATTTAGAAATTAAATTAAACCCAAAGCGAGAATCATACCACTAGACCACACGCCCTATTTTAATTTAAAAAAACTGCCAGAGATATAATATACCCACATTGCAACTTAGAGAACTTGCAGTATGGTTGGAAGATGAGTTCTGATTTACTTTTAGATGGCTACTATCCAAGGAAGGGGGAGTGAAGCCTCATACATTTTGAAGAAATTTGGACAGAGTGTGCATATTTATTTTGATCTCAGCTACTATTATAGCAAGCATCAGTTATCTAGGAACTTGGGGGCTCTATTTCTTAAATAATTCACCAAACATAGGATCAGAGTACCTATAGTATCTCTCCTTTGTCCATCTTCTGAAGTCTTTGCCCCAAATAAGGAGCAAAACAAAACTTCCATTGATAACAAGACTTAGCATGAACATCAACCAAGTAGTCAATTTAACCCCGTCTCTATTCAACCAAGGCTGAATGGCAAATGTAAAACCCATACCAATCATGTTTCTGATAAATAACATTAATACTAACCCTTCACTGGCAACTTCAGGGTAACAATCCACAACGTAAGTCAAGCAGATTCCCCCAGTAGATGCCATTGCAAAGCCCATCAAGAACATTCCAATACCAACCGAGACAAACCAATGTGCTGCATAGGAGGTACCTAAGCCGTAGGCTAAAATACCACAAGCATTGAAAGTGGTTGGGACTATCATAGCCCATAATCTGAATTCTGGTTCTAAAACACCATTATTTCTTTCAGAAAGCTTAATTGTCAACCAATCGACAAAATTTCCACCATAAAACATACCAAATATGGAGCCAATAAAGGCACTTAAGTTTGTTAAACCAACTTCTTGAGTGGACATATGGTAGGGAGCAGCGGTATACAATTCAGACAGGGTTGTTTGGATAAGAGATAACCACATCATTTGTGAACCATATACTAAACCTCCCCAAACAATTGCTGGAAATGAAATCAAAAAGAATGGCCTGTACCAAATGGTTAACCAAGATCTAGGGTCGCTATATTCAGTTTCAATCAATCTCATTCTCTGCCAGTATGTTCTTTTGGGAATACTTAAATCTAAAGATTGGCCATCATCACTTTCAGCACCACCTTCAGTGACAACAGCTTCAGTTTTGTCATCAGCAGCTGGATTAAGCCCTTTTCCTGTGTTGGAGGCTATAGTTTCATGACTTTTAATTTGGTACAAGATATTCTCTTCTAAATTGAAACTATCGGTTCCTATTCTTGAAAATGTTGTATCTTCCATGTAGAAAATTTGTATAACTAACATAGCCCCCAAAATAATTATTTGGAAGTATAAACACCATCTCCAAGACATGTTTTCAATGATATATCCTGCTGCAACTGGCCCTAAATCAGAACCAGCATACAAGGCGAAAATAAAAAACGACAAGTAGCGAGCTCTTTCATGTTGGAAGAAAACATCAGTGGTCGAAATTTCAACCAAGGAATCTACTGGTGCTGCTGCAAACCCACCGATAAGGTTAAGTACATACAACAAACCAATAGAATTTGCCTGGGAACCACATATATTCGATATAATTCCCAATACTGTACAAAGCAAGTATACAAATCTTCTTCCTAATTTTAAAGCAGTGGGCTGCAAAAACAAACATCCCAAACCTAAGAAAAGGAAACAGACTGCAGCAGTGTTGTTTAAGGCACTATACGTGACACCTAACTTCTCCACCCATACATCGTAAGCGGGGCCAGTCCATCCAACAGTAACTAATTATTTTGTTAGTAAATATTACAATGAAAATTCCTTCGTATTTGGAAGTTGCAACCTAGAGTTGCCTATAATAGGAAGTTTCCGCGCACCCGCGCTTCATGATGATGATCCTGTCAGTGATGAGGCATGCGGAATGATAAACGGAACAGTACGTCAAATTCCGATTATCACAAGACTTCCGCCCATTGACATAAAGAGAAGTAGTTTTTGTTCAATACTTACCTGCCATCATAAAAGCCCAAAACCAAAGAAACGCAAACTGGCTATTTTTCTTAGTCTGGGACCATCTTAAAGGATCGTTTGGGTTGGACGAAGGTTGTGGAACTAAAATGATGTTATGCTTTGAATTTGGATCCTTTTGGACATTAAGTATTCCTTCTAAATCAACCAAATGAATAGTTCCTGGTACAATTTCTTGGTTCCCTGATAATTCTTCGCTTCCGGCTATATTCTCTTTTGTGCTCATCATGCTCTTAGCCTATTTTTCTTGGCTCAATTGTATTTACTTGCCAGTCCTGTAAGTTCTACAAAGGCAGGCTTATCTAATATTCGACATAATCGTTGATTAGTGCTCAATCAGTTGTATTTAAACTTCTCTCTCTGTCAAAAACTTCAATTATTGTATGGGGTGCCATCTCTTTGTTTTGTAGTGTAGATAAGATTTTCTGGTTCCACTTTCCCAATTGAGATGGATATCTATAAAGGAATTCCGAGAAACATGCAACTTTCAAGCAAGATAGTGGAGATAACAAGAGTGAAACAAAGAGAAAAACTACCATCCAATGACTTTCCGTAGTTAGCAACGGTGACACATTTACATATAGTTCTGTGCAGTTTAGGCAAGAGAACCGATATCCCATATTAGTAAGAAGATAAGATGATAAGACTGCAACAAATAAAGATACTTGTGATGAGTTTCGCCAATTTACGGAGTTTATAATATTCTATATGCTATTATGTGTCTCTAGTTTATACACTTTTGGTACTCTCAAGTACGTCCTCTACCTCCATTTGAACTTCCTGTAAAGCTCTGTGCTCTGATCTGACCCCAAAATACCAAATCAATCCATTGAGAACTGATGTTATTGCTACTGTCGTGCTTAAAAATAGAATAATGAGAGAGAATATTGGGTTCAACGCAGTGGCCCAAGGCATGACAAAGTGGAACAACACCAACGTAAACATTCCTAAAAAGAAATGGTATTTTCTCCAAGTAACTTGCTTAGGTATTGTAAATCTTTGATATTCTCTCAACTCTAATAATAATTCTTTGTATACATTGATCTTGTCCGTTAAGTTTGGAGATGAAATTGAGGGAGTGTTGTCCTTAGAACTTGGCTTGACTAAGAATTCTGCACTATAACCAAAATGATCTGAATACGAACAACTTAATGGAGGTGGTAACTTCTCAGTGAAAACTACTTTTGCTTTAGTTGTCACCAAATAAGATGGATCAATAAATGCATAATCGAGTCTACATGCCTCATGTGGCTTCTTAAACAGCCTCCAAGTGTTCAATCTGGAATCGCAGGTTACACCACTAATCTCCACTTGATCAACCGGTGACAAGAGCCCGATATCATCAACTGGGTTGGTTTTTGATATTAATGGAGTTCTCGAATTCGGCGAAGTTATGATGTCTGCACCTGAAGCCGATTCCGGATTTACAGGCTCACTATCTAACTTATGTTGCACCCACAGATCAACTAGTCCTCCTTCTACTGTAAATAACTTATACGGCAAGGATCCTGGCTTGGAATTCAAATCACCCACTTGGATCACAGCGTATCCTGCTCTTTTCAAAAAGTTCACAAGCTTAGCAAAATCCCACGCTTGGCAAGCTCTATGACAAGAGTAAGCTGCATCACCAGTATGGTTTCCATATGGAGCATGCATATGAGAGTTCAAGATAGCAATGGGTATGAAACCATTAACATGTGGATTATTTAACACAGTGACCGATATACTTTTACCAACATACCAATCACCTCTGAAAAATGCAGATGATCTACCATTAATTGGGAATCTGTACAAAAATGTAGATTCTATCGGGATTTTCGATAAAATGGCCAATCCTGGTCCTGATATAATCCCTGACTTGAAAATTCTTCTATAAGGGTACTCTTCCTTACATAAATCGCTTATAAAAGACCAATCCTCTTCGCACCAAATCTCCTGTAGAGCGACTATATCGTAGCTCTCATCATCGTTAGTAGGGTGTGCTAATCTTTCTGCTATAGCTTGAAGTCTCTCTTTTCTAAGAGATGAGATGTATTTCAAGCCCCAACAATTGAAAGTCAAGAGCTTAACTTTTTGCGACATCTAAGAGGTAATGTACTTAATTAAGAAGAACAACTAAAGCAAAAACAAAAGCAGAAAAGCAAAAAAGAAGTTTTAATTCAATAAAATTTCTTCCAGAGAGTATGTTCCAAATCGTGTATGTGAACTAATATAGGAACACAAGGAATTCTCTACGCAACAATTATCTCACTTACACCAGCGTGTATCTCAGAAATTTCTCCTTTTTATGGTTTATTTGCTATGAATATCTCAGTTGAATCACCTAGTTCCAATTTACTCTCCACTTTTTCAATTTATATAAAAAGTGCCTATTTTTTCAAGTTCGTTCCACCCTATTGCCATCCAAGCTAAACCTTCCATACTGAGAAATTTCACCAGACCTCGCCAAATTAATTTAGTGAGAAAAAGAAAAATATAAACAACACGTAAAAAATCATAACATCTTCGCAAACGAACTGAAGAGGGAGCCAATTGACAATAGTACACTTTTTTCGTCAGATTGGAATAAAGGATAGAAAAATGACTGCCTTTGATGACTTTGTTGCCATCAAGAATGAGATGGAAGTGTTCACAGAACTTTTAGACTCTAAAATATCGGCTAAGAGGTCAGATATAATACAGTCGAAGCAGCAATGCGAAATAAATCTCAATAATTTACTAAACCAACAATCGAACTTGAAGAACGAGATCAAGAATTTGAATTTGAAAGTGGCGAAGATCAAGGACTCAATCAAGAAATCGTTGGAAAACTTACAATTTCAACAACTCAAAGTTGACGACTTGAAGAGCAAACAAACTGATCTCTTAGAGAAACGAGATTTACTACAGGAAGAACAAGATTCGCTTTCTGCGCAAATTAAAGAGTTAACAGAAAAGCTAAACAAAACACAAGAAGACTTAAACTTACAGCAACTGATAGATTATCCTGAGTTGATCAAGTATGAACTGTATTTGGGCTTGAGAATTGATGTAGTGACTGTAGATTTATTGAGGTTTATATTCAATAATGTTGTCTCAGACGATCTAGATAAGGAAGTGTGGTGTGAACTTTCTGTTGGCGGTGAAAACTACAAATTAGGAGAGACATTCCCAAAGTTACCCCTGGAAACTATGCAATTGATCGAGAATGATTTCAATGGGCATAAAGAGTTTGTAAAGTTTTTGAAAACCATAAGGATGACATTAAAGGAAGAATTAGAATCGTAAATTTTACAAGGCCATAATATATACTATGAAATTTTTTGTTAAATCTCAGAGTGAAGCTGATGTCCAAGGCACCAAATTTCTGAATAAGCTAGACTTGCTCTATTAAAGATGCTAAGGGACTCCAAGATCGATTTTATTCACATGCACCCAGCAAAGAACCAGAATCAACCAACAGCACAAAGCACCGAGTGACGAAGTTTCCTTCGGACTAGGGCATTCTGGTACTTTGACTAACTATTGACAATATTCCGCAAGTCAGGAAGCTAATGACATCAAGTACAGAATGTATAGAGACAGACTTTCTTATTTGAAATTTAGTGAAGGTTTAGGAACATGAGCTAGAGTCCAGCTATTCTCTTATCTAAAACACCGTGAATAGGGCCGTTGCGCAACGCAGCTTATTTGTAAAAAACCACCAGTCGAAAGCTTGTCAAACTTATTACAAGGCATTAATTTCTTCCACAAATAGGATATTTGAGTTCGAACATACTGCTAAAGTTAGCCTACTATATCATATTATTACTTTACTGAGGGAATAGTTTCATTCCCTATACTTTAGTACCAGTATTTATGCTAATATATGCTATTCACTCCATTGAACATTCTCGAATACAATTATTTCTTTAATCTTCTGCAAACACTAGCTCTACATAAACCCACGGTTATTAACGACATAAACCAAGTAGATACCCACTTTAATCCAAGAACCAGAGTCATCAACCTAGCCAATATTTGCAATCGAAGTTCATTGGAAAGCTCACTTCCAACCAGTGGTTTCGTGGTCTAGTTGGTTATGGCATCTGCTTAACACGCAGAACGTCCCCAGTTCGATCCTGGGCGAAATCATATAGGTTCTTCATTTTTTTTGCTTCCTTTCCTATTGAAGGGGTGTTTTACATTATTTCACCTTCATGGCTACATCTTACTATACCGTATAAGTTCGTTTTCAATGTTACTGATTTGAATATAAATATGCTACCTATTACTTCTTAAATAACTCGATGCGCACCTTTGAGTATCGAGAATATGCACTGTTCACAAGATTGGACACCTTCCTTATTGATTTCAGCTATGATTTGCTTGTTTTTTTCAACGTTTTTTAGTAATGCTTGCATTGCCCACTGTGTCTTCACATTACGGTTTGGAATTTCTCTGAAAACAATAAAATAAACCTGGCTAAGCAATTCGATGTTAGATAGGAATTGCGGAACGTCGTCTTTATCAAATTTCAAATTCGATTCCAACTCTATCAAGTATTTTGCCGTTATCTTGCTTTGAAAAATGTGTTTAAGCGTTTCAAAGTTTTCACTTGCCAAGTCCGTCGTTAAGTATTGAGTCCACTTTTCATCGACATATTCAAATAAAATGTGGTTTAATTCTTGGTTTATGTATTCATTCTGAGCGCATAGAGTGTGCGCCCGGTCCAACTTCTGTAGGTATGTTTCGTCTTCGACTGGTTGAGTGGGTATAAGATCGAGAACCACATAGCCAGGGAATCTCTTAGATATAAGTTTTTGCACCTGGAGATACCAGGATGGGAATGAAGCTTCGTTACTTAAAAAGGCTGGAAAGGAGTATCTATTCTGCGCGGACTTCGAAGAAGAAGCTATCTTTCTGCGTTTGTTCTCACATTTGTTGCACAATGGAGAATTTTCATCAATGGATGAAGTTCTTGATAGGGGTGGCGTTTTTATATTTCCAGTTGTTGATATATTGAGTACATCCAAAAAGGATGCCGATCTCTTTTTGGTTTGGAATGGGTGTATAGTGGGACCGGTGATGGATGACAAACACATCGGAGATAACTGTGAAAGGGTATTATTGCGTTGGAGTACTTGTGGCATAGCTTTGTAGATTTTTTAAGAGTAAACTAACTAGAAGCTAACTAATCTTGTATCAACCTTAAGTAAATAAATTAGCAAGGTCGAGAGTAAGTCTAATCACCTCATTTATATATCAGCGCCTCTCATGACTCTCCTTGACAGTATTAAAATAAATGGTTGCGAAGTGAGTATGCAATGCGTCATCAAAATTTATTCCATGCATAATTTCCGCACTACTTCCCACTAAAAATAATAGGGCCAAGCAGCTGAGATCTACGGAAAATTAAAAATAACGTGATGGGGAAGCTTACGAATAAATTACTAATCCGATCTTTAAGATTTTACAATTGAGTCGGGCCGAAAAACATGTCTATCTAGATAATAGAGAACATTGCCACAAATGTGCACTACTACGGAGAGGCAGAACGCGACGACAAATAGCAATATACGACTTCGAATTCGTATAAACGGCTTTACATGCGGGTTGACCAACGCACATACATTTCCACCTAAATGCGAAAAAGGTCCAGCAATCACCGTTGGAGTCATATGCATTTCTACTTCTCGTAAATATAAAAGCAAGTGTGGATCCGCTCGTCTTCTTCCTTCAACAGAGCAAGGCAATTTTTTGATACTTATACAATTGAGAGCACTATTAAAGAAATAATGTCAGACCCTACTAAGAGAATCATTTCTCATATGAACAAAGATCACCAATTATCTTTGATCGACTATGTTGTAGTTTACGGAAATGAAAAGGAAAAGTCATTTGATCATTCTTCGGTTAACATTACAGATGTCACTGACAAGTACTTGACTTTGGAGTATGTAGCTTTTGACGAAATTAGCCAAAAGAAAATTCTTACTATTGAGTGGGAAATTGCTCAAGAAGATGAAAATGTGACTGTCAGTACACTTAAAGATGTGAAGGGCAAGTTGATTGCTATGGCCAAGTATTCTGCCAAAAAGCAAGGCTATTCGCATACCCAAATCAAGACAGTCTCATACCCTACTGTGACCATTCTTGAATACCCTATCGTGTTGGCGTATGCACTCGCATCTTACGATTCGGATTTGCTCAGGTCACTCTTTACAAGAGATCCTGTTGTTCAGAAGGTTTCCCAGTATCTCCCAAGTTCTGTGCTTTCCTTTTTGAGTTCAGCCTTTGCTACTACAAGGTTGTCAAGGATAATTTTGGCAATTATAGTTTCAATTCATGTCGCTGAACTTTTCTTTGTATTGCTCCCATTGTTAAGAAAGTATAGAGTTCCAACTAAGCAAAGCTTGCAATGGATCGTTATGCAATTGTTTGAAGGATTTCCAGCGTTTCTTAGATTTAAGGCTTTAGAACCAAAGGACTAGGTTCCCATTGCCGAGATAGTAGATATTTAATAAAGTTTATACATAAATATATTTAAATACATAGGAAAATAATACAATATTACTAGCATATAGTCTAAGCAAAATTTATAATAGCCAACGTATAAATGTTATAACTTAGCTTTTTCACTCAAGTGTCCAAGCTTCACAATTCCTTCTTGAATAACACTGGCAATATGCTTACCCTTACTGTCAAAGAATTCTCCCTCAATTAAAGCTCTATCGTTTGAAAATCTAACGGCATTGAAACTGAAACTCATCCATTCAGTGGGATCGAAATCAGAGTCATGGAAATAAATAATGTGATCCAACGAAACTGAAAAATAAAATGCCATCTGGCCATGGTCCAAGTTGGGGATCCTCAACACTCTTGCAATTCTTGTCAAGAAGATCGAATCTGAAATAAAAGCGAGACCAGTATATCTAAATTCGTCTAAATCTGCGGCCCTCAAATCAGGTTTGTTTTGATTACCCCATTTTACAAAATAAGAAAGCTGCCTTTCGGTTGCTGGAGTGTTCTCCTCATCCTTACGAGTTAACTCCAAATCTGTCATTTCTGGAGGTAACTTATGTGAAATATGTCTATTATCAACTCTAGGATTAATCTTAATTTCATCTGGCGAATATTTACCTAGCCATTTTGGGTATGGTCTTCCAAAATGAACAGGTTTTGACACTGGAAGAATATCGTCATCTTCATCCGCTTCTCCTGAAGAAACTTTCTTCTTGAATTCTTCGTATGCAGATTGCTGTTGTTTCATAGAATTTTTGGTAGTAAGCGAAATTTGTGCTACATACTTCACTTCACCATCTTGAAGTGCTTTGACAATTCGGTTGCAGAACGATTTCCCATCGCTCAATCTCTCCACTTCCCAAAAGAAATCTCTATCAGGTAACCCTGCTTTCACAAAATAGGAGTGTAAAGAATGTGGCACGAATCCTTTTGGTACTGTTCTAATGGCTACAAGTACAGCCTGTCCAGCTAAATTTCCACCGTAAACACCTCTCACTGAAGGATGAGGCTTGGTAAGAAAGTGCTTACTCTTGAAAGAGTTTTCAGAAATCTTCACAAGCTCAAATGGTTCCTGGAGTTCATTCATGATGTTTCGAAGATAAAAGATAATAACTGATAATAACTAATAATAATCATAAAACCGTGCTTTCTATTCTTACTACCGGTTACATAGCACATTATATAGTTTAGTTTTTCCATATCGGTGGGTTCGGCATATATTTTACCCCAGATTTCCAGCTATGTTCTTTAGCCAACCTGAGGGGAAAAGAATGCGCACTCACTTAAAGAAAGGACCCATGCCTCGGATCTTGCAAAGTCACAGCTACTATAATTAAAGTTGAGCATAATGGCTGGAAGCTGCATATTACCGTTGAAATCACAGCTGAATCTGGAACTTTCATCGTTAATCGGATGAGAGCAAAAATGAAAGAGGAGAATGAGGGGCTATCTATGCCTACTAAAGGGTGCTGCACACATCGTTAATTAAACAACAGGCTGAGCGATACAGAGGTATCCACAGTGTGCTCAACCACAAGTGTGGGCCACGGTAAGGAAAAAGCAACAGAAAACAGGCAGCCTGTCCGAGTGGTTAAGGAGAAAGATTAGAAATCTTTTGGGCTTTGCCCGCGCAGGTTCGAATCCTGCGGCTGTCGCCATTTTCTTCCTTTTTTTTTTTTACTAGAGCGATGCAAAAGTGCTGCAGAACGATGTTTTGCAACTTTGACCTATACTGGTACATTAAGTAGCAGCAGAACAAGGTTATTTGTCTGATTTTACATAAGAGGGTTCATTTGGCCGAGCCGCCCGAGAAGATGAAAGCCACTTCCGAAAGATTATTCTGAAATACTGAAATATAATGCATTTGTTAACAGTTAGCTTGTTCTTCACAAACACCCAAACATAAAGAAGAGATAAGCTATGGCTGGATTACTGGTCCTCTGAATTGATGCTTTCCACTCGAATAAAAAGTTCACAGCCAAAGTTCTGCCTCAAAGATAGTTATTTATTCTGAAGATAGTTCTTTAAATACAGAGAAGCTATACCAATGAGGCCCGTAACAATGCACATATTCTTCACGATCACGAACAACTTTGAGTGCACAATAGAAAACTTGGAAAAGGTGGAATATATTATGATCCCAAGAGCCAAGAACGTGAGGAATTTGAAGTTAGTTGCGACCATTGTAATCCAAGTTCCGAATTCCATGAAATTTCCGACAAGTGTTTCGTATCCATGATTAACGAGATCTACTGAACTCTGAAATAGGTTGAAATAAGGTTCAAATTTCTTGGTGACATTTGTAAATAACTCGTCTACAAATTCCACCTTTTCTTGAATTCTGTTTATTTGGGAATCCAACAAATCTAAGTTTTCAAGCACCACCAGCTCCACAAGTTCAATACTGTTGGATACTTCAAATACAATCTTTTCTGAAATAATCGATAAAGAGTCTGCGAAATTATTCTGAAGAATATGGTGCTGAGCTTCGATTAAATCCGCAGAACCTGCTAGGCGTTCCTCAATGGTATGAGAAAGCCTTTCGTTACGAATTAAAGATTCTTCTAAATGCTTAGATATCTGCAAGCCTTCCTTGGAGCTTAATTCCAAGGACACTAATTTAAAATTGATCATGGAAATAGAGTTTAGGCTATCTTCAACTATATACTGATAGTCACCTTTGAGCCGTTCACGAAATGCTTCCAAATCTTCATACAAATCATTATTGTCCGATTGTATCTTTTTGAAGAACTTAAATAGCTCCAGTGATACATTATCGAGGTACTCCTTGGATTGCACTTGCATAAAATCATTCGTACTCTGGAACTTCGACTCCAAGTCCTTCAAGAAAACCTCGCTAGCGTACTTCTGATGAACTAAAATCTCTGATTTGAAACTTTCGAAAGTGTGGAACAATTCTTCAAACTGGAATTGAAGCCTTTCAGTATTTTCTTCAGTATCACCCATTTGATTCAATAAGTCGGCATATAGCTTCGTTACATCAGCGTACGTATTTAATATCTTGTTCTTTTCGTATGGAATAGATTCTACATAGCAAATTGTGCTCAATTCCCGGTAGTTACCGCTATATGTTGTCCAAAATTGAGGCGATTGTTCAAGCAAACGTAAGCAGAGGCTGTAGTCAGTCTTGCAAGCGTCTGGGTACCGAACACCAGAGGTTTCAAACTCACAAATTGAAAGTTTTATCGCCAGAATCATTTTGAGCTCAGGGTCAACAGAATTTATCCCCAATGCAATACATTGAGGCATGATCTGGAGCAAAGCATCCTGGGCGCAGCTGGATTGGGACAATAGCTGAAACTCGCTGAGAATAACATCATTCAAGTAATTGGCGATAGTAAGCGTAAACAAAAAGTAAAGGAGCAAGAGGTTCATCACAAACTTTCACATATAATTCAAAGGAAAAGAGCAAAACAAAAGCCAGTAGCCGCCCTTCCGCTTTCACCGACAAACAAGCGATAAAAACGCATCCTTAAAGTATCCACTACCGTTTTAAACAACCACCCCTAGGCTTTTTTTGCACCCATTCCATCATTCTGCAACACTCTCGAAACGTCCTGCATATAAAACCAATACCTTCATAATTTTTCACTAATTTTTTTTCACTTTACCTGACTTACCACCATAGGCTGCTGATACAACCACAAGAACAGGCTCTTTCGTCGTATATGATGCCCATAAGTAGATACCATCGCTTGTTGTCATTCTCTCGATGTTATTCTGGGCCGAACTACGTGCTGCTCATTCCAGAAAGTGAGAAGTACTTGTTTGATTTTGAAAAGTTATCTCCTGAAGAGATAGAGGCAAGTATCCCCAAGAGGCCCACCACCCACGAGAACATTCGTAAGCACTACTATAATATCCCAGAACCAAGCTCCATCGCCGACTTAATACTCCAGCCAGAGTTTCATGATACCTTCATAACATCGTTGGCAGCTAAGAGGCCGTTCTCTGGAGACAAAGCATTGAAGTTGGTATCCAATACTCAGTATACTACAGTGCAGCAGCCAGAGGCCACCGCCTACCTCCGTTTCGAGAAGAAGACGTTCCACTGGATACAAGACTTCAATAAGTCGATCTTTGCCTTGAAAAGTCTTGCGGATGACGAGAAAATACCAACCATAGCGTACTACAATAAATTCATTGAAGAGAAGATTCTCTCAGCTATTGCAAGCACAAGCAGAGACGACGCCAGTGTAAAGTCAATATATGACTCTCTTGATGTCTTCCGCAACCATGAAAAGAAACTAAATGACAGCTTGCATCAGTCTGAATTAACTAATATGGTTACTTTTGACCATCTTCTGTTGCACTTGCTCAGAAATTCAATCCTGTCAAATGCCCACCCAACAGAAGCCCTGGGCGGCCATGTGGTCGACCTTATTGAACTTTTGACGTTCATAGAATCAAATTTAACTCTTTGCTCATACAAAAATGGTATATTACCCATGCTTGAGTTGTTGATCCCTTACTTGCACTCCAATAACGACGATTCGTTGAAACGCGATACCTTTGACAGATTCTACGAAAAGGTGGTGACATTGTTTCCCAAGGCAAAGGCAGACTTGCTGCTAACGAACATGGATAAACTAGCATATATCAGCTTTGAGTCCTCCAACATCAGAAGAGGGTCGAAAATCGTTAAAACGTTAATCAAAAGGCAAAAAGTGGCAACTTCCAAACGTACATACTTATCGTTGCTTCAGTTTTATGTATACGAAAGTAACGAACTTAGCAAAGAGGCCAAAAGAACTTCAATATTGCAGTTTATGTCCGACTACAAACCGTTATTATTCCACTATGGTATAGACGAACTTTCATTTGAATTAATCAAGCCAACCATTTCAACGTATTTTGAATTGGATCATTTGGTGAAATTTATGGAAAGCTCTAATAAGAGTTTGCTTGCCACAGCACAGACTGAAATATTTGAAATCTTACACCAGTTGCAAGGCAACGAACATAAAGAACTGGATATTATAGCCAACTTCCAAGCCTCCCAGCTCTTAAGAAGGTTGGTAGTTGATAATGAAATTACTTTGGACGAAAGCACGAAAGAGCTAATCAAGGTGAAATACCCAAAAGTTAATGAGACATGTACATAATGATAGATAGAATGATATATAATTACACAACATCTAAAGCTTTTTTTTTGAGGTTAGCCCTCACATTTTCTATAAAGTAACCCTATGAATGTCGCTACCCAAATCCATGTCTTCAAGTTCAACCACCTGCTGTTCTTCCCTGTGCGGTTGCTCGTCCATTTGGATATGCAGTTCGTCATTTCGTGGCGTGTGTCGTCTCCACCCATTATGAGAGCTGGTAGATCTTGCTCTGTGACTGTGGTAAGTTTCCTCGTTGTTATCACCTGTGCTGTAGAACCCGTTGGTGTACACATAAAACCCATCGTCACTGTCCGAGTCCTCTAGGTCTATAGTCCTCCGTATTCTCATGTCATCGTTGTATCGTATCTTGGAGTCTTCCCAGTACTTTCTCGACGTGATCGATCTCTTCATAAAGCAAACCATCGACGCAATAAGCGATGTAGCAACAATTGGGTAGAATTGGAGCCAGCCCAAATAACTCAAATGTGGCGTGAAAAGCAATATGTCAGAAAGGAAAGCCAAGAGCGTCAGCATGAAGGAAAGTAGCGCAAGCATAAGCATCAAGTTCAAAATCGGAGTGATGTCTCTCTTCTTCAGTTCCGATGCAGACGTGAGCGAGTTCTTTCTAGCCTTAGAAGGTCTAGCTTCTGGCTCTTGAATGACAATCTGTGTACCATTGTTATTAGAAGGTGGATCATCTTGGTATCCATCACTCGGAGGGTCATTCTCTTCTTCTTGGGGAAGTTTGCTTAGAGCTCGTCCTCTCCCTCGCCCTCCCTTCCTCTTCATCTTAAACTTCCCTATTCTCTTGGTGACCCTTTTCGGTCTAGGTTTAAATTTTTCTATCAACCTTAGCTTAGTTGTATTCTCATACAGGTATATAACCATTAACAAGAGCATGACCAAGAATAAGCAGCCTGAGAAGCAAAACGACACTACATGTACCACAAGCAACTTGGAGATGGTATACCTGGCATTGGAAGGTAACTGTACACCTCCATATTCTTCTTTATATCCTTCTGACATCGCCGTAAAGAAGTTGCTGCCGTTTGAAGGATAGCCTATCTTGGTGTCTGAGCAGATATCCTGAGTTACGTCACATAGTCCAAACACTCCATACTTGTAGTTGTCGTAGTGGGATAGGTAGATGCTGTACTTAATGCCCTTACCAGTTATTGGCACCGATAAAATCGGTAGAAGTTGGACAACCAAACACCCTAGGCATAGCATTGTCATAAACAAGAGGCCCAGATGCATTGTTTGATACTTTTAAGCTCTAAATATGTATAACAAGAAGGAATACTGAACAGAAAGGTCATCTATGACTTATAGTTTGCGCTTGTGCACTCTTGGCTTGTTCCATATTGACACGTTATATGCAGGTCTCGAAGGTCCCCTATGAGGAACCCATTGCATCCCCCGACAAAAGTGCACAATTGGGGCAGAACATGAAAATAAGAACAGTGGGACTGATAAGAGCACTGAAAATAGCTAGGAAGCCACTTTAAAAGACTCCTTAGATCCATTTTCAGCCATATTCATCAGACTTATATTTGCACAGTACAGCCCTTCTTATCTAAGGGACTGCATGTACAGTCAACCAAAGTCCTGCATGTGGAACAAACGCATGACATTTCACCACAATTTTTCACTTCGTTTTGCAGCAAGAGATCAAGCGTGCTGGATTGGGAGCTCTCTTCTTATCTTTGTTGCCTGGTAGCCTTTACCTTTTTGTACAGTTCTCCATTCGTATTTGTATGAGATTGAGCCTGAGAAAATTACTTATCTTAGTTATACTAGCATTGTTTTCCAAGACCATTTTTCGTGCAGCTTCTCGCTATTTCCATACCAAAATGCCAATTGCCTTAGACCATCCATACCACCAAGAACTTCTAGTTGCAACTTTAGCAGTTAAAAGGGCATCGAACTTGACGAAGAAATTGAGCGATTCTATCGTGAACACCCAAAACTCAGGCACCCAGACAAAGGATGATAAGTCCCCAGTCACAATCGGTGACTATGCATCACAAGCAATCATCAACCATGCCATCAAGAAGAGCTTCCCCCTCGACGAAATTGTAGGAGAGGAAGACTCGGAATCCTTGCAAGGTGACTCAGAGGAAGCCAAGAGATTAAGCCTGAAGATTTTAGATATTATAAACGAAGAACAATCCAATAACCCATTAGAAATCTTGGGCAACCTTGAAGACTTGCCATCAGTGTTTGAAGCAATTGATCTTGGAAACTCCAAAGGTGGATCAAAGGGTAGATTCTGGGCACTCGACCCAATAGATGGAACCAAAGGATTCCTCAGAGGTGACCAATTTGCCGTTTGTTTAGCTCTTATTGAAGATGGCAAGGTTGTGTTGGGAGTTATCGGCTGCCCTAACTTGGCAGAGAATATCGAATCCAACGAGGACCAAACTGGAATAAAGGGTGGATTATTTTCTGCTATCAAAGGTGTAGGATCATTCTACACCCCATTGTTTGATACTGAAGACTTCATTCCCTTGAAAGATCAAGAAAAGATTACCATGAAACAGCACTCTTCTCCAGATTCCCTTAAAGTTGTAGAGGGTGTTGAAAAGGGGCATTCATCTCATTCCACCCAATCCCAAATCAAGGAGAAGCTTGGATTCAGCGCTGAGACTGTGGTTAAGCAAACCATCAACTTAGATTCCCAGGTTAAATACTGTGTACTTGCCAAGGGTCAAGCTGATATATATTTGAGATTACCTATTAGTGATTCCTACAGAGAGAAAATTTGGGACCATGCCGCAGGAAACGTCTTAGTGTATGAAAGTGGTGGACTCGTTGGAGATATCTACGGCAATGAACTCAATTTTGGAAATGGAAGATTACTCGAATCTAAGGGTGTCATTGCAGGTAACAAGGCTGTATTCAAATCTGTAATAACCTCAGTGAAAGAAGTACTCAAATTATAATTTAGAAAGACGTCTGAATTACCGTTTTCTAACCCTATACATATATCAATACATACAAATACTCTTTTTTGGTTGAACCGTTTATTTATCTGTTCTCTAATTACGAATCATTATTCACTATGTACAAGTTGGAGAGTAGCATAATAGACAAATGTCTAACAGTTTTATCTCAGTTCCTGACTTCAACCACATAATAGTTCTGCTTTCCAGATCTAACCAAGAGTAACTTCCCATCTATCAAATGGTTTTTTGGGTCAAACAATACAACGTCTTCAGGATCTAAGAACTTTTCTCTGTCGAGACCCAAGTATAGACCTCCAGCCTTAATAAGCTTCTTGGTCTCCGATTTAGATTTGCCCATAATGTCAGCCAAGACGGTGCTCATTTTCACATCCTGTTCACCTTCTCTTTTCAAATCATCCACATTCAAGCTCCGTAAGATTCCAGATCTCCTAAAGTTGTTGATCAACTTGTCTGCAGAAACATCATTGAAAGACTGGTCTGGAGTAGGGAACAAGAAGCCTGTGATATAAGCCATTTCTTCTCCAACACCTACCCCATGTACTAAGTCAACCACTTCTCTAGCCAATATTCTCTGGCCTAGCCTCAATCCAGGATCAGAGGTGTGCTTTGGAACAATTTCCTGTTCAATAGTTGCAATGGGGAACAAAGTGAAAACCTTCAAAAGTTTCTCGACCATATCATCCGGAGTATTGATAAAATACTGGTACAACTGGTAAGGGGAGGTCAACTCTGTACTAATAAAGACGGCATTCCCCGCAGATTTCCCAAACTTCTCACCACTAGGCGAGGTAAGTAGGGGTACAGTAAGACCGTACGCTGGCTTGACATCTGAAGTGTTGTCTGTTTTCGATCTCTGCAATCTTGAGATAAGATCAACTCCCGCAGTAATATTCCCCCATTGGTCATTACCTCCAACTTGCATGTTAACGTTCTCCTTCTTAAACAAGTGCCAGAAATCGTAAGCCTGCAAAATCTGGTAGGTAAACTCGTTGAAGCCCAATCCTTGTTGAGAGTCAAGTCTAGATTGAATGGAGTCTCTAGCTAGCATTGAGCTTATTCTGATATATCTTCCGAAATTGGCCAAGAAGTCCAACATTTTTATGGATTTCCACCAAGTGGCATTGTTAGCAGTCTCAATAGCACCAAATTTAGCTGGTTCTACGGGATACTTTCTGGACTGGGCATATTCTAAACCTCTTTCCAAGAACGTCTTAATTTGAAGCTGAATATTGTCGACGTTGGCCTCTCTCTCAGTAGATTCTATAGCTGTTCTCTCAGTCGTACGACCACTGGGATCTCCAACCTCACCTGTAGCACCCCCAACTATCCCTACAACATCATGGCCCCTCAAATTGAAATGGAGAAGAACCATCAATGGGAGAAGATTGCCTAAATGCAAAGAAATGGCAGTGGGATCAGCTCCACAGTACAACTTGAACTTTTCAAGCTGCTCGTTCTTTTTGGGGTCCGTCAAGTCAAAGAGCTCTTCATGGGTTATGGAATCAACCAAAAATCTATTTTGTAGGTGTCTCACAAGAGAAGTATCCAAGTCTGCTTGGAACGACGCTTGGTCGGCAGTCAAAGAATCTACGGAAGGAATAATTAGTGCTTGATCAACTCCAGAAGAAGCACCTGAAGGAATTGTAGCTTGAAACCGGACGCTTGTCAAGCCCAAACGGACACCATTAAGGTGCAACCGAGCTACTTTAGAAGTCCACATGGTTTGCTAGCAGCTGCTGTTCTTAGCCAGCTTCGTTGCTACCATATGGCTGGAAAAGGTGGTGCAGTGAAAAATCGGAATAACCCACTCGACTACATGCAGGACATCAAAATAGGATATGGAGATGAGATGGGGTTTGCAGCGGTTAGATTTCCTTCCGACATTATTCATAGTTGTCCTTGGCTAAATACAATCTCTATATCATGTCTAGCGATGCTGGAACACCCTCTGTGGTAAAGAAGAGAAAAAGAAAGAGATCAAAGAAAAATGGCGAAGATTACCTGGCTAGTGCTCCAATAGGCCATGTAGGAAAAGCAGATCAGGATGAACATCTCAGCGATGAAAGCTTTAGCAACAAGAAAAGACAAACAAACAAAAAGGTCATATTCAGAGAGGAGCCAGAACATGACAAAGTCGTCAAGGAGAGCATAAAAGAAGAAAAACCGGCATTTATAAAGGCTTCTCCTGAATCTAAAGTAGTCATGGATGAGCTGACTTCTAAAGCTACCGTTGCCCCAGAAATGAGGGCTTCCAAAGAGCCGTCTGGTCTTCCAGCTAAGAACAAGAAAAAGGCCAAGAAAGTAGTAAAATACTTTGATAAGGAAGATGTAGATAACTCAGACTTTGAGGATGACCAAGTGGGGGACGAAAAGTTATCTTATGGACAGCTTAAAGAAAGAGCTGCTCTGTTACTCAATGTTCGTGAAAAGCTTCCTATCCACCAACACCAAGAAGAAATTATAAATTACATCCAGTCTAACCAAGTCACAGTGATTATCGGTGAAACCGGTTCAGGTAAGTCTACCCAAATACCGCAGTACCTCATGCCGTTAAACTCCAAGCAAATTGCCGTAACGCAACCAAGAAGAGTCGCTGCATCTTCCTTGGCCACCAGAGTCAGTGAAGAATATGGATGTAGATTGGGAGATGAAGTTGGTTACCAAGTGAGATTCTCGAACTTCACATCGCATAGGACCAAATTGAAGTACTTAACTGATGGTATGCTCTTAAGAGAAATCATGCTTGACAAGAAGCTCACCAAATACACCACCATTATTATCGATGAAGCGCACGAAAGAACGATATTAACAGATTTAATCATGGGTTTCTTGAAAGAGTTGCTTGTGAGTGGAAAGAGGAAAGACTTGAAGCTTGTGATTATGTCTGCCACATTGAACGCTGAGCTTTTCCTGAAGTTTTTCGACCACGCTCCTGTCTTGTTTGTAGAGGGAAAGATGTACCCTGTACTGAAGCATTATCTTCAAGAAAACGTAGAAGGCGAAGAAATTGTAGATACCATGGTGAGAACTATAGTTCAAGTCAACATGAGTGAGCAAGAGGGTGATATCTTATGTTTCTTACCAGGACAAGAAGAAATTGACAATTGTGTTTCAATCTTACTGCAAATTGCTCCACATTTACCAAAAGAAGCGCCTCATATTGTTGCACTCCCATTGTATGCTGCTCTTTCTCCACACCAGCAACAAAAGATCTTTCAAAAATTAAAGGGTGGAAGAAAAAGAAAAGTGATTTTAGCAACGAACATAGCTGAAACGTCCATTACAGTCAGCGGAGTGAAGTACGTTATAGATCTGGGTCTCAGAAAAATCAAAGTATGGAGGCACCTGCTTGGTCTTTCCACGTTGCTAACTACCCCTATTTCTCAAGCTTCAGCAAAGCAGAGAGCTGGTAGAGCTGGGAGAGAGAGCGTAGGTAAGGTGTTCAGATTATACCTGGAAAAGTTATTCTTGACTAAGCTCCCTAAACAACAGGAATCTGAAATCATGAGAAATGATATTATATTACCAATTTTGGCATTGAAGAAGCTTGGAGTCGACGATTTATTAAACTGGTCATGGCTTGAGCATCCAGGTAAAGAAGCCATTTTAAGTGCACTTTCGACTTTGTATTCTTTGGGTGCTTTGAATGACCTGGGGAAGATTACTGCCATAGGTTACAAGATGGCAACCTTACCCTTGCCCCCACAGCTTTCTGTAGTTTTAATTACAGCGTTTGAGAAGGGTGTATTAAACGATGTTATCGACATCGCCGCCTGCTTGTCGGTTGATAACTTGGTATTAAACGTTTTCACTGGAGGGGACACTGAGTCTAGAGACGAAGTTAACTTTAAGAGAAGGCAATATTGCCCCATGGGGAACAAATCTGGAGATTTGATTGCATTGAAGGAATACTTCAACTATTTCATGGAGTTGAGTAGGTCCAGGGACAGCATGGATGAAGTTAAAGATTGGTGTAAAGAAATGCATTTTAGTTACAAGGGATTCAAGAATGTCTTAAAGGTTAGAGCACAATTGAAAGATTATATGCTTTCAACTATCCGTCAAGATGACTCGTTGAATGAACGAGAGAAAGAAAAGCAACTCAGAAGTTTGAGGTCGCAATTGGACACTACAGCTAAGACAAATGGCGATAATAGTGATGACGAGGATTTCGGTCTAGTTGAAGGGATGGATATTCCTAACATTTTGAAGTCATTCTTGAAAGGTTACGTTACCAATTCTGCTATAGGAATGCCTGATAGATCATATCGTACAGTGACTACTGGTCAGCTTATCAGTATCCATCCGTCATCCAACTTATTTGGAAAGGTGAATTTGGATGCAGTTATGTACATGGAGTATGTATATACTACCAAAGGGTATGGTAGAAATTGTTCGGTAATAGAATTAGGATGGTTACAAGAGACTTCTCCGCAAATGTTGGGAGCAGCAAAGGTGCATATAGAAGAGTAGTAGTAGATACAGTAATAGATTCAATAATAATAATACAGCGAGTCACGATACATACCCTGCAATAGTCGTCTAACAAAATGCTTTTTCTCTTCAACTGATCAATTCAGAACTCCCCATAGCACACATACCTCCTCCTTAGCTCATCACTTGGTGCTAGCCATTACCCACAGACCATCACAGACCACAGCCGCAGACCATCACCAAAATATTTCGCGCCGCATCGCAGCTACTTCAAAAAATGCTTCACCACAATGTGATAAAGTTGAATGAACTCACTCTAGTATAAGGGACACATGCAATGGACTTTTCGGATCCTCTTCCACTTATAGAGCGTCCAGATACTATACCAACGTATGAAATAGAACCAGAACTGCAATATAGGTGGTCTTTAAAGACTTATGGGTACCTTTTGATCGCGACTACGTGGATCTTGTTCATTGTTTCGATCAACCTGTTTTTCAGGATATGGTCGTTCATCATATACCCGTGGTCACTCAACCCTAGCACTCAGGAACTACATGCGTACTTAACAGTGGTATTCGAGCAAATAGACAACTTGATCGTAAGCGGCTGGTGCATATATGTGATGCTATGGTGGTGGTCGTTGGTGTCGTGGTGTAGCTTGAAGTTATTTAGACATTCGAAGGGCCTTCAAGCATAGAGAAAAAGGAAAACTTTTTTTACGTGAAAGAAGACTACTTGAAGAGAGCACGATGGTTCAGATAGATTAAGTCATGCTTGCGAGGAAATTTACACCCAAGAAAGGGGTTTTTTGATTTATTTTGCTTGTGCCCTCTAGTCAAGTATAAGTTATACATACATATGTACATATATATATTTACTCTCCAGCTTCACCCCTGGTCTTGGTCCATTCAGCGCTCCCCGATTGCCTCCCCTTTGGAACATCGTTCTTGTTGGCGGTTCTTGTTGGCAGTCCATTCAACTCGTTCTCCTTAAGCAGCACAACTTCCTCACTCAATGCCAACAACCGGCTGGCCTCATCCCGAATGCCATTAAGTCTTTCTGTATAGTACTTTTTCAAGAGCTGATTGTTCGTGTATTCCAAATACTTTCTCACAACCAGCGGATGAGAAACCACCGCCCACTTGTCCAATTGCTTATCAGGTTTAGTGATATATTTGTCGCTCAAGTCGACGACATACCCTAGCCCAAAGCCAAACACCCAACTCATGCTTTTACCCCAGTTTTCGCAATACAAAGTTGGGTTATCAAAGGCATCCTCGCACGGGTCCAAGTGAACCCATCTTTTCAAGTTAGTAGAGTAGTACTCACACCATACGTGGTCTTCATAGTTGACAATATATCGAATTTGTACGTCTGCTCCTAAAGTAGCCTGTAGAAGTAACATAAAGCAATTGACCCACTCACCACATCTGCCCTCTTTGGTCCGGAGTAGAGAAACTGGGTTATTGATTCGAGGAAACGTAACCTGCTGCCCGCACTTAGTACACTTGTAGATCTCAATTCTGCCTACTTCGTCAGGATCCTGCGATGCTGGTGGTCCCCTTGTCACTCCTACTCCTTGAATATTCTCGTCGGACTTACAGTGGGGGCACTCGGGCTTATTCACCCACTTGAAAAATGAGTGTCTGAAGAAGTGTAATAGTTCTACAACTACAAGATCTTGAAAGTCCAACTTCTCCTTGTCCAGCTGATCGCCTCGCTCTTCTTGTTCCTGCTCTCGTCTTTCCACTCCTTCGTAAATCTTTTCCAAGTCAATACTTTCTAGAGCGAGATCATGGCTCAAGGGATTCTGGTACTTGTACACGAAGTCGGCATTAGAAGAAACTAGTCCGAGAAACTGCTTGTCCTGATCGGAAAGAGATGAAAGAAAAAGCGAATACTCAGAAGCTGGTTCCGATAACAACAATGCAGTATGCTCGACGTCACTGGATGTCATTGTACGCGAAATCTACCGGTTTATGCCTCTTTCTCCACGCCTTTGTTCAACCATACTTGTCATTTTGTCTAAATTTGGTTATCAGTTCACTACCGCCCTGCATATAATGATGCTGCATCACGATACCAAATCAGCATAAAAATAGCTTCAACAAAAAAGATGGCTTAATGGACGAGTTCCAGGCGACGCAGTAAGGTTGTTCTTCAAGATGCCCAATACGAAACTGGGTAGAAGAGGCCGGTCTAAGACCAAGAAGCTATGTCTATCGTCAGATCCGCAGACAACGACGTCAGAATCGAGCAGTTCCAAAAACCACCCGCAGTCTTCTGGAACGCCTCGCGGTGCTTATCAATCGAAGTGGATGGCATCGGATCACCAACTTAATTCCACGCAAATTCCAATGCAGACTTCCAGTTCTTCTTCCCATGCCCAAGTACAAACGCCAAATAGAATTACGCCAGGACGCAAAACTCCAGGGGATGGTGTTACCAGCCGGAAAAAACTTAACAGAATAAAGTCCCTTTCCAAGATAGAGATCAGATCTCCGATAGTGAGAAAGAAAACCTCGAGCTTCGGTAAGCAAACTGCACGCACAGCCGACAATACTCCGTCACACACTCCTTTGCTTGGGCCATTGGACTTGCACGAGGCAGAGTCACTCCGTACTATTAATACGAACCCATCGCTTTCTTCGAGACTTATGGGGATTGTCCTCCCAGAATCGTTCTACACGTTAAGAAATTACTATAACGATTTCACTACCATTGACTGGGTTCAGGCGTTCATTGCCACCAACAGATTCAATTATGAAGTTCTGCAAAGGAATTGGATAGTGGATTACGACGACACAGAGTCATTTTCCGAAGCCAGAGCTCCTCCAATTAGACTGAAAATCCCCTTCTACTATAAGGCGTACTTAGTCTTGGGTAAATGGGCGTTGATTGTCATTATTGGATTTTTATTCTCGTTAATTGCATTTTTTATAGATAAGATAGAAATCCTCTTGGTCGGGTTCAAACATGGCTATTGTAAAAGTAATTGGTTTGCCAGTCAAATCTCATGTTGCATTTCCCCTGATTTGAAAGACAAATCTCTTAAGACTGTCTATATGAATGTCTTTAGGAGTGGTGCAGTGGCCCACACTGGAATGTCTGATCCAAATACGTGCTCAGAATGGGTTACTTGGTCAGAATTCTTCAAGAATAATACTTTACATAAGGCAATTCCTGTGGATTTCTTGATCTATGTTGCGTTGACTATATTATTGGCTTATCTAGCCTGTGTTATCACGTTGACCACAAGAATAACTTCATACCTCTCTGGAATTACTTCTAATGGAAACATTGTTGGCTCTGAAACTAGAGGAGGGAAGCACACCTCAGAATCTTCTTTCCACAGCAGCTCTAGTAGTGATGATACTTCTGATCATAATGTTCATGCTAGAGTGATTTATACAGCCAGTGGTTCTGGAGTTCCTGAAGTAAAGACCATCTTATCAGGGTTCTTCATTCGTAGGTTCCTAGGTACTTACTCCCTTTTCGCCAAAACAATCACTTTAATTTTGGCAATTGCATCAGGAATGGCTTTGGGGAAAGAGGGCCCCTATGTCCATTTAGCGACCTGTGTTGGTAACATCATGTCAAGATTTTTCCCCTATATAAACAACAACGACCTTATGAAGAAACAAATTTTGTCAGCAAGTGCATCTTCTGGTGTGGCGTTGGCATTCGGATCTCCATTGGGTGGAGTCTTGTTCATCTTAGAGGAAATTAACAATTATCTCCCTTCACACCAATTATTCCTAGTATTCTTCTGTGCCATTATATCCACATTATTTTTGAAATTCTTAAATCCATATGGAACTGGCAAGACTGTTCTTTTCGAATTGGAGTATAATTCTGATTGGAAATCAATAGAGTTAGTATTTTTCATCTTAATTGGAATGTGTGGAGGTATCTTTGGAGCTGCATTTGTCAAGTTTATTCATTGGTGGACCAAAAATTTCCGCTCTTTAAGTTTCATAAAGGACAAACCAATATTTGAAGTCTGTTGCATTTCTCTATTGACGGGTGTAGTCACATTTTGGAATCCATATACTAAGCAAGCGGCTTCTGAGTTGGTTTTAGATTTGGCTACTCCCTGTCCTAAATTTGTGACAGGCACTTTAAATCTGGCTTTATGCCCTCAAACGGAAAGTATGTACATTCATGAGCTAAAGTCTTTAATGTTTGCTTTTATTACTAAGATTGTGTTAACTTTTGTTACCTTTGGACTAAAGTTGCCATGTGGGATATACGTCCCATCGATGGTTATTGGATCTTTATTTGGTAGAATTGCTGGGATGCTTCTTCACTTGATGAACTACAAGGTTGATTTGGGTATTTATTCTATGATTAGTGCAGGTGCATTTATGGCTGGAGTCACAAGAATGAATATCACTTTGGTCACCATTTTGTTCGAGTTGACCAGCTCATATACTTACGTGTTACCTATTGCAATTGCAATTGCAGTTGCAAATTGGATGGGAAGTATCCTAGAAACAAATTCATTATACGAGTCTTTGCTTATTCTGAATGATTATCCTTTTATGTCTTCTGAAACTGAACCATTAGATCCTATGATTACTGCTGGTGCTATTATCAATGAAAGTGATACTTATAAACTGATGGGTAATCGTATGATCTTAGATGATGATGACAATAATAGAAATTTCAAAAAATTATGGAGTGAACCTGGAACAACGTCTAGTATGATGGAGATGGCAAGAAGTCCGATTAACTACATTGATCCTCTGTCTTCCGCGCGGACTCTCAATAAACCATCAAGCGGTGCAACAAGTCCATTGTTAAACGCTGGAATGGTGAACTACAATGAGTACTCCCCATTAGATGATCTCAACAATAACAATGATAACAGAAAGTTGTATATTGACGTCACCAACTCTCCATATGTTTCTGCTTCTATCTTACAATCAAAATTGGTTTTGCTTGCAGAAAAGTCTCTTTTGGATGGTTGTATACCCTTGGTGATGAACGACATTTGCGTTGGACTAATATTTTTTGCCGAACTAGAGTATTGCTTAGACAAATTAGAAACATTCGTTCAGCAGTACTCTATTACCGAAGAAATCTTCTGTAAATTATTACCAGATGAAAAGTTCTACCAGACCAATGTTCCGAATGAAAACATTCAAATGGTCCTCAGACATAACCATTCAGTAGTGACTACTGCTATACAAAATCATTTCGCAGTTGCTCCTATGGACTATTTTAGCTACAGATCAACAGAAAATCACCCAGAAGAAAATTTCAATAACGATTTTATTCAATTATTTTATGAACTAATAGATCTAACTGACTCTATTGACACCAATCCTATATTCATCAACCAAGACTCAGAGTTAACTTTAGCTCATTTGATATTTGACAAAATTGGTAATAGAGTCATTGTACTTCTAAAGGATGGAAAGTACTATGGAGTACTACATAAGAAAGTTTTAATAGATTATTGTCGACAAGAAGAGTCGTCATGAAACTCTCTGATTGGCTTTTATGGATAGATAAAGCTCGATTATAAGTTTTCTAAACTCATGCATATTGGCAGTCAAAGCTTCCGACGAAGAAGCAACATTGTCATCGCTGACATTTGAACCATTTGAGCCAGAACAAAAGTGATCTTTCAAGGAGTAATCTTGATACTTCAAATGGGTTATCTTGCTTGACATGGTACCGTACTTTTCCTCTTTCTGTTTACTCCTTTCCTCCCCATAAGAGGTGTATTTCTCGTATAGAAACCCCATAATTATTTGATATAAATCAGAACAATCTTCTTGATTAATTCTTCCAATAAATGCATCTATTATACCAAAACTTTTGCAGTCTAACAAGCTCACTATTATTGTAATTAGTATGTGGTTGTCATCAACTTCATTGTGAAAGAAATTAACTAACGACTGCTTAACAATTGCTGGCAATAATTTTGAAAAGTCAAGTGACTTATATTTAGCATGAGAAGCATTATTAAATTCTTGTGCTATGATCTTATCTCTCATTCTAATTACGGGATAGTCTTCGAGATACTTGGAAACTTGCATTGCCCTTATTCTTATTTCGTCAACCTTTGGAGTGTTGAGATTGTCCATGTTTTTGGATTCGCTTGCCTCACAAAACAAACTCAGGGTAAGAGTCTCGTTTTTAGATTCAATTATCGACTTTATAAGTAATAAAGTCAAATTCTTTCCTTCGCGAGTACCATATATATCCCTTATCAAATCGGTGATATGTCTATCTTTGCAAGCTTGTAGGGTATACTTCATTACGATAGGATCTTCGAGAATGGCTGCAAATTCTCGGATCAGCCGCACAGACCAGCCCAAAAGTGACATGGTAAATGCTGTAGGAGAGAAGTCACTATCAGGAGTTTGAATGAATTGTGAACAAATGTATTCTTGAAATCTTGATGCATAGGTTTCCTTGATACTTAAATTCTTTGTTTGATGAATAATTTTGATTATCAAGTCATAAAATTGCTCAAATTCTAAATTTGAAGCAAGTTGAAGTCGCCTTGCCATTAGTATCAAATTTTCGAGCAATGCCGAATTGTTGTAAAGCCAGCTTTCCAATTGATTTGAGTAGTTCGATAAATCTATAATTTGAAGTAGCATCTTCTCATACAATAGCCATCTACCGTTGATTTTTGAGAATACAAGGTTTTCAACTAAGAAATACATTGGAAACTGATCCTTTACGTCCGCGTTTCCAGCAGTTGCCCCTACGACACCTTCCGTACTTGGCAATTGCAGCTGTTGCATTTTATGAAAAAACCAATTATCCAACAATTCCACGTCTAACAAATACAAATTGACAATAGATGGTAAAAAGGTGTCTAAAAACATTTTTTGGATATTTGGGAGCGGCGAATAGCTAAACTCAAATAGAAACAACTGAATTGATATTGAGATCCATTGCCTTGAAGTAGCTGATAACTCATTTTTGATGCTTGGTAGCGCAACAACTAATCTCTTAAAAAGCAAAATAACTTGATCGAATAGCTCAATGCTTAGGAATTGTATCTGTACATACTCTGTTAGCACATTGTAGAGCAGGTTATCCACCAAAACCTTTACTTTGCAGCCAGTTTTTTTCCTATCGGTAATACTGTTGTTAATTATGCCGTTTATTTTAGTGAGGTGCTCACAAATCACGCCAGGAGGGCTATTCTAAAACACCCAGTTAGTAATTGAAGGAAGGGATTTTTTAAAAGTGTGAAACTTACACATCTGATGGAGTTTATCGTTCTGGCGCAAAAGAAATCCAAACTTGTAGGAGTTTCCAAATTCTTCTCATCTTTTAAACCAGGAGCTTTGATCTTCTGTTTGAAGAGATACATAATACAACTTTCTAACGAATACTGATGTTTTATAACTGCAAGTCGTTTCTTTGATATGCCTACTGACTTCCTGCAAATGTAAAGTTGCAAATAGCTGAAACAAATGCGGTGTAGGCTGAAACACTAAATGTGGTAAAACCTCAAAAAAGCTTTTTTTTTTCTTTTTAGCTTTTTGCAACCATTGTGGGGCTTACTGCAGCTAATTTTTACTATTTAAGGGCGAAGCTGCTCCAGAGTATAAGGAGGATAGAGACTATGCTTGAGAATCAGGCTAATAAAACTTTTATATTCTCTTTAATTCTTCATCTCTTCTTTTAAGTATGATAAAAGTTGAACCTAAATCGAACTACAAAAGAATTGACGCTAAAGCTAGTCCAAGTATCGGACTCTGTACCAACTCTGACTTTACAGACAATTACATTCACACAGGTTCACCTCCAATATCCCATGTTGAAAACAGCGTGAATCCCCTAGAAGGATACCCCAAACTTCAGAAACTCCGTCAGCTAAAAAGCAAGCAAGTTGCAGACCACGCAACCAGGCCTTTTGGGTGTAGAAGGAAGCCAGATCAAATAATTCCAACAGTAGAAAAATGGATAGTCGAGAACAAACTTCAATTCGATGTAATAATGATTGGTGCTCTAGCAGATAACCAGTTCATCTATCCCTTTCTCAGCCAACTACCTCTTCACAAGCTCTGCTCAAAACCAGGCTTTTTGTTTATCTGGGCATCTACACAAAAAATCAGAGAATTGACCAAGCTATTGAATTCTGAATATTGGGGGAAAAAATTCAGAAGGTCAGAAGAACTTGTGTTTGTTCCTTTAAAAAAGAATTCTGCCTACTATCCAAAGACAGAATTTCATCATGACGACAGTAGTGTACCCTTGTTTGAAAGGCAGCAATGGCACTGCTGGATGTGTATTACCGGCACTGTCAGAAGATCTTCAGATTACCATTTGATTCATTGTAACATTGATACAGATCTTCAAATGGAAAGCATAACTCCAGAAAGAGAATCGAATCATGAAAACAATGCAATTCCAGAGAACTTGTACAGAGTAGTAGAGAATTTCTCCAACTCAAATAGAAGGTTGCATATAATTCCATCCTACTTAGGAATTAATATGCCAGTTAGATTAAGACCTGGTTGGGTTATCTTGCTGCCCGATTGTATAATGGATAATTTCAATCCAGATAAATACCAGTCAGAGTTATTAAGAAAATCTACTATTAAAAGTAGGTCTTCATCAAATGGCAGTCCCCACTATTTGGTTCCTCAAACGGATGAAATAGACGAACTTAGACCAAAGAGTCCTCCTCCATCAGGAAACAGGCGCAGAAACGATTAGAATGAAGTGCTAATTATGATTACAGTGAGAGTACTCCCGATATTATTTCTCGATATTTATTTTGGTCGTATTCTAGACAAATGAGTGATTAAAACACTATGATAAACATAATTAAATGGTCTAATTTGGTTAGTTTCAAAAGTCAAAGCAAAAAAATTTTATAAAATGGTACTATTCTTGTTGTGATCAGATATTTGATGAATGTTGGAAAAAAAGTTTATCAGCACCGTCAAAGACTAAGAGTGAGCTGAGTTAGGTTATCATCATAACAACAAGACTATTACACGTATATCTAAAAGACTTACTATTTGGTTCAATCCATATTGCAGAAGTGATGAAGAATGAAGTTCCTAGATGTGAAAAACTCTTTCAAAATTTTCTTCTTTTAAAGGCATCTTGAGTATTTTCATTGGGATGCGTCCGGGTAAGTGAAGCAGCCCTAAATGGATAGAGAGCCGCACTCATCTGAAGAGTTGCAAAATATTGATAGATACATTCCTTAAGATGATTTATGATTATGATTATGATTATGTTCTAGTTCTAGTTCTAGTTCTAGTTCTATTTTCTATAAATATATTAATATGTAAATTCCTTTGAAGTATGAATACTCTCTTTCAGCTTGAGATCTTCTAAGTATTCATTCCACAATGAGTCTCCCTTCTTTAAGCATTCGACATCACCAATTATAATCAACCCATACTTAGCTCTAGTTAAGGCAACATTTAATCTTCTCTCGTCACTCAAGAACCCAATTTTATTTTCAACATTGGATCTAACACATGACATAATAAGGAAGTTCTTTTCACGGCCTTGGAATGCATCAATTGATGCGATCATTATATCAGATACAGTGTGAATGGTCACAGGCTTAGAATCATTGTATATGTCATCTCTGTCGACTTCAACAAGAATATCATTGTGCTCTGGATTGATTAGTTCATTTTTGACCAAAACTGATGAAATTAAATCTCTCTGTCCTCTATATGGTGTGATAACACCTATGTCTGATTTCGATACTCCCTTTTCAAAGATCAATTTGGTTAAGACTTCAGTAATCAAACCAATTTCACCAGGGTTTGAATAAGTAAAACCTCGATCTTCGCGGAATCCTATTCTTACCCTTCCTTCAGCATGCTTACCCTGAGTATCCCAGAAATATACTGGATTTGATGGTATTTTATCCATTTGACGTTGCTCGCTGGAAATACCATCTTTCAATAAACTATTGTAAAATCTTCTCCTTGGGAAGTCACTGATTGCAGGGTGCATACGGTATTGAGTGTCTAACATATGCGGTGTTCTATAAGTTCCATTAAGTAATACTCTTTCGAAAAGAGATAATGATAGATTAGGTACTTGAGAAAAACTACTCAATTGCTTTTGATCACCAACGAATACAAACTTCTCCACACCAGGCATAGACAATGGAATTAATGTTGTTGGCTCTGAAGATTGAGTAGCCTCATCCATAATTACGACTGGCAATTTCTTGACGGATTTCAATTGGTTTCCTCCTGCAACGACAGTCGTAGTAAAGATGACCTTGGCTTGTGCAATCAAAGTATCACTTACATCAATTTGTTGTGTCAAAAGCTTTTTAAATTGGTTTTGACTCACAGTGGCCCTTGGATTTCTCATATCTTGAATAGTTTCCTTCAAGTTATTTGGCAACGAATCGTATACCTTATGGTGTAAACAAATCGAACCTAAGGGATGATCTCTTGTATATTCCTTTTCCTTTTCATTTGACACAATCCTTAGAATTGATCTTTCGTGATCCTTAATTAACTTCTCTGCGATATTATCGATAGCAATATTTGAAGCGGCGACTACCAAGATGGGATATGTGCTCAAGTTGTCCAACAACTGAAGAATAATTTCATAAATAGTAGAAGTCTTCCCTGTACCTGGTGGACCTTGCAATACCGTGATAGAGTTGTTCAAGACAGATTGGATTGCGACTTTTTGGGAATCATTAAAAGTATCTTTGGTGAACTTAAGGAAATTTCTAAATACAATCTGTTTAATTGGTTCTTTACCCAAGATCATCTTGATAAATTTTGGATTTTCTATTCTGGACATGGCCATGAACACTCTACTAACTGGAATGGAGGCTGGTAGTATTTTAAGCCATTTTATGTCAACTGTGGTAGGTAATGGTTGATTATTCCACTTGTACAATTCAACAACCATTTCAAATATTTTCACACCACCACGACGTCCCTTCTGCGCACTTCTTGCTTCAGCAGTGACAATGTTACCATACCAAGCTATGTCTTCTCCAAGCATCAAAAAGACCGATTGATTAACGGAAAATGGAGTTTTTTTCACTTGTTGCATTTTCTTACTCATCAATCTATTTAAAATATCTTCCGAAAGTAAAATATTAACCTTGAATTGTTTATGTTTCTTGTCTTGGTCAGCATACCATGCCAATGCCATATCTTCGGGGTTGATAAAAACGTTATGACTATTGGGTACACTTAATTTTTCTTCCAAAAAGAGATTGTAAGAGATTTCTCGGAAATATTGATCCATGGAATCATAAGTGAGTGGAGGTTCCTCTGCAGGTTGATATACCTCAAGGTGTGGAGGGATAACAAGGGTAGATCCCTTGGGCGGAGGTTTCACTGTATTTTTTGCATCACTTTTCCCCTCTGATTTCCCGTCCTTTTTCGTATCCTTCTTAGTATCTTTCTTCAATTCTTTCTTCACGTCGACTTTTCTTCCTTTTGCAACGGGTGGTGCCCCATTTTTACTTTTTGGGTGCTTTAAAATTGACCCCTTGGAATTCCTAGCATCGTTTGATTTGAAATCATCTTGTTTAGCAGAAGCCTTACTAGTTGTCTTTTCATTTGGTGAATAATCTTTTGAAACTCTTTCTTGCGTCTTAGATGATGAGACAGATGTTTTAGGTTCGTGAGCAGGTTTATTTGCTTTCTTAGTAGGACCATTTTGGTGCTGCTCTTTGCTTGAAGCTACATCTACGTTACTCTTAGAAGAGCCCTTTTTCGCCAGTGTAACATCAGACTTTGTTCCGAAGGGCCTTGGAGCAGCTTTAGAATCTTTAGCACCACTTACTTTATGGCCCTTTGCTCCTTTGGGACCATTCTTGGACCCACCATTACCCGAAGGGACTGGTGTGGTACTTCTTGATTGAACTCTAGAGTTTGTCCTCGAGCTCGCCTTAGAATTTCCCTTGCTCTGATTTGGAGAAACTCCACTAGAGCCCACAGCAAGTACGGTCTGTCCACTTTTGATTGCAAAAGCTGCTGCCCTAGCAGTGTGGAAATGCGACTTTTCTTCTCCATCATTGTCTGACTTAGGGCCCGAACTTCTTGGGGGTCCTCTTTTACCACCTTTACCACCTTTTCTTCCAATTTTTCTACCTCTTCCCTTCCCGCTCAGCTTCAGCTTCAGTGGGACAAATTCTTTAATGCCTAGTAAGGCATAAAGGAAGTCGTCGCTATCTTCAGAAACGATTTTCACCAGTTTGTTCTCTATCTTATCCAGACATCTGCGACATACTATTATTTGCTCCTTTGGAAGATTCGCTACACCAAGATACTTCTCGGCACCACAGAATTTACATTCTATGTCTCTGAATTTGTAGTAGTCAGGGAGCTTCTTGAGCAAAGACCCATTGCTAAGAGAGTACTGGGTAGAGGGAGTTTCGTCCTTGGCCAAACACGGCTGGCACAAGAGCGCCATATCGGAAAGGCCAATCCTCAGTAGGACCAACTGATGTATGTTTGTGTCACTGCAATCTTCACACGCCACAAGTTCTTCAAGTGGGTCGTACTGGACTGTTTTGTGCCTCGTGGAGGACAAATGTTTGAGCATTTCCACATCATCTACAGTGGTGGCACACGTAGTGCACGTCAAGCTGACCATGGTATGTTTACCTCAACAGAACTTTCGTTGTGTATCCCTTAGCCTTCATCTTGAAGGTGTCTGGAATTTTTCTAACGATGATTCCGAACCATGCCAATCTTCAATCCTGCATATATGCACATCCATCTCAAAATCTGCATATAGGAACATCCTGCACCGTGTGCCTGTTCTTGCTCTCCCTCCCAAGCGTGGACAGTAACATCCTGCATATTCACGAAGGGCCTGAGCACTAGCATCTGCATACAGTTTCAAAAATCTCCTTTTTCAGCTACCCACCCGCAACTTTTCAAGCGTGAGGGTGCTTCACTTGCATAGAACGCGTCAATGGTGAACATACGCGTATTTAGTGTGGTTGCATTTGCCTAGTTGACTAAAATGTAATCAGATTTCATGTTCCAGATCAGGTATGCGCCGTTTGGATCGGGGACCGAAGAAGCAAGAGGTAGTGAAAAAATAAACAGTGAGTAATAATAAGGAAGTAGAATGCAGAAGTGCGATGGAAGAAAGAACAACCAAACGAGGGGCCAAGAGCTGATTGTTGGCTACATACTGGGCCACATTCGTTTAGCTAAAACCTCTATTGTTGGTACCTTTTTATGAATAGAACCCTATTTTATTATTCCGTGGAATAGATAAGCTATATCTAAAATAGGGATCCCTTCTTCTTCCCTTTAGTCTCCTCAAACCCTAAAGTAAATCATCTGGATGCGACTCCAATACGCTAAACCTTAAAGGGTGAACTTTATTTATTTATTTTTTAATTATTTATTTCCTTCTTCTGCCAATTGCTCGGTAGCATGCTAATTAATCCTTGGGTGGTGTGTATTTATTTTCTTTTAGGAACACCTATTTGATCGGAATGATGAAACCAGCCTTATCATTATCACTCTTTTGTTTATTTTTTTTTTAGCTCTCTCTACATTTATTGCGTTGATCCTTATATACTCATCTGCTTCTCTTTATCACTAAACGCATAAGGCTAAAAGCAGAGCCAAAAGTTCCCTTCTCCATTTCTTCAGCCCTTGCCTAATTTTTTTTTTTTTTTTTTTTTTTTTTTTATTCGCGTGTTTTACGATTTTTGAAATCCTTAAAATTTTGATAGCTGTCAAATTTCCAGTTGAAAGGGCAGTAACATCACAAGGAAGGTAAACCAGATCGTCACAGTCGCTACATATCTCAAATGCAATCTGGTTACAACTACCCACGACCAGAGACGAACACCACGGGGCCAGGAAGCCACTTCAGTGCGTCTTCCAGTGTGTACTCACCGGTGGAGTCTGAATTCCCCCACAAGCAGCAACAAGGACAGACCAGAGAGTCAAGACTCTCATCTATAAGCAGCTATAACCTGCGTACCACGTCTATACCTGATAGATCGTCTCCTAGCATGAACAAGGACGAAAGTGTGCAGACATTCCAATCGTTTGTGACTGCTGAGAACGGCAGTAACTATAGCTTCGATTCGATCAATGATTCGATCCTCAAGGATAAGGGAAGAAGCTTTTCAGATGGAAGCGAATTGGTGAGTGGCCGTCAGTATAACTCTGATACTACTGTGAATAACAAAAATACCGCAGATGTTGACCCTGAGGCTACTTTTGATGAGGATGCTACGCCAGTGTTGCCCTACTCCAACCGCAATATTGATCCCATAGACGACAAGACGCCGTTGATTGGCTACGAAGAGACCATTTTCCCCTTGAACACTGGCACCAGTAGAGACAACTTGACGGTCCCAGGCCAGGAAGAGTCGACAACTGGATTGGGACTTGGCGGAGGTACCAGAAAGTCTCTACTTCCTCAGCAGGAGTTGTCTAACAAATTCAAACGTCTCTCTATGACCTTGCAGCTGCTGAACCAATTCACATCTGGAGAGTCAGTACAATTCATTCATTCCTTTCAACAAAATGTAGAAAAGGTCAATAATGACCCTTCACGAGATAAGAAGAACAGAACTAGTTACTACTACAAGAAGATCAACGAAAAAGCTACTTACGATGATGATGATGATGACGACAGTGTACACTTCGAGAAAGTTGCAACAATCAGAGACAGAGACCAGCAGTCTCTTACAAGCACAGCCAGTAATACCTCCAGCGTATTAAGCCGAAATTATAGTCGCGAGCATGGTAGTGACAATCATACTACTCCTTCAAACACAATAACCAAGGTAACCCCAAATAACCAACCGCAGCAACCTCATTTGCAGCCCTATGCCAACTTGGAGGAAAGCTCTGACGGGAAAAGTCTGTCTTCGAACTCATTTAATTTCAATAGCGGTGAGACTTATAGCAACGGATCTTCTCAAATACAGAGTGAAACAAGCTCGTACGTAGATTTAAGAGGATTAAGGATTTCGCCCAAGAAGGCACAACATGGTGCTTCTGGTCCACTAGCTAATGTCACCACGCCATCACCACCAAAGCAGGATCATAACAACGATAATGACAAGCTTCCTATTCGTAAGGATTTGGTTAAGAAATTTGAAAAAATCTCCCCTTCAAATGGTTACTCGGACCAGGAAAAGAATGATTACTTGATTAAAGTTGCCAATCAAAATGGAGGTAAAAGTATGACCGAGAAATACCCTATGGGACTCAATATTTCATATACGGATTCAGTTCTTGACCCGAAAAATAACAAATCATTCGAAGCAGTGGAAGAAAGTGTTTCTGATGAAAACGGTGAAGAATATGAAGAAGAAGAGCAAGATACACAAATTGAAGAGACTCATAATTCCATTCAGAACGCTTACGATAATCGTAACTCGACTATTTCTAGTGCCACTAATTTTGAAGATGATGGAGATGAAGATTTATCCACGTTGTTCGTTCGTGCTCTTCATACATTCGACTCATCTACTTTGCAACTGGAGTCTGATGTATCCATTTGTCTTTCATTCGAAAAGGAAGATTTAGCATTTGTGCATACGATTGACGAATCTGGTTGGGGAGAAGTTACCTTAATTAATTCTTTGAAAAGAGGTTGGATTCCTATGAACTATTTTGCTATTGCTGTAGGCGATGATGCAGACGGTGACACTAGTCATGACTCTAAGGACGATGAAGATGAAGAAGATGAAGAAAAGTCTGGAAAATTACCCAATTCTGTCTACCTAAAACCACTTTTTCATGCTTGTGGAAAGTTCTTAATGAACCCATTGTCACATAGAAACAGGAGAGATAGGTATACATTTTCGATCCGAGTAATTAATTCTATTAGAGATGGGGTTAGAATTTTACTTCAAGAAACAGATTGTCTTTCTAGGTCTAATGAAATTGTTACAAAGAGACCAGTTGTTAGAAAATCTAGGAAATCATTGTTAGCAGATTGGTACAATCTAATGTTGAAGGCTAACCAATTTAAGGGAACATCTAACTTTGCTAAAATCGAAGTTTTAACTCTTATGGTATACCAAGTCAGTAGGAAAGCTGTCGATTTCTTAGAAATATGGTCAACCGAGAGTAGACAAATTATAAAAAGAGAAAATGAAAAGAAATTGCAAAACGACATGAATAATTACCCTCTTTTATCAACCCCACCGCAAGCAAAGCAAAGAATCACAGAGTTAAATGGATTACTTTATTCCTACTTGGGAATGATCATTGGTAGATTGGATCTCATAGAACATAATCCAGTAGGGTGCGAGATCTTGGAAAGTATTACACATCAAATCATCTTACTTCTAAGAGAGTTATTATTTATTAGTAAAACTGGAAGTGATTTCTCAAGTGAAAAACCTAGCGATTTAGATGGCTCACTTGATACATTATTGAATTTGGTGAGTGATTTGGTTAGTGGTGTTAAGTGCTTAGTGGTCAAAACATTAAATGAAACAGAAGAAGAAATGAAATACAATGGAGAAGAAAAATCGAAGCAAATTGACTATTACTATACTCAAGAAGGTGGTGAATTGATTCAAATTGCAAGCAAAATGATCAAATCTATCAGTACAACAATTTTGTCAATCAGAGAATTGTTAGAAGTCACTGGAGATTTTAAGTTGAATTCTGAGAGAGCATATCCAGATTACTCCAAAATGAAAATTGATCCTGATGATTTGATCAAAAAATGCTCCCTTGGAATCGCGAAGGCTCAAGATGTAAAGAACAGAGACTTAAAAGTGTTAAGAAAGCAAATTCATGAACAGCATACGTCCACATTGGGTGTTCCAGGCAACGATTCAAAAAATGGGAAAAACAAAGTAAGCAGATACTCGATGATGAGATCTGGAAAAACTGGAGAATTAAGTTTTACTGAAAATGGTGCTAATATTTTACACAACATTTTAGTGACAGATTTTGATGGTTCTTCACCCTTTAGTATTTCTAATGCAGAATTCGAGCCATTCTCAAATGAAGACCCTACTGCTCCTACTTCCGAGAGGCACAATATAAAAGATGAGTTGTTAGTAGATGGCCAAGGAAATTTACTCGGGGCATCATTCAAGGGTTTAGTTTATACCTTAACAAATGAATCATCACCACCAGAATATTTCTTTGTGTCTACATTTTTTATCTGCTTTAGAAGTTTTGCCAATGGTATTGACTTAATTGAAGAATTAATTACAAGATTTGATACTTCGCAGAATCAAGCAATCACTGGCGAAAGTGAAACTTCAAATATTAGCAGTGAAGTAAAATTGAAAAATAGACGTAGATTGATTGCAAAGATGTTCCAGTTGTGGATGGAATCTTATTGGAACCATGAATCAGATTATTCACTATTAACGATATTGATTAACTTCTTCAACGAAAGTCTTTCCTTATATTTGCCATTGGATGCTATGAAATTAATTGAAGTAGCGGCAAAGTTGTCTTCAAAACCTTTAGTTGAAAACCAAAAGCCTAATAAAAAGGCCAAAGCTGGAAAGCAACTATTTAGCAGAAGTATCACAATTACTAGGTTGCAAAGGAAAAATTCGATTTCTGCTGTTCTAGTTGACAATTCTGCAAGATATTCAATGGTTGATGGATATGAATTATCCAAGATTAACACTAACTCATCTACACAACAATCATTAGCCTCATCTATGGCTTTGCCAATGCCATTAGGAATTGGCAATCAAACATCATCTTCACATACATTACTTTCAAAGAGTCAATTGGTTACTATTGAAAAGGTTAATCTAACGTATAGAGCAATTTTGGGAGGTTCTTGGTGCAATCCCAAGTTTATTGATACGAAAATGTTCGTTCCATTGGAGCTAAGAGGCATTTTACCAAATTGGTATAACATATGTGATCAGAGTTGGGTTTTGTCAAACTATAGACCAAATCTTTTAGATTTCAATGGATTGGAAATTGCTAAGCAATTAACATTAATTGAATCTCATATATTTTGCTCTATTAAACCAGACGAATTATTAAATGAAAATTTCACTGCAAAGAGAGCTCATTTGAAACTTGCACCTAACATTCGCCAGTCTTTACTTTTCACTAACTGTTTGTCAGGCTACGTTTTAGAATCGACTTTACAGCCAAAGATCAACTTGAAGATGAGGGTGAATGTTGTTAAAACTTGGCTCAAAATCGCAATTTCGTGCCTTTACTTACGTAATTTTAACTCTCTTGCTGCCATTATAACTTCCTTACAATCACATTTAGTCACAAGATTATCAAAGGTTTGGGTTGAATTATCGGTCAAATATAAGGACTTGTATGATTACCTTTCAGGGATCGTTCATCCCGATAAGAATTATACTATATACAGATCAAAGTTGAGGAATTTCTTGGTTGCCAATGATTACAATGTTCCAATTGTACCATATTTCTCGTTATTTTTACAAGATATTACATTTGTAACTGACGGAAACCCAAATTACAGAAAGGCTAATTCGTTCTTAAATCAGAAATTGATCAATATAGACAAGTACTTAAAGTTGACTAGAATCATTGCTGATATTGAAAGCTTACAAATTCCTTATACTGAGAGCCAGGCAAGAGCCACATCCAATTCACTCGCGTCAAACGCAAACAAGAGAAATACAATCTTCTCCATTAGTAAACCTACTCCAGATAAGTTTGAAGACTATCATATTATTCCTGTTCCCTCTTTACAGGAGCTTGTCTTACTTGAGCTTTGGAAAGTTTGCCAATTGAATAGAAAGGAAGAAGACAGGGCGTGGAAGTTAAGTTGTTTGATTCACCCTAGGGAAGCTACCTGAGCCTAGGTTTCAAAGCAAATAATAAATGAAATAAAAAAAAGAAAAAAGAAAGAAAAAAATAGGTAAGAAACGTCGAAACCAAAGGACTTTTATAAATTTAAATAAAATACGGTGTATTTTTGTGTATATCTACGATCTAACGAACAATCCAACTATTATCATTAAACAATATATTTTGTAAGAAGTAATTTTTTTAACGGCAAAAATATGCAGCACTATGCATAGAAAAAAAAAATTGCTGCAAAGGTGAGAAACGTGACAAGCCTATTCAACATCACAAGTTGCAACTCCAAGTTCAGAATCACCTTGGCCAAAGTATAAGAACCATTTACCTTTAAATTGAACAATTCCTTCGGTGAATACAACTTTATCAACTTGGCCATTTTTCTCGTTATCTTGGTCAGGGATAAGGATGGGCTTTTCTAGTCTTGCAAGTGGTCCTCCTGTAATGTCATCATAATCGACTAGCATTTGCAGGATGGAATATGTATCCTTTGGAAGATCACCACCGCCTACTGTTGCAGAATTGTAGAAGAGTACGTAATGATTTTTTTTAGAATCTTTCTTGTACTGAATTTTAATTGGAGCTGGACCTGGCTCAATTAATTTATTTTGCCATGTAAAGATTCCTTTTGCGAATATACTAGCGTGGTAATCATTCGTTCTTAATTTCCAGTGTTTCAAATCATCAGATTCAGCTAAGTGGAAGCAGCAGTCGCCCCAAATCATGTAATATTTGCCAGTGTATTTGTTCTTTTCTGTAAAGACAGCACCCAGCTTCAGCCAAGCATTTCGAATAATAGTATCACCATTACTGACAACGGCTATATCATTCCAACTTTCATCAGGATAGATAATCGGAGGATATTTCTTCCATTTGAATAGATTCTCGGATGTTGCAACACATAATCTAGCATGGTTTCTATCGTAAGCAGTATAAGTCATAATGAAAAGTTTGGATTTGGGGTCTCTTACAATTCTAGGATCTTCGCAGCCACCGCCATTTTCCCAAGGTTCCGTTGGATACAAAACAGGCTCAGGAAATCTTTTGAAATTATAACCATCTTTTGAAACTGCTATCCCCACGCTCGACGTTAAGGCAGCATTTTGTGCTCTATAGAAGAGGAAAACCTTGTCATCTACCACTATGGCAGTGGCATTGTAAATATATGCACTCTCAAAATCGTTTTCTGGGTTAGGAGTCAATATTGGGTTATGTGCATATTTTTTAAAGTACGGACCAATTGGGAACGAGGAAGGTGGCTTATAATTCAAGTCACCATCGACTGAATCTTTGCTAATAACCGGGATAATCATAATGAAATAAACAATTGAAAGAAAAGAAGGGTATTTTTGGCAGATGAAATTTCGTAGCGTAGGCTCAATTCAATACTTATTGCGTTAAAATGATGCAGTGCTATTTTTGTGTCATGCACAATTAAACGTGCATTGATATACGAAGCATAACAGTCCCGATCCAATGTAGTGAAAAATAACCGTTGGTGAGAACTGTGCTTGGCTACTAGTAATTGAACAACTGGGCTAAATATGTGACGGTGAAAAAAGAGATTAATTTCCTAAAGAAGCTATGTTTTTAATCGGATGGAAGGCTATAGAGGTAATTAAGCAGAAATGCAGTTAAAAAGTAAAGAAATAGTGAAACAAAATTGAAAACATATATAATTTTTAAAGATTTTGCATCAGTGAGCAACAACTATGTTCACTTGAAAATCAGCCAGATACCCACGAAAAAGACTATGAAGTCAGTAGATTTGAATAGTATTGCAGGCAAGGTGGATATCATTTCCTATTAATTTTCACTCTTTTGATACTTTACTACATCCATCGTGCTTATAGGTGGTGGCCACAAAGTTGCAAATTGCAATTATGTAAGGAAAAAGAGGCACCTGTATGCGCAAGAAACCTACCAGTCCGAGCAGAAACAGCAATCGAGCGCTTGTATCTCAGACTGGTCCTATGCACAAGCTTAAGCAGTATCGAATGAGACGATGGGGGCGTATAGTTGGCAAGTGGTACCATGCTAAACGCCCCGAACAGTCTACACCCAGAGCTTCCCTTGCTATATTTAACCTTGCGCAACCATACATTTTTTTCTCGCTAAAAAAAGAAAAAAAGATAACTCCGGCCCAGTAAGTGACAGAGTAGATTTAAATATAAGATCTAAGCAGCTCAAAGCAACTCGACTCAGTCAAATAGCATTTCTCATGTATTTTCTCTCCTAGCGTAACTTAATGTATTTCCTCCCCTTTAAAGTCACCGGTCGCCTAAACCCTCTTCCTTCCCACCTGTCATTATTTTCTTAGTTTCGCCTGTCTTATCCAATCTGGAAGTTGCTTATTGATTTAGTGATGTCGCGCGATAAATGAAAGGCACAAAATCCGAAAGGGAAAAATAACAAAAAAAAAAACCAAAAAATAAACCAGAAAAAAAGACAACAGTCTTCTTAGAAAGTAGGTGCAACTGATTCTTACTTGGATTACTTCAAAACTAGTAGTAATAGCCTGATTTTCAAGAAGCTCTTCAATTGACCCTGTAGTCGAGTGTAGGAAATTAAATACGAAAGAAAAGTGAAAGAATTTTGAGATTCAACGCCAGAAATACATCAGCATAATAATAATTGAGCAAGGTAGAATATTTATACACCAGTAAAGCGCCCCCCTAATAACATCAAGAGGAAACCGAACAAAACAACACAACAACAAAACCCAAACTCAAAAAATTGATAGTCATACATCTTCATCGCGCACAAAATGGGACAATTGCTTTCACACCCGATCCAAGAAAAGGACCTCCTGCTAGTCCCCCACCAATCCCTCACTTGCACCATTGGTTCCATGCAGGGATATCGTATGACCATGGAAGATGCACATAAAGTAAAGGTAAATGAGGACGAAACGTTGGCACTCTTTAGCGTGTTTGACGGGCATGGCGGGAGGTCAGCAGCAGACTATGTGTGCGACCATTTACCGACATTGATATTTAAGAAGCTTAACGAACAGAGACGAAAAGTGGTGTTGAAGGATGGGGGCCCGCTGCAGCTCTCTAGTTACCTATCCATAATCAGAGACTCCTTTTTCCAAGTCGATCATGATCTTGCCAACAAGGACTCCACACATTGCGGCACCACCGCGATTGTCACAGCCATGGTGGAACTGAAGTACATCATTGTAGCCAACACTGGAGACTCACGCTGCATATTATCGTTACCTGGGGGAAATTCCAAGACGCTATCATACGACCACAAGCCTTGTAACATGGGAGAAAGAGTTCGAATTGAGAATGCGGGTGGGTACGTTATAAACAACCGTGTCAATGAAATATTGGCTCTCTCACGAGCGTTTGGGGATTTCAAGTTCAAGATCCCCTATGTGGAGCCTTCCCGGGACTATTACTATAACGATACCAACAAAAAACTATTCAAAAATGGATTGGTCAACATCCCACCAGAATTGAACCAGGTTACGGTAGAGCCGGACTTATTGGTGTATGACTGCGAAAAGCTACCATTACCGGAGTTCATCATATTGGCGTGTGACGGGATTTGGGACTGTTACACTAATAAGGAATTGATTCAAGTGATAAGAAATAAATTAGCATTGGGTATGCTGTTGATGCACATAACAGAGGTGGTATTGAATAATTGCATTGAAATGGCCAACAACATCACGGGGATAGGGTTTGATAATATGACGATTATAATAGTGGCTATACACCCGAATGGGAACATAGACGAATGGCATGAAATGATGAAGGAAAGGATATTGAAGGAGAAGAATATTACTTGAGCGAAGCGGATATATATATAGGGCCGGATCTGTTACTAGTGAATACAGGCAAGGGAATATAGGCTAGTGCGCAAGACAGACGGTCTTTTAAAAGGCATATATGAGTAAAACATTCGAATTAAAGAAACTCAACGGTTTTAGAATGGTTAATAACTACCGATACATTTCGGGTTAGTCCACAATTGATTATTTTTTCTTCTTTTTTTTTTTTTGTACCTATACATATATACATAAAAAAACGTATATTTATACGCTTTCTGTACATGCACAGATCTCGAGAAGAGATATGCGAAGAGCCCGGAGCAAGCAACTGTATGCAAAAGCAGAGACTAATGGATAAAGTATAAGCATACTGCCAGCATACTGCCCGCAGACTAAAACATACCACATTGAACTTAAGGTTTATCTGACCCGTTCTACTGGTTCTAAATCCCGATCAATTGCGATGCTCCCCAAGGCAGGGTCCCACAGCAAAGCTAGCAGGGAGAAAGGAAAAAAGATTACCGCCCTTCCCCACTCCGCATCAATAGACGGTAGAGATGGTACACCAATGGTAACAGACAATTCCTTACCTATCCCTTCTCTATCAGCCACGCATTCCTTCGCTTGCTTCACATAGTATAATTATTTTCTACAGAGTCTCCATACCCATTCTACATGACCCCCGGTAGTATGGTATGATTCGATAATCAGATCATTTCACTCATCATCTTTTTTCCAGTGCTCTTTTCGGTGTGGACTATTTCTCTCTTTTTGTATTTTTTTTTTTCTTTTTTTTTTTTTTTTTTTTTTTTTTTTTTATTATTTTATTTATTTTTTTTTCAGATTTTCTTACTTGGAGAAAAGCTTAAAGTACAAAAACAAAAGGAGTAGTTGTGAAAGGAACACCACTCCGGCTAGGAATCTGTACAGACACCCCAAAAAGGTATTTAGAGATACCTCGTTGCATTATACCCATTTGTACGAACCTCGTTCCGTGGTCATTATATTGTTCAGTCGTGTAGCAAAGGCTCACAATAGGATCTCGGTCAGGTGATAGAGATAGACCAACAGGAAGATCCAAAGAATACCTTCTCCCTTGCCAGATATAGAACACAAACGGTACTGAAGAGTCAATTTCTCCTTTTCGCATCAGCATAGACACTAGCATCCTTTTAGGCATACAAATCATAGAAATCATAGGCATTTAGCTTCACCTGAAGGGCTCCATCGTTAAACAAGAACGAACATTCTATTGCACACGCTCACATAGCGTATAAACATCTATTCATCTTACTATACACACAGCATGGAAGTCGCTTCTTATGAAGATCCAATCTTAAAACTTGCTAGGGACCCGGATTTAAACAAGGAAAAGGACAAAACCTGCCAATTAATACATATCATTAACAATTTCCCTCTCACAGAGAGAAGAATATCCAAGCTATGTCAACTTTCGTTAACCATTTTGCAGAGCTTGGAGAAAATCGAACTCAACCTGAAGAATTGGCAATTCTTGTCATTAGACATAAACTCAGAGACCCATTTTAACGAAGACTACGAGGAGAATAGCGTGCTTCGTAAGTTTAACAATAACATAGCCCTGAAGGTATTGCTCCTGTGTCAGGACTTCCAGAAGAAGTTGCATAGAATCTCACAAGATCTTGATTTCATTACGAGGTCTCTGAGGACGCTATCACCTCTAGAGTTTTTACTGGATAGTGGGACGCTATTAACACAATTGACCTTGCGTAACATCAAGTTAAAGGATGAATTAACTGATAAAATCACCGTAGCATACCTGAGAGCTAAGTTGATAAATATAGGGACAGATTTGGAAGAGATGTTGAGCCAGAGTGAAGATGGAGACTCTGAAACAGATCAAACCGTAGCTACTTATAAAAGTTTTGTAGTGAGTCTTCTCAAACAGTTGAATAATTCCATCGAACAAGAGGACTTGCAAGACAAATACGAATGCTTAGCGGTCATCAGCGATATGGAAAAGATGTTTGAAGCATTTAAACTCGAAAAGCTTCAAGAAGCTGCCGAACTAGCTGCTGACAGAGAAAGAGAGAGAATGATGAATGAGATGGATGCCAAATTAGCAGCTTTACCTGATCCAGATGAAGAATTTGTGTACGTGGGTTCGCCAGAGGCGACCACTTCTCCAGCTAATTATGCCAGTCACAAGAGCAATGCAGGATCTGGAGTTTCTGCTGTATCTGACGATGGGTACGACTCTGACATGGGTACCAGTTCTACAATGTTCTCCTCTATGTATTCTTCTCACCATCAACCACCTCAAATTCATTCTATTACTAGAACGAACCACAACTCATCAAACACAAATGCTTCATTGCATGGCCGCAGAGACTCTGTCGCATCTTTATCAACATCCACGATTCTTCACAAAACTACCATCGCAGAAGAAATGCCATATTTGATGTCAGCTTTCGATCTGGCCAGGAATTTCGAAGAAGATATAAGCCACTACAAGCCAGAGAAAGATGAAAAGGAAAAGAGTGAATCTAATACTGATATTAGCAGCAGTAGTAGAAGTAGCAGTGCTAATTCTATGTCACAAAGTTCTCCTGATATAAGTTCCACGTCTCCAGATAGTTCCACATCAAATTTATCTGCATCCATTCAAATTCCCAGCGGAGGTCATTTTTCCAGCATATCGAACAAGTTATCGGCAAAGAATTCACTTTATGCAGAGAGTACGATACTCAAAAACTTACCACTGCCATCGTCATATCTTTACTCTAACAGTTCCCTCTTGTCCAAGCTTGGTATCAAGCCACAAGTTGTCACTGCGGACTTACCTTCGAGGGGTCTCAGTTCCAGAGCGGTGCAACCTGTTTCAGCTATGGGTTCGAATACTAGTGCAAATATAGGATTCATGTCTCACAGCTATCATCCAGCACTTCCAGGTAAGGAAAATGGGGAAGAAGAACAGGATAAGAAGGATAGAGCTCAAAAATTGATGACAAGCTCTATGCCGAGTTTGCCAATTGAGCCAAGCCCATTGACATTGGCAAACTTGGCATCTTTGACGCAACACGGCGAGGTTGAGTAAACAAGATGAAACTTGGGAAGAGCTAGGAAGGAGCGGAAGAGAGTAAAATAATGAGAGGTGGGAAACAGAATGCAAGAAGTGGGAAGTACTAAAAGAACTTAATGAACCAGCAGTGTAGGCCAAAGAAAGCAACCAAGAAAGTTTACGTACGAAATTTTCAGTATCGCTTATTATCGTTAATGGCGATCTTCAGCGTTTAGTGAAAATTTCGTAGCCCACTGCAGAATACAGGGCAGCACATTCATTTTCATATGTACCACTTGCATACTTTCTCAATACTTTTAATTCTTCTGGCCGTTCCATTCCTTGCGTGTTTACAATGTAGTGGATGCAGTATTTTAGGAATTTTTTAGGTATGGGTTATATAATAATAATAGCAGAATAGACACAATTTATAATAGATAGCGACCCACTCCGCGGGTATGAATGCTTCAAGCGCGGTATAACGGGGTCCTTTTTTTTTTTTTTTATATTTTTTTTGCTTGCTTGCTTGCCTCGGAGCTGATAATTGAAAAGCCCGTATCGTATTTCCACAAACGAACGCATCTCTATTCTTAAGATCAGCAATGTCATTCGGAAGAAAGTTGAAGAGTTCTAAAGAGGACAATGATCCTTTCATTTCAATAAACCGAGATAGACCTTTAAGAATTGCACTTCTAGGCGGTAGAAAGTCCGGGAAGCTGAGTATTGCATCTAGATTGAGCTCTGATGTAACTTCCGACACATACTACCCTACACACAAAACAAATGCCCTTTTGTTTCAATTTTTTCCACATCATCTAGATTCAAGAGCATTCTTGGACCCTACAGAGATACATTTGGAACAGTACACACGAAATAGAGTGCAAGCAAACGAATCGAAAGTTGACGAAGACATAATATTGAATTCTGTGCTTCGAGATGTAGGTAAAAGCCGCACGTTGTCTAAAAAAGTTGGGGCCCTGACAAGGAACAATGACAGTGGTGAAGGTGACTGGGAAATAAAGAGTAAGACGGAATTCTACAAATGTCTTAGGAAACAGGGCGACCAGGAAAAGGGACCCCCTCAAATTTCTCCCATTCTCGTAGAATTAATAGACACTCCACCGTTCAATCCGGATCAAGTGGTACCCTTTCTTGAGAACTCCCTTTATATGAAGTTGGATCCACAAATTTTGAAAAACTTGGCAAACGAACCTTCCAAACCTGTACTGACTAACCCATTGTTGGTTGCCAGTGGTGCTGGAGAAATGAACGGTTATGTTGATGGGTACTTTTTTGTGTATCTGGCTATTCCCACATATAACCCACCTCTGTATAATGAGAGTGTGAGCAAGAAGGCAGAGGACGAGCCAAACATGCCCCAAAAGAGCTCTAGTAATACCAATAGTATTGCTGACATGCTTGAAGTTTCACCTGGCGATTCTACGTTCAAACTCCTATTGACCATTAAAGATGCGCTTGGAGAAGCATGGAAGGAATACAATAGCTACACAGCAAACTGGAAGCGAGGTGCCGAAAGCGATATTTTCCTGTTTAAAGGAGCAATGAAGAATATGTGGGGCAAGAGCAGACCAGAATCAAACTTACGGGAGGTGTATACACTGGAGCCAAATAACTCCAAAACTTTCTTGGAGAGTCCGCCAATTTGGTTGATTTGCACTCATGTTGATAGCGAATTGGCACTGCCGCAGTTGATTGAGAATGGTAAGAAATTGGCGAAGCTATGGAATAGTGGGTTTTTAGCGGTAGACTGCACGGATGAAGAAGGCAATGTGGAGCAAGCCTTGAGCTTGCTAATAAGAGAGATAGTCGAGAGAAAGCAATAGGAAAACAAGGCAAGGTCATTTTCATAATTATATAAACGAGACTCAGGAAATGCAGAGACGACCATCTAACCATTGGATTGGATTATTCATAATTGAGCTCTAGCAGGGGACTGCTCTAGCAGGGTACAAGTTATCTGAATTTAGGAATTAGGGAAGGGGGAACTGTCTTGCTAGGATTAATGAAAACTTGGGAACTACACGGTGAACTCCAGTCCTATGCTAGTGGTACTTCTGAGGAACGATTAGCGTTCTTATACACATTTTTTTAGCAAACTTTCCTCTAACACAAAACGACTAGGATCATGATTTACAATACTCTAGTTACACATATTTACGTACTCTCAAATTAAAAGAAGAGATCACTGTGCTGAGCACCGACATCAATGGCCATACCATACTAGTAGGTAACCTTACACCTGGAACCCATATCGCTATATGCAGTACGCGCAACTGCGATAAGATATGAGGTTACAAATCAGCACGTACTCCAGCTGTATGAGTCTACTCCACAGACTATCGTAATCATCAAGTTATCGACACAAGAACATCGTAAATATAACATTTTTACCTTTAATATACTATTTGTAGCATTGCTGATGATTTTAAGTTAACAAGGTACTTTATTAATGAATGACTTACTAGGATGTCCTTGTTCGGTTTGCGGAGTGCAACAACAGGCACTTTGTGCAAATTGTTGTAACGAAATGATTGAAGTAATAAGGAATTCGTGTATCGAACTAGATAGTATCAAGCATGCATCACAGGAGGAAATTAATAGAGTCTTTGAAATATCTATGCGATTGCAAATTGAAAGTGGCAATAAACCATCAACTGGAAGGAACGAAGCTGTTGTACTTGATGTAGAACCAAAGCAAAAGAAGAGCCGAACACCTGACACGGTTGAGTTTCCAGAAGAGGTCGATGATCATTACTCACAAGAACCTCTTATAAACAAGAACATTCCAATTGCCTCCAGTGCAGCGATCAAAGTCCTTACTCAACAATTGCTCAAATTGCAAATCGTCAATGAGAAAGTAAAGGTCATTGGAATTGAAAAGACTATCGACTCATATAAGAAGAAGAATGCCAAAACATCCACTCAAGTTCAAAATTTAAAAAGCTTAATAGAATCCGAAAGAGCCAAACTTGAATCATCCAGTGCTAAAATCACAGAGAACTACTCCAAGAGAAACTTGCAATTGGAGAATGACAAGGTGTTCGAGTACTTGAAAATAAGCAGAGTAAAGAAACAGGCGTTGAGGCTACAGGAGGAGAACTACAATATTTTAAGGGAGATTGTATTTTCTAAATCAAAAGGCAGTAATAACTCATATCTTTCCAAGCTCAAAGGGAAGAAACAGCTTTTGTTCTTCAAGCAGCCTATAATAAATATTGAGAACTTCTTCGCCTACAACAGTAAACTCGAGCAATTGAATACATTTTTGGAAAGTCTTATAACACTACAAATGAAGTTGGTTGAGGTATTTGATGATGACTTGAGTACGCATACGTTGCCACATTTAAAGGAACTTGAAAATTTTCTCCCCAACCTGAAGTTTTTTGCATTGGTAAAGGAAAAAGAAGTTCAAATGATAGGAAACAACGAAGATGAGAACGAGAATGAGGATTTAGATGAACAGCAAGCACCGGAAAATCTTTCAGTTGTTGAGGATGGTGCTGAAGGTACAGAAAGGACCAAAACTATGATAAACCTCGGCGATGCAACTAAGTTACCGTTATCGTCCAAAACAATTAATAATCAAAGAAGAAAATCTATAAGGGAAGAAAAGGATGGTAGCCCAAGGCTGAATGCCTCTCCAAAAGGCAAAAAGGGCAATATAAAGGAAGCTAAAGGCAAAAAGACCAACAAACCTACTGAAAAGAACGGCAAGTCTCCTTTGATTGGGAAAAGGGTCGTAATTATTCCTCACAAAATCATAACCAAGCCATTCACGAAGCTTACCCCAAAAGAATTCATCAAGTTTTTACAAATTATAATAAAGATATTGATCAACTTCAAGGTAATCTTTAAGCATACCAAGGCCTTAAATGAAGTATACAAATTCGATAGTATTCTACAGCATGTGACATCCATGGGCGATGAATACTTTGAAACGAAGCTAAAAATGATCGAATCAAACGCAGAGAGTATTAAAATACAAGGTACTCAACCAGAAGAAACTTCCTCTCAACTAATTGAAAATTCGTTGATGACTTCTCCCAGCTCTGGATCCATATCACAGATGTCGAAAAAGTCTAGCATCTCCAACATATACTCTAGAATATTCGGACCAACTAGAGAACAATTGAGGAAAGAACAGTTGAGGCTACCATCTACTCCAAAGATCATATCTGGGGGAACCTTCGGCAACGTTAGCGAAATGAGAGACAGCTTTGAATCAGACAGTAATCAAATTAAAGATAATGGGAGTAGCAGAGAGGAATTGGATATCAATACTGGAAACAGAGGAAGTGAAATGAAGGTAACAATGCAGCGGGTTTATCAGATCATGACTGGAGGCGGCAACAATAAGATGATTTCCAGTAGAACACACCTTGACGATTGGGATGTGATCAGTAAGATGATGTAAAAGATTGAGCATAGTGAGCGTGGTGGGAAGTAAGCGAATGGAGGAAGGAATACATTGCATAGCAGATAAATAAATAATTAAATAAACAAATAGAAAAAAAAAACAAAAACAAGTAGACAAGTAGGCAAATGGACTCAGCATTGACAACATTGATCAAAAAAAAGAGAAGGAAAGAGGCTCTCTGACCAGTATGTATAGCCATGTTTATCTTCACCTCTTCCAAGTCGATGGTGCACCATTGAAATTTTGCACCCAGTAATTTGCAATAGAAAAAAGAGAAAAAAATTTAAGAAAACTGGCCAATGGAGACGAAGAACGCCTGCAATTCTGTGTCTAGATGTGCCAAAATTTTTTTTGCAAGCTGACCGACGCAAGCACTCCTCTGCCGAACGTCCAACTTACTCTTTCCTTGCAATTTTCTTTAACGCTGACTCCTTTACCATGTCCTTTACGGAACCCGTAGTATGGCCATCCGAATCCCACTAAGTATCGTGAGCCGCACCTGCACACTATTTATTACTGGCTGTCTAATTTTTTTTCAAGCACTCTGCCGGCTCCAGGTCGTGCCCTGTCCAACAACCCCTTATCATTTATTAGGCAAAAGCCAAACCAACGCTCTAACGTTGGCAACTCTTTCCAAGAACGGCAAACAGAAAGTTATCAACAATAACCTCGATTATATTGTTTCTAAGGATCTTCCATTGCAATTGAGTTGTATAATTAGCTAGTAACGTTCTCTTTTAGTTTCCAATCGCAAAAATGTCGTTGTCTGATAAAGAATTATTTGAGTTAAATAAAAAGGCCGTCACCGAGGGTTTCAAGATTAAGCCAAGACTTGAATACAACACTGTCGGTGGTGTTAATGGTCCATTGGTTATCTTGGATAACGTCAAGTTCCCAAGATATAACGAAATTGTCAACTTGACTTTACCAGATGGATCCAAGAGAGCAGGGCAAGTATTGGAAGTCAGAGGTACCAAGGCTATTGTCCAAGTTTTCGAAGGTACTTCCGGAATCGATGTCAAGAAGACCAAGGTTGAATTCACGGGTCAAAACTTGAAGATCCCTGTCTCTGAAGACATGTTGGGTAGAATTTTCGATGGTTCAGGTAGACCAATTGATAAAGGTCCAAAGATTTTCGCTGAAGACTACTTGGATATTAACGGTTCTGCCATTAACCCATACGCTCGTATTTATCCAGAAGAAATGATTTCCACTGGTATCTCTGCCATTGATACTATGAACTCCATTGCTAGAGGGCAAAAGATTCCTATTTTCTCTGCTTCTGGTTTACCACATAACGAAATTGCTGCTCAAATTTGTAGACAAGCCGGGTTAGTCAGACCAACCAAGGATGTCCATGACGGTCATGAAGAAAATTTCTCTATCGTCTTCGCCGCTATGGGTGTTAATTTGGAAACTTCCAGATTTTTCAAACAAGATTTCGAAGAAAACGGATCCTTAGACAGAACTACGTTGTTCTTGAATTTGGCTAATGATCCAACTATTGAAAGAATTATTACTCCACGTTTGGCCTTGACCACCGCTGAATACTTGGCTTATCAAACCGAAAGACATGTTTTAACCATTTTAACTGATATGTCTTCTTATGCTGATGCCTTGAGAGAAGTCTCTGCTGCCAGAGAAGAAGTTCCAGGTAGAAGAGGTTATCCAGGTTATATGTATACCGATTTGTCCACTATTTACGAAAGAGCTGGTAGAGTTGAAGGTAGAAACGGTTCCATCACTCAAATCCCAATCTTAACCATGCCTAACGATGATATCACCCATCCAATTCCAGATTTAACTGGTTATATTACCGAAGGTCAAATTTCTGTTGATCGTCAATTACATAATAGAGGTATCTACCCACCAATTAACGTGTTGCCATCATTGTCTCGTTTAATGAAGTCCGCTATTGGTGAAGGTATGACTAGAAAGGATCACGGTGATGTTTCCAATCAATTGTACGCCAAGTACGCTATTGGTAAGGATGCAGCTGCCATGAAGGCCGTTGTTGGTGAAGAAGCTTTATCTAATGAAGATAAGTTGTCATTGGAATTCTTGGAAAAGTTCGAAAAGAACTTCATTGCCCAAGGTGCTTACGAAGACAGATCCGTTTTCGAATCTTTGGATCAAGCATGGTCTTTGTTAAGAATTTATCCAAAGGAATTATTGAACAGAATCAGTCCAAAGATCTTAAACGAATTCTATGATAGAGAAAGATCGCAAGACGATGAAGAAGAAGATGAAGAAGAAGACAAAAAGGATGAAAACTTAATTGAAGCTTAGAAATAATAAGACGTGGAACCATAGTGTAAAAATATTGTTTACAATCCAGAAAGCTACAAAATACAATAAAAAAAAACATAACAATTGAAACTTTGAATTGAATTGAGTAAAAAGCAATGCTCTCACCTATCATCAATCATTGTCTTTATTTCTTCGACATCTTTAACTATTTAGACTTATCAAAAACGATTTAAGAATAAAAATAATTTCCTATAAGCATTCCATTCAACAAAGTGTAAACCATAATCAGTTGTAAATTATCTTTTATTATATTACTCTATTTCTCTAATGCTATACACAAATGCTATTAACTTATTGTTGCTGTTGTTTCTTCTTTTCGTTACCAATGTAGTTGATAGCAGAACCGGCCTTAAAGAATTCAATTTGATCTTTAGACATGGTGTGCTTACACAAGATATCGAACTCAGATCCGTCCTTCTTGGTCACCTTGATAGTCAATTTACCTCCATTGTTACCATCCTTAGCTACCATATCGACCAAATCAACAGTAGTCAATAAGTCTCCTGCGGAGATTCTATCGTAGTCAGCTTCATCAGCGAAAGTTAATGGTAACATACCTTGTTTCTTTAAGTTGGTTTCATGGATTCTGGCGAATGACTTGACCAAAAGAACTTGACCACCAAGGAATCTAGGTGACAATGCAGCGTGCTCTCTGGCAGAACCTTCACCGTAGTTGTGTTCAGCAACGACAATCCAAGGTCTTCCATCTTGCTTCCATTTGATCATTAATTCTGGGATACTATATTGGTCACCGTTTAAATCGTATGCTTTGTTAACTTCACCAGTTTCCTTGTTAACTGCACCAATCAATGTGTTGTATGAAATGTTTTCCAAGTGTCCCTTGTACTTCAACCAAGCACCTGCGGCTGAAATATGATCGGTGGTACACTTACCCTCAACCTTTAATAATACATTGGTAGATAATTCAGAACCAGTCCAAGGAAGGAATGGGTCTAGCAATTGCAATCTGTCAGATTCTGGGGAAACATTAACTTCGACATCAGATTTTGGTTGTGGTTGAAGTTCTGGGTAAAATTCGGCTCTACCTGGAATGAAACCACTGGATGGTAATTCATCACCGGTTGGAGCTACGAATTTGAAATCTTCCCCATTTGGTAATTTGATGGAGTCTGTGATTGGGTTGTAGTTGGAGTCACCAGAATAAATCATAGCTGTAACCATATCTGGAGAGGTTAAGAAATTCATAGTATTTCTGTTACCATCGTTTCTTGCACGGAAATTTCTGTTGAATGAAGTGAAAATTGAATTGAACTCAGTTGAGTCCTTGCTAACATCAGTTCTATCCCATTGACCGATACATGGACCACATGCATTTGCCAAAACGATGGCACCGTTGTTTTCAAAAGTCTCGATTAATCCATCTCTTTCAATGGTAGCACGAATTTGTTCAGAACCTGGGGTAACAAAGAATGGGATCTTTGGTTTCAAACCAACAGATTCAGCTTGCTTGATAATGGAGACTGCACGGGACATATCTTGATAGGAAGAATTTGTACAAGATCCAATAAGACCAGCGGAAACCTTTGAAGGCCAGCCCTCTTGAGCAGAAGTAGCACCAAACTTAGAAATTGGGGTAGACAAATCTGGAGTGAATGGACCATTTACATGTGGTTCTAATTCCAGTAAATTGATTTCTACAATTTCATCGTATTGGGCGCCCTTATCAGCTCTCAAGAAGTTGAATTGCTTGTTGGCCACATCAGCAGCCTTAGATATAGGCTCTCTACCTGTTTGAATTAAATATCTACGGTGAGCATCTTGGTAAGGGAAAGTGGAAGTGGTTGCACCAATTTCAGCACCCATATTACAGATAGTAGCCATTCCTGTACATGACAAAGATTCGACACCTTCGCCGAAGTATTCTACAATGTAACCAGTACCACCTCTTACAGTCAAGATACCAGCCAATTTAGTGATGACATCCTTTGGTGTAGTCCATCCAGACAATTGACCTGTCAATTTAACACCCATAATCTTAGGAGCCTTCAATTCCCAAGGCGTACCAGTTAAGGCGTCAACGGCATCAGCACCACCAACACCAATAGCAATGGCACCTAAACCACCAGCGTTTGGGGTGTGTGAATCGGTACCCAACATCATCAAACCTGGAACGGAGAAGTTTTCCAACACAATTTGATGGATGATTCCTGAACCTGGACCCCAGAATTGAATACCATACTTTTCACCACAACTTTGCAAGAAATCAAACACTTCTTTGTTAGTAGCGATCGATTTGGTTAAATCTTCTTCGGCACCATCTTTACCAACAATCAAGTGATCACAGTGGATAGATGCTGGGACAGCAGTGGAGCTCATACCACAGGTCATGAATTGCAACAAAGCCATCTGAGCAGAGGCATCCTGCATGGCAACTCTATCTGGATTCAATTTCAAGTATTGTTGACCTCTAATGTTAGAGAGCTGGCCCTGGCATGAAGCCAACGATTCTTCAGGGTCAACCAAATGTGAATATAAGATCTTTTCTGCAAGTGTCAAAGGTTTGTCACCCACAATCTTGGATACCACTTCAAGCTTGGAGATGAGCTTTTCATATGGTGGGGTTCTAGATGTGAAATCTGATGGAACATGAAGTCCAGAATAGTTAGCCTGGGTAGCTAAACTTCTGATAGACCCCCTTTGAGAACGAATTGATGAACGGGCAGCAAGCATGTTTACTGAGAGAACGACGGTATCAAGCAGTAACTCTCTTGTGATGTTGGTTTTATAAAATATTTTTCGAATTTTTCAAAACCTTGATACAAGTGAAAAATTTCACAATCAACATCCAGTCACCCTGCGTGAATGGACTTCCAATAGATTATGGTTCTGATCTTATGACTCAGCGCAGTGCGGCTACCGATACCATCAACTTTGTAGAAGGGCATTCTGGGCGAAGGAAGAAATATAGCGATGTTGACTTTTCACGTGCCAGTTCACGCGCTAAGTAGGCTGGGGTTATAGTGGTTGCACATTTTGAGCTGGAGCCCACAGGAAGGGCCAGTGATGTCTAATCCTCAAGGTAAGTCTTCAAAGGGAAGTTCAACTCCTTCGCGATTGACTCTGCTGTAGACCATGACATATTACACTTCCATCTAGCTTGAGAAGAAAGTACATCAGAACTGGTTCTTTGAACCAAACCTAGTGAAGCTAATGTAGCTAGTTGACTGTTCACGTCAATATTTGCATTTAAGGTGAAAGTAGCCAATTCTTTATCCCAGTTATCATTCTCTTCTTCAATCATGTGTAATCTCTCTATACTTGCACTCAATGAAGAAGACTCATTTCTATATATAACCGTCAATATACTCAACATCCTCTCCAATTCGAAAGTTCCTGGAGTAAGCAATCTGGTGTCTATATTCTGCCTAGTCATTTGTTGTCTTGAAGATTTAGAAGGTTTAGAAGGTGACAGCTTTTTATTACTCTTCTCAGCTCTAAGAGTTTTCAATTTGGAAAACATTTGTAAGTCATTTTTGGGCTCGATAAGAGAAGCCAAATAGCACGCCATAAGGATAAATTGAGAATGTACAGGTAAATCAAACAGACTACTGCTGTTCGTTTTGTTGGACTCTGTTTCGTTGTACGGTTCAACCAGAGATTGGCTGAACACGTTATCATCCAATATAGAAGTCCTGATCTCTCTATAAATTTTCAAGAAGTCTTGAGGTTGATATTTCCCTGATTCAATTGGTTTGGTGAAATGTTCCCAAAGTTCGTAACAAATGTCTATCAATACATTCATGCTTGATCCAGTGTATGAAAAGAATAAATCTACAATAATCTTGGTGTATTGGTTCCAAAAGTCCACTTGAATGTTTGTAGGAATCCTCAAGTTTGCATTAAACTCACACAACTGTTGCGATTGAAGGATATCAAGTACTTGATCTGGCTCGTATGCCTTGAAAAAGATCTGAGGCACACTAGAAGTAACGATTTCCTTCGGTAAATCTCCAGATATCACTAGCACTGTCGTCAAAAACTTCACGGTGGACTGTTCATGCAATCTGTTGAACGCCGTATACAAGTCATCAGCAATTTCCATATACTGATCAATTCGATCCAAAACTAAGACATGGGGCTCATTGTATCCAGTTTCATCGATGAATTGCTCCATGGCAATGATAAAATTCTCGAAATTTTCACAAACTCCTCCGAAGTTTGTTACTTCTCCACCTCTATAACTTACATTTTCACTATACTTGGACTTTGGGATACCACTATCTTCCCTAATCCTTTTCAAACATCTCTGTAGGAGCACTCTCTTAGTAACGCACTCATCACACCGAATGATAGTTTTCTTGACTCTCGGTGATAACCTGTTATTAAAAAATGAATCAAGGGTGTACGTCTTCCCTATAGATTTGTACCCATGCACTATGAGGGCAGGTACAGTTGTTGTAATATCATCAGTAATGAAAGCGGAAAGTAAATCAACCTCCTTCGAGCGATACAATGGTGTGGATTCCAAAACCGGCATGCTTTATAGAAGCAATTCTTAGACAGGAGTTGTAAGTTAATTTGGCTTGGCTTCTTAACCGTTTTGCAACTTGATGAGTTTCGGTCGAGCGATTTGAAAAGTATCGCGTATATTGAAAAGTCTAAGAAATTCGGACGCTTTAGGAAATACACTCTTTGATTCCGAATACACTTACAAACCAGGGCAATTACATTAATATTCTAATTAAGTTCGTCAATTTCGTTGTCTATGTCTACGTCTCTATAAATCCTCTAAATAACAGCAAATTATAAGTTCTGGCAACGTTCTGGAAAACAGATTTCCTCTTCTCTATTTCATGATAATTAATTGTTTCAACCCACTTACCAGAACATTTACAATAGGCACTTAAATTGTCACTCTTGATTTGATGACATTTGGAACACTTCAAATCTTGGACGTAGTATCTGGTCATTAATTTGCAATACTCCAGTATTAAATTCTCTTCCAATGCCACCCTATTATATGGCTTTGAGCATTTACCACAGCTCCAAATTTCCAGTTCCAGATCTCTACAGAAATCGATGTCTCTGATAAAATTGCAATAGTCACATACCACTAATGGGATTTTGAGAGATGTGGAAGGATTCTGGAAAATAGATTCCTTACTGAACTCCTTAATATCAAATATAGATAGCAATTCTTTTCTAAGAATTCTAACTTCGATATTTCTTCTGGCAAATAGTCCAAACACGGCACACAAGTATTTGACCAATTCGAGCGTTGGATTGGCCATTTTGAAGTATGATCCAGGTAAGTTAGGGAATTCGTACTCCTTTTTGAGCTCAGGGTTAAGAATGGATTCATTTTGCTTTTTCATAAGCTTCTCTATTCTGTTGAGTAAGGGCCTTCTAAATGAATCAATAATCTTAGTATCTACCACAGAATCGCTAATTTCCTTTTCTCCATTTTCTGAATCAGCTTCCTGTAGATTCTTTTGACCCTTCAAAATATGAGCTATTTGGGTCACTCTTTGATTACTATTACTACTACTTCCTTTTTGAGTACTCAACATAGTCTCGTTCTTATTCTTAGTCAAGGCATCCAAAAAAATGATTAGCCAATCTTCAAATTCATTTTGATATATTATTGGCAAAAAGTTTTGAATTTGCCATTGACTAATTGGATACAAGTCCTGAACATCTTCGCTAGTAATCTCGTAGCAGCATCTACCACCATAATTGTATTCGTCCATCCACACTAAGATGTCCCAATATCTAGAGATTTTCATGTCCAAGAAGTTGAATAACGGTTTACTTCTGGCCGCTTTGATAATGTACAGCCCATATGCATACGAGTTTTCAACTGAAACTTTAGATGTTTGAACGATTAATTTGTTTCTGTTTGCAAACACAACATTTGAATTCATTCTCCTAAATTCTCCGATTAATTGTAATAAGGTCTTTGTTGTCAAGTTATGAACGTGGTAATGCAATGCAAAGTCATACAAGTAAGAATCCTTCTTTTGCACCCAGGTAATTAAACTATTCATCATCGAATCTGCATTAATGTTTGATTTTAATGCATCATCCCACCAATCCTTCACCATCGATCTAAGAATACTCAAGGCAGGCGTACTGAAAGAATCCTCGGCTATCGTAGATGCCCCATTATTGCTATCAAAATGAACACCACCGTCAGCCAAATCTGAGCCCTCTGCTTCATTGATGAGTGAACTCGTAAGAATTGTATTGATAGTCAACGTTCCAATTTCAACCTCAAGACATGCAGTTTCGTATATATTAGGGTTGTTAATCTGAGGGAATTCTAAGTTTTCCAAATCCGTGGACTTATCCATTTCAAATCCTCCATGATCAGGTAATGGTTTCACTGACCACCAGAGAACAATATTTCCACCGATTAAACGTCTTGCATATTCTATATCAACCAAATATCCCATATTATCAATTTTTAAGTTACATAATGGAATATTCCCATATCTCGATAGAGTTATCAAATTCTTAATCCAAGAAGATAATACGAAGTAATGATTCATTATACGTTGAGAAATCAAGGATTGCCAGCCAATAGCAGGAAGTTGAAGCTCACTGATATTCATCTTAATGCTTGGGAAGTCATTGGTGGACTTTAGTATTGATTCCAATTTTTCAGGATAAGGTGATTGAATAGCAAGCATGGCCTTGTTTGATCTCTCACTATGTATTTTAGAAATGTAATCATTAACTTTTTTGTACATTTTCGTGCTTTCACTTTCTTTGAAATAAGATGTTTCGAAGTCCATGGTCTCTGGATATTCAATTACACCACTTCCACTTGCAATTTTTCCCTTCTTCGTTTGATAAAGATCTTCGTATATCTTCGACAATGTTGGCGGGAGCTCTTGAGCCGAATTGGATGGCTTCAAAATAAACATCCTAGCCTTGGAATCCCAGCTTTTGAAAATTGTGAAAAATTCATAGCTATTGGTAACGATGTGCAATAGATAAACTATGTCCATTTCAAATCTCTTCAAATAATCATCTGTGGAGTCAATCTTTGTAAGATCTTTCATGTTGAACCCGTTATTCAAACCTTTTCCTAATGCACCTACCTTTGTATCATCAAATTTGATGGAGTTTCCTAATTCGATAATTGCTCTTTCAACTGGGTCGATTTGTGTTTCATACAAGCCTAGTAAGTTTGAGCTTTGGAATACACTTTCGACATTTTGAACTTCATTCGCAAAGAAGTCTTCTGTCATGGTAAACTTATATAAGTTAGAAGCATCATGTCCATTTGGTAAAATAGCATTTGACTTTTCCATTTCCAAAACCATAGATTCGAGCTTTCGTATCCTTGAAGGTGTTAGTTCCGTTTTAAAAGTTGCAAAAAACTTCTTAGGAATGTGGAAATTGAAGACATGTAACTTTTTGTTTGCAAATACGTATACTTTAATATCTCCTGGTTTCAACGGATCCTGCTTATATTGTAAGATCTCCCAATTTGATCCTGATAATGATTTGGCTTGCTTATGTATCATACTACCAACGGAAGTTCTGTAAGAAGAGCCACTCGTAACACCCAAGACCTTATTTCTACTTTGCCTTTCAGCATCTTGCTTGATCCATCTTGCCTTTTGATATTGCAAAAAACCTGTATAATCTTCAAACATTGAAGGACACTCCCCATTTAAGACCGATGAAGCTTTTTCCTCTTCTTCTAACTGTTCAGAGATCTTCTCGTTTCTCATCCTCCTTTTCGATGAAGTTACCTTTGCAATTTTTGCTCGTCCAATACCATTACTATTGTAATCTATTTCCCCAAAGTCTTCTATGTCTCTTATCACCTTTGATTTCAAATCCACCTTTGATGTAGTTGTGAAGAAGTTACCAATCTGCTTTTGCTTCTTGGGATCTTCTCTTACCTTTATTTGTCTTTGTAACCAGTCTGGGTGAGCAATTCTAGGAACCGGATTTGGAACTCCTTGCAAGGCAGCAGGAATACTAATAATCTTTTGCACAACAGAAGCTAATCTCTCGTGGTAGTACCCCCAATCTAAGACACTCTTTGGGTCAAAATCTTGCAATGATGAATCTTTCAACCACCTTTTCAAGAAGTACTCTTTTCTATCTGAGGAAAAAATGGACACTGGAATTGCTCTTTCTGCAACTGGACTACCAACTGGCTTGCTACTGATAATATATTTACAAGCTAACCCGGCATCTTTGACCATCTCTGCGCCCAAGAATTCCCCAAGTCTCTTTGCAGTGGTGATTGAAGTAGATTTCTGGTTACCATACTCCTCTAAACTCTTGGACATACTTCTATTCTCACAAATCAATTCAATTAGATCACTTTCTACTAAACCCGCACCTTTCTTGTCTAAGACATCAAGCCAATTATTAGCGACTTGAGCAACAGCCCCATAACAATTTTCCAATGTGTCACCTTCTAAGAAAAGCTTGAAAATATCAGATTGAAAATTCTTAATCAATTGTAATTCTCCTCTTCTTTTCAATTCAAATCCTTTCAATTCAGCAAGTGAGCCATCGTGATTAAAAACAGCGTATCTCTTCTTAAGACCCTTACCTTCTTCCTTAGAAGTTGGTAATATCATTGCTCTATAGGGCCCATCAACTTCAAAGAAAATTGAATTTTCCAGTTTAGTTTCATATTTAAAGTTGTCAGCATCAATTAAATTTTGATATTGGTGATTTGTAAATTGTTCATGGACTAAATAATTCAACATGGAACAAGGATATTCAACAAAGATTTTCTTGCCCTTTTCAGTTTTCAAGTGGAAGTTCTCTGGGAAAGATTTGGGCAATATACACCAGATACCATCAGTATCTAGTTCTAAAGGTCTTCCAATCCTTTCAACCAATTTCCTTGCCATCTGAATAATATGAGCACCAGTAAGACATGTGATACCTGCCATTTCCATAGAATACCATCTAGAACCCTTTCTCATCACGTAACCATAGAACGAGTTAAGAATAACTTTGTGAGCCAATTGTAAAGAGTCATTTAAGACAATGTTTTTGTTTGCTTCTTCTTTAGCAATTGGATCAACCTTCTCGTCTATCTTGGAAGCTTTACCCTTCCATATTTTGGTTTTCGTTTTATAATCATATCTACGATCTCTGAAGGATCTAACTGTATCTGCATAGAATGGATTTTCTCTTTGACATACAATAGAAGTTCTTTCGACAGTTTCAGTCTTTTGCTTTCTGCTGTAAACTTTTAATGAAAGCTTTGCTAATCTTTCCTTTATATGCCTTGCCCTTTCAGAGTATGACAAGTCATCAAATGTCCTTGGTGGTTCCCAAGGTTTTAAGGGAGGAAAGCTTTCTCTTTCCAATGAATTTTTAACCTGACCGTATTCTGATTGGTCAGCAGGATAAAATTCACCTCTCCAAGCCCACGGTAACTTTCTATCACAATTCTTTTGTGGTCTATTGAAGTCACAAGTTGCACAATCTTCTTCTGTTTTCATTGAATCTGGCTGCAATCTATTTGAAATCATAATGTTAGGATACATAGAAGCAACATCAACGTGATAGATCAAAGGATTTTCATGTCTTTTGGGGTTATTCTTCAATTCCAAAAGCTGGTTCTTAATTTCATTATAGACTTCATCAAAATTTGTGATATCTTTCATATTTGTATTGTTTTCCACTTCAACACAGAACTTCAAAGAGTTGTGTAAATTGCCTATTAACTCATCTATAGCGGTAGTGTCCACCTTGAAGTCAGTAGGAATATCACTTCTGAAAACACCTGCTTCCAAAGATTCAACATGTCCACCAACATATGTTTCAGACTCTAGAAGATGGCCCTTGTAGAATCTTTCAATTGGCTCCACGTGCTTGTTAGGCAAAAGGATATTCTTTTCATAAGCCTGAACCATTAATAACATTTCACATAACGTACCAGTACCTTTACGCAACACTTCATCAGGGTTCAAGGGAATAATTGTGCACAACGAGAAGATGAATGGATGAACATATTTGTAGTATAAGAAGTAAGTTGCGACGGCATCAGAAACAGAATACCTTGCCAATTTTCTGGGGCTTTCGTATGCATATGGTGTCATTAATTCTGGATCTATTTCCAAAGGATTATATCCCAATTTCGCTCTAGTAACGGCTTTCAAACCTTGAGAACCTTGAGGCAAATAAGAATCTCTTTTAACCCATCTGTAACAGTCCATGTGTACACAATACTTAGATTTATATTCCCCTTCATTGTCCTTGGCAAAACCAATTTCTTCAAACATACTTAATCCGTGAAATGCAGCTCTAGCCTCCACAAATGGCCAATCGAAAAAGTCACCATTAAAGGTGGTGATTACTGTTGGTTGTGTTTCTCTGACATGCTCAAAAAATCTTATGAGTAATTCTTTTTCATCTGCTTCATTGAAAACATCAAACCTCCCACCGTATCCATCTTGAATATAGTCAAAATCTTCGATATCTTCGGATACAATGGCTCTATTCGTTATGAGATAACCTTCGTTATCAATTCTATAAGAAATCATCATGATTTCATCGATCTTCGAGTCTGGGAACTTAAGCGGAGCCTTTGTGGTTTCGATATCAAATGCTAACACAACTGGGTCTGCAAAAGTTTCTCTGGCATCCTTTTCAAATATAGTTTCATTTTGTTTCACGAAAACATTATACCACTTACCACACCTGATGTTCTTATCAATAGACACTCGCACATGGTACGGAACGTCGTATTCCCTTATATCGTCGATAAATGTCAATGGATTCACATTTTCAGAGATTTTTTCATCTGCACCGGCACCGAATTTCATATTAAGGCTGTTTCCGTTTTTACTACTGTTGAAAAAGTTATCTTGCTGCATATGGTCTTCTCCTCCTACACTATTGACGTTGTTAAAACTCGAGATTTGGTATATGTCTCTGGAATCTCTTTGCAATTGGTTCTCTTTGATTATTGGATTCAACAACCTCCTTGCTCCCAACAAGTCAGTAACATTATGGAAGGTCAATTTTATCAAGGTTTGCTTAAGTCCAAGCAAATGGTTCGGCATAGCCAAATCGTCCTTTGTCTCTCTGGATATGGACTTTATATTGGAAGCTTCGAGGAATTTCCTCAACGTCTCTTCGACTTCCAGCTCATGCCCCGGGACACTCACCAAGAAGAAGTAGGGGTCAAACCGTATGGTGGACTTGAAATACCCACCTTCTTCTGCAATAAAATAGTAGTCTACACCTGAGTACCCAGCCAAATAGTCATCAGTGGGTATAGTAGTAGCATGCATATTGACCAACCAACCCTTTTTGGACTTGGAACCTTCATTCTCGGTGGTTTCCAATCTATCGAACCCCATTATTTTATCAATATCGTCTATACGCTGTACCATTTCCAATTTTTGAATAGCCTCATTATTCATTGGCAGGATTTCCTCTTTACCATTAGAAGGGTCTGATTTGTTCCGATACTCTGTTTTAACTGTAGTGGAGTTCTTGTTTTTGACAAACCGGGCACTGTTAGACCCTTTGAACCTGGACGCCATTGCTACAGGTTATATATATGTTATTTTACAGATCTATCTGCTAATCCTTCTTGCAAATCAACTGCTCTATATTAATCTTCTTACAAATTGGTCTGGCACTGCATCGAGCGATCCAAGCGCGTTGCTTACGCGTAAATAGAAAAGCTAAAGAGAGGCTAAAAAAAATAAGTGAAAAAAAAAAAAAAAAAAAAATCTAGAGAGTAAGTCATGTGACCAGAGTGAATTCAATGCTGATGGTCTTCGGAGGTGGATGGTAGACAGGCCAAGAAGGCCCTCTCTGTTCGCTGCTTTCCATGATCACTGGTAGTCTTATTGCCAGCAGAATTGCTTCAGAAAACTGAGAGCCTGTGCTTGGGCGTGCCGGTATCTCGCCGCTTCCGGTGAATGTCTTTGATGGATATACATAGATAGCATTCTCAGGACCTACGCCTATGCTGTTGACTCAACTTGTGTTCATTATGTATTGATTTGTACTTTCTTCTCTACCTATATACTCTTCAAAATATGTATCCGGCCTCCTAACTTCATCCACCTTTTACTCATCTTCATCACTTTCTTGCACTTCATCCACTTCATTCACTTTCTTCCACGTGCATCCACGTTCATCCACTTCTTCCAGTTTCTTCCACGTTCATCCCCGTTCATCCATGTTCATCAGTCTCTTAGCTTCTCCTCGTACAATCTACCTGCTCATGAACAACACCAACAATATCTGTAGCACAACTGCGTAGACAAACAAAAACTGTATTCTGATCCTTCTTTGCCCTGAACTAATACTGTTACTGGCTGAGTGATCTACACCTGAGCCAATTGGTAACACGAAAAACTTCAACGATCTCATCAAGAATAAGGATAAGTTCCCTGTAAATAAAAGAACAACCCCAAAGTATATCCAACCGCCGCCAATTAAGTTCTTCCAACATAACAACGCAATAATGGTAACATACTTATAACCAGAAAATGCAATTATATCCCAGAACAGCGATTGCGTAGAGCAATTCAATAAATAAAGCCCGACTTTGAAAACTGTAATATCGATGAGAGAACAGGCCAACGTTTGGGATGCCAAGTACCCGAAAAGCTGTGGGTGGAAGTCTCCCTTGAAACCCTGGAACGATGCCCAAAGCAAAATATACGTAATGAACGACATAAGCGGGATATACAAGTCAGGAGCGTTCAAATCGTGAGTTGGGGGGACATACTGCACTGACAGAGTGGAACTAGATGATGGTTGTTGGCTGGGGTCCGATGAGGATGTGAGCCTGTTCCAATTCTTGTGGCGATATGGGAAGAGAATCACACCGACTTTACGTAAAACATACGAGTTTGAAACCTTGAAGTAGTAATTGATGTCTCCAGTCCCTGGGATAAGCAGTCCGAAATTTTGTTGGAGGTAATCGTTAGATTGACCAAAGGAGTTCTTAGCAAACTGGGCAGCCATTGCGGACGCTGGGTCCGAGAAAAAGTTCCCATATCCGCCTGAGGAGTCACTCCCGTGTTGGAATTGTTGATGTTGATGTTGTTGCTGTGGTTGTTGATTCGGATAAGCGTGATGCTGAGGCTGCGGATGCTGGAGTCCACCACCAAACTGCTGGTATTGTTGTTGAGGTTGGGATGCTTGATACTGCTGCTGTTGGTGCGGTTGCTGTGACTGTTGCGGATGCCCATACGAACCATATTGATTCTGGTTCGCATTCTGGGCCTGTCCTTGATACGGAGTGTACATGATGATGTATTCTACTGATGGCAACAGTAGTAGATGTGATCTGTTCCAATTGTTTTTTTTTCAATTTTGCTGTCTGGGAGAGAGAGGATCCTGCATACAGTGCCTCTATTGTTCGTTAGTATACTGCAAGATGTAGCAGTTGCAGAAGACGGCGGAAACTCTTTCGAGGCCTAGAATAATCTGGAACTCCGAAAACAGGGGCCCACATAGCAATACATGCGCCACAAACTACCACACGTCCCTCTTGCGGCGAAAAGCGTTGAATTTTAGGGTGGGCTACTATCTGGTCCCACATAAGCTCGATGTACAAGTTGCTTACGTAATCCTACAAAACGTGAGTTTCTACTGCAGCGATGGAACAGTACGAAAGGCAGTATGGCTAGGAAGAGCGGCCAAACAATTCTCTATTGGCCAGACGGCATTGTTCATATCATACCTCCGGAAGGCACTTTCACTCACACAAATCTTTCTTTCCCTCTTCCGCTTTTATGGGACCATTTCCCAAAGTTTCCTCTTCTCTCTAGCCACCTCTCCGATGCTCGTCCCCTAAGGTTGCTGTTGCTCAGCACCACATACAGCCCGTGCACCTTGCATTCCCTGCATTAATCCGGCGCGGCGCAACATGCAGTACCTGATCAACAGCTGCTGATGCTCAAGCTGATTGCTGTTCGGAGCCCAAGGAGATGCTTGCCCTTAGGCCATCAGATCCCCGTATAATAGAGCAAGAACGTTGAGATTTGCGTTATAGAATTACTATTTATAGAGATATAGACCCGCTGATCTCGCTGGATATTTTTTAGATCTATTTTGCTTCGTTTTTTTCATAGCTTTTTAAATACTTACCAAGTAAAGTTCTCATTATCTGTAATCTATGACTGACAAGAAAGGAAAAGTACTCGTTGTCTCTAACAGACTCCCAGTGACCATCGAAAGAAAGCCCAATGGAACATACCATTACTCAATGTCCTCAGGAGGGCTTGTTACGGCCCTTCAAGGACTCAAGAAGTCGACCGAGTTCCAGTGGCTCGGCTGGCCCGGTTTGGAATTGCCTGAGAATGAACAGGACAAAGTTAACCAAGACCTTTTGGAGAAATTCAATTGTACTGCCATCTTTTTAAGTGACACCATTGCCGATTTGCACTATAATGGTTTCTCCAACTCGATCTTGTGGCCTCTCTTCCACTACCATCCAGGTGAAATGAACTTTGAAGAGAACGCTTGGGCTGCCTACATCGAAGCCAACAGAAAGTTCGCTTCCAAGATTGCTGAGCAAGTGGAAGATAATGATATGGTTTGGGTACATGATTACCACCTTATGTTGTTGCCTCAATTTCTCCGTGAAGAGATTGGGAACAAGAAGAAGAACATTAGAATTGGTTTCTTCTTGCACACTCCATTCCCATCTTCTGAGATCTACAGAATCTTACCAGTTAGAAAGGAAATCTTAGAGGGGGTATTGAGTTGTGACTTGATAGGCTTCCACACTTACGATTATGCTAGACATTTCCTCTCGTCTGTGCTGAGAATCGTCCCCAACGTAAAGACATTACCCAATGGTGTAGAGTTCAAGGGAAGATCGATAGCGATCGGTGCCTTCCCTATTGGTATTGACGTTGAGAAGTTCACTGAAGGAGTTCTCAAGCCAAATGTTGTTGAAAGAATTTCGCAAATGAAATCCAAATTTGGTAAAGACGTCAAGGTTATGGTAGGAGTAGACAGATTGGATTACATTAAGGGTGTTCCACAGAAGTTACACGCCTTCGAAATCTTTTTGGATGAAAACCCTGAGTGGATTGGAAAAGTGGTATTGGTACAAGTTGCGGTCCCCAGTAGAGGTGATGTTGAAGAGTACCAGTCTTTGAGAGCAACGGTTAACGAATTGGTTGGTAGAATCAACGGGAAGTTTGGTACCGTGGAGTTTGTCCCTATCCACTACATGCACAAATCTATTCCATTTGACGAGTTAATAAGTTTGTACCATCTTTCTGATGTTTGTCTTGTCAGTTCTACCAGAGATGGTATGAATTTGGTCAGTTTTGAATACATTGCCTGTCAGCAGGAAGGTAAGGGTTCGTTGGTGTTATCTGAATTTGCCGGAGCTGCACAATCTTTGAATGGAGCTATTATCGTCAATCCTTGGAATACAGAGGAACTCGCTGAATCCATGAAGGAAGCCTTAACATTACCAGAAGAAAAGAAAAGTTCAAACTTCGAAAAGATGTTTGGCTACATTTCAAAGTATACATCTGGATTCTGGGGAGAAAGTTTTGTTAAGGAATTATATAAGATCAGAAGTTATGATCAGAATTAAGATTATAGAATGAAAAAAAGTATTCGGTTTAGCACTCTAGAGTAAATAAATGAACAAAAATAAATATATTGATTATTTAAGTCTTGAAATCCCCAACTTCTCCAGTCATCATTGGCATCAGTTACTCTATTTATTCTTCGAAATCTTCGATTTCTACATGCCTGAAAGTTGCTTCATCAACTTTCTTCACTTCTACTTTGTTTTCAAAGTAACTTGCCTTCCAGTATTTCATTTCATATGCCGAGTAGGGTCCAAGGATTTCATCGGGTGCCTCTATCCATCTAAACTCCCAGATTTTCTCTCCATAGTCGCTATTCAGCTCTGTTTGTTCCAGCTCATTTTCATGGTCACTTTCGAGCTCTTCTCTTGATCTCTTGGCACGGCTTGCTTTGAAATCAGTTCCACTCTCAGTCTTATACAATCTCATGAATTCTTCCCGAGTCATTTCATATACATTTTCTATTGTCTTATCGTTGACCAACTGGTCACAGACTTCGGTAATGCAGAGTATTGTTTCTTTATTGGGGTTAGCCTCTTGGTGTTGCTTCTTTTTACGATTCCTTGACAACTTTTGGGGGGTTAGTCTTGCTAGTGCTTCAAGGGGACTTTCTGCAGGCTCTAGCATCTCTATTAGTTTCAGTAGCAATTCAGTTGTCGGTAAAACTGTTCTGTTCCTTTTTATCCTCTTCTCTTTGGTTGCCCTCTCTCTAGCAAGCTGTGATTCCTTAGCTCGTAAAATATCCGACTTCTTGGTATTATGTATCCAATGGTCCTCATTGACAGCTGCTGCCTCTTCTTCTTCGTCTTTAGTCTTCACATAATTTCCATTCAAGTCGAAATGTCCTTCATCAGCTTCCTCTCTTAGATTGAATGCTTCTATTTTTGGTTTCCATGTCGACTTGCGAGTCTGTAGAGAATCTGGCATCGAGTCAAGCTCTTCTGCTTTGGTGAAGTACTCTATTTTTTCATTTTCAACATCTTCTTCATCTTCATCTTCATCTTGTTCGTTTTCATTATCATTTTCTAGCTCGTAATCATCGATTCCTTCATTCCTTTCAAACTCACGCATGTCCATTATATCAGAGCTCTTATGGCGTATGGGTTTGGTTTTTTGTATTTTACTTTTATGCTTGGTATTTTCTTCCTCCTCCTCCTCTTCATCATCATTGTCATCAGCAAACATGTCATCGCTTTCATTTTCCTTCGAGGGATCGTCCCCTGCTGGTTCTTTACTGTCCACCTCTTCTTCGTCTTCCTCGAGATTGTCAGAAGAATCAGACGAATAGTTTAGTCGAATATCATTCCTCTGCTTCTGCTTTTTCTTTCTGCTGTTACCAGGTAGATCATCTGCCAACAAGACATCTATTTCTTCGATCTCACTCATGTTCTATACAAATTGCATCCAGGTATCTAGTATACAACTAACATCTTGGTTCAGCTCTTTGGTGCATCACAACCTTATAGATACTGTCCTGTGTGCAGGAACCGATGCTCATCTCCACATTTCTAATCACTGGAAAGAGTCCAAGAGTGTACTCAATGGTTAGCGTAAAAGGGCACCGAAAACATGGCCGATTTTGATTTTGACCAGGTGCTAAACTTGGAAGAAGAATATTATAACGAAGGGTTTAAGGAGGGCCAAGAATTTTCGACGAAAGAGCAATATATAGAGGGGAAAGAATATGGGTATCAAACTGGGTTCCAAAGATTTGTGATGGTTGGTTACATGAAGGGCCTTCTAGAGTCATGGAGAGAACTAGAGAACCCATCTTCATCATTAGAAAATCATCTTAATCAATTGGAATCGTTGATAAATACTATACAGCTCACGAATGGCGACGAGGAAGTTGCCATATACGAGAAGAATATCTCCAAGGCTAGAAACAAGCTAAGGGTAATTGCGACTCTAACTAAAGATCTGGATAAAGTGAACAAGCTAGACGAGCTTGTAAAGAATGTTGGAGGAAGCTTACAAGTGAGTGAAAACGTAGATGATATGTGGTAAGTAGCTGCCTTAAAGCGACAATATGTAGATTATGATATAGAACAATAGATACTATCGGAATAATGCAAAAAGCTCGTAGAGTAAAATGAAAGTGAGCGTAAAATGAAAGCAACGTAGAATATTAGTACGACAGTTTGAAAGAAGATAGAGTTGACATAAGCTCGAGAATAAACCCAATTACGATGTATATTGTCCGTCTATCAGAAGTGAAAGTCAAAGTCTAGAGACTTGCTCTTACTTCCCAATCTATAACTAAGTATTCCTCCTAATGGTTTATCGTTAACCCCAATGATTAGCTCTTCACCACATTCATTGTCAATGGGAGCAAAATTGATCCCTATGCATTTTCCCACAAAGTCTATTGATTGAACTCTATTCAATCTACCGGAATTATTCTCTAGTAATTCCTGAGTAGGTATTATACCTACATGATCTAAGCTTTCTGCCCAGCTAATGTAATCTCCATTGTGGCTGAACTTCGTATTTCTAACAGGGCCGCCTCTTATGGAATCAATTCCATCATTGCCAAGACAACTCCTTCCTAAGGAGCTGTCCCATGTATATAAACTGTTTTCCCCTAGTTTTCTCTTATCCCATAACTTTATACTTCCATCTTGGTTCCCAGTAACAAGTAGATTCTCATTTGTGGGTGACCAATCACAACTAAACCCATAATCTTCATGTCCCTTTAGCGTCATGCCATTGCTAATGGTCTTGCTATCATTATTCTGTCTGGTATCTATTATATACGAATTAACATCGTCACCAGTGAAAAGTAATTCATACGGATTTGCCTTGTTCACTGCAAGGCAATTTACCAGGAATGGTAATTCATATGTTTCTTTCACTTTTGCTTTGTAGCTAGAACTCCTATTCAAATCAACTAGCCGTATAAACTTATCGTTAGATGCAACGCATAGCTCGTTTTGTTCCTCCTTAATCACAACGTGATTCGTTATTCCATCGACTTTACTGGCCACGGTATGTTCACCTATTACATTTTTCAAACCCGGTTCTGCCTCGGTGTCAATCAAAATGTAGCCTCCTTCGAATGTCCCACAAATCAATAGGCTATCAGTACATGTTAATGTAGACACCTTACTACTGCAGTAGTTCTGTGAAAGGGAATGAGAATCCAAAAGACAATCCAATTTCATGGGCTCACGAATAGTGGTGATTGAATTGGTATCTGGAGAGAGTCTATTAACTTTGAAAAACTGGTGGTACATATCAGGGTCCAATTCTCGTTCCCGAAATATGCTCGTAGGCAGCACTTGTAACTGGCTATCTCTGAAATATATCAGAGGGTAATAGATACCCCTCGTAATATCCAGTCCACAGGCCACAAGGTTTCTTAACTGAAAATGTATAATGTCAAGCTTGAGCCTACTATAAAATTTGCTAAACTCAAAGAAATTGGTTTGGGTTCCATAAGCTGAGAGATTAAGGGACTATCATTGTTAGTAAAGGTTGGCCATATTGAACCTTGGAATTTTCACTTCCTACAGTATACATCTACTCTTCTCTTTCGCTACTTACTTTTCGTACTCTTTCTCTAGAGTTTGGGATATTGCAAAACCACCCTTTACTATATTCACCGATAAGGTTTCCTATGCGCATTCTATCGAGCTCAAACTTAAGCTTAACTTTATCCGAAGGCCACTTCAAGCCTTGGATATCGGTGCCCTCAAGGTCATTGAAAGAGAATGGTAATTTGCTCTCCCGTTCTTGTAATGAAGCAAAAATATCCACAATCTCTGAATTCGAAAGGTTTGACGAGATATCTCTAATCAAATTGTAGCAAAAATCAACCGAGTCCGACTGATTCAACTCATATTCGTGAGTGGATACAAGTGACTGGTGAAGTGCGGAGCTGGTTGGATTATTGGTGAGAGTTATCTGAGCCATATTTGAGATAACAGCCACTTAATGTCTTTCCACTATTATGCTATTTTTTATTTCACTTCTAATTTACTCTGTTGGTGTGACTAGCTTGTAATGAACTTCTGGTTCTGTTTCTAGTTCTGTTCCTTGGCTTAATTTTTTTTTTATTCCAGTTCCTTTGTTCGGGTGTGACTTCTTGGATTTCTACTTTTTTACGTATTTTTTTTTATCGGAACCTTAGACTGGTTTTTTCGGTATCTTTTACTTTCAACAGAATTATTTACCTTCTTTTCTAAATTTAAGAGATCCAGCTTAATGGGCCGGTGATGGGGTAACCTTTTTTATTGATCATTTTCATTTGCAGGCGATATGCCGCACCTTAGGGTGTGCATACGGGATTTATTTCTTTTTGCCTTTGGAAATCACAAATTCCTGCACGACGTATGCGGGATGCTATGGTTGCATGAGTGGGGCTACATACAGGTGCCAAAGTGAGAGAGAGAGAGAGAGAGAGAGAGAGAGAGAGAGAGAGAGAGAGATTCATAGTCTCAGACTAGAAGAGGAACGTTAAGCAGTATGTTAAGATACACTTCGATCATTTTCTTATAATCTTATCTATTTACAAATCGATACGCAGCAAGAGTGCCAGAAGGATCGGGCCATATGAAAGTCGTTCACTTAATGCATGCGAGCACTAAGAAGCAGACAGTACTTGGAAAAGAAAAATTCTTCAGCTCCAGTCTGCCAAATTTGAAACCCGTTTCCGATTGATACCTAGCTTCTAACAAAACTGAGCCATTTCAATCAATAATACCGACAACAGCTTGCTCTTGGTACATGGCCCTGTCCGTCCTTTCCATATCCTGTCACCCTGTCATCCTGTCCAGATGTGGCTCATCTTGAATGCCGGTGCGGACTTTTCGCTGCTTGTGTGCAGTATCGCTCCAGGTATAGCATCATACCGAAAAAAAATAAATACCCACTACATTATCTAGAGAATCTAACAATTAATAATCAGGACTCTTTCCATTAATTTGACTTCTATATACAAGGGAACTATAATGTCAGACCACAAATACCACTTTAACGTCACCATGACCTGTTCTGGCTGCTCAGGAGCAGTCAACAGAGTGTTAAACAAGTTAGATGGAGTGAAAAACGTAGACATATCACTCGAAAGTCAAACCGTTGATGTAACTACTGGCTCTGGTTTAGATTACGACACCGTTTACAACACAATTTCCAAGACTGGTAAGAAAATTAACGAAGGTAAAGTTGTAGTGTAAACTCAACAATTACCCTTTATATTTATTTATCTAGATATCATTCATTAATGGATAGTACATTGTTTCTAGTAAACCCTTGTAAGCTTCACTCGTTATCGATATTCCTAATATCGATTATTTCCTGTATATAGCCCTCTCTCAACTCACTCTTAACGAAGATACTCCTAATAACTGAAATGATTTCATTTGACTCGAAGTCGTAGAATTCGCCCGAGTAGAACCTTTCCATGATATCTTTCAAGTGGTTCGATATAAGGAAGTTCACATTTTCCATTCTATGGAACGCCTTTATATTGAAAACGGCGTTGTGATCAATATGCTCGGCTGCAATTGGCAAGGTAATTTGGCGAATACTTTCGAGTATCTTGGTCAATTTATTCGATTGATACTCTGTAATCTCATCCATGGCAATTATTGAGTCCACAATCCAGTCGTTGACAAAATTAAGGAAAAAAGATAATAGTTCCTTAAATTTGGTGGGGTTTTCGCTCAATAAGGTACCACTATCAAGAAATTTGCTAAGCCAGTCCTGCAACAAATTCAATTGATGTGTGGCTGAGGCATCCAACTGGAAGTCGTCTTCCAGCTTATCAAGGTTGATCTTTGCAATATAATCGTCGTGGTCCAAGTTGATTTTATTGGTTATGGCGCGTAAGTTGGGCAATAAATCTAATTTCAATTTAATCCAGTTGGTATTGGCAAATCTAACTAGCTCATTTATACAGTCATTGTCCCCTCCAAAATTTAATGGAGCTAATAGCTGGTGAAGATAAATCAAATCATTGTATAATATGAATGATCTTTCCAAAGTTGGATAAGTTATAGATGCGAATGAAATGATGCAAGTGACTAATATCTTAATCTTGGACGATATCAAAGACGAGGGTGATAATTGAACTTGGTTTTCCTGTAAATAACCAGACAATATGTCGAATAGCTTCGAAGGAATCGCTGTTACTAAAAACGTGGATTGACTTACAGCAGAAGCAACTGGACGACTTGAAGCTGACATTGATGCGGAGGACCTTTTGGATAACTTGAAGGGTACTTTCTCCTTTCTAGGGGAGTCTTCCAATTTAATTTCTTCGTCCCAAGCATCCCATTCGTCGTCGTCTTCTTCCTTTTCTGCAGCCACTTCTTTCTCCTCTTTTTCATCCTCTTTTTCTTCTGCGTCCTCTCCATCATTCCAGCCATCATTATCCCAATCCTCATCCCATGCACTTTTTTCTTCTTCTTCTTCCGTTTTAGAGTCCGCAACTTTCGCTGTCAGTCCGCTATCTACACTACTCACGTTTTTGAATAACTTTCTCAATTCTTCTTCGTCGTTGAAGAACATTCTGATTTTGCTAATGTATCTATCGACCAACCAGTCCAAATACAAATGGTTAAGACTTTCAATTATCATACCACTTTCTGAATTTAAACTGTTAGCTATGGATAAAGACCAATTAGTTCTCTTGGAAAGTCCTATAACATCGACCAACTGGTCGACTAAAAGACTATTATTATTCAACACAAGCTCATTAACATTCTCAGATACAACATCCGTGAGATTTCTGGAAATCTTACTCAGATAAAAGTTCTGCAATGTTTGATCTTCAAAAAGGTTGATGAATCTAATGAAGTTGGTGAGAGAAGCAAAATAGTCCTCATTGAAGAAGGAGTCAGTGCGCTGCTCTCTTAATTCAACACTGTATACTATACTTTCACAATCTAAGTGAGCCACAACTTCCTGTTTCAATTCCAAATAGTGGGTATGATCTACTAAGAACGGGTTTAGCAATTGCTTGTCCCAAATGAGTTGCTTTTCATGGAGTAGCCCGCCAATGACCAGCTCACTACTGTTTCTCTCAGTATACTTCCTGAATACACTCTGAAATTCGCCATTGTACTCCAATTCCACGTCATTGACGATAATGGGGTTTATAAATGTGTTCACGCTTGGGAAGAATTTATGAAACAATTTCCTAATTTGATCTATGGCTTCGTCATAAAGCTTCTCATGGTGTTCATAAAGCTTGTCCACAATCAAGGCCGAAGGATGTGCTTCTCTGAATTCACTGAGCTTGGTATGGAGCTTGACCAAGTTGAAAAATATGGATTCTAGCTCAACGCAACCGCAGACTTCCACTGCATCGTGCAAGGTTCCTTCGATCTCTTGAACAAGACCACGAAGTAACCAAAGTCTATTCAACGACTCCAAGTTGTCTTCATGCTCTTTCATTTTGGCATTCAATTGAAACAAGCTCAATGACTTCAATTCTTCTTCTTCCTGGGCATCTTCATACAAGGCAGATGAAGTACTTGACACCGGAGAGCTCGATTTACGAAACTTGTCATCATTCTCAACGTCAACGGAGCTGATTGAATAGGGATAGTTCTCTATCTCTCCTGAGATCTCGTCTAGTCGCGATTGGTGAATTGACACAAGCTCACCAATGGACACCAGCATTGCAGTATGTATATGAATGAAACTGAATCAACGAGAGAGAAGATGGCCCGCTAAAGTTACGTCTATGGGCAGTAGATCGAGAGAAACCGCAAGGGAATTTTTGGGAGCCATATGCTTGTTTGTATGCAGGACTACAAGGGAATAGTTTTTAATGTCATCAGCACCTACGGGCTAGTAGCATAAGATCGCCATGTACATGCACATAAGTATGTTATTAAGAGTACTATACAGGTTAGTTGATCCAGGTGTGTCTATACACCGATAAATAGGCCAAATGGAAAAAAAAAATTAGTAAAGAAGGCGGGAACTTGACGTTGTTTAGGTGCAAGTTCTACCACTCGTTTCAGTACGGTGCAGTTCGATTCTGCTCGTCCAGTATTCCAGTTCTGTCTCTTGATAGTGAATCTGCACACTTACAAAAGCTCTTCACTGATATCATCATCCACATACTCGTCATCTTTATTCATTCTGTAAATGGTCATGAACATTGAAGCCACGTTCAAACCGCTCATGAACCAGTCAGGCACAGGTATTCCATAGAATTCAATTACATTAAATGCCAAGTCTAAGAAGTTCCCCACCAATTCAATTTTAAGCATCATCTTGTCAAAACTGAGATCTTTCAACACCTTCTCGTACCTTTTAAATATATTACCATCATCTCTACCGCCCTCGAGCAACTTCGATCCATTCTTTCTTACAATCTTCAACTCGCTCTCCACCTTCTTTTCCTTTCGGATTACGTTCAATAGCTGCGATATCGTCTTCCTAATAAGGAAAACCAAGATGAGGATCCAGAGCTTGTTCGTCTGCTTGAGCAAATTCACTAGCACCTTCGGGAACATGGGCATCTTGGAGAAAAGATGTAAGTTGTCTAGGATGTTAGCGGTGGTTTCCAATACTTCAATGACGATTCTTTCGACTGCTTTGAATGTCAATTTCTGTCTTGGTGTTCTCCTTGAATTAGGTGGGCGGCGTGTCTTCGATCCTGAGGATGTGTTTGGGTCGACGCTCGCCTTGTCTCTCGGCGTCGGTCCGGCTGCCTTTTTCTTGAGGTCGAACTTGGTGTATAGGGCAGAGTACAGTGGGAGCGGTAGCGGCTTACTACTGTGACTCTTTTCGACTGTTAGCGCCTTTTTTCTCTTCTGTTCGAGCACGTATCGGCTGAGACTGTCAAGTTTTTCCTGAGTGATGGACTGGTTTCCCTTCTGTTGTTCCTTTTGCGCCAAGTGGAGGATACTGTCGACGATTTGATCTCTATCCTGAGTCGCGCTGTTGTTCGTTATCGTACTGACTGGTGCCATCAACCTGTTACTATATCTTTGGGGACCTGGATGAAACACTGGTGACACTAATTTTCCTTTCTGGGAGGTTCGTGTTCCCCATGAAATGTGGAGTGAAATTAGCCGAGGTACGGCATATTACCCCTCCCATCCGTACACCACGCCAATCTGGTGGGTGATGAGAAGTGTTGCACGGGCGCGATGGATGGGCCAGAGAGTGCTAGCCTAATGGCTGAATAGGGCCTGGGGGAGGAGAAGAGTCATGGGAGAGTGTTATGGAGTACAGTAGACGGAGAAGAGTAACTCTAATCAGCAAAGAGATGCTTTTTTATGTCAGTATTATGGATATTGATGTATGCCCTATACATTGTTTCTAACACTGCCTAATCAACCTGGCTCCAATCATAAATTGTTTCTAACGCCTGTTTTAACCTCGCTGCAATCATACACTGTTTCTAACGCCTGTTTTAACCTCGCTGCAATCATAAATTGTTTCTAACGCCTGTTTTAACCTCGCTGCAATCATACACTGTTTCTAACGCCTATTTTAACCTTGCTGCAATCATGCACTGTTTCTAACGCCTGTTTTAACCTCGCTGTAATCATACATTGTTTCTAACACTGCCTAATCAACCTGGCTCCAATCATAAATTGTTTCTAACGCCTGTTTTATCCTCGCTGCAATCATACATTGTTTCTAACACTGCCTAATCAACCTGGCTCCAATCATAACTTGTTTCTAACGCCTGTTTTAACCTGGCTCCAATCATAAATTATTTCTAACGCCTGTTTTATCCTCGCTGCAATCGTACACTGTTTCTAACGCCTGTTTAAACCTCGCTGCAATCATACACTGTTTCTAACGCCTGCTTTAACCTCGCTGCAATCATACACTGTTTCTAACGCCTGTGTTAACCTCGCTGCAATCAAGTCTCTCGTTGGCTAGCACCAAATAGTAGCAGGATGACCTTTGCAACCTTTTCATAGCCCTTCAGCGAACTGAATTCTCTTCCCAATTCTTCTCCGTTGTCGCTCCGTATCACGACTTCTCCACCCATTTCTTCAATGTGAACTGAAACAGCCTTTCCCTCCGGCTTTCTCGTGATTGTGACTTTCTTCCTGCTTAGCTTTTCTCCGGTCGCTTCTATATCGATCCTCTCTCCATATAATGTTTCCCACACCAGAGTCATCTCTTTGACCCATTGGGCATATATCTGCTCTTTGCTGAGAATCCTGGAAGTCCCCGATTCTACTTGCTTGTTATTCTCTACTTCATCCTCTAACTGCCTCAACTTGGTCTCAAGTTTGTGGATACTCCGGTTATGGCTCTCCAACAACTCCTGCTTCAAGCCAAACTCGCTGTTCAATCTCGAGAGCTTGCCGTCTTCCTTTTCCATGGATTTAGACAACTTTTTCGATATTCCACTCATGCTGTATTCGACTAGACCGTGTTCGTCCCCGATGCTGCTATTCTTGGTACTATCTCTTTCATAATCCCTCTCGAACTTCACGTACTCAGAGACTACGCCGTTGGCTTCAGTAAGGACGTTGAACTCTCGCTCCATCTCTTCAATCTCTTCTAGCATCAACTCTGTAGCCCGTGCCTTCCCTTGGAAAACTTCACGCAACTCCAATACTTCCAGTGCCAAAGCGGTCAGCTCCACCTCAAGTTGCTTCTGCTTCTGCTTCAACTGCTTCAAATCACGCTTCAATTCCGTGTTGGATTCGATCTTCTTGTCGATATCCAGCTGTTCTACATATAGTGGTGGGTTCTCCAAGATCGCTCTCAAGAACTTCTCTCGAGTTTCTTGCTCCAAGTACTGGAATTTCAACTTCGAAAACAACTCCTTCTTGAAGCTGATCTCTTCGTTTATGCTTGTAGGGTTGTACAAGTCTGGCTCGTCATCTCTACCTTGCGAAAATAACCGGTACGCCTCTGGCCTTGACTCCAAAAAGAGCGTGGGCGAAAGGTTGGACAATTTCAATGGTAAGTCTTCCATAATAGCCTGCGTTATGTAGAATAGCTAACCTACTAATCAGCTTTCATCCAAGCTGAATCTATGGAGTCTCTTGATTCCAAACGTAAACAAACAAAAAAATCAAGAAAAAAAAAATCAGAAAAAAAAAAATACGAGGCGCGCACTGTGCAACACAATCTGCACTTACATAAGCAAAGTGTGCACAACTGGGATCAGTAGAGAGATAAGGTGTGCTATACTTGGTTCAAAGATCTGTACTATACATTAACTTGCTTCTACTCCATATATTATTCTATGTACAACGAACTTGAAAGTCTAGTGTGATTGATTTTCTGATTTTTTTGGCTTCGTTGTTTTTGGCTTTTTTCCTTTTTTTTATTTTTATATTTATATATAGTCAACTTTAACTCTGCTGCTTTACACTTGAACGTCCTTGATCTTGTCAATTTGTTCACTTAAAATAACTGGAACTTCAACACTTTCATGCTCTTCAATCTTTGTAGGTTTCTTCTTTTCTTCAGGTTTCTTTTCACTTGGAGTCATCATTAAGTCGGCGAAATTGATTCTAGATGACTTTCTTGATCCTGATAATGAGCCAGATTCAGCATCGTCATCAATGGCAGTTTCATTCCACTCAGCCAATTCTAATTGATGTTCTCTCTCAATGGCATACTTAACAGCATCTAGCACGTTATTACATAAATGCTTTGGCTTATACTTTGGTACTGTACCCTCTTGGTAAACACCAGTCTTCACCAAGATAGAATGCCATGAGACATCGTGAGAGTTAGCAAAACGGATATCTGATTCAGGAGTGTCACCTACGAAGTACACCGTTGATGCTGGAGGTAACTGAAGGACAATCTTTTCTTTCTTTCCAACAATTAATGCAACCTCTTCTTCGTCTTCTTCCTCGTCGGCATTTTCTTCTTCATCAGTGTCTGGCTCACCAGCCTCAAGTTTTGCCTGGTTAATAACTTCTTCACCATCTTCGTTGATTAAGATATCCGCATCTTCAGCATCAGGGTCGTTAATCGATAACTTCTTCAAATGTTCATCCAAGACACCTTGTCTCCACGACGTTAACACTTTGTTGGCATACTTAAATGTACCTTTTTGGGGTTTACCAAATCTATTCACCTTCAACTCGTGTCCAGTATGTTCTCTATACAATGCAGCAATAGAGACCTGCAAGGCACCCATACCATATCTTGAGAGTTTATAGTTCGTAGCCCAAATGAAATCAGAATGAGCGAAATAGATCTGTGGACCTTCGTCAAAGGTCTTGGATGCAGTTCCCATGACACCGTTCACTGATAACAACAATTCTAAGATGATTTGTTGATCAGCAGCCCAGTTTCTGGAATCGGCGAAAACCAAAATGGCATCAATACTCAACTTACTGAAATCGACATCCTTTTTGGCAGCCTTCAATTCTTCGTCGGTCAAATCATGGTATGGAGAAACAGCAGGGTTCCAATACAAAATATCCAAAGGAGTGTATACATTCTTGAAACCATACGATTCAGCAACATTTCTACAAACGTTACCAATTCCCCCGACAACGAGAACGTTCTTGTAGAGAGGAACCAAGTCTTTCATAGGGGTGTGACCCTGGATGATTTGATCCGGGGTGATTGTACAATTTAACCTCTTGCTCAAATCTTCAGATCTCTGCAGTTCTGGTTTTCCACCTCCGTTGGTAACGAAAATGGATGGCACCTTGATGTTGTACTTGTTTCCACCATTAAGCAACTTCATGGCTTCAACTGCTTCGGGGATAGTGTCTGGGCCCCTCAATATAACACCATCGATATCGAAACAGAAGGCATACGAGGCAACTCTGGCGTGATCTATCACTTCCTTCTTCTTTCTTCTGATGATAGATGAATTTCTGGACAATTTGGCTAAAGAGTCCACCTTTTTCAAGTTCTGCGACGATGACTTGTTGAGCGAAGTAGAAGAGGACAACTTAGTGAGTCCGTTTTGCCATTGGTTCAAATCGGACAACGACAACGAGGACACTCTGTGTTTCCTGGTCATGGGGACCAAGTCGTCTATCCCGTCATTATTAAGGAAAGATTGCGATTTTTTAATGGTCTCTTCTGGCATTCTGGTATAATGTTGTGTGTAGTGAACTGCGGTCTCTGGTTAATCCAAAATTAGAAAATGGCGATCAAAATTTATTTTCTGCCAATTCGTGGGGTTACCTTATCGTAATGTGAAGTACTAGTAGGGTACTGTGGTTGCTGGGTTAATTCTTGTATACAACAGCTGCGTATTTTGCGTCTTTTGTATTAGTGTCTTAAAAAGTCTCAGAAAAGCCACTCTCTCACTGTCCAGGTGGCCCTATCATCTTATTTATACTATTTTTGGGTGGAAAGAGGGGGTGGGAATCTCACACGAAACTATGATATCATTCTACTTTTTCGGGTGTGCTTGATGCACAAAACAAGACTGCTCCGAGAATATGCAGAGGAATTTTAAGAAAAAAAAGAAAAAAAAAAAAAAAAAAATAAGAGAGTGCCCTCTGCATGCAGAGAAACACACACTATGAGTACTGGTGGGTTATGAAGACCCAATGTGTTTCTCCCCACTTCGAAGAATAGGTGTCTCAGAAAAAAAAGCTGGGGAACGACGACGCTGGGTGGTAATATAGCGAAGGTCAAAGGATCCTACTGTATATCTGGCGATATCAGATGGTGGTAGGACCGTAGTAGTCCGGCCGCTGGAAAGCTGTATGTATCTCCCTGATGCAATAGCAATCTAAAAAAAAAATTAGATGAATATGAATAGGGAAAATAAATCTGGCCTAAGAAATCAGAAGTTCGTACATGTTGGTAACTGAAAGGTAATTCGCACGTAGTGGCAGAGAAATTGAGAAATTTGGTGATTCACTGTATGTGCATTAGGGTAAATCTTTGTTGGATGAACAGTGGGTTATATTTTCTACACCTGCCCTTCAGTGAGATTGGTAAAGTATTCACGACAGATAAGCCACTCGGGTCCAAAGGTTCTCAGAAAGGACATGGAACATGGAACATGGCTCTAGAGTGGGAATTAATCCTGCATGCTCCGTAGATGGGGCATCCAACTCGGCATCAGTGCTGAATCGCTGGGTCCTTGTCCATCTCTCTGTCGGTAGAACTGTAATATCCAGTACCATAACATGACGGACTTTTCACTTTATACTTTTATTTTTTTTTTTTTTTTTTTATTTTGCTTGTTCTGTTAATTTTCCAGCTACCTAGTAGCACGTTTACTTTCTTTCACTGGAGCGGATTAAAGTTACGCTGTTAAACCTTAATTACACGGCAACCTCTCTTTGGTGTGAGTTGCACGAAGCGGAAAGCGCCAATGACAGCATGCGAGAATGTAATTTTGTAACCGACATTCTGTCACTTTAAGTTAAGAAGTGTACAGTAGCGCTGCAACACATACTAGCCAGAGGCTCCAAACTATTTCCAGTGCTCGGGAGATGCGAGCTGAGCGTGAGAGCTGTGTCTTCTCTCTCTCCCTCTCCCACCTACACACACTCTCACTCTTCTTCCACTATCCTGTGCGCATCTTTTAACCAGAATCTTGCACTCATTCATCCAGATTCTTGATGAGTTTGAACTCTATGCAGCCTTCCACTGGCAGAACTGCACCCTCAAGATTTTCCCCATATCAATCTTCATTATTTTAACTCTCAATTATAATCTATTGACATCATCAGTTCTCGACGGATAACCTGCCCAGGCTAAGCAAATCCACATTAGACACCATCGCTCTAAGTATCTTATTATCTCTCATTGATGTTATCTTTTCTTTGATGCTCCATTGATGGTACTCGCCCCAACTCACCCTACATAACACTCCATTGCTCTAACTGTCTCAATTAGCATTTATTGATATTATCTTCTTCTCTTTTTTTTCTTGTGGGCTGGATTTTCCCATACTAATACTACATAATAATAATTACAAATTATAAAATACAAATCAAGTAAAGTAAATACTTGTATATCTTATTCTTCCATTCCTTCGGCTGCCTTTTTCATTCTTGCAATCTTAACCAATGGCGATAAGCTGCTAACATCGTCAGCCTCTTGAATAAACTTATCAGCCAACAATTGATCAGCATCTGCTCTCTTGTTAAAATCAACCAACAAACACCATGCTAAAAATTTTCTCATGTCATAACTCAATGCTTCTGGTTCCTTCAACTTTGGTGTTCCATTGGTAGCAATCAAGTATAACGCTCTTAAGGGAGTTTCGTTAAGATATGGAGGCTCTCCTTCAATCATTTCGATTGTCATGATACCCAATGACCAAATGTCCACCTTTGGACCGTATTCCTTTCTACTCACAACCTCAGGTGCCATCCAGTATGGAGTTCCCACCATCGTAGTTCTCTTCAAATTGATTTCATTAATCTGAGCACAGAATCCAAAATCGGTCATCTTGATATTCCCATCAATGCTCAAAAGAATGTTGTCAGATTTAATATCTCTATGGATAACTCCCTTGGAATGCAAAAATTTCAATCCCTTCAAAGTTTCTCTACAAACTGCTCCAATCTGCCCCTCAGTCATAACACTATGAGTGACAATTTCAGTCAAAGATCCTCCTTCCATGTATTCCATGATAACCCATAAATCCCCTTTAAGTAAATATGAATCAATGAAGTTGACAATGTTAGGATGCTTGGATCCCTTCATAACTAAGATTTCATTAATGATCAATTCTTTCTTTGGCTGTTGCTCCAAGTTCATTTGCTTGATAGCGACAGCTCTGTTATCATTGGTGTTACTGTGAGCTATATAAACACCTCCAGATGCACCTTGCCCGATCTTTACTAAGTCTCTGTAGTAATCGGAAGGATTACCCTCGGAACAAATAGATTGTAACTTACTGACAATTTGTTGGTTCTTTCTTCTCTTATCTTCTCTTTTCTTTTGTGCAAGTAACGCGGCCTGTTTAGGGTCTCTTGTTGGTTGTTTCTTACGCTCCTCTCCATCACCGTGAGAATGTGATTGTGATTGAGCCTGGTCCTGCGAGTGGGCTTGTGCTTGTGCATGAGCTTGTGCCTGTACGTGTGCTTGTGGTGGCTGAGATTGAGGTGGTTGAGTGTGAGGCAGTTGATGGAAGCGAGGAGAAAGTGGGGTTTCTTCTACTTCTTCGTACTGGCTCTTAGGCAGAACCTCATTGTGGTGGTTATTGTTGCTACTATTTTTGTTCACTGGTGGTGGTGGAGGGGGACGATGGGTCTTCAATTCGCTCTGTCTTTCTCTCTTGGGTAAAACAATCAGCTCATCAGTTTCACTGTCTTTCTTTCCAAATTTCTCAGATTGGTAAATTGGTGCAGTTGTGCTTCCCTTATGCTCGTTATTATGTTGCTTTGCCTTGTTAGCAAGTGAATAGTTATGGGACTTGGATTTAGGTATTCCACCACTACTCAAATTGGTATCGTTGAAGACGGAGCTAGTGCTATTAATATTTGAGCTAGTAGGGAGCGGTTGCGATGGAATTGGGATCTTACCACTTTCACTGTACTTTCTAGAGTTTCCACTTCTCATAGATTTAATAGACTTTGCGGAAAATGATCTACCCATAAATGAATTCTTTTTAGAAGGTGATGTGTTGGAGAAATGTGAACTTGTGGGAGACGCAATGGATCCAGGTCCGCCATTGGATCCAGGAGGTTTTGGAGCTGGTCTACTTGGAATAAATTGAGTTTCATATGAAGTGTTCGTGCTTATAGTCTGGGGTGTAGAAGTTGCTGGGAATTCGGATTGTTGATTCTGTACTGGTGTTTGGAAGAACAGTGATGGTGGAGGTCCTGTGGGCGCTGATCCTGTAGATCCACTAGTAGTTGAAATTCCAGATCCATTCCTAGTTCCTCCAGGAGTTGGAGGAGGAGTAGCATTCACAGATAAATTACTGTTGTTGTTGTCATAGTGGAACTTTTTAAATGCATTATCATCGGGGTTTTCATTTGTGTCTTGGTAGAATGCCACAATGTCCATAACCGCTTGTGGATGCTGTCTTTGTTCAGTCTTGGATATACCACTTGCTGACAATAATCTCTCCCATTCAATTGGCAAGCCAGTGTATGAACCATCGTCATCCACTCCAACATGAGCGACGTGCTTTGCATTGAAGGGTGTAGAAATCTTCATGTTAATGGATGATATGCTGCTTTCGGGTGAAGTTGCATTATTTTGAGAGTTTGATAACTTCTTACCAAACATATTAGAGAACACACCTTTTACACGGTTCCCACTCTTTCTCTTCTTTCCGGACTTCGATGAAGGCGACGGCGTACTAAAAATGCCGCCATTACTATTGTTGTTGTTATTTTGATTGCTAGTGTTGTTGTTGTTTTGATGTAATCCCATTCCAAGATTTTCTCTTGGGGAATTCGTTACAGATCCGGGTTGATTGAACTTAGGTGGTTGTTGTAGAACAGGAGTGATCGCAGCAGTGGTATAAGCATGTTGAGTACTATTAGCTGGAGGAGTCTGGAATGTTTTGTTGTTTTCATTATTGCCAGCTCCATTCATAGCTGGGGTAGTATTGGATGCTACAGCGGGAGGCGGAGACCTTATCACAGATTGCGAAGATTGGCTTCTCCAATCCAAGGGGAATGACTTGTCGTGGATCGTGGACGATGATGGGTTACTCTCTTCATCCGAAACCCCCAAATTGGATACTCTCTGTGTAACATTATCCGTTACCATCAGCTGAACATGTTGTTGCTGTTTGGTAGTAGATGTGGAAAATCTGGGACTACCTGCTGTCGTATTTATGGTTGAGGGATCAGGATTTATGGTTGACTGGCTCACGTCGACTGTGTCGTCGTCTATAGAGTCATCTTCAATCGAACTATTTTCTTCGTCATCTTCTTCTTCCTCTTCCTCTTCTTCTTCCTCCTCGTCTTGCACATTTACAATAGGCGCATGTTCGGCACGTACCTGTTCGGGCACATTCTCGTCATTACCATAGTTGTTGCTTGGATCATCGATGTTTTCATCGTCAATAGTTGGGATTTTTTCCAACGTGTCATCGTGAAGTATATTAGGGGTTCCTGTTGAACGATTGCTTTCGTTGTCGTCTTGTGCAAACCCTTCCTGGTGGATCACTGGGCTTAATTTGGAGTCATTGGACCCATACCTGGAGCCCTTACCAGGATCAAGAGTTGGTCTGAAATCTTCAAGCAAGGGACCCGGTCCAGAAACGGCCGTGGTCTTCGTGTCATTTAAGGCTGGCTGGAATTTCAAGCTGTCGTCTTCCAATGGAACCTCATCTATGCTGTGTTGTTCATTCCCTGAATTCAATTCGAATTCGCTTCTATTATTTTTTATTGTCTCTGTAAGCTCGCTATACTTGTTGTCATCGAGTCCATTTATATCGTAGCTGCCAGGAACACGAGCGAGTCCTGGTGAACCATCGACATTGGTCTTTTCATTTTGTGCTTGAGACGTGTGCTCGGTTCCTTGTTGTTTTTGTTGTTCTTGTTCTTGTTCTCGTTCTTGTTGCTGTTGTTCGTTCTGATTCGTAACACCAGTCAATGGTGTTGCCGATTCTTCAACCTGTGAGATTTGCTCGCTCATCTATACATATATCTGAGTGTAGTCTGTGTATGTACGTAGAGAGACTGTTACCCTGTGGTTAAAAAACTTTTCAAAATTCAACGGATTCCGCTTTTCCAATTTCCATGAATTAACCACTTTCGCTTTTCAATTTTCTTCGTTTTTACCAATAATAAAAGCGTTTTTATCAAAATTAGTCGAAATCAGCCAAAAAAACAAAGGAAGAAATAGAGAAAAATGTATGAAACACGCAACGGGACAGGGCAAAAGGCAAAAAAAATAAAATGAAAAAAAAAAAAAAAAAAAAAAGGAAATACTCATGAAGGTAAAAAATATTTGGGGTTTATTGAGCTACTGTAATAAGTGGGAGTTGGGAAATGCTAAGGAAAGATGAGGGAGAGGTGAAGCAGTGAGATCTGGGGATGGAGGTAGTACAATTGTTGGTGGGGGCAGTTCGAGTGACTAGTAGGTGCTTTCGGGCTCTCAGCTGTATGTTTTTCGATGACATTTAGTCAACGTGCTTGTGCTTATCTGGCACTCTCTTTGCTCAGTATGGAGAATAGAGAGTGGCTCTCTGGGGCTCTGGCGCTCTGGTACTGGCACTCTGGCACTCTGGCGCTCACTGCGCGCGCGCGCTCTGGTGCTCGGGCACTCACACAATCTCATTTTCCCTAACTGGCTCGCTCGCATTTTAGAGGTGCATTATTTAATCTCCATTTTCTCGCCAATTGGTGAGCGGCTGCTTCATACTGATGAAAATTAAATCATTATCGAACGCGTAGCGTGCTATATCGTTCGTTGTGAACACAAATTACGATTTTTCATCCTCACTTGCGCCTAATCATACTAGATTCGAAATTATCGCCATTGTCTGGCTTCTCGTTGATTATTACTTGCATTGCATTAATGCCTGGCGCACCTTGCTGAGAAAAATAAAATAGACACCTACACTCATCCACTCAAACTGAAATCTCAATTCTACTTGGCTCTCCTTTTCATGATTGTTCGGCTAAAGATGTTAGTGAAAAGCTGTTAAGTTTGTTACTTTGTAAATTCCTTTTATTTCAATTTATTTTATACCATTTTATTTAACTTTGGTTTTTCCTTCTTTCACCTTGGGTTCCCTGCCCCTGTCGTCGTCCTAAATAATATCCCACTCAGCACATTGTACCCTTCCACTCAATGGCTAATATTATTATCGCTAAGTGCACTCAGTTCTCGCTCCGCTCCCCACTAACGTACCC